CATACCTTTGAATTCTTGCTTTCAACTTTCTATTTAATATGAATAAAATACTCTATTTAATTCTTTAATTCTTCTTTTTCAAATCGAAATTTATTGTTTTGGAATTTGGAGTTGCTTGTTGATTAACAATAATATTTACCCATCATCTTGCTCAAGAGTTTAATTTTTTTATTGCTAAACTTATGACTATTATTGAAATTGTGAATCAACTACTAAATTGTCAGATTTATTGATTAATATTGGTTGTGTGTTATTTTCATCTTTCTGTTGAGTCTGAGATTAGACAGCTTGTTGCTCTTGTTTGATTTCTTGTTGAACCTGACCTACTAATTATTATATTTTATTCGTTTCTTCCCTCGACATTGAACTTCTGGTGAAGACTTCGCTTTTTCTTTGGGGAGGTGGTTATTATTGTAAAGGAGTGGTTGTTTTAATCATTGACTAAAACTTCCCTGCCAGTTGTTTTACAGACATTCTATTGGCCTCTGGCTGATCTTCGCTCATAAATTAATTATAAAATAATTTTCGTTTGTATTCACTTTATAAGAGCCTCAAAGTAAATTTAAGTCTGCATTTTGACAATTAGATGCAGGAAAACCTATAGGAAATTACAATAAACTAGTTTTTCTAATAATGAATGCCTAGATTAATTATTATAACTATGAAACAAAAAAATTTTTACTCTCCCCATCATCAAAGCAATAGTTTCAGCAGGTTCACTAGCTAATAAGATCTTTGTATTGATTCTTCATATATTTCAAAATATTTAGGATAGCAAAAACATTTGCAATCTCCTTAAAAATATATGTCCACATTGTACTTGAATAAATTCGAAACTAATACTCTTAATTCACCATTAAGTGATAGAAGTCATAGCAACAATAAATACAAGCAATTAACAAAAAATTATTTTCAAAAAAAATACCTTCTATTGACAGCAGGGAATGAGAAGAGCATAAAAGCATGGAGAAATTACTTAATTAATAGTTTCAGGAAAAAGATGGAAGAATTTTTTAATCTCAAGAAACTCATTCTATCCCCTTAGAACAGAGGAAGAAAACTTAAATTAGGACGACTCGACAATCCCATAAAACAATTTTGTTATTTGAGTGATGAAATCATTGCTTTGAATGCATTAGCCAAATAAAAAGTTCCTGGAATTGATTTAATTTAAGAACAGGACAAATTAATCAAAACCAATTACCAATATCTAAAGAATTCAGACAATGTGGATTACGATTCTAAGTATGATTATCTTATTTATAAGGATGTAGAGTATGATTTAATAATATGAAGTTATTATCAATCGAATACAGAAGGAGGCATTCAAAATTCATTTGCCTAATTACATTCAAGTCAAGATGTAGAATTACAATGACTTCTATGATGTAGACAATAAACTTGCAAATCCTTATTTCAGTTCGAAATTGTATGACTCTTGTTAACAATTGAAATTCTAAAACAAAAAACTAGTCAAGAATTCTCAATAAATATCTATATGTGAAAATATTCAATCTTTGAATATTGATGAACCTATTTAAAAAAAAGAGAATAAAATATAGCCATAAAAAAGCTCATCAAAACCATTAGTTATAGAATAAAATTTGTAATCATCTGATCTTATAAAGAACGACTATATTTTATATAATGATCATGAAGATGAAATGGCATTTGCAAAATAAACTTGCAAATCAAAGTCAGAGCGAAACAAATGTGTGAAACATAAATTCAGAATCAAAAAGCCCCATGAATTCTAATAAAATACTTAGGTTAATTTATCGGATCATCGGTTTGTCGATTACATGCTCAGTCTTGAGGATGTTTACGATTGCAATTTAGAACAATTCAAATTTGACCTGCCACTAGAATTTGAATAATGTAATTATTTAAATCTAGAGGAGTATGAATTTGTAGATACTGACGAGGAAAAAACATACACAACTTAAATTTAATGGAATGATTATTATTTACTAAAAAATTAATGAATTTAATTGATTCTTTATCGAATGAATTCCAACAACTTTTAAGTGATTAAAAGAAAAACCAAGTTTTGAAACCTCTTATTTAAGGAATTATAGACGATATCAAGAAGCACAAGTCTTAATAAAATTTACCTATTTAAGAAATCATCAAAATCCTTGTTAGACTTCCTGAAAGCAAAACCAATCAAACATCTGGAATAGCTCTTAATATTATCCTAAAATTATTCAACACTCCCATATTGCAGGAAGTAATTTAAATTCTATTTTAGGCAGACCTTCATCCCTTATTGCATTCTCTCTATTTGTTTAAAGATGAAATAATTGAAAATGTGCAATTAAAATTAGTGTAATGCAGTGTCCATTTAATTCATAAAGAAATAGTAAATATCAATAATCCTGAGTGCATCGAAAAAGTAAAGAATAATCTAAATGTAGCTAATTTGCATATTCTTCACCCTTGTGATTTCAAAAAATCCAATCATTCAAACCACATCAATGACAGGTCTAATGAAAATCCTCGATTTCTTATATGCATAATACAGTGAAAAACCCCATAGAAACGGAGTTCTGATATTTTTACAACTTATTTAAGGAATGAAAGGACAAAAGGTGCCCTTCGTTGTATAACACTAATATTCTAAGGGAATATGCAGAGATATGATATTTCAGATAGTCCAAAATTTGGGTCCCTTTTTAAATAAAGATGAATAACTCAGCAAATTAATAGAAGAAATCTCTGCCAGTATTTATGAGGAAATGAGTTTGGATTCTGCAGATGTTTAATTCAGTAATTTCTTATATAATCCTAGATGCAAGAAGAATAAGGGACTCATTCAGAATGATTGTGAGTTTACAACGTGACATATCATTACTTAAACACATAAGTCTACTATTTACAAGATCTCCATCCTATGGTTATGTTAGATACTGGATCTTAGAAGGAATTTTGACCCTACTACAAGATCCCAAATTGGTCATGCTACTCTATCAAGGACCTTTATAGGAAGAACAATAATAGCAATAACAATAATAGCAATCCACTTTTTTATAGCATTTGGTTTTCATCATCAAACTATCAACTGAATAAGAACCTCTATATACAATAAATCAGTCAAATCAATAATAGACCTACGCTAAATAAAAGAAGCTATACGAATAGAATATCTTGAATTTGACGGAAATTCCCATATACAACAAGTCATAATTTACCTAAAAATCAAGTATTATTCCCAATAATATTAAATAGTTGAATGCATCTCTCATTTTACTGATTCAATTCTATAAATTGCATATGAAAAATAAATTGGGCTATTTAGTTTGAATTACAAATTGTCTCAATCAAAGATCTTGATTGAAGATAACTGTAAGGAAGTCAATTAAATAATCGAGACTACACAATAATTAACTCTAAAAACCATTTAAAATCTAATGATAAATCTGAATGATGAAATCCAGTATTAAAGTATCTTAAATTCAATACAAACTTGGATTAACCTATCTGGTTCTTTGGGATAAAACAAGACTAGAGATGCCTTTATCAAATTCTTGAGTAGTCTTTGTGTGGCCAAACAAAATACAACTCTGACAAAGAATCAATTATAAAGTGCAAAAACCTTATTCAATATAGCATAATTAGGAAGTAATGTCATTAATTAAATTTGTAGATTTATTGGATATTAAATCCTGGTATATCATTATGAAGGCTATGTAATAATTTGAGGCACTCCTTTAGAAATCTTAAAATCAAAATACTATATAATAAGAGTCTCATCCTGAGATCTACTAATAAGAAATAATGTTATTAAACAACATTTTAGAAGGTTTGTTTTCATCAAGCAATGTATATGAAGATGCAAATTTACTACATATGATTGAAGCCATAAATTAAGTTACTTTGAGTCTGATGGAATAATTTAATAATGTTTAATCTTTAGTGGATTCTAAGTCCATCCAATTTGGATTACAAAAGATTCACTAAATAACAAAGTAAAATTGGTTTAGAATCAACAAGTTTTGGGATTTTATCACAGCTCATTTTTTATGCATTGCAAACTATAAACATAAAGCATTTAGAGAATCCGCATTGGAGATCTTTTCATGTATAGTGCAATAAGGATTTATCTATTTCTTAAAGCCAGATTAGAGTCTTTGTTGGGAAGGTGATAGTTGGTAGTCTCATTTATTAAGTCCAATTCAACAGATGATAAATATTCCATATGCTGATGTCAAAGAGACTTTGTTGAATATAATTTTTAAGTTGATTTAAAATAATGGACATGAATTGAATATTCTAGGATTTAATACAATAATTGAAATATTGTTAATCAGTTGTGATGAAACAGAACCTACTGGATATGTAAATATTGGATTTCACATTTTGGAATTGTTGATAGGGTAATTTATGCATTTATTGGATCCTAAGACAACCAGGAGACTATTACCATTAATTAAGTAATTTAGATAAAGAACAACAGAGTAAAATATTAGTTATGTTTCAGTTGGTCTAATTTGGTAATTAGCAGATAATTTAAGTAAAATCTGCACAAATCAAACATCACAAACTGAAGTAGAGGAATTATGGACAGTGGTTTTATAGAGTTTAAAGGATTTGTCATTGGACAACGCTCCTGATGTTAGATAATCAGCCTTGCATATCATAATCTAAATTATATTAATTAATTGTGGATCATTTAGAATTAATTTTTAAATTGATCTACTCAAGAACATTATATTCAAGATCTTAGATGATTTGATAGGGAGAGTTGCCTAATTACAATAATTGTAAGTGATTTTTCACATGAAAGTACCAAAATATTTAAAAGAAGAAGACTATCCAAAATTTACTAAATTTTCTGAATAAGATTTGTAAACTTCAGTTAAAACTTAAAATGAAGTAATGGTAGCATGGGAAGACACTCTTAAGATTATGATTTAAAATTTAACAAAGTTTTTGAAAAAGATTGGCCAATAAGAGGATCAAGAATTTAAATAGCATGCTTAATAATTATACAACGAAACCTTTATTAGATTAATAATATCATTCAAAATTAATAATTTAGATTTAAGATGGGAAATTATTCGTTTGATTAAAGAAAACACAGAAATTATGATTGAAAAGAATTTGGTTGAACAATTTGATTGGGCCAAAGAATTCATCTTATGTATATAAGAGTTTATTGGATAAAAGATTTAAGATAATAGAGATGTGAAAACATTAATCAACAAAATTTTACCTGAAGTATGTGAACTATATGTGTTGTTTCTCAAAGCTCACAATAAAAATCAAAATTCATTCCCAGAAGAATTAATAGAGGATTTATATGAGAGTTACTAAGCAATTGTTGATTTGCCTATAAACATTGAAAACATATCTAACATCAAGATATGGATGGATGAAAAATAATTACATGATTTTGCAGAAGACTTCTATATTCATCTTAGCAATTAAAAGGATAAATCTAAATTCTATGTATTTCTCTTATTAAATATGAAAAAGGAAGGTGGAATGACAAAGTTGTAGGATCTTGTTATCCTTAAATATACGCAACTCTTAAGTAAATATATATCAGACAAATAATTGACAGATCCTGAACTTATTAAACAATATGTTGATATTTGTCTAATTTAACTATCAATTAGATAAAATTAACAGAAAGTCAACAATGTTAAAAATTACAATAAAACCAATAAACCTTTATGGGTTCAGGTTCTGCCTTTGATTATAGAAACCATTCAAATTTGTTAAAATGAAGAATATATCTAAATGTTAGCTGAATAACTCAATTTTGCTTAGTAATGGGACAAAATAGTAAGCATTGATGGATTGAAGAGCTGTATTGATGTGGAATTATAAATTTGTGATTGGCTCCTTTCATAAGAAATTTTGGATAGAGAAATTATTAACTATTGGGAATTACTATCTAGGAACATCAATTTGTATCAATTGGAAGATTTGTTTTATGAGACAAGATAAAAGTTGATGAATATAATATTCAAGAAACCAAAAAACTTAATGACTTTAAATTAGATTTGCTAATCCTTAGTAACCTAATTTATGAAGGATGAATATATGTCAGGATCAATGCCATTAAGTAGAAAACGAGTTTAAGAAATTATTTAATTATTGTTGGAATTACAATCATTAAAAGATTTGAACTTGGAGCCACATCCTTTACTGTAGGTCTTTGAATGTTTAGTAGAATTAATAACAACAAGGGAAATTGATATTAAGTAACCTTTATAAAATTTGTTTAAATCTGTAGCATTAAAGATTAGATCGCATAAATGAGTTAATTATAATAATATACATTCATAAATACAATGATCCAATTTTCATAATGAAATAATTATTATAATGAAGTGAAATATTGTTATTATTTCATAAATTCAACTCTTTCGATTTACAGATAATTTCTTAAACCTTCGTTGGGAACTTTACCCAACTTAGTCGTGTCTAGTCTGAAATTAACGATAACAATTTTATATTTAATAAACTGAAATTTAATTTGCTTTACTAATTGAGCATTAGTTTATCTGATTTTTTAAATATTTCTAAAACTACTCTATACTAAAGTTAAATAAATCAAATCTAAAACTAAAACCTATATAAGCTAACTTCTCTCCAGAAATATTAGGTTTTAGATTTAAAAAATATACAATCTCATTTGATCCTGTTTTTAATCTATACTTTTCACATTAATTACAGTCTGGATTCAGAAACATTAATTAGAGATTTAAAACTCCATCAAGAGTTCGTTTATATCAAAATTATTTTAAACAATTAACATTTTGAAAATACATTTCTTTGCACTTTTAGCTATAATAGAAAGAAAGTAACACTGTTTTAAGATTGTTGGATTATATATTAAACTATAGAGACAATTATACAACATTGTAATTATCCAAGAATACCTATAAATTATATTTTTTATATATTATTTTTGCTGGCTAAAAAAAGAACTTTAACAATTTTGAATATTTATATAATAGATAGAGTCATTTAGGATGATAATATTGACAATTGTAAGTAGATAAACTAATCTTCTCTTTGTGGCTTCAAATTCTTGAACATAACATTTTTCGATTATACATAATGTTATTATATATAAATTTTATTAAACTATTTCTAGTTATACTATAATTTTTATAAAAGATAGAAAAATTCGAAGTTAGTTTTTCTAATCTTTTAAATTAGAGTCTATACCCTTTTAGAGATAATTTCACAAAGTTTATATATGTAAGGTTTTTTTCCCTTTTTCTATTAATAAACGATATAAAATTATATGCGTACGATTATGATAAAATGTCAAATCATAATAATTAATTATAAAAATCATATCAATTTAAATAGTATATTGTGCAAGAGAGTTTAAAATAATTTCCAAAAGCAGAGTTATTATTTAATCATCTCAAATTCTGTCTATAGATGTGGGTATCTGAATTGATTTGAAAATTAGAAATTATGTAATTATGACTGACTGATTTTTCTCCTATTAAAAAGGCAAATAAATTCTGTCTTATGGCATTTAGAATTTTAGTTTCTTAGGATTGCTTTTTAAAGTTCTATTAACTAATAAGGCTAAGAATTAAAATTGTAACGATATTAAGAGTATTATTTTAATTATTCTAGAGTCAGAGCTAAGTAAATAGTTATGTAGTATTGGACATGAAAATTATGAATAGAAAACGTGCTTCAGATAAGAATAATCTAAGAATCAGAATAAAGCTATATTAATCTTTGAAAAGTTTATGAGATAATAAATAACAGTTTAAAATAGCATTTTTAAGGCTAGTCAGTTGATAATGTTTTTATCAAATAAATTATACTATATATCAGTTTTTACATTCAGGACAGACATATTTATTAAGTTTGTCAGCCTAGTCTTGTGTGAGTCCCACACATTTTAAATGACACCATTTTTAACAAACATCACAAAATACATACCTAAATTAGTTTATATTGATACTTTAAATCTGGATTGGCGGGCTTATGACATATACAAACTTATTTCCATTATTCAATGGATGGATGTAATTTTCTGTCAATAAATGATGCTCTAGTGAAGTATATGTTATCATTCAACTCTTCAATTTAATCGTACTCTTCGTAACTGAGAATAATGGCTAATCCCACTATGCTCTCTATTTCAATGTAGTCAAATTCATTAGTTTTGAATACTTCATTTTCTGAAATACAATCCATTTAATCTTTGGGTAAACCATAAAGTTCATTTTTCCTGTAAAACCATTATACTTTGATTAAAGGTATGCAATTATCCTCATCGTCATAGAGTTTAACTATTTTAATAAGTTTAGCCACATATTCTGATCGGTTGTCACCTTTGATGCATAAGTTTTATCCGACATGATAGATCTAATCCTCATACTTGAGCTTTTTATAATTCGTTCTAGAATAGTATTATAACCTAACCTTGACTTATTCTAATTTTATAAAATCCTCACCACTTATTTAAAATCTTTTCTTCTTAGTAAATTTTGGATGTTGCATTATCTCTTTAGAGGAATAATATCTTCTTTAAGGGAGGAGGTAGAAGAAATTCTTTGTTCTTATGATACTGACATATTATATCAATTTGATATTTAAAATAAAATTAATTAAATTTTTAGTTGCTACTAAATCTTTATATACCAGGGTTATTATCGTAATATGACGGATGATTTTAGAATTTTTTCTATATTCTTGTGATTTTCAGAAAAGGAATGTGTAAATACAAAAATATTTTTAATAAAATGATTTTTATTTTTTAAATTATTCGTTTTCAATAAATGACAATTGAGAACAAAAAAAATTATACAATCCTTATTGCTATGCATTAGCCATTAAGATCAGATATACAATAGGATATTCAAGTTTCATAGCAAGAAGTAAGATTATATCATCTAACTTAGCATTATGAATTCTATTTTGAATATTGCATATTAAACTAATAAATAAGTAATATTTAATATTTATTATAATTAATATTATTAATGAAATTATGTTAGTAAATTTATAATGCAATTAAATTTTATTTGTAAATAGTTTTACCCAATTCAAAGGAAAATCATAAGGAATATTACTTAACAAATAAATGAATGAATATTTTCAAATTTTTTTTTCTATCTTGAACTTAAATACTGCATCGATTATGCGATGATTTCTACTAATACCATATTTTATTAAGTTATGTATTACATCAACAATTTTAAAGAAATGTAAAATTAGAATGATTATAATATACATAATTATATATAATTAATAATAAATTTACAAATAGTCGAAAAATATATCAAGCCTAAAAATTCTCGTTTTTGGGTATATTTTGAAGAATTAAGTGAAATGGAAGTTCTAAATCTGTTGATCTGAATAGACCTACCTCTTCTCATTATAATACTAGAATTCGATTATTTAAAATAAAAATTTATTAAAATAAAATATTTAACAGAATGGGTTAAGCAAATTCATAAAATTTACAACAATCGAAAATGAATGTTCCTAAGATCAGTCAGCTGTAATTTTGGAAGCAATCTACAGATATCCGATATGGAGAAATTAGAATATTCAAGACTTAAGATCAACATGCTGTAGCTGTTAAAGATCATATTTTTTAAGATGAAGAATAATGGAATTAATTCAAATTAATCTAAGAGAAACAAATGGGGAACGTAATTTATTATAATACATTAATTATAGAAGTAAAGTACACCTTTCTTAATTTAAATGATTGATTTATAACATGTTACAGAAAAAGAACTCTGCACTCAATTAACTTAGGCTCACAGTGTCTATGAATATTTTGATGAATATTTGGAACGAGTCATAAATGAATTAAGTGAAACTAAATAATATTTTGAAGAAATTGAAATAGTTGCGATGTTACATTGTACAGTAATAAACTGAATTCTAAAATTAGTTAATGGCACTATAAAGATTAAATGATCAGTAGAAACAACATGGGGACATAAGACCCTTGACAGTAAGCGTGACATCATTCGCAAAAAGAAGTTAGTTTCGTTAGAATCATCCATTTCCAGTTTTTAAACTAACTGACATCCAAGAAATGACAGACATGAACTCATATAGAAGATGCATTGCCAAATAACAGGGGTAGTATAACTTAAGTCCTGAATAATTATCATCACTTAAACAAAAAGTCTTGAGACCAAATGTTGACTAAAACAAATCAGATGTATTTTGCATTGGATTAACAGCGTTATAAATGGCAACTTTGAGTTTCGTTTAGGACATCTATGATATCCCAAGCTATACTTTCAATATAGAAAAATTAGATGATCATTTATATTTTCTCAAATCTTAATACAGCTCTGATTTATATGAAATTGTTGAATCCTTACTTGTTATGGCACCTGATAATAGACCAAATCCGAAATAAGCTCATGAATTATTGCATAGATACAGATTTCAGCTGGAAGATTATTTTAGAGTAACATTATAAAATATATGTATATTAGTTTTCTACTATTGCTGAATTCATACCCAACTATTCAATTGATTTCAAAGAACAGAGTGGTGGATATGGGATTCAAAAGTAAAGGGTTGTTGAATAACAATAATATGCATTGTAAAATTAAGACCCGAATAATTTGTACCATTAAGTTGAGGATCTAGATTAAAGAGCTAAAGTAGCTTTAAAAAGAAGTTAGGATGCTTAAATCAGATTCTAAAAGTCCCCCACAAAAAAATTGAAAGTTCCTCTTCCTAATTGGGATCCAACCAAAAGCTTACAATAATACTAGAATTTATAACCAATTACATTATAGGAAATTCTTCCTTTGCAAAACAAATAAATGAATATTTAGAGTGATTAAATTATAATTTAGGATCCTCCTTCCAATAGACAATCTTTCTTTAAAAAATTAACAAACCCCTAATAATATTAATAGCATAATTTTAATGAACATGAATAACTCATACATAATGATGATGAATATGCTTATAATCATTAAGAAATTGATGAATAACCAAAACAAAGTTTAGTTGAGTAAGTCGAATTAACAAATTCCAATTTAAAAAATCTATAATAAAAGCCTATAACGAATTAGTTTGATAATAACTAATTTTAACAATAGTCATTATTTCAATCAATTAACACGGATTAAAAGAAGTTTCCTTAACAATAATAGTAAATACAATAGCAAACCTATTCTTAATTTTAATAGTAATCCTACTAGTATTCAAATCAAGTTTAATCAAAGCAATTATAAAATATCGAATAGTAATCCTAAGCAAGATCATCCACTTACAACTACCCATCGAATTAAATAAATGAGAGCATACATGATCACCAAAGGTCTCCTTATGCCTTGTAATAAAGACAGTCTTTGGCATTATCTCAAGACAAAGTGATTACTTAATAATTAACTGGACAATAAGTCGAGCAAACTCTACAGAATCTATAAAATAGATAATCCATTCGACAAGATTCATTTGGAGTAGGATCTTAAAGACCACAACAACCTTTGGTAGTTCCGAAGTCTCCAGAGATAGAGCCTAAGAATATTTTCCCCTAATTTGAACAAGAAAGATAGCCTTAATATAATTAGAGATCTCCAATTCAGCCTCTTGAGAGGATTGATGATGATGAATAGGAGCCAAATTACAACCCACATTTAACAGAATCTAATGACTCTTAACAGGCAATATCGGTGCAGAGCAAACCGTAAAGCATGAGAGGCACAATGGTCGGTAGTTAAACACAGCTAAAGGTCCCTCCATCTGCTGCCTCAAGACAGCAACGTCCAACTGTATAAGCATAGTAGACGACTTCATAGAAGAATATTTACAATCTTTCATAAAAGAAGAGCAGTAAAATAATAAAAAAATGAACTTTATTATATATTATATTAATTTATATTCATCAACTATTTTCGAATAATTAATTTGTTACTGTTATTTTTAAATTATTAGGTATATTTAACCATACTCAGAATAAAAATTAATTAGTAATAATATAATCGATGTTCTAAATTAAAACTTAAGTTTGATTTATTTTATTTCTTTCCTTCTAAAATAAATATAAAATTATAAAATGGATAAATTGTATAGTTTTAAAGCTAAGTCTTAAGTTGGCCATATTAAATAAGTGATTAATTAGGACTAGAAACTATAATTTTACAGCGAAGAGGAAGGGGAAAGTACAAACTCCTAAGATAATACGCCTAAAACAAATGTAAAAACAAAAGTGAAATCACCAATTTAACAAACTGGGTATTAAACAGATGATTCAGACTCTGGAACACCCAAAAACCAAAAACAAAGAAGTAAGCAACCACAAGGTAGCTTTATTGTATTTATACTAGCTGCTAAGATGTCGAGGTTCAGCAATTTAGTAAATACCAAGAAAATTGATGGGGATGTTGAGATCGAACCGGAGTTTAGTGATAACGAAAAAAAGCAATAGCCTGTTTAAGTGCAATAGCAAGAGGGGAATTATAACATCGAGGAATAAGCTTAAAGAATCCAATAAAAACTAACTCAACAACCATAAAACCCAAAGCTAAATAAAACGAAGTATTTAGATTAGCTATGATTTAGACAAGCTGTCTCGATGCAGAATTTAAATGCTAATTCTGATAATGAGTAAAGTAAGAAGAATTCACAAAACAATGGAAAAGATAAATTGAGCAACCATCCCTTCAGACACCTCATCTTTGGTCCAAATATCAACGAATAAGCATTCAAAAAACATCTGATTCTAACCCAACGAGGTTTAATTTATGCAAGAAAGTGTTTGAAAGGCCCCTCCGATAAATTTATACAATCAAAGAAGGTGTAACTTTCAGAGGCTTATCCTAAGAAGGATCGGGCTCTGATTCTAGATTTAGATGAAACCTTGATTCATTCATGCGCGCAAAGAGAAAATCCATAAGTCTACGTGACTGCTGTTGGAGATTTCGGAGAAGAAGCCAAAGTAACTTAATTGAATAATTTAGATTGGGATCAATATTCGGCCATATACTTCGCTGTTTCTTTAATAACTGTCTCAATATTATACAATTTATATTTACACTGCTTCATCTCAAGCATATGCTCAAGCCATTATTAATTATTTGGATCCAACCAAACAATACATATCGGGAATTATGACACGAAACAATTGTATGGAAACCAAAAATGGCTTCTTTATTAAGGATCTTAGACTAATAAGCAACAAAGAACTTAAAGACATGCTCATTGTAGACAACTTGGCTCACTCTTTTGGGTTTCAGATTGAAAACGGAATCCCTATTCTGGAATGGCATAATGATTAAAATGATCAAGAATTAAAATATCTAATAGAATACTTGGTGTAAGCCTCTAATTTTCCAGATCTTAGAGAATATAACATAAAAAAGTTAAGACTAGATGATTTAATGGAATTTCATATTGAAGAATGAGGTATTTTACATTGAACCATTTAATTTTATTTAGTGTTTTCCAAAAGCTTCCCTCTATTAAATAAATAAAGTATATTTCACTATAGAATAAATAAATTTATAATTAAATAAAAATGTTATTTTTATTACTCATTTTGTAAATCAATGCAATTGAATTCAATTAATCATTAGGGAAAAGGGAGATTACTTGTTTTGGTGATAGTCTTACTGAAGGCCTTACAGTTATAGGGGAAATTAGTAGCACAATAAAAGACTTTAGTATTAAGATTTATGTATAATTTTGACTCTATTCAAAGAATCCGATGAGATTCAAAAAAGAAGGCTATTTACATTAGAGTCAAAATGAATTGATACAACAATTTAAATTTAAAGTGAAATATAACCACAATATTCAAATATGCATATAAAATTTAAGCACGTCAACTATTTTATATTCATTAAAATACTCTTAAGATAATGAAGAATAATCTTAAAAAATAGATACCTAATTACCAATGACGCAATTACAACCTGTTGAAAATCTTATGGCTCAGATGAAAATCTCTTATGATATCATAAAGGTAGTTCATTTTTTATATGATAATAGGGGATGTTCTCAAGTTTATCAGAAAGGTAAGATTAAAGACTCCAACAATTACAGTAATTGGGATACAGAATCGTAATCTCATCAATTGTTCTGCTCTTAGTAACAGTCTTAATAACCGTATTTGGAACTTACAGATATAAGAAAGTTATGAAAAGCAAAAAAATGATTTGAATGTCTTCTTAATTAATTTCTAAATTATTTGATTATGTAGATAATAATAATAAAGTATGATTGAAAAAGAATTTAACAAATATTTATATTAAATTTATAATTATGGAAATCATAGAGGAGGATACTTGGGTCTGCTTAGAAGATAACAGAAATGAATCCAAAATTGTTAAAGTCAATGAGAAAAAGTAATTAGTTGATTTAAAATATTAGAATGGTAGGTTGGAGAAAACATAAATTTGATATTGGTGTACTTCTTCATAAATAATATAATACCTTTTGGAAAGTAGATAAGACTAACGCAGTCGTAGAAATATCTTCAGATTAATTTTATGATAACACTGATTTAGACAATTAAATTGATGATGCAAATATTGAAATCACAAAAACAAATAAAGATCTTTTTGATTTTAATGATTCATAAAAGTTAACTTAAGAAGAGATACTTTCATTAAAAAAATAGAAAGAAGGCGAAGAGATCGTCGATGAAGTCATTCAAAATAGTAAGACTTTCGAATAAAAAACTGAATTTTCTAAAGCCAAATATTTAAAGAGAAAGAAGGAAAAGTACATTTGCTGTTTTATGGTTTTAAAAACTACAATTGAGAATGTTCATAAGACTCAATTCTTAGAAACTCCTCAAAAACTTAAGTAAAAACTTAAATTAAATAAAATAGTTTTATGAGAGTGGACAGTTTGGCATTCTTTATGTAATTATCAAGTATTACTTAGAATTCAAATATCCTTATGTTCGATAATGCTAATGTATTTTAATTTCATGTTATTTAGGGTATTGCAGTTTCAGCTGTTGCAGAGAGATTAGATGGTGAAGGATCGATTTCAACTGTTTTTTGGAATCACACAAAATCAAACCTTAGGGATTATTGGCCAATTTAATAGATGAATTTCAGTGAAGAAATTCTTAAGAGTATAAAACTAATTAAAAATCTGGAGGATATTGAGAAAAACGAAAACAAATATACTCAGTATGATTCATAAATAGAATAGTCTTTTGATAGCTGGAGAGTTCAAATTCACAGAGATTTTTGAAAAATACCTGAAATTAGTAGCAGTGGGAGGAATAATTGTTGTATTCAGTACATATTTGGAGAAATTGCATGAGGTAGCTGAATAACTGCTATCTTCGGGTCTCTGCGGCAAAATCGATGTTTTGGATAGTTTCATGAGATACCATTAAGTTTTGGAAAATCGAACTCATCCAAAAGTTGAAATGAATGCATTTGGAGGCTATTTATTACAGACATACAAATTAAAATGAGTACAAATATTACATATTATTAAATCATCATTTTTATTTATGGTGGGTCCAGAGGAAGCCTTGAAAACATAAGAGTATAAAGCTTATCGTTGGCGTTGGTTAGTCTTATTCGCATTTTGCACATTTACGTACATTTTCCATGTGAAATAGCTTCTCAAATGCACTCGGATTTGTCTAATATTCCCCTATTCTTTCTCTTGCAGCTGAATATTATGGTGTAACTGACTAGGACATCGTGTGGTTTAGCAATTGCTACTACATTACATATGTAGTATTTTGTCCGTTTACAATACGTCCATTGGAAAAGAGACTAGACTTGTCCTTATTTCTTGCTGCCTTAGTGACAACCTTAGGTATTAACTACTGAAAACTCATTTAGGCTAATGGTTTATCTACATAGCTCAATAGACCTATTCTTTTGCTTTAGTAGGGTTTATTTTAATCGGGATGGGTTAGATTTTTATTTTAGCAGCACCAGCATGTATATTTATTTGATAAGTCCAATAGATATCTCCGACAGATGGTTCCCCATGCATGAAAGAACTGTATCTACAAGTTTAGGTAGTTTTTTCAATTTGGTTGGATTAAATTTTTCGATTGTCTATGCATCTATCACATTCTAAAATGTGACTGATCATGAGGAGATAGTCGACCAAATAGATTTCATGAATTTATTATTTGCCATATTTACTTCCTTAGCCTTTATATTTTGTATAACTATGATCAGAAACAAGCCAGCCACTCCTCCGTCAATATCAGCCGTAATAATATTAAATTATGATAGGCATCTGAAAAAATGCTGATTCTGCCATCTTTTAAAAGAGCATTCAGAAGTATTGAATCAATAATGGATTTGCTAACATTTTCCATGTTCATAGGTGTATCTTGGGCCTATATGGTTGTGATTGCAATTCTTTTGGCTCCCTTCAATTATACCACAGAACAAATAGGTTATGTGAGTATTGTTTACGCAGCCACTGGAGCAGTGGGTGGAACTCTGGCTAGTATATATGTAGACTATCAAATAAAAAATAACTCAAAGCCTCATTATGATTATTTAATAAAAGGGTTTTTGACGATAGGAGTGGCTGGGATCTTAATAAAAGCTTTAGTCATCAATTATGTTAACGACACTGTGATTGTTGTGCTATCTGGGATCATTGGATTTGGGTTAAATTCCTTCCTTCCCTTGGCTTTGCAATGCTACATAGAGAAGTTATTCCCTTCCTTTGAGTTAGTGTTAACCACAGCGATAATGCAAATGTCAAATGTATAATGTTCATCAATAATTCAAAGTTATTTGGTTTTATTCTGAATTACATTTTGATTCTGGAGGTGTTCCTGGATGTCGGATTGTGGGTCATTTTAGTGGCAATGGGACCATTTTACCTGTACTTGATGTTTGGATATAAGACAAAGTTCCTCCGTTTGGAAATGGAATAATAAGCAGCTGCTGCTTGATTTCGATGTTTGTTTTTCTTAACAATTGTTATCTAATTTATATACATTTTATCTCGCAATATTCATATAATTAATGTAAGTTTATAATTCAAGTTTCGATGAGTTAATGCTAAAAGCAAAAGATAATTCGTCTGAGGTTCATTTTCATCTATTATTCAAAGAAACAAGAATATAAAGTATATAAATAAAGGTGGCTCGTATTATTGGCATTTTGTGCATTTACGTATTCAATCAAATTTTAAGTTCAGATTTTGCAATGCCTTAGGGTTTGTGCAATACACTCCTATTTTAAAAATGGCAGCCTCCTATTATGATGTAGATGAGGATGGCGTGGCTTGGTTTAGCATTTGTTATTACATTACCTATTTTCTACTTGCGCCATTTAGTATTAAACCAATGGATATTAGACTCGATTACTCTTTGTTTTTGGCTGCATTTTTAACATCATCGGGTAGTCAAATAATACTTATATATAAGGACAATGGACTATATATCTGGCTCATTAAAACTACATAATAGCGATGATAGGATTCGTTTTGATAGGAATAGGTTAAATATTCATTTTGGCAGCTCCGGCATGTAATTGATCCTCTTTATTAAATGAAATAGATATTTCAGACAGATGGTTTCCGGTTCATGAGAGAACTGTATCAACTTGTTTGGGAAGTTTCCTGAATTTGTTAGGATTAAACTTTTCAATTTTCTATTCTTCCATCACTTTCGAAAAACTTTTGAATTAGCAAGATGAAATCATAAAGGAAGTAGATTTTATGAATCTGCTCTACTCTATAATGAACACTGTTGCATTTGTCATGTGTTTATTAATGATCAAAAATAAGCCACCTTCTCCTCCTTCTTTTTCAGCTGTAAATATTTATGTAAATTATTTTGGCCTCAGAAAAAATGCTTATAATGAAATCATTCAGAAGGGCTTTTAGGAATCTTGAATCTATTTTGGATTTATTTTCAATGTCCATGTTTATCGGGGCTGCTTGGGCCTACATGGTCGTTGTTGCTATTCTATTAGAACCATTTGGCTATTCTCAGAAGGAAATTGGATATGTGAGTATCGTCTATTGTGCTACAGGTACCATCGGGGGAACTATTGCAAGTTTATATATTGATTATCAATTAAAATTGAACGTCAAGCCTCATTATGATATCCTCAACAAGGCTTTCATGACCATTGGAATGCTTGGAATCCTGGTCAAAGTCCTGCTGATAGATGTAGTCAATGATACTTGGATAATCATATTTTCAGGAGCCATTGGTTTTGGTTTGAATTCATTTCTGCCATTAGCTATCCAATGCTACGTTGAGAAAATGTTCCCTTGTTTTGAATTGGTCTTAACTACAGTAATGATGTAAGTTTCAAATGTACTATTTATTTTGATTACTAGCTTCTCGGCTTCATTTTGAATTACATTCTTTTTCTAGAGGTATTTCATGATTGCGGGCTTTGGGTAATTCTAATTATACTGGGTCCATTTTATTTATACATCATTTTCTTTTTCAAGACCAAATTCAGAAGATTTGAATCTGAACAAGTTAAACAATCTTGAAACATTATCAAAAAACAAATTAAATATGTATATTCTTATAATTTATAAATATTAAATACACTCATATCAATCTTAAAATCAACAAAAATAACATTATTTATATAAATCTGATTATTGATGAAAAATAATCTCAGATTTTATTAGTAATCTATTTTGAATCAGTTAATTTAAACGAACATTTGGTTGAAAGTATATATTTGTTAAGTATAAAGAAGTCAAATTTAAAAATTAAACGTTAAAAACACAAGCGATTAAAACAATATTGAAAAAAAACTCAGAGCCTTTGCAATTGTTGGATGATATTGACTAAATCCTCCTTTTCTTTGATATGTCTACAAATTTCATTCTGATATTGCTACAACAATGAATTCGTCCTTTGCACTATCTCCTATAACTAAACAATAGTTTATCTATCCCTCTCTCTAGTTGATAACAACTACGTAGTTTCATTTTGCGATTTCCTCTTGATGGTTTCCTTGTTAGCACTCTTCATTCTCGGTTTTATGCTGCTCGTCATTGTTGAATTTTATGACAATGATGCTTTCTTAAAGAAGTTGTTCTGAAGGGTTGCTTATTGGTTGGGAGTGTAGGCTGCACTCAAGTCTTTTAAGTATTATTAAGAAAAGCTCTCGTGAATAAGCATCTATGAGTAAACTTTAGGTTGAAGCACTTTGTTCTGTGGAGCCACCTTAAGCAATTGCTATAAACCTTGCACTACTATTGATTCAAAGTGTCATACTTGAAATTTTATTAGTCAAATGCTTAGAGGATATTTGATTTTTTCCAGCACTTTCAATCTGTGAACTTGTAAATCTTCTATGAAAATTTAATGATTTTTATTTTTCTGGTTCAGGACTAATTGTTTCCTTGCGTAACTAATCTTTCATAAATTAAGGGATATCTATTTTAGTATTCATAAAAATAAACAATTTAATTAATGAAAAAGGGAGCACCAAAATATTAAAACAAGGTTGCATTCAAAATGAGATTTCATGACCACTACACAGAGAAGATCTAGAATGCCTCTCTAGATAGGTACACTTATAACATTAAATTAGATTGTGTGAATTGTGTTAGGCTTAGATTGAATGGAAAATTAAATATGGCAAATACAAGACTCCCCATGATCTATCAAGATGCTATAAATGCGAGAAGAAAAACATCTTTAAGGCATACAGAAGATTATGTGATGCATGTTCTGATGAATTGAAACAATGCTCTAAATGCACAGAACCTATTGAAATAAATGATGACAGTTCAAGTGGCGAAGAAATGGATGAAACACTAAAATGCTTAAGAGAGAGATCAAAAAGAACTGTCCTTAGAAAAATTGAAAAAGGTAAAATTCTTTAAATATTAATAGGTGAAATAACATGGGATAGACATAATAAAAAGTTTATTGATTCAGAATCTGGAGAATAAGTCATAGTTCAATACAAAAAAGATTATATTGATGAAGAAGATGAATAATTATGGGAGGATAATGATAATGATGATAATGAGGATGATGAGGATGATAATAGTGATGAAAGTGAAGAAGAAGATAATACTAAAAAGAACAAAAAAAAGGTTTAAATACAACAGCAATAGAAAGTTTAATAGAAAAAAATAGAATAATCAAAAAAACAAAAGGCTAAAAAAGTTGAATCTAGTGATGATGATGGTTCTAATAGTGATGAGTCAGATGAGGAGAATTAATTCAATTAAATTTAACAAATAAATCAAAAAGATCCTTCTGTTTATTCTGACGGATCAAATGAATAAGAAAAAATCATCAGAAGAGAGAAAAACTTTAGGTTTTATTTTGATGAATAATATCAGCTAATTTAGGACGAATGAATTAACAAACTTAATATTTTTGTGCTCTATTCATTTAATTTCAATATTCTTACTCATTATGTCCCTTGGTTCTCATGGTTATTTCATTATCTATTTGAATGACAATGAAAATTAGAGGATATAAATTAATTTAAATGAAAAAGTATTATTTTTCAAAATTCTTTATAGATTGAAACAAAAATTATACAAGACACTCTACAAGATCTAACTTTTCATCAGACATTTGATTTCTGTTGTTTTACAAAATCCTGCCTCCTAAACTAATTTTTAGATTAAACAATACTTTATCAACTTTTATATATTTACTTCTCTTCTTCTCTACTCTATTTAAGTTAAATATTCTCCCATTCTCAAATCCATAATAGACATCCCCTTAATTCTTATGACATTTTGTGTAATATCTGTATATATCACTTTTCTTTAGATAAAAACAATAATATTATTGATAAGATATAAACTCCTCTAATCCAAATCGAGTGTATTTATGAGGTATTTAAGACATTAGACCTTTTTGTTAAACTATCTTGTACCTTTCCAATACATTTTCAATGTTGTACCATTAACTAAAGTTGTTGTAAATTTATATTTTCTCAAAATCAGGTAATAATGTAAAATGAATATGTGTAAATGATCTTTTTTTCTATTTAATTGTATTTAATTAATCTAAAAGGTCATTAAATCTATCAGATGCTATTTGATCTATTTGTTGCTCTTCAATCATAATTCTTTATGTGATTGCTCCTATTGATCTTTTGGAACTCAAGGGAGAATCAATATTCATATTTAACAAATCAAATTTTTTTTTGTTTTTATTATTAAAATAAGTGTTTTTGAGAGTTGCCATCAGTCTTGATGGTTGTTTGTCATTTTTATATAAATCTTCAAAATCAACGTCGTAGTAATCCACAAAAAATGAATTTCTGGGTCCTTTAGAATTAACTTAAGTTTGTCTTCTGGAATTTATTTATAAGAATCTTCTTTAGGATTATTGGATTTAGTATGAAGAGGATCTTGCATTAAAGTCGATTCTATCTTTCCTGATATAGGAAGCCTAATATACTCTATAATATTGATGTAAAAATGATAAAAAATGAGGAGCATTACTATTATAGTTAGAATAATTACACTTAAAAATGTAATACTGGGCATTCCTTAGCAATATGATCATCCATTTAGCAAACATAACACCTTACTTATAAAAAACTATAATCCTTTTCAAATAAAATAGAATTTCGAATATTAAAATATTGTTATAAATCTCTTGGATAAATTTTTGCAATCTCTAAGTATTTACTTTGATTTAAGATAAAAATGTGAGAAAATTATTTACTTTGAGCACTAGCTGATCTTACTTAATTTGTAAAGAAACTAATTTCCCCAAAGTAATCATATTTAGTTTTATTATCAATTACAATATTTGTTTTCATAAAATAAATGCTGGCTTCTCCTTTTTGAATTAAGTATAAATCATAATTTGTAGAAGGAATTTCATTAAAAATGACTTCCTCTGGTAAATATAATTTATCCTCTAAAATTGGTATGATTCCTTCAACCAAAAATTTTTATGAATGAAACTACCAGAATATATCGATATGTCCAAATAATTTGCCATTCACCTACTCCAAAATATCCTTACATAATTCCAATGAAAGTAAACTAGTAATATCATTTAATAAAATTTAATGACTATCCCACACATATTCTAAGTATTTTCTAACCTTGTTTTATAAACCATCAGGTATATTTGCTTATTTCATATATTTATTCAGAACATTAACCTTTGATTTTCTAACATTTGTCCTCTCTTCCAAAGAGGATAATGCGAAACCAATTGAATTCATAGTAAATGCAAATCCTCCACAAGCGACTAGCAATAAAATAATTCCTAATCCTCTCTCTGTTGTAGTCGTCGGACTGATATCTCCATAACCGACGGTAGTCATAGTGGCGATACCCCAATATAAGGAATATATATATCTTATTTACCAATCAGCATTTTCATTATCTCCTAGCCATGAATTTGATTCCTCTCTTGAGGCATAATGAAATATGCATCCAAGTACATGTGCTAAGAACAAGACAAAGACAAATAGTTTACAAAAGGTTATTACTATACCAAGTATCCTTATATTTTAAATAACCTCATCTAATAAGTCAATAATCTTTTTTAATTTAGCCAATCTTAGAAGTTTTAATATATGGATAAATTTCAAAAATTTAAATAACCTTAGTAATTTAGCACTTTGTATCAATGATTCTGATTCATCTATAATTATGTCATATGGAAAGGTTGAAATTAAATCAATCCAAAACCAAAATGATAGGTAATTCCTTATTATTTTCTCTCTTTTCATCGATAATATACCATCCAAATAAACTCCAGTGTTAAAATTCAAGAGAATATCCAAAGCAAAAACTACTAAAGAGGTCATCGAGATTTCCTTACTAATTTCAATTTCAAAACTTATTTAAAATGGAATACTAATCATTTCATAAATCACGAATGATAAACACAATAAATCCCAAATCATTTTAATTGATCCGTCAGGCGTAATAATATAAGGTGGTAAAGGAGTTAAGTTTTTTTTTATTTTTTTGAATAAATTGCCTAGCTACATCAAGTAATGATTAATTTTGAGACATATGACTTCGGAGTAGACTTTACCAAATTTTAGACTGAAAATTGTAATGCTTCTTTCTTCCCATTGAAATTATTTCTTTTATTTTATAAAAATTTCGAATTATTTTTATTTTTCAAATTCATCTCCTGAGTCATCACTCGTAACAGCTGTGTCTCTTAAAAATTTTAATTATTTTCTATTCAACCATTCTTTTTCTTTTCTATTTTTTAATAAATATTCATTTTATTTTATTTCATTCATTAATTAATTTTTGTAAAATAAATATAATAATTTAGGTCAACTTTATAAAGTAAAACTAGACTATATAAAATCTTAAAACCGTGAATTTTAATAGCATCTCATGGAAATTAGCTTTTGATATCTTTTATAATCTTTCGGCTAATAACGATATTTTAATAGAACCTTAAATACATTTAGTAGGAATTGAAAGCTTAAAATAATGTAGGTTTATTAAATTTAATCAAAAGATTTTTGAGAATTAAAGAAGATCAAAATTCAAATATAAATATTTTAATATCTAAACAATTTAATTTAATTAGTCTTAACCTATATGAGTATGAATATAGGAATAAAGAGTAATTATTTATTAAAGAATAACTTCTATTGATATAATGAAATAATCAAATAAATATATTGCTTAAAATAAATGCTCAAAAATAAGGATTTCCTTTGAGATAATCATCTATATCAGTGATTACCCAATTAAAATTTGGTACATAAGATTCTAATCTTAATTTATGATATTAAAATTAATTGTTATCAGAATTGCCATGAACTACTTTTCCTTACTCATCAACTGCAATTAATTTCTTACTTGTGTGGATTAATATATTAGCAACTATAATTTAGTTTTCATAAAGACCGAATGGATTTTTAATATTAACAAAATAATTCCTATTTAAAATAAATATAAATACCTTGGAGTGACAGGAAAAGCAGGAATCTAAAAAAATCGAGTATTCTAGTTTTCAATTCTATTAATTTTCACTCCAAAGACCCCTCTAACATCGATATTGCATTTATAATCTTTTTCTTAATAAATGTGATAAGGTGAACTATTGCTTCTAATTAATATGAGAAAATCATTACTAATTCTTTTAAATCTTTTTTGAAAAGAAACTAAACTACTATTAAGGCTATTAAGTTTCTTCCTCTTCTTCTTGATCTTACTTATCTTCATTTTCTAATTGATCCTATTCGACATATTATAGCTTTAGCTGTTTTTGCTCTAACAAATCCATACAATGGGATGTGGCATGGTATAACTTTGGCTCTAGAATTTATTTTAAAAACTCTTTGTCTTATTCTGCAATAGATTGTAATAATGATGAATAGACTTAAGTTGTTTGATTCAAAAATCCTTCTCCGAGTTTTTAAGTATAAAATGCAGGGATTAGATTATAGAATCTTGCCAGTTGTGGCTCATATAAATAATCTAATCCATGAAATGCATAGGGTAATATTCTCTACATTAATTTAATAAATAATCATCATTATAAATATGTTTTGATAATTTTATTCAAGGTTCTTATTATTTGATTTTTATAAGACTCAAAGGAAAGTCAACATAGATTATTATGGCATTCTGAATTGGAAAAAAATAATAATTGAATGAGTATGAAAAAAGGAGGAAGATTTGTTGATAACAAGAATCTCATTTATTGTATTTATGTCAGAATTGTGGATTTAATTTTTTACATAAAATTTGATTTATAAAAGATAATAAGATATTAAATTCATTACAAAAAATGAGTATTCTTAGGTCTGAAAATTTTTGGATCGAATTTTACTCTTTTTTAACTTTTGGATGTTTTTTATGATTATGTGTCATCGAAATTTAATGGCGGTTATTACTATTTAAGACTTATACCTCTTTTTAATTAATTTGCTTGGATTGGTGATTTATTTTTCAATATACTTTTTTTAGTATTGGTCTCTGAATCTTTTCTTTATGAAATGGAAGATTCATCATTGTCTTTCTAAGCTCGTTGGGCTCTCGAATTGTTACTCAAACTTCTAGCAAAATTGTCTCGTCTATCATTCCTTGCCTCTGATCTCATCTTAAATAGAGATTCCTTGTGCTATTGTTACTTCTATTAGATAGGTTCTTGATTGTTTTAATTGGTCTCTTAAAAAGATGAATTAGGAAGCATCGATTACATTACGGAATTTGGGGTTGTTGTATTAAGAGAGAAATTCAGGCTTGGATTTATCTTTATGGATTAACGATTAGCACTACTACTATTAAAAGTTGCAGTTTTATGAATGCTAAAATTGATGTTTGTTTCTTATAACGTCAGCTCGAGTTATTCTAATGATTCTTCATTTTCTCCCAACTATGATAAAGGAGGGATTAATATATTCTATTTACGAGGCTTTTTGCCTTATGGCTTTCTTTTAAATATCATAGGAACACTATATTCAATTTGGGGAGTAGAGTTCTTTTCTTTCATACATGTTTATGCCACTCCCATTATTTTTATATATTTATAATATTTAAATCAATAGAATTTAGCTGAAGACTGAATTTCAGAGCAACAGTTTAAGAGTTATCTGATTGTATATATATGATAGTTATTCCAATTCTTTATATAAACTTAATATATAGCATAATTGTATTATTCAAAAATTTTGAATCATTAAATTAATCAATAATTCCTTGCCTTTTAGTAGAATGATCTAATTGATTATACTAAGGTATTCTTACTATATTTTGATTTTAATTCCTAATACTTAACTTTATATTTTTATTGTTTGATGCCAAACATAATGTAAAGTTTCATAGTTATAATTACTTTGATAACTATCAATGGTTCATTTCATAATATTTTCCTATATTTTCACATCTCCAGTTTTTTGAGATATTACCATATTTGGCTTCTACATTGTATCATAGCTTCTGATTGACTAATTCCTGTAGTGATATTATTTCTTACATTTACATTTTGTTTTGAATCTATCTAGAAATTAGATATTAATTAAATCATGATTCGTTTTGAATCTTCTTTTTTATTAAATTGATTTTGCTGATGTCTCTAGTTTTATCGAAGAAAATCAAGGCTAAATTCTTATAAATGAATTATACAAAAATTTAGATATTATATGAAAAGTAGTGGAAGATTCACTCAAGCATTTGATAATTTCAAAGTTTATTATTGCATTTAATTCTATTTAAATTATATTAATTAATATTATTTTTTCTTTATCAATTTATATACAATGTCCTAACTATCATAATATTAATATATTTAATGATTCAGAGATTTCAAACTCAGTGTCTCTGCAAATAAAACGTAAAAAAGTGGGCTCTCTCGGGAGTTGAACCCGACCTACTTGCACCCAAAGCAAGCGTACTACCGATATACTAGAAAGCCTCTTTATGATCATTAGTTGGAGCAAACTATTTCTATAGATAAGTTTTAATGAATATAAGTAATTAATTCAAAAGGTACTGAAATGCCCATTATATTAAATTAATATTAATATTATTAAGAATCAAGAATTATACTTATGGCTAAAAATAAATTATCAGTCATTAATTTTCAAATCTTTACATAAATTGATTGAAATCTAATTCAAGTATTGGAAGAATACGAAAATAAAATAATAGTTGAATTTAAAATCGAAATCAATTACAAATAAAATAAAATAAAGTATTTTTTATATTAGACATTTGAGCCATGTTTAAATGTCAGAGAAAACTATAAGAATTAATTAATAAACTAAAAATTCCATTTATTATATGAATGTTGTTAAAAATAATTTATGATTATAAATTTCACAATTCTTCAAGCTTTTTGTGATCGACTAATGGATTGTTTTTAATAAGTAATTGTCTTGCTTTTTCTGCATGATCAAAAGTACAATTATGGTCCTCAGGCAATCTATGTTTGTTGCAAAAAACGATTTTGCATTTACATTAAATGCCTGATATTCCTAACTTTCTCTTACATACATAACATTTTGAAGGATCTTGCTGTAAATTTTAAATCACTTTTGTACCTGAACATTCACTTCTTAATTTGGTTATGCTTTATCCTCTTGTATTTATTATTGTTATTATTGCTAGGGTTATTGCTCATTATTTGTTTATTAAATAGTTCTACAATATTCAACGAACATACTTATAGCATTTCGAACAATAAAAATTAGTTTTTGCACTTCCAAAGAAAGTTTGGCATAATGGACATAGTTTTGTTTCTTATTTTACTTCTTAATTTTTTGATTATTCCTCTGTAGCTGCCTATTAATTATTTTGCATTTTTATTTTATTTATATAATAAATACTAATCTATACAATGATTTAAATTGAAAAAATATAATTACTGTCGATTTTATTTGTTTATTTGTGTTATAAGGACTAAAGTATCGATCCCAGATTCTGCTATCTATTTATTTAATAAAGAAATACCAATACTTAAATTATATTTGATTTTAGTAGTGATTTAATCTCCTTAACTATTTTCTAAGATTGTTAGATGTTTCAATTCTAATAACCAATTCTTATGAAGTAATTGAATAGATTCAAAAGATTTCTTATGAAATTTTATTTCAAGCCTTAATAATGTAATCAATTTATTGACAATCAATATTTATTCTTTTGTCCTTATAGCAAACAAAAAATCTGTATTCTCTACAATATGTTGTTTTTTGGTTAAATTACTGATGATCCTTTATCAAATAATAAATTTCTTTACACTCTTGATTTATTTAATATGATATTTAATTCAGTAATTAAGAATTGATAATATTGAATCTGTAAAACTATCCAATAATTCTCTCAAATATTAGCTAATAAGGTTTGGAAAGATATATATAGACTATTCAAGTATTTATCTTATGAGATTTATTCTAAATAACAAGAAATTTAATCAAATTATCAATAAATTTATTGTTAAAATCTATAAATATTTTTATCTTTTTTTGCCAATTTGATTAATTTCAATAGTTCTCAGAAAATATAAAGAGGTAAACATTTTTGAACTTTGCAACAAAATGTTCATTTAAATTGAGTTTTGGATTAAATAATGCGATCCTAATATTTTCTCAGGATCTCTTTTTATTGATTTACTATTATTGATAATAAAAACTGATAAAGTTTTGTAAACTTTATTGTTCTACTTTAGACTGCAAACAATATTATTTTTGATATATATTTATTCTTTGTAATGTTAGAATTATTTATATTAACATCATTTTATCTATTTCTAGAGGAGTATCTTTTAATTGTTGATTTCTTTCAAATATTGTAATTCTAATCCAATTCTCTTGTTATATGAATTCGGCAAAATTTACATTTTGGATTAATTTTATATTATTGTTTGAGTTATTATTATTTTACATGAATTAAAATTTTTTAGTTTGTAAATTATTTTTATCGATTATTGGTTTTTTTATTTAAAACTTTATTCAATTTATCTTGATTAAGAATAACCTTTATCTGTAATTAATTCTTTGAGAGTAAAATAACTTTGATAAGACTGTATTAAGAATATTCTGGAAAGTAAAAAAGGCAGAATGCAGATTCAAGCAATTATGATAATTATTCTATGGGCAAAGTCTATTACATTTTAGTAATAAAATATATTCAATAATTGAAATAAATTTAACTGAAATCTGCAATCATTAACAGGCACATACATATCCATATTAATATTTTTGTTTTAATTAGTTCACTTTTGAAATGGTATCTAATTCTTATCCTTGTTATATATAAATTCATTAATTTAGATAATTATTTTAATTTAATAAATTAAATATTCTAAAATTCCTTAAGGTTTGAATGATCCAAGAACTATCTTCATTGTGACAGAAAAATCTGAATGAACTGATTAAAATAATTAAACTATGTCTAATATAATTGTAGAATAACAATCTACAATATTCAAATTATTAATTTAGAACGAAAAATATTGAAAGACACAGAAAAAGATAGTCTGAGTTAAGAGAAATTCAATTAATTGTGAAAAATGATTTTTTCAATTTTAACATATGGATAATAGAGACTTTTATCAAAAACCTCTGTAATTTAGCATCAATTTTTGATGAATTTAAAGAGTAAGGAAGATAATAAAGATACACATTATTTGAATATACACAAGGGAGGACGGAATGGAATTATAAATTGAATTATCCTTTTTTTCAAAAATTAAATTAATCATTAATTAACATAGACTGGTATATGACGCTCTGAAAACTTTTTAGCCTTAACTTTGATGTTCTCAACTATGAGTGGTTAAATGTCACGACCATTAATCGGTTCATCATTGTGTTTGAATTGAGGCAATATTGCAAGAATTATTCCTCCGTTTTGGTAGTGTGAAGATACTTCTCTAATTTACACTCTAGTAAAGAAAGCTGTGCCTTTAATTAATGGTACACACAAATGACCTTTCAATATCTATTCACCCTTGTTGTTGACTTTGATTTCTTTTGGATACTGTTCTTAAGAATAGATTGCAACAACCAATTCGATTTTATTAAGATTGCGGACCAATTCCCCATTCTTATTTTTGAGCTCAACTCTTAATTGAAAGATACGATCTCTATAAAGTGGGGTTTCAAGAGGATCCGCTAGTGTTAACTTGTACTTGTATGACTTATCCAGTAACTATTATAATAAAAATTAATTAAGTTACAGATCTTAGATTGAAGGATATATTTAATTAGGAGTTAGTGAATAATTCATCATTTCGTTTAATTTGGATTTATGAGAGAGAAACCTCAGGTCTTCCTTAGGAAAGCAGTCTATTATTAATTGATTGAAATTTATGTAAATAGTCTGTAAGAAGATTATTGAATTTATCCTAACTTGTATTGAGCTAATCCAAAAGGGTTTTGTAAGCATCAACTTATTTGTCTAGCAATTCAAAAAACTGCGATTATTGAGTTAATATGTTTTGCATAATTTTTGGGGAGTAAAAATATTAATATATATTTATTTAATAAAATTTAGTATAATTATTAAATTCATTCAAATTAATTCGCAGCCTCATAACAAAAATGGTTTAAGCCATTTCGTTTAATTTTAATCTTAACCAGGACTTTGGAGATTCAGATCCCAAGACTAAATGGATTGATTTGGTGAGCCTACGAATATTCAAACAAAAAACCTTCTGTAAATCTTACTCTTCCTATAAGAAGGGGAGTTCTCATGACCATATTTAATTAATCTTGATCATTTTGACTCTAACTGACTTTCAGATCTTGAGTTTTGCAAATTTCATGATCATCATTACTTTAATTTAGCCTTTTGAGATCCAATCTAATATATTTTGAATTCAATTTTGTTATTATCTCTTCAAGTCCAGGGTCATCGTCTGTTTACATCAAAGCCATCTCATCTTCATCGAAAGAACGAAAATAATCATGTTGAATGGCCAACCTAGAAGTAATTCTATTTTAAGGATCGCACTAAAGCATCTTACATAATAGGTCTTTCAAATTCCAAGATGATTGATTTAGCTTATCCGTTTACAAATCAATAAACCCTGCTCGATTCGATTTAACAATAGTGTTATAACTTGTGCCTTTAAAAGCAGGTTACCCTGTGGTCAAGATATAAAATATGACTCCAAGTGAAAACATATCACAGATAACTCCATAGGTTTGAGTGTCGTTCTATAAATTGATGACTTCAGGTGCCACAAATCCTGGAGTGCCACACCTGGTAAAAATGTAAGGGGTATGATCAACATAGGTGGCCAAACCAAAATCTGCAATAACAACAGAATTGAAGTTACTATAAAAATAAATTAGACTCATTACTCAGGCTATCTGAAAAGAATGTTTTCCAATTTTAAATCTCTATGCATAAGACCCTTTTCATGAATGTAAGCTAGACCATTTAAGAGACCTTTCATGATAGTGTAAATCTCCCAGGATGTAAATTTTCTTTTTACTTTGTGAAGATCATAAAGCAAATCACCTTCTAGTAATTCTAAGCCCATATAAATTGAGTTGTGAGTTTCATAAACTTCGTATAATTTCATCAAATTCTGGTGCTCTAAGTCTCTCATTATTTGAATTTCATTAACCAGGCCATCCTATGATATATTTAAACTTTTTACTTTTCCCTTCTCCTATTTATAGATGGCATTCTTACAAAAGGCCTTTACTGCCATTTTCATTCCATCCTCAATTCTAGTAGCTAAGTATACTGAAGCAAAACTTCCTTAACCAATCAACTTGTGTACTTTGAAATATTAATGGAAGCCAACCTAATTCATTCTCTTCCCTAAAAATTCCCTAAGCATTTGCAAGTCTCTTAAAGATCCTTTAAACTCGCATTACTTTATACTATTTTCTCTAAATAATTTAATAGCTAGAATTTCCCCTATTTGTTTAATGTTCTCTCCCTTCCATTCTGACAAAGAGGGATTTATCAGAAGTGATGGACTTCTTAAAACCTAAAACTTATAATCAAATCCGATTCTTAAATATTTATAGGCTTTGCCATAATTGGGTCCCTTCAATTATGATTAAACTAAATTACTTTGAAGAGGACCATTTCTTTGTTAGTACAATGCAGAGATACAAAGTTAGAATTTTTACTGATTTTTTGTAATCTTATACTTAATTCTGGCTAAGTAAACTATTAGTATTAGTCTACTTAATTCCAAATACCTTTTATGTACATTTTTTATATTACAAATACTTTTAGGTTCTAATCTTGACCTAATTAAGATATTATAACTCTATATAGTAAAACTGGTTTTTAATAAAAATTGTTCATATATATATTATTTTATCACATCATCTAAAACCAGGTCTGAATCCTGATCCAATTTGGCTGTTTCCTAGCTTAACCAATTCAGTCTATGGTATAAGAGGAGCCTCATCAACTTAGTTAGCAAAAACGATGGCCTCACCCAAACCTAATTATAAATTTTATTAAATTACAATGAGCTTTATCAATACCAACATTTTCAGTTTCAGCATCTATTCTAAGGACTCCGAATCCCTTTAAAATGAGCAATGTGATCAAGACAAAGAAGGCAACCCATACAAAAATGATCAATAATCCCAACAATTACATTCCCAATAATTTAGCACCAAATCCATAGATAATACCAGCTTTGGTGTCAAAGAAGGCTGACAAGAAGATTCCCAAAAATCCATTACCCTAAATGAGTTAATAGAATATTGTACCAAAAACACAGGTACAACTTCAACGGGATCATCAATATGTACCTTTGGGATGACTTTTGCCAAAACACTGTAGAAGACAGCAGCCAACAAACCATAAATGAATGCAGTCCATGGTTTCATGTCATCAGTAGCAGCACTGACAGCCACCAAAGCACTGATAATACCTCTAGACAAGGCAACCAAACTTGTGGTTTCATATTAGAAGTATCTAATGATGAAGGCAAAGAATCCACCAGTGGCTCCAGCAACCAATGTATTGACTGCCACTAATCCTTAAGTGTATTTGGAATTGGCTCCTTATGCAACAACACCTCCATTGTAGAATAACCATCCTGCGAAGACCAAAATTGATCCGAAAGCAATATAAATTGGAGAATGTCTTTAGAATTACAAGGTTGTGTTTGGATCAAATCTGAATCTCCTTGGTTTCAATAATACTGTCACAACTAATCCAGCTACACCTGCTGCGAAAAATACTACACCAGCTCCTGAGAAATCTTTGTATCCCAAAGTTGTCAACCTATTCATATTCTCATTTAATCAATACCATCCTTGTGCTAATGTCCAATGTGCTAATCCAGCATATATGAATCCTGCATATATAATTGTCAAAATTGACCAGGCCAAGAAGGTCATTCTTTCTGCTGCTGCTCCAGATAACACTGATACGGCTATTGCTGCACCTGCTGCTCTGAACACTAAACGGATTATGAATATTAATTAAATACCCAAAGTTTGTATAATCAATTTCCGTATTGATTTGCTTCCCAATTTGCTCCTCCTAATTTTGTACCTCCCATAAAGTTTGTTTAGAAATCATATCCAAATGAAAATCCATATCCGAACTATATTTATAGGCTTCATATCTTACCAACCACCATATTAATATTGTCAAGAACAAACCCAATATCACTTTTATGACTATTGATTAAGAATTCTTATATCTCACGGATCCTGCTTCAATAAATGCAAATCCCACTTAGGTCAACACTATAATGAACCCTGAAATTAGAATCCAATCATAGTCTATAGTTGATGCTTGAGGTGCTGGAATATTAGCTATGGAAGGGACAGCTGCATATTCAAAATACATAATTACCTGCCTCTCCTTCTTAATGTCTGAAAAGATGACCCATATCTTCCGTTATTTAAATTTTTAAAATAAATTTATTTCATAACTAAATAAAAAATGCCATTTATATTCATGAATTATATTAAATCTCATACTCAAACTGATTATTTACAATATTTTGTCATACTCACTATGTAATTGATATTAATTTCACTATGTAATCCCAAGCAATAAATTTCGAGAATTGTCAATAAATTTATTAAATTTTATTTATGTGTTGGAGAATTTTAATTCGATAAATATAATATTATAACAAAATTAATACTCTTATAAATCACTTTATTATGTGGGAATAAATAGGATTCCCCTCTTATTTGTTAACCATCAATTCATCCATTGAAAAATGCATAGGACTAAAAATAGGAGAAATCCAGCCTTGCTTAACTTTTTAACTGCCCTTGTGGCAAGTATCTTTCTCTAAAATGCTGGATATAAATTTTGTCATTTTATATATAAAAATTTGAATTTAAATTCAGTGGGAGAAATTCATATACAAATGAGCTCAGATTTTAAATAAGATGGAACTCCATTTACTAAATTGTTTTAAAGATTAGAAAAAATTCATCAATCCCCTGTTTTTAACGCTGATTGTGTCCAACACCAAGATGATGTGTATATAAAAGACCAGTCCCCTGAATAAGTCTGTAAGAAATTGGAATTCACTCCATGTTTGAAGTCTCCTAAATCAGTATTCACTTTCCATTATAAATTTTAGATTTCAACCTTATTCTCCATTAAATCATTAGACAACCAAAAAGGCAAATATATTCATTATTTCTCCTGCCAGATAAATCAACTTTGATCATACAAAGACAGAATAACGACTTGTCAATATAAGTTCGCCTCTCAGTTCAATGAAGATACCAGATGATCTATAACGCGAGGAAGAAGAGATCTAATCTGAAGATCAAGACAATCGTTCTCAATTCAGAAGTCCTCCCAAATCACCTCACAGAAAATTAGAAAGAGCTACTAAATTGAAATTCATCAATTTTGTTACCTTAAAAAAGCCACTCAAATATACGAGTGATTAAATAACCAATAGGAAACGTACAAGTTCTAAAAGAAGGAAACCATAAACAGAGTAAAAACCAAAAATAATCGTATGTAATTGTAAGAAATCCAAATGTCTTAAATTATATTGTGATTGCTTTACAGCTGGTGTAACATGTGGCAAGGATTGCAATTGCTGTTCTTGTCATAATAATGATGAACATCCAAAAGAAAGAGAAATTGTTATCAAATAGATTATGGAAAGAAATCCGTCTGCATTTCGCCCGAAGGTTGAATCCAAAGTACAATTTATTTTAATATCAATTAGAGCAACTCAGAAGATGAATAAGATCACAAACCAAGACATTTTAAAGGATGCAATTGTAAAAAATCAAATTGGTCTAAAAAAATATTGTGAATGTTATTAAATGGGAGTCAAGTGTTCTGAATTATGTAAGTGTGATGAATGTAAAAATTGTGAAATGCCTGTTAAAAAGGATTCAAGAAAAAGGATAAAACATGTCCATTAAAATTTTAAAAATACTGAAATCTATTGATTTATTGATTTCAGTTTTTGGGCTTTTTTCAATATTACACTATTCATTCTTTTAAGAGTTCTATTTCTATCATAAAGATAATGATTTAATGATCATTCTATTTTTGTTATTCTTATTAAATTTTCAGAGAGAAACATCATTTTAATTTCCATTTAATTTTATGTGTATATATTTTTAATATTATAAAATAAAGTATTTATTTCTATTTCTTCAAACCCTAAATAAAATAATAATAAAATTATCAAATTACGATAATGATTTCTCCTTATAAAATTAATCAAGAATTAGAAATAAGTAACTTTATTTATAATAAATTCTATAGAAGAGGTAAAACTTAAAAATTGGTTTATAATCATAAATAAATCTTATATAAATTTACACCTCATTTTTTTTTGCCTCCTTTAGCAGTATCTCCAGCTTTTCCTGCTGCTCCAGTTGCTCCAGCACCTCCTTTAGCACCAGCTGCTGCTTTATCTTTATCACCACCCTTTCCAGCTGCTGGTTTATCATCATCATCTTCCTCCTTTCTAATAGCTGGCTTTCTTGCTATTTAATAAGTAATTAATATCTATTACCCTTAGGCGTATCTTCATCATCTTCTTCTAATTCCTTGAGTCTTTATGCTTCTTCAGCTGCTGCTTCTTCTGCTAATTTCTCTTATTAAATATGCTCCAATTGATCTTCTTGGTCATTGAGATCATCATCACCAATTACATCTCCATCTCTATTTAAAGATGTGTATTTATTCATTAAGATAATTCTCTGTCTTTTAATACTTCTAACAATACTCCTCACATGACTCGCTGGAGGGTGCTAAATAACAAATATAGCTAACATAAGCTTTATCATTTGCTGCGATTTAAATAGAAGCTACGTCTATGCTGTCCAAAGGTACTGCCAATTCTAATAACCATAAAGGATACTCATCAATCTCTTTGATTTCTGGGTCTTTTCTATCTTTCCAAATATTAATTAAATCATCCGAAGTGGCAACTGCCTCTACCTTTGCCTTTTTTGGACCTCTTATCCACATTTAATTATACTAATTTTAATCACTTCAATACAATCGATGTAGATCTGATAAGGAATCCTAAACTTCTATACATTAAATTTAATTTAATTATATAATTATGAATATTTTATTAATAGTTAATGGTGAATCTGTCATTTCAATTATAAATAATATATTCAAAAAGTTTAGCAGCCTTGGCAGACAGTCTTATCTTGTTATTTCTTTCCGACTTAGTATTTATGAAGTTTTAATCCATCACTTGCTATGATAGTCTTATCAATTTATAAAAAGCACATCAGTTTTGCAGGCTTGGAAGCATTAACCATGAGTTAATCATTGTTATCTTCTTTCTATTAACCCAATTTAGCACTTATTTAAATTGATCCAATATATTTTTCACAAACCCAAACAAGATAATTATCAGATAAAGTTAATGCCAACGGTATGTTATTTCCATTGATTTAGTATTTATGCAGTATATTCATATTGCCTAAAATTAGCAATTAAATATACCATCCTTAATGTGAAATATAGGTATTTGAGAGAGGTTCTTACATAATCCAGCAAAACGTTCTGATGAAATTAGTTATAAATTATCTATCTAAGAATCATATTGATATTTAGCACTAAAGTTAGTTTAGGATATTACGATTATTCATAAACTAATTATTTTCCATAGATCATAAAGTTCTCATGAGATGAAATAATCTATTTATTTTCATCGTCATATATCATATCCACCACAGATCTATCCACATCTTTGTACTTTTTTATCACGCAAGGTGGCTAAGTATCAAATGCTAAAATCATAATTTCTCCACTTTAAGATCCCAAAATACATAGATCTTTTCTCATATATTTCATCACCTAATGAAATCCTATATAAATTTACAGTGATCTTATCGTGTTAAAAATTTTTAATTTTTTCACAATAGAATGTTTTATTCTTCACATTTACTCCAAATATCTCACCAGATTATGTGATCCCAACACAAATACTTAATGTTGGTATATATGATAAAAATGAGACGTCTACCTTATGATTTTATAATACTTTAAGTAAATATGCATTCTGATACTCCCTGTAAGGATATTAATCTTACTCCTTCATTAGAATAAGCCAATATTTAACTATCTGCAGAAATGATCTTTTTGTGGTTGGATAAATCATTAACAGATCCTAAATACCTTAAAGTTATGCATTAATTAGAGTAAAATTGTATGGCTTTAGTTTATTCATCTCGAATTTAGGCTGGATAAACAGATTAATCTTTTTCACTAGAATTAATTTAACTATTTACTCATCCTCATATTCTGGATTCAGTGCTTTTATTGCTTTAAGCCACGTAAATCTGTTTCTTTCACTGAACTCTGTCATACCCTAGATACAAGCCTTTATTAAAGGATTTCTTATGTTGCTGATATGAAACTGTAATTTTTTCCAACCTTAACAGTCTTTTTTCTTCAACGCATCATCACTTGTATCTATAGCATTCCCAGTTTTCTCTTCGTATATAATTGGATCATTCAATTTTTATAGATCTTTATCACTTAGAAGTAAAATCATTTAAAGAAATGTAATTCCTAATGAAAATACATCACTCTTCTCTAAATCATGTCTAAATTTAGGTTGATAATTTACTTTACTTTCCCTGCCTGGTTAGTTGAGTAGGCAACATATAATTTTGGAGAGAGAAATAATGGGGTTCCTACTAAAGTATTAAGCATTGTTTAACCATTAAAATTCTCTTTACCCGCTCCAAAATCAGCCAATTTAACTGTGTAAGGTTATCTACAAGATACTAATATATTTTCTGGTTTAATATCTCTGTGAAACAAATGTTTGTTTTTTGCTAGATAATAAAATGCTTTCAAACATTAATTCATAATGTCTATTAGCATTATATCTAATCAAATTACTTTTTTATTATTACCCCCAAATTCTTACGATGCCTTCCTTCTTTCTTCTATATCTGCTTTTAAGCTGTTATGCGCTAATTCCATAGCAAATACTAAAACATATTTCTTTTCCTCTATCCATGAGTAAACCTTGTAAACTTTTATAACATTTTAATGATAAGTGATCACTTGATATAAGTTCAATTCTTGAATTGCAAGTTCATATGCCTATTCACTTAACTCAATATATTGTTATACCTAGTTGTTTCAATTATTTTTAAAGCGTAATTTCCAGGAGGAAGAGATTTCAAAGCTTTTGCTCTGTACACCTTTCCAAAAGTTCCTTGACCTAACAATGATGAATTTTTAAAATCAAAGTCTTCTTAAAATTCACCTTAGGTTGGAAACTATTGCATAAATATAATTTGTATTTATGTGTTTTAATATTAATTGAAATTCATCTAACTAAATTTACTGTTGTTTACTTATACAATAGATACTGGATGATGATTACTGAAATTTCACATAAGCAAATTGTGATTTATCTCAAAATTTTGCATTTTATACCTTTAATAAATTCAAAATTTGATTTGAAATTTCAATTATTCATAAAATAAGTACTGTTTTTTAGGATCATATAAGCTCAAAAATAATTTGTATTATAATTTCATCCATTAAGTATAACATTTTAAATACTTATTTACAAGATAAAAATAAAATGTAAATTTTTAACAACAATTTACAACAATTTCAGTAATTTTATTAAGTTCTAAGAATTTATATTTCTATTGAAAACTAATATTTTTTAATTAATATATAATTAAGTTAATAATCCAATTTAATTGGGTTGGAAGTATTTTTAGTAGAATTAAATATATATTGATTATTGATATTTACATTTAATATTAATATAACATTAGCTTCAATAAAATTGTAGTATCAACAGGCAATCAATTATTAAGGCTATCTAATAATTGCTTAAATTAATCTATTTCAAAAACGCATAATTGCTGATTCAATTTAAAAAAGTACGATTCGATATAATCAAGAGATGCTTTTGATAATTTGATGTCATTCTCCTTAAAAAGCTCAAATAAATCCTAAAATTATTATTACTAATGTACATTAACATTGAGTTTATTTCGAGGACTTTAAAATTTAGATTAAAGCTAACTGCAAACCATTTCAAGATTATTAGCATTTAAGTTAGCTTTAATTTCATCAAAAACTGTGTTATTAGGTAATCGAAAATTATCTAAAAGCGTTTTTAGAATGCTTCTTATTCTCGAGTTATTTTGTGGCTTATCGAAATTAATATCATCCTCTTAATCAAACAAATAATTTGCTAAAGTACAAGACTGATCCTTATTTAAATTAAAGATTGATTGTTAAAGAGAATCTTTAAGTTCGTCTAAAGTAGTTTCTAATTGATTTTTAAACAAGTACTATTATAAATAAGAAGTATATTACAGTATCTAATTCATCAAAAGGAACTTTATTATTAATCATCGAAAATTTGATTATTTTGACTATTTCACAGAGATCTTGCTTGTTGATTTTGGAGTATTTGGATTTTCCAACACCACTCAACGATCTTTAAGAAGTAATTAAGGAATAGTCTCCAGAAGCTCGGCCAGCAATTTAATGTTATGAAAACATGGAAGGTTTGACAATCGAAGAGGATTTCTCATTCCTTTTAAGTTTAGCTTTTTGTATCTACTCTTCTTATAGAGCCTTACTCAGTGATTCACATCTCTCCTATAGCAATTGCATTTCATCATCTTTCTCCATAATTCTTCGATCATATTTTTTAATTTCTTATCTATGTCTATCTATTAATTGTTCGATATATGCTTCATCTTCTTATCTCTTTTAACTTAGTTTGTGAATATCTGAGAGTAGTTTTCTATGTTGGATAAAACAAATACTTAATTTATTGATCTTGTTTACTCTTTTGATTGTGCTTAACAGCAAATAATAAGTCTCGTTCCTTATATTATCTGATTTCCTTTAATAATTCATTAATGAGTTGTTTCTATTATTAAATTTTGACTTGTTGTGTTATGATATGTTTTTTCAATTAATCGTAATCCTTCAACTTCTCTTCCAGCACTTTGACTATTTCAACTAATTTAATATTATCTTATTCTAATTCATCGAGAATAGCAAATTAAGGGGCTAATATATTTCTCTGATTCCCTAGCAATTTTTCTTTTTGGAGTTCAACCATATTTTAAAGTTCAGATACTTGTTGTTAATAATTTGTAATCTCATCCATTTTCAATTTTCTTTTTAGATTCTCAATCTCAACTTCTTTAGACTACAATAATTTAAGCAAATGTTTGAATCTCTAATTGTTTCGAACTGTTTTCAATTAGATTTCATCATCCGACAATTGTTGATGAAAGCTTTCAAGATCTTTCTAGATATTAATAATCACTTACTTAATAATATATATTCTAAGACTTGAGTTAGGTATTTTCTAATCTTAATTAATTGAGCTCTTGTTTGATTTTTAATAATTAATCCTATTGATCTTCCTTATCATAATATGAATTTCTTGATTCATGTTTAGACAAAAACCCAAATGAGTTGATTAAATGTTGTCTATGACGATGAGATTCATGACAAGATTAATTAATTGATCCTATTGATCGACTCTTACACGACTCAGGAAACATAAATAAATTTATAAATTAATATTAATTCTATGCTCAACATTTTTATTTCATAAATAACATAATCAAAGTAAATTTCTATTTAAAATCATATAGAATAAGAATATTAAATAGATTTTCCTTTTTTTGTAGAAATTCATATTTATTTGTTCATCTAAATAGAGTTTCATACTACTTAAATACTATCTTTTTGGAGAACTTCGATTTAGTAAGTTCTCGCTTTTTCAACGCTGATTCTAATTTATATATATAGAAAATTTAAATAAACTTATAATAAAATATTATTAACTTACTTGACTTAACTTTATGCAGATCTATCCTATGACTCTAGAATGGTCTGATAAATTTAATTTGATATAACTTAGATATATCATTTAAAATGTTTAAGTAGATGAATTTAGGGATGGCCAAGTTGAAGAAACTAAAAATTTGTTATCTTTATATCAGACATAAATATTGATTAAACATTTCTTAATTTAATTCCTGTTATTAATATACGACTCTAACAAATGGGCAATATTTGCAACTAAAAAATTACTTCTCCATCCAAAGAATTTGATTTTGGAGAAGTCATCTTCGGAAGAACATATATTTATGGCCCTCCCTCTATTGAAAAGCCAGCACCCATTTAAATATTGAAATTTTTAGATTAGGATTTTAATTATCAGCACGAATAGGAACAGTGCTGCTCCTCCTAGATGATTCAATTGAAGGATCAGCCACTTCTATAACTTACAGATAGAGATTCAAAACCCATTGATGTAAAATTATCAGTAGAAGAAAATCTGTTACTTAGAGAAATGCCTGGATCATAAGAATAGGATAGCTGTTCAAAGGATGATAGGAATAGTGAGTTCAAGGATTCCAATCAAGATAATACAAAATATAAATCAATTTTAAAGCAAAAAAATAAAAATACTTCAAATCCTTAGAGTCCGAAGAATAAGCTCAAGGATTCTCATACTTCAGGTTCGCAAAGATCGATAAAAAAAGTCACCTTTGATAAAAAATCAAAAGTTGTTTATAGTAGTTTCAGAAACATCAAATATTGAGACGACTGGATTGTGTCCTTTATAATTTTTATACAATCATTTTATTTTTTTTGTAATTAACTTAACTTCAATTTTATTGGTGTACTTATTTTGATTTATCAACAGTATTGATTATTCACAATATAAACCTGTTTTGAGCCAATAATTGTTATATTATGGACTCAATAATGGCAATCTATTAACTAGAAATAATAATGATTTAATAATCATCAATGGTTTGACGTCATTTATATTAATATTAATGAAGCTTTTAATTGTCATCTTATTGATTGTAGCAACGAGCACAACTGCAATAACTATTAATTCTAAATGCACTAAATAGGTTACAAAACTCACTCCTAAATTTTCAAAGCTATATACAAATGTAAATGAAAAAAAGTTAGCTTCAAGTATAAAGGAATTAGTTGGAATCGTAAAATCTCTAGTGTCTATATAATCATCTTGTTCTGGGGCAGAGGGAGTTGATTTGTCTACTTTCAAAGATAAAATAGGAACTTGTTTAAAAGATGGTTTTGAATTGGCTAGCAATGGTTATAAATCATACACCGAATTTGAAGAGGATGGGTTCTCAGATATGCTTGTTGACAGTTTGATTGATATGTCCCATTTGGTGGAACCTGTAATTACAAATTGCTGGGGAGACGAAGTAAAGTCTGTTTTGGGATTTGTTTTGCCTGATGAATGCATCTCAGTGATTGACGATGCTGCATAGGTCACCCTATAGATTATAGAATAAAAAGAAAGACCATTGTTGATGACTAAGGGATTACTAAATTTGAGAAAGATCTTCAAGGAATCCAAGAAGGTTTGTCCATTTGTTGAGACTTTGATTCCCAAGAACGACGAGGAGGACAGTGATTTCTTTGGAGATGAAAGCGATGAAAGCGATGAAAGCGATGAGAGTGATTCTTTTGAGGCTGATTACGAGTAGAGTGATTCTTCTGATGGTGGTGATGATTTGGAAGCCTTGTTTGAATTGTTCGAATGATCATTATTATATATTATCAAAGGATAAGTAATATTTTATTTATTGTTAATAACAATTTAACGATTGACATTATCGAAGATATAAGTCTTATCTTAATTATTATTCAAATAAATTTATTTTGAATTATGAGTTCCCTCTTTGTTAAGTGCGTGGTTTGCCAACAAAGACCAGCTACCATAAAGTGTAATTAATGTTAATTGGGCTAAACTTATCGATTGTGTTATAGTTGTGATTCTTAGGTACACAACAAAAACAATCCATCAGATGAACAGCATAAAACTGAGATCATCCCATATCAAGGTAAAACTGTCTTTATTATCATAAGAAATGTATCAAAAGGCTGGATCTGCCTCCGCCTTGAAAGATTCCTCCTTGAAAGTAACTATTTATTTTTGAATTTTTGTAGTCTAAAACCTGAATAGTAGTAACAAAAACAATAACCATAAGGAATAGCAAAACCTCAATCCTCGGCTTCATCTAAACAATTCTCGAACAACTTTAAATCAGTAAAGCCTGATATGCCTTAAAAAGAAGAAATTTTGAATAATTAAAAACCTGTTAAAGAACCTGTTCAATTGGTCTAATAGCAATCACTACCCAATAAGTTTACTAACAATTACATTTACCCTCAATCCCAAACCAAACAAAAAGTGGAACCCAAATAAGAAGAGATGCAAAGACAAAATAACTCTGCATCTTATATGAGCAACACTCAAAACAATAAACTAAAGGAACAGATCTCAGAAGAATAGGACTAAAATAATGAACTCAGGAGAGAGATACAATAAACCAAGGACCAAATCAAAAACATCAATAGTGAAATCGATAAGAAAATGTATTGTATTTGAAATTATCATAGATAATAAAATTCAAGAGAATTTGAAAAGAAAATCAATGACTTAAAGAAGGAAAGCACAGACGAAAAAAAAAAAATTACTACTTTGACTGATGAAGTTAAAAAATTAACTGAATAAGTTAAAAGTGTTGATTAATAGACTCAAAAGAAGTTGGATCTTTCAAAGAAATAATATGAAAAGTAGATTAAAGATATGCAATAAGTAATCAACGAAAAACAACAATAAATTGATGAAATTGCTGAAGAATTTTAAAATTACAATCTAGAAGACATCTAAGCTAAAATGGAAGAGATGGCTGGGGAAATAGAAGAGAAGGATTAAATCATAGAAGAATTGAAAAATCAACTTGAATAAGGAGGAGATAGAAGGGAGGATAATGAAGAATTAAATCAATAACTTGAATTAAAGGATGAAGAAATCAAGAAGTTGGAGGGGCTTATAGAAAATTTTAAATAATTATATCAATAAATGTAAGATGAAAAACAAGCGATGATGGAAGAGAATGAGAAACTATCAACAGAGAACAATCAATTCAGAGAATTGTTTAGTGTATTTTTTAGATTTATTTCATTAGTAAAATCTTCACCTATTTGGTATTGATCCAAATCAATTGGAAGAAGAAGATGGGGAAGGCGAATAAGAAGGAGAAGGAGAACAATATGAGCAGGATGAAGAAGGTAATTTTCATATTTATTCTTAGAGAATTGATTATAATAATTCCTATATCATTAAACTAATATTTATATAATTATTAATTTTAAAGGGATTGTTGTCACAACAGTATTCTTGTGTAAAAAGTCAGAATCCAATAGTATAATAAATAAATAATGATAATGTTAAGATTTTATATTGTTAATAATTAAGAGTATATAATATTATTTTTTTGACAAATAAATTATATTGATGAATTCCTCTTTAATCCACAATGTTAATGGATTAGATAGATTACAAATGTGCAATAGTAAAGACTTGCTTACTCAATTTGAAGAGGGCGGTATTTTAAATTCTAATTTCAAGAAAAAGTATTACTCTCTTCGAACATCATCAAAGTGAACTAAAACAATAAGAAATAGGAAAGAATATTTCTACTAACAAATAGATTTGTATATAACATTAAATCGGATAGCAAAATATTATAATTTTTTGGTAACAACATTATTTAATCATGAGGAAAATCAATCAAAATTCAAAGGAAAATCCGTATTCAATTGATATCTGCGATTAGTGTTAGCAATATTGGTACGGAATTCGTATTGCATATTCCATAAGAATATGATTATAGATTCTAATCAAGTGATTTGTAAATGCTTCTTCATAAATTAGTCGCAAAACCATTCTTGAAACAATCATTATAGTCTATAGTTCAGTGACGATGTCAAAGATGCCCTTCTTCTTTAAAGATGATTTCACTTTAATCTAATACTGCACAACTGAAAAAGATGTTAAAAAAGGGATCAAAAGATACCCAATTGAAAAACCGATTGTAATTTATTCGATCTATTTAGGAACTTGATGTTGTTGAATTCTAAGATTATTAAAAGAATAAGCCTGTACCACAACAATTAATTTATAAAAAACCTGGATTGTAAAAACAATATAGTACTACCCTTATATCTATTGAACAGTTTGATTTAATAAAAGTACTCGGCAGAGGAGCATTTGGGAAAGTATTTTAAAATTAAATCAAATCATAGGTTATGATGTGTGAGAAAAAAGATACAAAAGAATTATTTGCTATTAAATCTTTAAGGAAGGAGCACATTTTAGATAAGAATCAAGTTGAACATACAAGGGCAGAGAGAAAGTTGTTAGAGGAAATAGATCATCCATTTTTAATATCCTTGGAATATGCCTTCCAAACAGCTGAGAAACTATTTTTCGTTATGAAGTTTATGAGGTATTATTAAGATGATATCTCAAAATAGAGGGGGTGAATTATTTAAGCATTTGAGAGATAAAAAAAGATTTCCTGAAGCTACTGCTTAGTTTTATGCCGCATCCATTTTGCTGGCCATAGAACATTTACATTCAATATCCGTGATTTATAGAGATCTAAAACCTGAAAATATTCTAATGGATGAATTTGGATATATTAAAATGAGTGATTATGGATTAGCAAAATTCTTAAAATAGGGTGAAAAAACATTCTCTTTTGTTGGAACACCAGAATATTTGGCTCCGGAAATTATTAGATAAAACGGACATAGTTTTGAAGTAGATTGGTGGTCTTTTGGAATTTTAATGTACAATAAGATGTTTACATAGATATGAAATGTTGGTTGGAAGACCTCCGTTTTTTTCATCAAGTCAATCTTTATTATTTAGAGCTATTATAGAATCAGATATAGTATTTCCATAATAGTTAAGTTTAAGTAACCATGCTAAAGATCTGATCACTAAAGTAAAGATCTAATTAATATGATGATAGCTTTTAAAAAAAAATCCAGTGGAAAGGTTGGGACATAATGGAGGTGGGGCAACCATTAAGATGCATCCTTGGTTTAAAGATTTTAAATTTTAAGATTTATTAGAAAAAAAAATATAACCTCCAATTATCCCTAAGTTATATGATAAATTAGATGTGTAAAATTTTGATTTGGAATTTACAAGAGAGGGTAATATATGAATTTCTATAATAAAATTAGAAGCCATGAATTCAGTAGCAAACCTTGATCCAAAATTGGTTGAGAAATTTAAAGAGGATTTTGGAGGAGTGACTTATGTTCCAAATAATGTTTTAAATTGATTTCGTATAATTGTGATATAAATATCAATTAGTCTCACTGTATCCTCAAATTAGTGAAGCAAAATTAATTTGTTTGTAATTTGATGCCGTTTTCCTAGCTTAAATCTATAAACATATCTCTATTGGATTGTTGATTATCTGGCTTCCTCTTTTGACACACTTAGGTAAGTCTCTATAAATATTTATATTTATTGCTAATTATCTTGAATTATTAATATAAATCAATAATAAGGGTTGTTGAAAGCATAATAGTATAGATCCCAACATGAATGTAGGATAACTTTTCTATGGTATCTTAGTCTGTTAGTTAAAATTAATCTTGCGCATAATAAAATAAGATTAAAGATAATGAAAGACTCAATCCAACATCCTAGGTAATGCCTTTAATAGTCTCCAGAAAGTTCATATAAGGATTAAGAGTTATTAAAACAATTGATGACAAGATTTGTATGGATATCAAAAGTGAAATCTGATAAATTGCAGTATCAAAAAATAATATCAAAGCACCCATAAACATAATTTTTCTTAGAGGTTAGAGAAATTAAATTTATCTATTGATTTGTTTGACCGATTTGATGCCTTCATATAGAGATCCAAAATATTGTTCGTAATGCTTTGAAGTGATTTGATAGGAGGATGCCTTTAGAGACGTTGAAAGCATAAATAAGACGACAAGTTAAAATAGGAGGAGACTCATAGCACCTAGGAATGAAACTTAATCTACAAAATTCGGACTTTGATTCCATAACCAACAATAGGCTGAAGTAAAGATGGAAAAATTCAGATCGTATAAGCTTGACAGATAGACTCTGAGTATTATATTATAGTAAAAATTTGCGCAATACTTCAAACTAATAAAGTGAATAAATGAAACTACTTTGTAACCCAAAAATTTAAGACTGCTTACTTTTTATGTTAGTCTGACATTTTGAAATTTGTTAATCAACAATTTTTGTATTATAAAGAGATTAAATTTAGAAATGAACAACAGAATTAAGGGAGTAACCCATAAAACTATGATAGAACTTAAATTAATGACTAGGTTGTACTCTACATTTCTTTCTACAATTAGAGGGTAATCCTTATTTTAATGATAATCCAAACCGTTTATGATATCAAATTTGAAAAAATCATTAGTAAATTCAAACCTTGCAAATTAAAAAATGTCCAAAAATTAATTATGCATATAAGGAAAGTTGACATTGATATATGTGATGTAAGATAGAATTTATAGATTGTCTAGCACATTCCAATAAAAATCTAAGCTTCCCATCAACAATCCTATTAAAGCAATTCCTCCTAAGATAAATAAAACAGTAGATCCAAATTACCTTGATGCTTTTGTAGTACTCAGAGTTTGACTACTTAATTATTTATATTTCAATAATTCTTTTTCCAGAAATGAGGATTTCAAAGGATATTAGTCGATTGCATCGTAAATTATGTAATTTGTAAAGTTAATTTGATATTAAACGAAATCAATACTCTTATGCAAGAGTAATTCAATTGAAATGGACTCTAAATGGCCATCTTAATTATAATTAGTAGTTGAATTAATATTGTAATCTACATTATCAATCTAATTAACGATTTCCTATTTCCATGATTCGATTATAGATTAATTAATCAACATCATAGGTTTGCTGAATTAAATTAATCCAAATCTTGATGACTGATAAAAATCTTTAACTCTTTCGAATTCCAAGGAAGCAATGGATAAATTTAATTGGTAACAAACGCTTAAAGTATTTATTTATTAATTGCAACCCCAATCCTATTCAATCTGGCAAGTACTAGAACACCCATCCTAATTGATAGTGTTTCCATCATCGCATTTCTCATCACTCTTTCTAATACCATCACCACATAAAGAAGCACATTGAAGTCCCTTCGTATACAAACCTAGAGTTTCTTCACAAAATGCACATTTTTGAGTAAATCCATAATCAATACCTTTGATGCAAGACAGACAATCTTTCTAAAAGGGTCCTGCACATTCTTTACAATGTTTACTATGAAATAGAAATAGGATATTACTCGCATTTGCTGCATTCAAATGATTTGGTCAAGAAATATCCTGAGTTACATTGGAGACATCTGCTGGAATTGCAAACTTTACAGTTCTGTGAACATTTAGTACAGGTAGACATGAATACAGAACTATGAATTTGCAAATTTGGCATTAATTCACAATAATATTCTGCTTCTAATTTACAATCTCTTGAACATCCATCTCTATTATTTTTATTTCCATCGTCACAATCCTCTTATCTTGATTTAATTCCATCCCCACATATTTTAGGTTGACAGACATCAATTTCAATAGAACAGAGATAACAGTTATCATCTTAATAGTAGTAATTTTTTTAACACTCACACTTCGTATTTTATAATTACATAAGCCTAGCAGTATCACATGTTAAACAATGATAATCTTGAGATCCATTGCAAGTTTAACACGTTTTATGACATTTGACACATCCATTTGAAATATCATAGAAGTATCCATCTAGACAATCGCAATTAGGGGGTAAGGAAAAATCTATTTTACATGTTATGCAATTTTCTGGTGAAGTCTCACATACTTTGCATCTTGAATTGCACTATTAGCATATTTAATCTTTATCTTCAAAATAATCCATTTTGCATTTACAAAGGGGAGGATCTGCTCTGTTTAAGGAACATTTAAGACAATTATTAGCATTCAATTCACAAGTGGAACATACAGAATTGCAATTCAAACATGGAGAAACTAAGTCAACCTCATAAGTTCCAATTGGACAGACACATAATTAGGGTGATACTCTATTAAATTTACACTTGAGACAGTTATCTTGATGATAATTGCATTCCACACACTATAATGAACATTAATTGCAATCTTAACTCCCAGGATTATTAAAATACCCAGATTAACATATGCATTAATTTTAGATTAAAGTCAATTGATTAGGACAATCTAAGCATTCTGAATCAGATTTGCAAAGATGACAATTATTTATGCAAGGAACACATTTACTATCCAACTCATAAAGTCCAGAAGCACATGTACAATCAGGGGGATTATAATAGTTTTCAGAACATTTGGTGCAATTTGTAGATGTAAATTCACACTATTCACATTTAGGATGACAAGCTATTGAATATATTATTAAAATACGTAAACATTTTTAATTTTCTAAGTGCATATAATATCCTTATAAGCAGGAGCATGTAGATCTATAATAAAAATTCCTAAGGGGGCAGACACACATCCCATCTTTTAGAAAAAAATTCGGTTCGCACTGAACACATTTATCAGCTGCTAAACAATATACACAGGTGTCAGGACATTTATTACAAATAACATCTAAATTTTAATAATATCCAATAAGACAGTTGCAATTATCATTGGCATTTCTATTAGCTGAGCATGTTGTACAATATGGCTAATTTGATGAATTTAAATCACAAGTACCGCATTTTTTTGGACATTCTACATTAAATGATATTGATACATTTGCAAGTCTTTTAGGATACTTCATAATATCCATCTTGACAGGGACAATTAGCTACAGGGTCATTCAATCTATTTGTTTAACCAGTGTGACAAGTTTGGCATATAAAAGTAAGTAGATCATAATGACAATCAGCACAACCATAACCACAATTCATTATATAACATGAATCATCTCCTAAATCACCATAATTATTAAGTGCATTACAAACACATTTTCTAGATACGAGGACTCTATTTTAACTTGCGAAACAATCCAAACAATCATTATTGGATCCTCCATCACAAGTATTACATGTAGTATGACAATTTTGACAATTAAAATTAGCATCATAATACCTTTATAAGCTATCACATGAACATACAACTTGATTCCTACCATCTCCCAAGATATTGACAACAGTTGGAATTCTATCATCTGAACACTCTAAACATTCATTTTTCTATGAGCCTATGCAATTTTTACAACTCGCATGACATTAGTCACAAATGATATCAAAATATCCATCATAGCAAGCATCACATATAGAAAGACTGGTGCAAGATTTGCAATTAGGCAAACAACTAACACATGAACCACTATCTAAGAAATAATCTTCATCACAAAGAACACAACCTGTAGCATCACATTCTTTACATTTATAAAACTATTAAGAACATTCTAACTTATTATTAAGTTTAAAATACTTTTACACTGAAAATCTAATCCATCAAAGTAATACTCTCCTGCCACACAAACACAATCACCAATAAGGTTCTTTTAATAATTTTGTAAACACTTTGTACATATTCCATCTAAATCACATTCCAAACAATTAACACGCAAACAATTTTCGTCACATGATGTTCCAATAAACTACTTATCCAAACATTCAGAACAAACAAGATTTTCATCGCATTTCAAACAATTATAAGGGCAAGCTATAAATAAATAAATTATATCCTACGATTACAAATCCCTGAACTGTCGAGATAATATTGATTGGAACACTAACATTCGTTGTCCTTAAAAATATTTGAACCATGACAACATTTATCATTATTTGCTATTGAATATCCAAATTAGCAAGATAAACAGAATGTACTTGTAAATACACAAGTTAAGCAATTAGAGTCACAAATCAAACAATCATTGTAGGATAAATAGTATCCATCATCACAATAACATGTATTGTCACTCTGTAAGGTGCGATTAAGTTTACATGTAGAACATTCATAAGAATAAATTCCAAAACAGGTTTCACACTGATTATGACAGTCTATTTATAGCATAAATCATAATACTTTGGCATAAATTCCAATTTCCAACTCTAATTAAAACTTGACCTGTCTAACAAACGCATGTATTTATTTGTAATATTTTATCTTCTGTGCAACTCAGACATGAATTTTATGAATCACAAGTATTACAACTATCATTGCATTCTGTAATAATTATATTTTATACTCTAACATAACTACATTCCTGTTTATGAATAATAACCAGTTGGACATTTGCATTCATTATTATCGAGTTATCTTAATGAGGATGGGTTGCATTTGATACAACCATTAAATAATGAATTGAAACATTATTCACAAGTAAAATCACATTCTTTTTTATAATAATTTAATTTATTTACATGAGCATTCCATATTCCTATCGACTAAATAGCCAGCTTTGCATACACATCTATTATCTACAAGTGTACTTTTATTATCACAACTCAAACAATCACTTTCTGATCCTCCTTTACAAGTCAAACAAGATATATTACACTCTAATTTATAATTATCAGTTTACTTCGGCAAGTTGCTTATGACTCTAATGCATAATAAGATTCTAAACATGAGCATTTACTATCATTTAATATTCTTTCAGTGAGTGTATCACATGAAGTACAACTATCTGCTTAATTTCCATTGCATTATTAACAACTATAATGACAATCTGAATTATTTTCATAATTACCAAAACAAATATTTCCTAAAAGAAATTGGTTCAGTTAGCATTATGTTTCTATTTCTTACACATTACGAACACTAGTTTAACCATAATCAAATCTAGCTGTGTAAACTTAGAGTAAAAAAGCAAGAAAGATCGTGGATCTATTGTTCATTGAGTAAAATAATTAATTTATGATGATGAGCATAATGACAATATTCATATTTATAATATTTAGGAATTTAAATTGATTTAAAATGTATTTAAATTACAATATATAACTTCCATTATTTAAGGCATTAAGAAATTTGACTTAATTATAATAATATTCATTTTTATCTTTTAACTTCCAAATACAAATTCTCTAAACACTTTCTAATCTTACTTTTCTAGAGTTGTTTGGTCTCCAACAATAACTCATTACATTTCAACCCTAGGTACTCAAGTGCCCAAGAGTATCTAGCCCTATCTCTTTTAAGGCATCTTTCCATTATTATGAGTTGCTACTCAATAATGTATTCCTCATCCAAATCTATAGACAAATCTAAATTGGCCAAACTAAAGTAATCAATCTCACAAGACATGTCTGATTCCCACTCCACTATAGTTTTTACACCGTAAAGCTCCTCAATATAATAAATAATGTGTGGATATGTAAAAAATCTAATTGTACTTTTGGGTTGTAAATCATTTCTAAACTAAATTCTATTATTCATAGCTGTAATGTAATAAATAATCTCAAATAGAGGAATTTTCAACTTGTTAAGATCACTAGCTATTAATTTAATATAAAAAAGTAATTTATCTGATTAATTAGTTTTGTGTTTTTTCATGTTGACTTTTATTATCTTCTCAGGTGGGAGTGCTATTTCGTACTTCTATTCAATTATATTGTTCTCCAATTGTAGATTTTTCACTTTTTCTAAAATACAATGGACTGCATTCAAAATTAATTAATTAGTCTAATCTCTTTTATCATTTGGAATACTTGTGTCATTTTAGTTTATTGTATTGTATCGATGCAACAAATTGTAGAACTTAATAAATTGCTAATCTAGAATTGCTAGTCTTAAGAATTTGCAAAGATTGACATCTGTTTCCATTTTATGAATGATGTCTTCTAAGGCATTTTAAATAATTGTTCTTACTTAAAATGTGTTATGTTCCTTATATAATCTAGAAGACAAGTATTTTTCGTAAGTAATAGCTAAACAAAAATTTATTGTATCTAAATTCTAGAGAATACTTAAACAAAGGTTTTTGCATACATCTTCCAATCCTGGAGTAATACTGAATTTCTTGATCATTACAATGGGAAATTAGAGAGCACAACCGCAGAACACTCCATGAGTTGATCTATATTGTTTAATGGATAAAGTGAGATTGGGTAATATCTCAGGCTAGGCTATTTTTCGTACTTAACATTCATGATATAATTAAACTTAAACTCTTTTTCTTAACACTTTTATTATTTTTTCTCTCTGATTATTAATAAATTATGCATTATAATTTAATTTTTAGATGGTCCCTTATAAAATTAAGATTTCTCTTTATATTTCCATATCCTTATATGACAAATTCTATGCTATTTCATGACTTAAAATTTCAGAAAGATGAGTCTTATTTTTTGCTCTATTAAATGAAAACCACACTTCTTCAGCTATCTCCTTATCCTCCACAATATTGTAGTGATTTAACTATCTAAATAATTCCAAAATGAGATCTGTGATGGTTAAGTTAGTTGGGCTTTTTATTTGAGCATTCAATATTCCAAAAGGACCGCATTGAAGCATGATTTCAGCTGCATCATTTAACAGTCCCAATTTACAAACATTGAATTGATAATTTTATTAATCATATTCTATTTTAATAAAGTTTATTAATGAAGGAAATAATTTACTCTCTTAAACCATTTAGGTTAGTTTCTATTTGATAGAAGCCAAGAGTTAGGTTTTTTATAGATAATTTGTTTTTTTATTGGGTATCTTAGAAATCAGCGGTTCTTTGATTTTGTTTTTAGGCTACTAGATGAATTTACCCTTTAAATCCTTTAAGAAGTACTAGACCTCTTTCAGGGGTTGTTGGAGATCTTCGTAATCAAAGCTATTCAGGATTGATTACATTTAATTGGATAAGCACATGTCCATTAACTTCTGGATGTGTTGATCCTAATATAATTATCGATTAATCTGTTGGTATTCTTGAGCCGATTTCATTTGTTGAATTGATGTTGCTGGATATACATAGATCTTCTTGATGATTTTTGGTTCGTTATCCATTAAATATAAATCAAAATTTTCATCATGCAAACATTTATTACTTTAATCAAAAAATTATAGGGATTTAAAATGCAGTTGAGTTTATTTGTTGACTATATTCAAAGCATAAAATTCTTTTTCGAAGTCTTCTGATATTAAATAATTATTTTATTTTAAAATAAATGGAAGATTTAGGTTTCTCTGAGTAAGACAGAGACGCTTTAGAAAGAGAATTTCAGGATGTAAGGTATCTTTGATCATGTAGATAATCAACGAATTAGCCAATGAGCCTGCTCTGGAGAGATTTAGACAAGAATACACAAAATTACATCAAGCATTTCGAAACGCTTATGATTAGGAGAGAAGATTGCTTAGGAAATTGAGAGATATCAATAGCGATATTTTAAATAATGCGGGCAAAGTAACTAATGCTCTGAAATTTTCACAAGAAGACAGTGAGAGAATTAAGTTACTCAAAACTGAACTTGATAACACTTACAAAGTCATAGAATAGGCTTAGATGAGGGAAGACAAATTGAAATAGAAAATTGAAAACTTTTAAGCTGAAATTAAACATTTATCGGATTTGGTTGAACAAGGTAATGCTCTCTAGAGTTAAACTAACAAAATCACAGAGCTCCAAACTCAGAAAGAGGATTTAATGAAAGGTATAGATATGATATATTGTAGAAAGGGACAGTTTGTAAGCCGAGTTAATCAAAAACAGATCAGAAACTGGTAATCTAATTGAAAAATTGAAACTGTTAGAAAATGAAAAATTAATACTTGATTAAAGTTCTCAATAACTCAAAAAGAATTTATAAGAAATGTAAGAAAAAGTAGATAAGGATGAATAAAGAAGAAATAACATTAATGAAGAATTAGAATAATTAAGGCAGAACTACATTAAGACAAAAAAAGAATACGAAAAATAGAAAGAGGATTTATCAAAAGTTTAGGTTGAACTAAAGAAACAAACAGAAACATTATAGAAAAAGGATATTGATAAAGAAATTGAGGAAAACGAACTTAAAAATTTAAGAGATCAAGTGACTGATGTTAAAAAGATTTACAAAGAGATCATGGCTAAGAAAGAAGAAAATGAAGATATTAGGGAAAGTAATGAAGCTGAAATAATTAAATTGAAGAATGAGAAGAACAATGCTAGAACTCATTTGAATTAAATAGAAAAGAAAAATAATAATTTAAATAAGAAATTGCTAGATTTATAGAAACAAAGAGATAAAATTATAAAGGATAAGGAAGTTGCAATTAATTCAATTTAATAATTAGACAGACATGTTACAGATACAAAGAAATTTAATGAATAAGATCAGTAGTTACTTGAAGAATTGAGAAAAGCACATATTAATTTTGCTAATCATAAAGCAAAATCTGAAGAATACAATAGTAAATTAAATGAAAAAATTAATTTGATTGACAAGGAGATAGAGTCATATGAAAAAGAAATCTTACAACTTTAAGAGGAGGTAGATGAAAGAGAAAAGTAATTTGTAATTAACACTAAAAAGAAGGAAAAATTTGGAAAGGATGCTGCTTTAATAAATGCAAAGTTTTTGCATTCTCAAGAGGAGATTAAATTGAAAGATAATTTAATAAGTGAATTTTAGAAGAAAAACATTGAAACAGATAATAAATTAAAACAATAATAACATTTATATGAGGAAGTCAGATCAGATAGAAACTTGTACTCTAAAAATTTGTTAGAAACACAGGATGAAATTGCTGTCATCAAAAGAAGACATAAAATAGTTTAACATCAAATAGCATAATTAAAAGAAGAAATTGATGCAAAAGAAGTTGCTTTGGCCAAGGAACATTTTGAACATAAAAAGAAGGATAAAACTATAGAGGAGTGTTGTAGAATTCTAGAAAAGAACAGAAAGGAGATTGAGGAAAAAGAAGAAACTATCAAGAATTATGTTGGTGAAATATCCAAATTGCATTTTGTTCTAAAAGATAGCGAAATTAAGAGACAAAAACTTAAGGAGGAATATGAAACAGTAGTATCTGAAAGGGATATTCTGGGTACTCAATTAATAAGAAGGAATGATGAATCAGCATTATTGTATGAGAAAATTAAGGTGTAATAAGAAACTTTGGCATATGGAGAATAGTAATATAGAGAAAGATTGAGTGATATTGAGTTATTAAAATTCAAGATTTCTGATCTACAAAGAGAGTTGAAAATAAAAAGAAAGAAGGCTGGCTAAGCTCCCATTTTAAAGGAAAAGATAAACAATTTATAAAAAGGATTTAGTCGAAGAGAAATTGAGAGTGAAAGCATTAAGTGAAGAATTGGAGAATCCATTAAATCCATAGAGATGCAAGAAGCTAGGAGGAGTAATAATTGATATTAATTTTAGAGTGATCCAGATGTATATGAAATGAAATAGAAAATAAAAACGTTGTAAAGAAGACTCATCTATAAAACTGAGTAAGTAGTAGAGAAGGAAGTACTTATTCAATAGAAGGAGAAATAAATACTTGAATTGAGAGATATTATGAGGAAGTAACCAGGGTTGGAAGAGGCAACCTAAATCTCAAAATTGTAGGAGTAAATGAAGGCCAAGACTAGACAAATGAAGAGTTTGGCTGCCGAATTAAATATGTATTAGGCCTAGGTATTAGATCTTCTTATTTGATTATAGATCAACGAATACAAGTATGATATCGAAAGATTAAATAAAGAACTTTAAGAGACTAATAGAAAGTATTTGGAATAAAGAAGGAGAGAGTAGATCTAATAGGAACAACAATAATTAATGGAATAAAATCAATAGAATTAACAACACAGAATGGTCATATATTATAATATGTTATATTATCTAAGAAGAGAGAGGCTATTTAAGTTGGTTTTTGATTGAGTTGATAAATAAAAAAATTGAAGTAAATGAGTTTGAAACAAGAGGAAGCAGCCTAAGGTAACATGTTCTGAGATTCTCTAGTACGTAAATCATCCAGATAAAAGAAAATGACCGAGAACTTTAAAGAAATGCTTTAAGAGATCAAGGAACAAAAACCATCTGCCAAGAAATCAGATTAAAAATAAGACAAGTGCTAACAAAAGAAAGTATAAGAATAAAAGAAAGGTTGACTAGTTCATTATTATTTAGTGTATGAGTATGGACATATGACTGATTGGCTTGATTGCATATATCCACATGATAATGGATAAACATTCGACTTGGAAATATAATTCTGTGTATTAAAGCCAAAAAAACCAACCATTAAAAAGCCGAAAAAGGAATAAACTGAAGAAGGAGTAACCAGTTTCTGTAATTCTAGATAATGTCTTTAATTCAAAACTTATTAACCAATCTCAATCAAAATCCAGAACAAATGAGAAGATAGAGTGAATAGTAAATATAGAAGGTCCAAACAACTGATGATGGTATTGTAGTCTATCATCCATACTTTAAGAAAAGTAAAACATAATTTAATCTCAAGTTGAATACCAAAGCAAGAAACCCCAATAGATTGACTCTATTGAACCCACTATAGAGTTAGAAAATCTTAAATAAAAGTTTGAAACTATCAAAAAGACCTTTAGACCCTTAATACTCATCTGATTGGCAATTAAATATATATGACATTATTATTTAAGTAATTCTAGTATTATAAGCTTCCTTAAATCTAAATTCTAATACATCTAGATTAGATTATTAACTTATTCATCATCGATTCATTAATTTCTTTCATCATAATAATTATATTATTATTTTCAAAATATTAAGAATAATTATATTATTTGTTGCTGCATTTCATAATTAATAAAGAAAAAAATTAAAGTTAGCCCTAATTTTATAAATAAAATTTATTTCTTTAATTTCAAATATGATAATCTCAAGTTGTATTTCATGTACAACATTAGGGGATAAAATTATTGTTAAAGCATTTCATTGACAACTTTGAACTATAAAATTTTATAAATATTCATTATTTTATAAGAAAAAGGAGTTATTGAAATTGCAATATATTAGAATTTATTAAATATCTTAAAATATTTAAGATATAATACAGATATCTCTACATATTCTTAATCTTAAATATATTTTCTATAATATTTATTTCATGCATCTCCAAACATTTTATCCATGCTTTACTTTTGTTGCTTATGCTTTTCAACTCTGGCTTTATATTATTGTCTAGCAGTTTCAGCAGTTGCAGGATTTTCTCTACAATAATCCTATTTAATTAATAATAGATTTATATACAGTTAAGAATCCTTCCTCGGCTTCTTATATTGGGAGATGCTCATCTATCTCAGATTGCAAGGGGAAAATTAATTCATTGATTTCATGCATAGGTAGAATAGCATTTCCAACACCTAAGCAAATTCCAATAATAGCTTCAGTTGAGATTGATCCCAAAAATGCATATTCCCACCATAAATTGGTTCCCTTCATTTAAATAAATGCTTACACAATAAATTGGTAAGACCAACTCCAATTATTCAATCATTTCTATTGACATCTATGAGCTGTAGTTATATTTAATTGATCTCCTTTTAGAAATGTTTAATTTTTCAACCCAATAATGAAGTAATAATGCAAAGCAAGTAATTATTAATGCCAATGGAATAACAGAAGCATAGAATGCAACAACATACATGTTTTTTAAAATAGTTGCATATGCAACTGAAATATCAAAAGCTGGTCTTTCATATAATCTAAAATAGTAATTAATAAATAATACTCGTGTAATTGCTTCTATGTCTTAACAGATTTATTTCCTTTTTTCTTTTCCAAATATTAGAAAACCCATTTAGTAACTGTACCAGCATCAATAAAAGAAACAACAGCAGGTATGATAGCGTTAAGTACAAAAACATATGATTAATTGTAAACAAGCCCTCCTGCTCCGTATATATTTTTGGTCACCCAAGTACTAATGGCAAATGTAATTACAGCAGTATTGATGAATTATGCCAAGCTTGATTTACTTGCCAAACTAATGTTATATCCAGTTTGAGTTGAAAATCTTTCAAATTAAGATACATTCTTTATGATCATAGCTAATAGAGTATTAATGATAATAATTGAAATTGATGCTACTTAGGCTATAAATTTGACTTTCAAATTAGGTGATAAGTCTCCTTTTTTAATGGCTTCTGCTTATTCTTCTGCACTTTCAGCCTAGATTGCAGATAACCAATAAATAAGGCCTCCACAAATTGCTAAAATTATTGCTGTAATAGTATATCCAAATAATCTTCTTAGAATCTTTGACTTTGTTGAAATATGAAGGTTTTCCCAAAATACATCAGTTGGTTCAGGTGGTTCTTCTACAATTAAAGGAACTCCTCTATAGATTAATTTGCTCTTCTTTCCTATTAATCTTTAGAACTTTGAAAGTTTATGTTCACTTAATATCGATTAAGCATCATTCTCCCATTAAAAGGTTACAAATGCCTGTCCCAAAAAGTAGTTTTTAACATCTTTGCCATCGATAAATCTTTTTTCTAATTCTTCTAATTTATTTTCAATGGCTAATATCTCTTACTCAACTGCAGCAAGTGAAGGATCATTCAAAACATCCGAACTTTAAGGTTCTTTACCTTAACCGTATAATGTAGAGAGGATCTAATTAAATATATTGAAATACTTTCTGTTTTTATACTATTTTCTATTGCTTCGATTGTTCAAGCTAATATTGTTCATCCAAATTATAGCATAAATTAACTGATACTACTCTTTTTAAATCTGTAACTGGCTTCTTCTATTATATTTAATACTGTTTTCTATCTTGTTCATAATCAACAATTTCAGGTAATTTAGGATATGTTTAAACATATTATTCCATAAAGGTTTTTAAATCCTCATCAAAATCTCCATTTTACAAACCAGTTGGATCAGTTGGAATATTTTTTAATAAAATTGAGAAATCAGAAGCATACTACGTTTAAGAATCTATCTCTGCATCAAATGCTCTTTACTCTTTACGGAAATATTGGAAGAGTAAAATTAATGTAACCATTGAAATGAGGTTTAACATTTATTACAAATCTATAAATTAATCTCCACTTCTTTTATTGGCGAGGGATGTTTAAGTCGCCCAAGAAAGTTAACAAAACTGTTTCTCATCTATATCCTAGCCTTAGTGTTCTTTATCCAAAACCTTACAAGATTTACCAAAAGCCATATTCGTTATAATATTATAGTCTCCTGATGTTACAAATATAATTAAAAGCATCAAAATACAAGATTTGATGTACTCAAAATATAAGGGCATGCCTAAAATACGAAATTTAAATACCTGCTCCTAAAAATGAATAATCCCTGTTGTTACATCCAATAGAAAGTAAATGATTAGGAACCTATCGAGCACAGCAATCACATATTTTTCCAATCAATTCATTTTCATTGCTATTTGATACGGTTTTTTAATGCTTCTATAGATTACGCTTTTATCGTTTTGATAGCTTAGTTGTACCAACATTCCATGCTTCCTAGTATATTAAAATCATAATAATACTCTATGCAATTCTGCCAACTCAAAATTAGGAGGTATTTAATCTATGGGAAAGTCTGCAGCTCCAGCTCCCTTGCCAAGTGCTCCTGCACTTACATCAACAGCCTTTTCTTGACGATTACTAACAAATGCTTCCTCATCTTTAAATTTTTAATATCCAGATGGTCTAGCTGACATTAAAAAGAAATATAATATTAAAAAATAAGTTAAATCATTAAAAAGGAAATTTTATGAATAGAAACTTTAATTTTTCATTTTAAGAGCCAAATTAAAAGAAATATATATTTAAGCTATTGATGGACTATTAGATTACACAATTATACTCATCAAATTCTTGGGGATAAATAAAATAACCTCAATATGATGACATTGAAAAAAAATATCAGTTCAAATTCATTAAATTAAAGGATATCACTTTCTGAATCTATATACTAATAAAAATGAGACAGATTTATCTTTTTAGGATATAAATTGTTATAAATTAGTAATATTTTTGATGGGCTTAAATGAAGAGACTTAGGCCATGATATTAAGAAAATTTAAATTAAGAACAAAATTTATAACAATTTTGAGCAAATTAATCTTCAATCATTGAATCAAGATCCAAATTAGAACTAAAGTAGTATGCTCACCTATACAATATTAGAGAATAAGAGTGTAGATTTAGGTAGGAGAAGGATGAGTGAAAGTAAATAAATTTATAAAGAAAATATGAAAAAAAAATGATGAATTTTGGTTCAAAATAACTGAAAAATTGAAGAATGATGTATTAAAATCATAATTCTATTAAAAAAATGGTGAAATTGATTCCCTAAATTTATGATAACTTTAGTAAAAAAAAATTAATGGGATTTGTCTGATATTGCCATTCAAGCAGTTGAAAAATGAAGTCCAAAATTAATTAAACAAGCATGATATCAAACAGGATCTACTTATTGATGAACTCAATAATAAGATTGAAAATCTATGACAGAATTACAGGAAAATATACAATTATTATGATTAATAGAAGCTTGTTCAAAGTAGGATAAAACAATAATTGACTCAGGTACCTAATTCTAGAGTTCAAGGTTAATTATAATTCTTCTCATAGAGTTTTATGAAACAAATATGATAAACTTGATGATGAAATAACTTTAAAATTAAAATTCTAAGCCAAAAGATGATTTATTAAGTAATCTATAAGAACTGAAATGTGATGTTGTTAAAAAAATATAATGCATTTTTTTATTTATTCATATAAAGAATTATAAATCTTAAATGTTTAAAATGTTCACGATTACGTGATATCTAGAATTTTGAAAATATTTTACATAAATTATTAAATATTGTTATGAGTTTAAGAGCTAAGAAACCTTTGCAGGCTCGTAAAATCGTATGTCAATACTACCCTCCTGCTTTAGGATTAGTGTATAAGTAAGAATGTTGAACTAAAGAAGACGACCAGACAATAAAACGAAAATGTATAAGATATAATTTAATGAGATGGTTCAAATCAACGATGCTGATAAAATTACATCTTTTTTATTTGATTAGCATTCTTTACATTTTAATGAACAAAATGTTTCATATGAGCAAATACTTGAAATCGTTTAACTCATTCTATCAAATTAAAAACTCATGAAATCAAGTTCTTTGTCTTTAAAGAAAAAACAATCCCCATTTACATATAATTAAGCTTTTTCTGACGAAGAGATCGACTTAATTTGAAGTTAATATTTTATATAAACATAATTTTATTAGAAAATATTAATATTTTAAAATACATCAGTTTCATTTATATGATTTAATACTGAGAATAAAGGCACTACAAATCATTAGATACAAAACTAATTGTATGCAATAGGAAATTATTTATAAGAGTTTTATACATATAATAAGAATAAAAAATATGAGTCACTCATTTTTTTTTCATTTTTTCTGCTAATTCTTTTTTTTACATATCAGCTTTTGCTTTCTAGTTAGAATTAATAATTCATTTACCATTTATTCTGTACTCAAACCTTTTCCAATCTCTCTCAATCTATCAGCTGTATATTTGTAACTATCCTCCTCTTTTAATCTTTTATCAATTATCTCAGCAAATATGACTTAAAATGCATCTGAAATGCCTGTTTATTGTAAAAACTTCTTAAATTAATCCATCTTAAATATGGAATTAAGCTATATACTTATTGTAATTTTTATTCCTCAGTTAATTACTGCACTTAGCTTTTATTGTTAATAACTTTTGATTCATTTTCTTTAATTAGAGAGTTATTAGTTTAGGCATTGTCCTACATTATTGGATTTTTATTGCTCATTATATTAATAATATTAATGATAATAAATTTCTCTCTTGAAATAAAAGTCAAGCTTTAATATTTATTGATCCAAAATTTGATATATGATCAAATATAAAAGAAATAAAATCTTGAAAATATGAAAAACAATTTGTTTACTAAACTTATTGGTAATTATTAAATTAAATATTAGAAAATGATCATTGATTTCAAGTATGATAAATACTATATTGAGGATTGTCTATTTTGAATAATATATCATATGTTAATTCAAATTGGCTATTTTGATTTGATTTACTTTCTTTATTGTTAAAATTACACCAAAAGTTATTATTCAATCAATTCCCATTCATTTATGTCGACATCCTATAGAAGAGGTGATATTGTCTACATAAATATGTATGTATACTTGTTGAAATGATTCGAGTGACTACAGAAATTAAGTTTTCATTATCTTTTTAGATTCTTCACTTGGTTTAACCCACAAAACCTTTTCAACTCCACCAAATTTAATGACTAAATTTATACAACGACTTACTTTGTTCTTAAAATTATACAAATTGTTAATTATCCTGAAGGTCCGAATACTTTTAAACAATAAGTTTAGTGAATTCTTAGAACTCTTAATTATAAGCAGATTAATCTACAAAAGTAATCTTAATATGCATTTCATCCCCATCATTTAATTAAACCAAAATTGAATTATTAAAGTCTAATTATTCTCTAAAAACTGGATTGTATTTAAGTGCATCGCTTTATAAGTTCTATTCTGATTATTCTTCTTCTAAAATGACAACATGTTAATGATCATCCTCTTATTCTTACAAGAATTTGTCATTGAGTAATTCTGTAGCGGTTGGTCGTTTTTCTTAATCTTCCAAACATTTTAATATAAAATCTTTTAAATCTTAATTTTAGATTAAATCTAAAGATTTGGGTTTTATTCTGTTCATTACCTTAATAAATTCTTTAAAATGTTACCTTTTAATAAATTTGATTAGGTGCTGTGCATTCCTCGTATGGTCTTTTTTGAGTAGCCATCTCTAAACAAGTCATGCCAAATGCATATATATCAACAGAAGGACCATACTTTTCTTCATATATCTCTGGAGCCATAAATTCGGGTGTTCCTAATACAGATTAGGTGAAATCTGATTATTTTAATTTTATGGCCAAACCAAAATCACCAATTCTGACTTGGTTATTGTGAGTATTAATGAAGATATTATCACATTTAATATCCCTGTGAATCACTGGATAAGGCACGATGCTATGCAAGTATTCTAAGCCCTTCAAAATTTCCCTACACCAATGTTTTAGTATTTTTAATCTAGGTCGCTAAATTTTTCTCAAATGCCTAGGCTCAATCATTTCAATACTTCTTTAGTGATCCTCCATGAACTATTTCTGTAATGAAAATAACTTCGCTTTTATTCTTGCTTACCCAAGCATTAATAAAGCTTATGATGTTTGGATGCTTTATATTATTGAGTATACTAAGTTCCTCAGATATTCTCTTCCTTTCCTCTTCTAAAAAACAAATGTTAATTTATGATACACTATGGCAATTGATCTAAATGAATCACATTCCAAGCAATCTCGCACCCAGACTCTTCATCATATCCCCTATAAACAGTCTTATATGTGCCTTTCCCGATTTGTTCATTAAACTGCCTTTTAGCATTGTTATTTTAATACTCTAATAAAGCGTCCCTTTGGGCTTTTTTCCATTATTTAATCTGGCTCAGATTACATTTTAAAAATATAAATGTTTATTCTGCAAAAATAAATAAAACATTACTTTAAATTAAATTAATCAAATAAAAAAAAGCCCCCTGACGGGGTCGAACCGTCGATCTTCTCCTTACTAGGGAGATGCCTTAACCACTTGGCCAAGAGGGCAACCTATTCATTCACCTCAATATAGCCTATTAATTTACATAGTCTAAATCAAACATTTCCCTTTTGACAATATAGACGTCCTCCCTTTCTTTTACAACCTATTCTCTGCTCTCAGATCAATTAGATTAATTTTGATTATTTAGAAATCCCCTCTATGACGAATCCAATAAATTCATTAAAATATTAGACCTTGTTCATACTGCCTAGATTTTATTTTATTAAAGAAAGCAAGTTTATCATCAAATTGAAAAATTTAACAAGACTTAAAACTTTAATTAATCAATTTTGTTATTAAAATTTTTTGGATTATAAATATTTTTTACTAATAAAAAAGTATCTACAATTACAATGAAGTTAAAGCTTTAGCTGCTTAAATCAATGTGATATATACCACCTAATATTAAATTATTAATTATAAACATGTTTATTTTAACTTATTAATTATTTAAGCAGGTGTTATGGTTTTAAGGATGAATTACTTATTTTTACCTATCAAATCTTCAAATACTGAAACAGCAACACAATTTCTGTAGAAATATAATTTCAAGATTAAAAAATTTCATTGAATAGAAAATCTTGAGTTAGGCTTAATTTTATTTTAAGTTGTTCTATAGATGAGATAATTCTAAAATAAAAGAGAAGAAAATAAGGAATTCCTTATTTTACTTAAGATGAGTTTAATTTTTAATTAATTTTATCGGAAGTTTTCGATTTGATTTAATTTGCTATATCTATTTTATTGTTTTACTATACACTAATGAGCTAAATAAATTGTTTGAGCTAAGCCTTACCATTGCTATTATATTTAATAATGATTTATTAAATTAAAATATAATGTTATGATACCTATTGTTGGGTAATCATAAAATGAAGAGAATTATTAAAGATCATTCTTAAAAGATAGTAAGCTATTAACTTGAATTATAAAAGGAACAATGAATGAATGCATAATAAAAACCTATTACTAGGAGAATCCTAGAGGGATCGTTATTTTATTCAGTAATAGTAAATTTGCTTAAATAACTATAAGCATTGGATTTCCCATCAATTACAAAATAATAAGTCATCTATTTAAATTTATAGAACAATCCATTACCTTAATTTAATCTTAATTAAGTCGATAACTTAAAAAAATCAGCAACTAGATTGTTGAATAATAACTCTCGAAATTATATGAAATTGTAAGGAATACTTATTATTTAGAAGTTTTTTTCAAAAAAATTCTTTGGCTTCATTACAAATCTGAAAACAAAAAATATATTGAATTTCAACACACGATTAGAATCATTAAATAAATAAATTAAAACAGAATATTTAATTATAAATTGCATATTCAACATTACAAAGTGTTTTTTATTGCACTATGCTATTCCATCAAAATTTACTTAGTTTCTTGAATTACTTAAAGAATCTAATTATTTTACTGTTTCAATATGGAATCCAATTATTATGAATCAACTTGACAATTTTTATAATCCTGTTTCAAATTGTTTTCGCAAAATGCATTAATTTCTTTTATTTATTATTAAATTTATGTAAAAGATTTGTAATTTTATTCTGATTAAGGATTTCTAAAATTCTTTAGAATACATTTAGAAGCGTTATTTAAACTATAAGTTAAATTAGATTAATAAAACTCTGCATCATTAAGATGGATCTCAGAACAAATATCTTTTAGATTCTATTAATTCAGAGGGTAGTGTCCTCCTTACATAATCTCAATGTGGAGGAAATCTGATCCCACTGAAAAATCTATCTTTCCACTTTATTTACAGATCTATAACAAAGAAATAGATCGCTTTAAAAAATACTTACGATTTCTTTTTTCTTTCTTTTTAAAGAATTCTTCATCAATCTCAAATGTTTGATTATTTTAAACAATTTAATGACCATCAATTTTACCATTTTTTTAGGCCTAAGTTTTCTTTCTTTATTCGGAGGATGTGGAATTTATTTTCATAATTTATTAATAATTTGATGCAAAATTATGAAGATATAAACATTTCATCTATGAATAATAATGCGGTATAAAATATTTTTAATTAATCAACAATGCAGTATCAATAATTTTGATAAATAATTATTATGGTAGGTTTTTTTAAATCGATAATAAGTTAAAATTTAGTCATTCATGATTAAAATGTTGATAAAATAAAAACAGCCCGAATAATAGAATTTTCAAGAAGATAATTAATAAACATAACAACTAAAAAATGATAATTCTTATTGGGTGGCTACAGATATCTATAATGCATAGATTTGAAATGGATATCAAAATTTCATAAAATCTAATTTAGGGACATTATTTTAAATATTATTAATATAATTACAAATATTTTATGTTTTATTACAATATGAAATCTTATAAAAATAAAACTATATGAAATCATTTTGAATTCATTTGTTCATGTTAAGAGTTGAGTATAGTCTTCATTTTTAATAATTATTCCTCCAATGATAGATTTATCATAGGGAATTCAAGTCTATAGTACTATTTATTTTTAATATGACTATTTAGCGATTTGTTTATTTCTTTCAATAAGTTATGTGATAAATCGCTTAGGATATTATTAAGAATTGTTTAATTATTATTTTGTTATTAATTTGTTGGCAAAATCGTTTGTGTCGATCTTGTGATCTTGATTTTCCCAGAATTGACATCAATTATTACTTTTAAATTGTTTTAAATAATTTTCCTACCCCTTTTTTTCTGTTTTGATAAGAAATTATCTGTATCACTTAGATAATTTCTAACAATGTGTTTGGCAGAAGAATATTTGATTTTATGTAATAGTGCTGCCTAGAGAATACATTAAATTTAAAACTTAATAAATTGGTAAATGGTCAATAACAACACTATTTATCAGACCAAGTTTTAATTGAGGATCTATGAAATTTCGTTTTTTTATTTTTCTTGTGGGAGTCTCATAATCATTAACCTTTCCTCTTTTTTACATTATTTTTTAAAAGAAATTTCAAGATTAATATAATAACTGGAAAATGTTTACGCAATTTGGATATAAAATTTTCATCTAATTAGTTCTTTATAATTTCATAAAATCATTATCACATATTAATATTAATCAAATGTCTATTTATTTAACGATAACTCGAGGTTTTCTGTATATTTCCCACTTAGGTTTTAAACTAATTTTATTGATGGATGGCAGCCATAATTAAGAAATATTTACTTGAAATGTTACCTTTATTTTTGAGAAAAATAATTAAATTTATATAGAAATTGGAAATTAAATCACCAAAAAATCAAATCTCCTTAAAATGACTTAGATCATTTTAGGGATGTGGTGTTTGTGTTCTCAATATATATACACATTTTTTCTTTAGCTAAATATTTTCATTGTTGATTTTTGTTGAAATTTCACATTGAAGAATTCAAAATTTTCATTTATCAAGTAGGATTAATCTTTTTATTCAAGCAGATGAAAATTACCATGACAGGATAAAAATTATTATATTATTTATATTACCCTTAAAATGATAGTTAGTGAACTTTTATTTATAAAATCTTTTTCTCTTTTAATGCTTTAATTCTTTAATTATAACTATTATTTTTCTCTCATTAAACATTTATTTTTTTAAAAAAAAAGCAAGAATCATTATTAATTTTAATGATTATAATCAAAAAAGGAGGTTTTGGGTATTATTCCTTTGAAAAATCAAATTCTTATTAGCTGTATAATGGTAATTATTTTTTCAAACAAAATTAAAAATTCAATTGCTTTCCTAATTATAACTTAGTGATTAATGAATGAAAATTTTGATCTTCAGCTTACAATAATTTGAGGGATAATTTAAAATTAGCAGAAAGTCCATTATTTTTGTAGAATTTCTTTAATATGCAGAGAGTTCGCAAGACTAGCACTAATAATTAACCTAAGTTGATGAAAACATCATAAACTAAAACCGAATGCTATGTATTAACAAAAATGAAAGTGATTATAATAAAAATTATATGAATTTTACAAAAATTGTTTTTAATTTTGCTAAATAGAACTTTAGAATTGTAGAAGCTGAAAAATTAATCTTTGATAAAACGAATAAAAGTCTAATCTATAGATTGCACAATGGTGAAGTAAAAATTAGACTTAGATTTAGAACTAATTATAATGGTGCTTAAGAGGATTAAGTTTTTTCACTGCATTAAATTGTATTCTGGCTTCTTAAGAATACATTTAGCCAAGTAATTTTAAGACTCAAAATTAGTTTTTGGAGGATGGAATTGTGCCTCATATACTTTATGCACAGTAGTAGGTTTTGCAGGTTTAATTTTCTTAAAAATATTCTCAAAAAGAACAATTCACGAACTAAGACTTTTGAAAACAGGTGATTTTGTAGAGATCAAATACTTCAATGCATTTTGGACTCCAAGAATCTAAACTGTTCATGTTAGCGAGTTTGCAAATCTCACAGAATCCTATTTTAATTATCATAAAGTAGATTTAACAAGTGTTGGCAAAGTTTGGATAAATATTGAGAAGAATGAGTTTGCAGAATAGTTTTAAGACTAAAGTGTTTTAATGTAAATATTATCTGGAGTTCCCATAAGGTTGGACTAATCAAAAAAAATAAAAAAATAAATTGTTTGAGTCATTATTAAAATTATATATTATACGATCCATTTTCATTCTATTGCATTTTAAAATTATCCAAACTCAATCCAAATTTATTTAATAGTGTATTACCTAAATCCTTTAATCCCTTCAAAGCCTCATTCTTTCTTTTCTCTTGTAATTCCTAGACTTTTTAATCTAAATCAATGTATTTTTTAATTATAAAATTGTCATTAGGTGATAATTCTTTTAATTTCTTATAATCTAAAGTATATTCTAGAAATAATTACCTTCCAAAGCTTCTTCTAATTTATCTGTTTTTTCATAGCATTCAGCTCTATTCATCAAGGCCTTCACGAATTCAGGGTTGAATTCAAGGGCTTTTGAGCAATGTTCTAAGGCGCTTTCAAAATCAGATTGTTTCATAAAACAAATGGCAATATTTGAATTTAAGATGGACAACATATTCAAGTCTTCTAAAGGACAATAATCGATAGCTTCATTGTAGATATCAGCAGCCTCTTCATACTTTAATTGACTGAATAACAACCCTGCCTTGTTTTTTAATTCTAAACATTTTTCTTTTTCCTTCTGAATTTATTCCATTTACTATTACTATTAATCTTACTCTTATTCAACTTGATAAATGTCTGGATTTTCTTTTTAATCTGTTGATGTGTTGTCCATTATATATTAATTAATAAATTATTTTGTTAAAAGTGAATGTATGATATTTTCGTTATCAATAAATTTCATGTCAAACATAGAATATCTCAATTCATAACACTAAATCTATCCATCATTTCAATAAATTCATTATAATCAATCTAAAATATATAGATCTAAATATACCTCTCCATCTCCATTCTTATCAGCATCCTTGATCATATCATCCCAATATTTTTCATTAATTATTTTATCAGACTCTAATAATAAATCAATATAATACTTCCAAGCACCTATTATAGTTCTTTTTTATCTATCTTGCCACTTCCATCCACATCTAGCATTTTAAAAGCCTAATATAGCTTTTCTTCCTTCATATATAACTATTTCTCCATAGTTGCTGCCAAGAATTCTATTAAAATAGAGATTATTTATATAATACCAGTGTAATTAATATTACCATTACCATCAGTATCAATACTTTTTATGACATTGGCCAATTCCTTAGATTAATCGTCACTCATTCCTATTAATCCTTCTCTGATTTCTTCAATTGTCAAAACTCCATCTCCATTCTTATCCAATTATTTAAATAATCTAAATTAATCAATTTCTTACTTTCCTAAATGAGTTATTTCCTATTCATTTAATTGAGAAGCGATAAATGTGAGAGCAACCTTTTTTAATTAATTACTGCCTACAAAATTCTTTAATGCACCATAATTCAATTTGAGTTCTTTATTTGGTTTATTCTTCTCTTTCATCCATTTATGCTATAAAACTTATTATGCTTTGTATCTTTTATCTGGAGATGTGATCATATTTGCAATTAAATCTTTTGCTGAATCGTTTACAAACTTAAATTCAGGGATATCTGTTGTGTATTAGCCTTTTTAAACGGCTTCCAAGATTTCAGGGTCAGTGTCTCCATAAAAGGGAGGAACACCAGAAAGTAAAATATATAATATTACTCCTGCTGACCAAATATCACATAATTCGTCATAATTTCCTTTCAATACTTCTGGAGAAATATAATAAGGAGTTCCTGCTTTAGTTTTCATTGAAACCTTTTAAGTGCCTGGTTTCTAAGGCCCTTCCTCAAATAGAATGCTCAATCCAAAATCTATAACTTTAAGAGGAGAATCTTCAGCTTTGGTTAAAAACAAAAAGTTTTCTGGCTTTAAATCTCTATGGCAAATCCCATTGGAATGACAGTAATTCAATGCCTAAACTTCAGTATGAAAATACTTGCATGATCTAAAGAAAAATTATATGTGCTTCGGCTTCATTGAAATATCCCTTGTCCATGATTCTATCAAATAATTCTCCTCCTTCGCAAAGTCTATTGTAAATTAATTATAAATTACTCCATCACTAAATATACATTCCTTTAATCTTCAAATGTTTCATATAATTTAATAATGTTGGGATGATCTAGAGCTCTAAGTATATCGATTTCTCTTTTAAATCTTTCAGGATTTTTGACTTTGGACTTAGGAATCACTTTAACTGCACGTTATTATTTAGAGCCTTTTAATGCTGCTTTGACAACACTCCCATAAGTTCCAGACCCAATTACCTAAACGTTATCTAAAATTCAATACTTTTTTGAGATTTATATCATAAAATTATTCTATTTTTCCTTCACAAGACTTAATGAACCATTACTTCTTTAGGAATACGTCTTCTTAATTCATTTATTAATTAAAAAATTTAATATATATCCTGCCATAAGTATTGCTAAGTGTGCATTTTTATTAAGCTTAATCTTAATAACCTTCTCCAATATATAAGAATGTATTTCAAAAAATAATACTTAACCACAACAATAACAGAATTTCTAATACATCAAAAAATAAAATCAAATCATTATAATTTAATACTGAGGAAATAATTAATTGAAACTGTTGAAGTTTATTATTCATAATTTGAACACATATTAAGAAGTCTTCTTTACTCACTAATGCAAAATGAAATTATAAAGAGAGAACATCCTTTTCATATTGTATGTGTCTATGACAATGATTTGGATTGGCTTTGTGATAACAAATAATTAAATTAGAATAATAAATCATTATTTATAATATTTTATGGAAACATATCAATGTAGTAAATATTTTCTGACTCTTTCTTCATAATCTTCGACCATTCTATTATGATATCTCTCATAGTAGAGAACAGCATACCAAATTTTAAGATTTTCAAAAACTTACTCTTTATGTATGAAATCAATGTAGTCTCTTTTGAATTGCTTTTTAGAGCTTTATAATTATATGATTAGATTACTATTCAAAATCTTATTCAGGGTTCTCTTTCTGCATAACTAATGCTGGAATGCCTCTTTCCCTTGCAAATTACCTTATACTTTCAAACTTATTATCTCCAAATCCATTTAATCTAAATGCCTTGTCTTGTCTTTCCATCTTGATATTTAATGATTGATATATACTTTTTTGAGATGTGATTTGATTTACCATAAAAGCAAAGATTTTTTTAAATCCTCAAGTGGAAAAGGAAGGAGTGAATTCCAATTTTTTAGAACACTGTTTAAAGGTCTTCTTTCTGGATTTCTCGTTAGCCAATAAAAGAGATTAGTGAAATAAACCGGGAGATTAACAAAAAGTTTAGTGAGTTTCATAATGGTGTAGGTTCCTCTGAAAAACTCCATCCCTAAAAATTTGCATAACTAAACTCTCAATATATTTAATTTACGTGCACCAATTGTTCTGAATTAAATTCTCTGTAATCCAATTTTGTCATGAAGAGATGAGAGTGCTTTAAAACGAGTTCCTACAAACCCTTAGCATTGTAATCTTGATTGTTTCTTATGTTTTCAATTGAAGGAATGCGTTGTTTCATCAATTGAAATAGATATCTATAAGAATTCATTTGTTTTCTATCTCTTGTAATATATCTCTTCGCCAGTTGATCATCAAATAAATAGGTAGTAGGAAATGCATTAGGAAACAAGTACAAGTAAGGAGGCAAAAGCAACTCTGCCCCAGGGACGATGAGAAAGAAAGAGAAAGGAATGAATTTTACTAAATCTTTTCTGATTCTTGTGATTTCAGATAGCATAAAAGCAGTTTTCTTTTGTGTAATCGTGTACTTTAACATCAGCTTAGCATCAACACATTGATCCCATGTGCCCTAACATACAAAATAGATCTCATACCTAATAAAGGATTTCCCAAAACTCATAAAGGAATTTGGAAACTTTGCCTTTTCCCTCCACTTTCTTTTGAAACTTTTCATGATTCAATACTCCAAAGCTGGGTATTTGAGACCTGAAGGTTTTAGAAAGTAATGGACTTTTCAAATTTCTGAAGATCATTTATTTTATTTGTGTTATTTAATAATCACTATTATATTATTATAAATTTAATGTAAATTCGTTAAGAGTAAGAATATATAATCATTTAAGACCAGATCTTGATTGCGAATCAATTAAAAATGCCCTTAGAAACATAAACTAAAGACTCAACAATCTTTAGAAAATAATACCCCCTGAAATCACTGTAGAAAAGGATCCAAAAATACCCAAATTGAATTTAAAAAAAATAGGAATAATTTCAGAAGAAAATAAATAAATACAAAAAAAAGTGACTGCTAATTTGGGAACTAATAACTAGAACCTACTAGAATAATAAAATAAAGCACCATTTAAAATGAGAAGTTAATCATTCAATCATCATATCGAATCAACATCGCTTGACATCAATTTAAAAGATTTTTATTGCTAAAATGCCTACACTACTCATGTTTAAATTGGGAAAACTCAACTCAATAATGATTTTGAATTTTAAAAAAGATTTCAAGAAATACTCAACAAGTAAAACGATAATAAGGAGAATCTTAAAAGAGAATGCCATTAGCTTATACCACCATCTCATATTGCTTAGCCTAAAGTGCAGCAAATAACTTAGCATCATTAATCTAAGATTAATACAACTCCAGTAAAGATCTTAACTAAGAAATCGCAGCCTAATCCACAAATTAATCATATTCAAAATTAGCATCCTTTGATTCATCAATAATTCTATGTGCAGTAACCCAATTAATAATATGTGAAGTATTAAATTAATAAAATCATAGGGTAATATAAAATTATGAATCCTCCAATTACCCAATAATATAGTATAGATATGCTCAACATCATAATTCAAGATCTTCATCATTTCATAACTTAGAGAACTATCAAGTTGAAAAAATATGAAATTATTAAAATTAATAAATCACTATCATTTTATTTCAGAAGTGTTCCAAGGTTCAATGTCATCAAAATTATCATCATAAGTCTGAATTCTATCACTTCTTATAATTTAAACTTCATTTGATGCTCTCGCTATGTTAATCCTGTCGAATTTTTTTATTGAAATTTATTTGAACGATTCTTAGAGTTTTCGAGGCGAATTAAATTAGGATTTATTTTGTTGGTTCACTTTTTAGGGCATTTTAATCTCAGATTTAATTTGATGATGACGTCTAGATTGATTATTTATCGTATCCTTTATTTGCCGATAAGTGTTGATTTTCTGACCATTAACATTATGCACAGTGAAGGATGGTTACTATTTTTATTTGGCTTATATTTCAATTTTATTATCTAGTAATGTTTGTAAGTAAATTTAATAAGCAGTTGGTTTAGGTGTGGGAAACTTTTTAAAATGATCAAAAAATGAAGCTTAAGTAGTTTTGATAAATTTCCTTGGTGAATGATATGTATACTTATTTTGTTTAAGTATTGGAGGAGTATCAGTTTTCACTCTTTAAGAACATTGAGGTTATTCATAATTTTTAATAAATCGCTTGTTGTATTGATAGCAATAATTATTTCTTAATTAAAGGAACCTATCATTCATTTTAAAAAATAAATGTATACAAAAATCAGTTCAATTAGCAATAGATACTTAATTTATGCAGTAGTTTTGAGCAGCTAATAGAATAGCATGAAATTATAGACTAGATCTATTTATGTTTTCATCTGAAATGAATTCCTTAAAATTGGGAGATATCTTGAAAGAATTTGGTCAATCAAATAAGTGAAATAATTGATATAAACATTTTAACATAAATTAAACAGTTTGCAAAAAATACACATAAAAAAATTGAGTTTATTCATCTTTAATTATTATCTTGTTTTTTATAGTTTATAAGAATAGATTCTAAATAATAGTTAGATTCAAGACAGAAATAAAATGAGAATATTGTATATAAATCTTAAAAATAATTTTTGGATTGATATAGTTAATCAAGTAGAATTACTACTATTTTCAGATTTTTTAAAGTATTCTAAGGGATATAAAAATAGATTAAAAAAGGTAGAGGATGAGAAATACTAGTTGGAAATGGAATGTAACACTAGAAATTGAAATCTAGTTTTTGATTATATTTTTATTATTATTATTAACAATGGCAGTCAATGATGAAAGATATGTATTCATAGTTGAATGGTTTGACACAAGTGCGTCTTTAATAAGGAGTTACAACCTCACATATTTCATGTCAGACAAGACTATTGAAATGGTAATATTTTAATTAAGGAATCTAGTTTGATTTGAAAAATAAAAGAATATTCTTGAAAAGATGTGAATACCCATCGATATAATTGAAAGATTTGTATGTTGGATCAATTGTGACAGTTTTTTCAAGATAATTAAAAATAGTGGATTATGCAGATGTATTTACTAGATCTAAATTCGAAGTGTAAAGAGGAAAGTAAATAAATTGTATAAATGTTAGAACATTTGGAATGATTAAGCCAGATGCATATACTCATATTGGTAAGATAATAACTGCAGTTGAAAGGAACGGTTTCGTAATTGGTAATTTGAAAATGACAAGAATGTAAATTGGAGATGCTTAGCAATTCTATGGAGAACATAGAGTAATTAAAAAATCAAATTGAATAGGGAAAACCTTTTTTCGATGAGCTAACTTAATTCATCTGCAGTGATTTTATTGTAGGTTTGGAGTTGATTGCCGATAACAGTGTCAAAAAATGGAGAGATCTTATTGGACCAACTAAATGTCAAGTTGCTAGAGTTGAGGCACCAAATTCAATGAGAGCCTTGTATGGTACAGAAGGGGTTAGAAATGCTTGTCATGGCAGTGATGCTCGTAAGTTACTAATATTATAAAATATAGCTGGATCTGCATAAAGGGAATTAGATTTCTTTTTCTCTGATAAGTCTAATCTAAAATCGACTGCTGTATTTAATAATTGTACTTGTGCCATAATCAAACCACATATTGTGTTAGAAGGAAGGGCTGGACAAATTATTGACATTATTTTAAGTGAAGGCTTTGAAATATCAGCAATGCAAATGTTCTATTTAGATAGAGCTACAAGTGAAGAATTCTTTGAAGTCTATAAGGTATAACTAACTTATTTATGATTTAATTAAGGGGGTCTTACCTGAATTCTAAGCAATGTCAGAACATTTAACATCTGGACCTTGTATTGCAATGGAAATCAGACAAGAAAATGCTGTAATAATTAATCATAACTATTAGGTGAAAGCTTTTAGGGATTTATGTGGACCACATGATCCTTAAATAGCAAAAACTTTGAGACCACAAACAATCAGAGCTAAATTTGGAATTGATAGAGTTAAGAATGCTATACATTGTACTGATCTTCCTGAAGATGGCATACTAGAAGTGGAATATTTCTTTAACATTTTACAATAAAAATGATATAATTGATGGACAATTTATTAATAAATCATTTATAATTAATTGTTTAAATACCATATTTCTATGTATCTAAAATATTTCAACATAAAATAACCACAAATAATTGTGTATTTATATGAAATGTGATTAATAAAAGCAATATCATATATATATATATATTTTTTCAGTTTTCATTTTTTTAATTTATTTACACATTCATCGATTTCAGCTATATATTGCTTGAATTTCTCCCAATTATCTAGTTGCAAAGTTATTCCTTTCTTGGTTGGTAACGACTATCCATCCTTACTAAAGAACTCTCTTATACTTATTATCACATTCCCTTTGAACTTAGATACAGATACTTTCTTAAATGAAGTTAACTTAAAATTTAGTAAAAAATCAGTATTTACTTCAAAAAAATACTGCCCGTCTTCAAAAGTGTAGTTGTTCTACTTGTTCTTTTAGACTTATTACTTTTTAGCACTAGAAGATCCTTTGGGATAATTGTTGTCTTCAGATGATGAACGATCTCTCATCTATTTCATTAATTAAGATTTAAATTAAAATGTATTATCCTTAGCCCTATTACCCATAAGCATATCCATAATACAGGTATTAACCCTATGGTGTACGTCCATAAGTACCATAGTAATGGAGACCACCTGTTTATAATGCTCCTCAATATCCCTATCCAGGATTAAGAATACCCCCGCCAACTTATCCATACAATCCATACGCTTCATCCATCATACCACCTACCTACCAGCCACAGCCAATGTTAAGTTAAATTATGGCTTCCCCTTAACGATAATTCTAATCTCCCGATCGTTTGAAAGGAGCTTAGTCCCCATCCAGAAATGTGTTGATGCAATCTCAACAAGTGCCCAAATCGCCAGCTCCTCAGTTGCAATCCCCAAATAGATAATTTCTTACTTATGAATAAGTACAAGAACGCATTCGTAATGCCTAACAGTAGCAACCTTAACCACCCCAAAATCAAAAATAATGTTTTTTTTATATCAAATACTTTAGATTCACCATAACCCAAGCCAAATTAATAAAAGCAATAACCTTAGGCTTCTAAATAAAAATAATAGCCAACCTAACCACCCAAAAAAGAAGATGATTTGGATAAGAGATACTAAAATGCTCTCAAAAGCACAGAAGAAATCATCAAAAAATACACAGTTGATGATTCCGGCAGCAAAGGTCGTTAAACCAATCAAGAAAATCATGAAGCAGAGGATGGCGATCTCTAAGGTACATACAAACATACATATATCTTTAGAATTGGCATTGTAATATGAAGATGGCTTTATTTATAGAGGATAGGGTTATCCTCCATAGACAAGAAGTGGATTTGGTATTTTAACAGATTCAGATGGACAATAAATATATGCTGGATATTGGAAGGACAACTTATATGATGGTTAAGGAAGACTGACAAATCTTCAAACTGAAGAATTGACAGAACAAATTGATTGGAATAATATGACAACTATTGGCAATGGATGGGCATCTTATGAAGGTACATATACTAATAATTCTATAGGAAACTTTTCACAAGGAAAGATGCATGGATAAGGAACACTAATCTTAACAAATAATGAACAATATTTTGGAGAATTCGAGGATGGGATGATACATGGTGATGGAGAATTCACAAATCTTGATGGATAAGTCATCAAAGGCAAATGGGACTAGGGATACTTAATTTAATTATCAGAATAAGATTGAATCATTAAAATAAATTTTACATATATATAAATTCATCACATCAAGCTCTATGTTTATTCATTTAAAAATCGAAATATTTATTAATTCCAATGATGATTTTTTCAATATCATATTTAAATATTATTATATATATTCTACAAATATTATGATCTAAATTCTTAACATTTCCACTTATCTATGCAAAAATCTGCTTTAACAATCTTAAACATTTTTATATGAATAAATTTAATGCCTTTTTACATTAATTATTTTAATTATTATGATCGATATTGATTATAAACGAATTCCTTAATGGTTATAAGAAAGAAACAAATTAAGCTAAGAATGGTCAAAAAAATATAAAGCTCTACAATTAAAACAAATAGAAATTTTAGGAGAAAGCAAAAGCACATACACTTTTCAAGATTGTTCTGAAGAATTAGAAAAATTGAAGAACTCAGATGAGGGGGCACAAAAAACGATTTTTGGAGGCTTCTCATCTAAATCCATAAAAACAATGGAGAATTTACTTAAGCTCTATTAAAAAGAAAATCTACACCTAATAAATATGGGACAGGCTTTAGTATAAGTTTTGACATATGACATGTAAATTTTTATTTAATTTAAGACCAGGAATTAAAAAGTAATTAATATTGAATGATTAATAATTATCATCCACAGAGCAAAGGATTATAGATTCCTAAGTCTAAATACAGAATTATAAGTTATAATTTGAAAAACAATGTAAGAAGTATGGAATTGAAGGCTAAAATATTGAGGAGGAAGTTCCTAATATGATACTGTAAATTCCACCTTTGTTCTAAGAAATCGAATAATTAGCATTAAACAATCAATCCATTTTAAATAGCATTGAATATTACAGATAGTTTTCTGTCTACACTAACCCCTCTTTGGATAAATCCAACATAATAACACATCTGGAATCCTTTGTGTTGAAGGGGAATTAAAAACCATTAGATTGGGAAATCATTGAAGCTCCTAAAACAGAAGAGATTGATTGGATGAAATATATCTAACCTTAATAAGTAAATATTCCCGACAGTGAACTATTGAATACATAATTTAGAAGCAATCTTATCATTAATTTAAACGAAGTAATATAGTATAAATAAAATTTTAGTTAATCGGATTTTATCAAGCAAGATTGGAATAACTAAAATAAGATTAAACTCTAGTTAATTTTGATGCTCAGAACAAACTATTTGAACTATCATAATAAGAAATATCAAGTTATTTGAATGTCTTGCATTAGTTATTAGACAAACTGATTAGTCCTTGGCTTAGATAACTTTTGCAATTGAAATCATCTGTTAAGTAAATAATATAGTAAATTTAGAACTCAATAGAGAATCATTAAAAATCTGGAAGAATATGCTATTTCAATTAAAAAGAGTGAATCGAACATTATTCATTCCTAAAACAAAATAGCTGATTTGAAATCTGAATAATTCAAACTATAGAACTAATTAAGAGATTTACAAAGTTAGGTTAGAAAGATGAAATAGTTTACAGAGAAACAATTCACAGATTTATTCAAAACAGAAATCAAACTGATTGGATGTGATTGTTGATAATATAATACAGATATCAATTTTACCAATTAATTTCATGTGGTCTATTTTTAAAAGGGTCTGGACTGAGAGTGATAGCATAAACATCTTTTACATTATTCAAATATATTTGGCCTTATATTAATTATAAATATATTAAGTTGGCTATTATGCAACATACTTCAGATAAAGTAGGGTTGCTATTCATAGGATGTGATATTTGAAATGCCTGATTTACTATATAGTAATTAAAGTACTTTTTAAAATTGATTCAACAATATTTTATTGCTCTTTTAATTGATCAACCAAACTTTTCTGCATAAATTCCTATAGCAGAGCACTTTCAATTGATCCATCAAAATTAATAGACTTCTCTTAATCCAAATTTATCTGTATTTATCAATGGCTTCTTATAATCCTGCAATATTTCCTTATCTTACACATGTGCATAATTAATCATATTCTTTAAATTATTCAATCAATTCTTTTTTTGGATATCTTCCCATAAACATATTGATGGGAATTAAGTATTTTAATACTTGTTTAGCACATGATATTCCTTTCTATGTTCTTGGACATTCCTATAAAACTTGAGTTAAATGTTATGATGCATCTACAAATTTAGAATGAAAGATAAGGATTCTACCCTTATAATAATGATAAGTAACTTAATCCTGTTTAGGAGAGGTGAAAAGAAGATTTTATTCTTTTTCAACTTTATCACAATCAGCAGCTCTATCAAATTTAAAGCCTTTAAAATAAATCTTCATTTATTAATTAGCATTCAGCAATTTAAGTTTTTACATGTTCTTTGTATTGACCTCCCTTCCAATTTCTTAGAATATTTGTAAGCTTTTGCTCTCCAAAGTCTCTTAAGCATGAGAGGCTCTTTTTACAGCTTCAGAATCCTTTGCTTTTCTTTTCATGATCTATACGATCTTATATTGTTCACTAACAACTTGCTTACACAAAAATTGAAATATTTATTAACGTTACTCATCTAGAAGCCACTTCGTATTTTTAAAAAGATTTTCAAAATGATCTATAACATGAGCACTTCCTCTTTCTCTCTCTACATAATATAAGAGTAAACTGCATAGGAGGTCAACCCATCCTGGATGACTTAAACGAGCATTTTCATTTAATTTCTTGCATGCTTCTGAATCATTTTCTAATCTCAATTGTTTCAAAGTTTATTCTAAATCCAATCCTAATAGACTTTATTCTTTTCCAGCAAATATACGTTTCAAACAACTCATTGCCTCTAAGCATTTCCCCTCACGAAAATACCTTAAAATTATGAGAAGAGTATTTTCTGATTTTTTGGCAATCATATATTTTATTTAATTAATGGCTGACAAAATTAGGTACACTTTAGAAAAGTTTATTCCTGATCTCCTGGCTCTCTAAAAAAAACAGGTATTCTCTAAGGATGAAGTCAAGAGACATCCTCCACAAAAGGGAAGAATTCGAATACATGTTATAGCGTAGAACACACAATCTAAGCAATTACATGTAATTACTCGACTATGAATACGGGTTGGAAAGACTCAGAAGACAACGAAATAAGGAACGTTAAATAAAGAAGGTTACTACTAGGGATTATGCCATTGTGAAAAGAATAATTTATATTTGGGATAGGATCATGAATAAATATCGCTACAATATCGATTTGTGGAAACAATATTTGAGTTTTTGTTATATCATTGAATCCAAAAAACACTTCTTTAAAGTTATAACAAAAGCCTTGAATTTCAATCCATTCAATACTGATCTATGGTTGGCAGGTGCTCTCTTTGAATTAGAAAAAGCTCACAATCCAATTAAAGCAAGGAAAATATTTTACCAGGCCTTAAGAATTAACAATAAAAATATCGATCTATGGGGAAGTTATTTAGATTTTGAATTGAATTGAATCAATTGCAAGTTGGACAAGAGTAGAAGGAGGAAATCAAAAATACTGATGGATTTATGCCTTTGAATACAGTGGAACCAATTACTCAAATTAAATCGAAAAAACTTGAAGGAATTAAATAAATTATTTAATTGGCATTTGAAAACTGTGATAATACTGAGTTAAGAAAATTATTCAAAAAGATTTTACTTAGACATAATCAAAATGAATTGGCTGAAGAAGTTTATGAAACAACAAAATAATTAGATAATTCGGATAAAATAACTCAATTTCTTATTGAAAATTAAAATGATCCTGAGGTTTTTGATAAGTTAAAAGAACTCAATGTTGATTACTAAGATGAATTATCATAATTATTTAAAGAAAAAGCAGATTCTTTGGATAGTTTTTGGTCACTTGCTTTTTCATAGCCAGAATTATAACCAATTCTATTAGCAGAAACAAAAAATAAATCAATAAAATTAAAAATTTAACTTGTTTAAAAAGGATATTTATAGATTGAGTAAATAAATGTATCAGAAATTTCAAAATTAAAAAATAAAAAAGAATTACTTGAAATATTACTATTATTAGTACATTTACACAAAAAGGAGTTCTCGTTTGATATTGCTAAATAATGTCTTTTAGGATAAACAGAATTATTTGAATTGTTCTTAGATGAATATTATCCATTACTCAATTAAGAGGAATAATAATAGCTTCTTAATTGGTTGGAAAAGCAGAAATAATTTTGTCCTTTGAAATATCATAAATTAAGAAAATTAGATTTTGTGCAACTAATTAAATTAACAGAATATCATCCAAATGTAGATACTTGGAAATTTGTCTTAGAATAAACAAAGTAGTAATTTCCTTAAAAGATTACTTAAGTTATGACTAGCATATAATTTTTAGACCCTTAAATAAGAAATCAATTGTTAAAATGATTGTGTTATTCTGTTTTTATGTATAAAAATTAAGAAATATGTTATTTATAAATAATTTAGAAATCAAAGCGACCGTCATCACTTTATAGATTTAATTTTGCCAGCCAAATATTAAGGAATTGTAAGTCCACTTCTTGGAGTTCTCAGACTATCTCTTAATTGATAGCTAAAATAGAGTTCTGCTCTTGTATATTTGGGTGTTCTTATTTTTTTTGGTTGATCAAAAATATTGTGATTCAATTAAACATTTGCTTCTTTAAATACATCTTATTTGATGCTAGGGCATCTTTATTTTTCTCTTCTTGAAATAATTAAAGATCTTATTTATTGTTATCTTTCGTCATTTCTAGAAGGTGATGAAAACCTTGGACATCCTCTGGTTCTATTGCTTTCCTATTAATTGATTTCCATTGACGAATTTTATTCCTTATAAACTATTTTTTTGGACTAATTCAATTTGACTATTGTTTACAAGCATTTATGCCATCATTAAAGGATTGTTTTTTATTTTTCTGGGTTTAATAGTACAAGGCATTGCTTTATAAAATTTATCAGTGTGAGTATTTTGATATATTTCAAGTTCATTTTTACTTTCCAAACATTCTTGAAATTTCTTAAACAAGGCAGTATCATATAATTCGCTTTTTTATTTGTCCATAAAATTTTTAACAGTATTAATATGTTTTTCATTTTTTTATATTCACCTTTAAGTTACAATAGACAACTATATCAATTGTAAAATATTTCCTAAATTTATAATAATGTTTGTTTATAAAAGATCCCTGAATTTTGTATTTATATATTGTATTTTTACTAAACATAAGGAGAAATAAGAATTATGAATAAAAACTAAGAGGTTATTCTCAAAAAAGTATTAGAATCGGAATGAGCTATATCATTATAACAACTAATTCAATTTATAAAAAATATCAAATGGTATAAGTTGTGAAAGGATTTTATAATAAATTAGATGAAAAAGCGCTTTATGAAGCTAATTATTACCATCAGAAAATAGTTGTTTATAAAATGTGTGCATAAACTGATAATATTATTGTTATAATGACTCCAATAAAATTAAAATCATAATTGATTATCAAAGTAAAGTTCTGTTTCTGTCATTACAGTTTATTAAAGATATCTTTTTTATTCTTTTTAAAAATGTAAATCAATAAATTCACTGTCAAAAGAAATAGAAATTAAAAATCCAGTAAAATTTCAGAAAATTTAAAGTAATGTTCAATATCCTTATTCTTATAGAATTTATAGATGCCATCATATAAGGCATTTTAAATCATGGTGACTATGAGAATTTGAGTATTCATCTTAATTTGAATAAAGGTTAGATAATATATTTCAAATTCTACTAATTTAATAAAAATCATGAATACTCCAGTATCAAACTTTTAATTAATAATCATTTAGAAGTAGTTCTGTTAGTCAAGCATAATCTATTTTATTATTTATCAAAAAGAGAAAATAAGGGTAAAAAATCGTTGTCTTAATTGGTTCCCTTAAAAACCAAACTATTTTATAAATGAGCGTGAAAATTTTTTGAGACTAAATATTATTAACTATTATCAGTTATAATTGGCTTCGAATAAAGTGGAAGGCAATTTATTTGAGGAAGTCAAATTAAAAATCAATTAAGAGGACTGAAGAACAAGGAGAACTTTCCAAAATAACTAATTTGGAGTAAATCAAAATAAAAAAGCAGTCAAAATATAATTGTTAAATAAGTAAATATTTCAAAGCTGAAATTAAGGAATAGGATGGTTTAGTTGTAAATGGAGAAACATAAATTTTTATGTAATTCTTATTTATTTACTCGCATTTCGTAATTAATTCTGTAATTTGATACAGGAATATTTTAAGAATAAAGGAATAAATTTTAAATTATAATTTCTTGATAGGTAACTTATTTCAATCTATAATATTGAAAAAAATTTGACTAGGTAACTAGTTATGTTATTGACTATAAAATTATTTATAAGCCATTTATAATTTTCTCAGTATTTTGAAAATATTTATCATAAATATTATTTATACTATTCTATCTGATTTTTAAAGTTTGTAATCTGATGTGGTTAATTATATATAAATATGTAGAACTTAGAGCTAGAAATAATTGGATGATATTAATAGGGGACAATTTAGTATGCTTCTATATAAATATAATTAATAAATAATTTATTTAATGGGAGCTTGTACATCAACCAAGCAAAAGAGATATGAGATTGTAAGAACATTGATGCCATATAAGTAAAGTTTATAAGTAACGGTTTAGAGTTCACATAATGGCAATAATTTGGCCGAAGAATTAGCACAACTTATTTGATTTCGAGTCCAGTTCGTATTGTGTGAAGGAGATAGAGGTTGATTTTTCAGGTAATTTATAGTGAAATCTATTATTTTAGCTCAATTAGCAACAGTGGATAAGGAACTTGTGGCTTTGACGAAAAGTGAATGGGCTCGTAACTCGATTGAAATAGCAAATATTACATTAAACGAATAATAAGCTTTTATTAACAGCATATCCTAATAACAAGATCATAAATTATGGGCAGTGTTGAAATCAGAGGCCAATTAGTTTTAATCGATAGATGTAAGATGTTTCATAAATATAAAGCATTTGGATTTAAAAATTGGAGATATAGTAAAGTTGGGACGAGTAAGGATGCAATTATTAGAATATGCATTCATGCCTACTTGTGATGAGGCAACCCAGTATCAAGATGAGTAGGAGGAGGATATTTAAACAATTAGTGATGTTGCCAGTTGCAGAATATGCTTTTCAAGTAAGGCAAGTGAAACAAACCCTTTGATAAGTCCATGTAAATGTGAGGGATCAGTAAAATACATTCATTTGGAATGCTTATAAAAATGGATAGGAATTTAACTAAAAATTAAATAAGGTGAACATTTCATCTAATATCTTTGTAAAAGATTGGATTGCGAAATTTGCAAGTTCACATTTAGAAATACTTACACCTTTTAAGATAAGAGTTACTCAGTTCTCAAATTGCCAAAGCCAAAATCCTCTTATATAACTTTCAAAATCACCAATGATGATAAATCGAAAGAGGCTATGATCTACGTAGTTGAAATAGGTGAAAAGACAGAATTGAAAATTGTAACTATTGATTCCTAATAAATCTAGGGTAGAATTCCAGATTGTGATATTAAATTGAGGGATATCTCCGTTTCTCGATCCCATGCTATGATGAAATTGATACCAACGAGTAAACACACAGCTGAAAATCCAGATTATATAATTAGAGTTTAGGATTGTAAAAGTAAATTCGGAACTTTGGTTTTGGCTCAAGATGAAGATTTGCTTGTAATACCAGAAGATGGAAAATCTCCAATCTTATTTTAAACTGGAAGAGTTTTATTACAATGTGTTCAAAAAAAAAAAATAAATTAAAAACCTGCATACAAACATCCTGATAATGTAGTATTGATTTAAATAGAAACAAAACCATAATTAGATCAATAAGAGTAAATGTAAGATTCATTTGTTACTCATGATGAACTTACTGCTGGGGATATTATCATTAATAATTCTTAAAACCCGCAAAAACCTCAAGCCAATATGGATGTTAAGGAAGATAGTATCTGCGATGAAAGATGATACAAAGGTTAGTATTATTTCATTGATTTATTTTAATATTTTATATATTAATTTCATATTTGATTTATATGAAAAAAAAATAATAATAACCATCATAACCACAATGTTAAACACCAAAATCAAAACATATTATCCAGCCAATCGCATCCCCCAATTCAAATTCGAATTCTTTTTCACAAATATTTCAATCTTATTATCCACGTACTCCTGTTAGAAAAGTAAATCAATAAAAGTAAATTTTGAAATAATCAATTTAGAAAAGATTAGCTTGGTTAAGTAATGGAAAAAGGGGTAACTAAATACGCAGTAGTTACTTAAGTAACTTTTAATTCTACCACTAAATTTAAATCTTTGCCACTTCAAGAACATTTCGCTCAATTTTAAGTTTATGATAAAAGAAATAAAATTGCTGATAATGAATGGAGCCTTTTAAATCTAAAATCATCATCAACCCTCTCAAATAAAACACAATTATTTTATACCTTAACTAATGTATTTTAAGAATATAAACAAAACCCGAATAATTATTTCATGATTTCAAATGCATTATTTTTGGCTTTTTTTTCATATTCAAATTAGAAAATACCATATTGTCTTTTTATCACAAGACAGGATGCTTTAAATAAATAACTTTAGAAATCATAGTTTTTAGAATAGAAACAAATTGAGTCTACAGTTTTAGGTGTTGAAACTCCATTGTCAGTGTTATTTCCAACTAATCCAACTTAATTTCCGACTAAATACACATTATCATTAATCTAGAGAAAACACATTTTATACTTATTCAATATTATACTTAATATAGGAATAGAAAAAGAGACAATGGATGTAGCTGCTAATTTTACATTTCATAATTCTTATTTCAATAGTGTTCAAACATATAATGGTGTTGACTAGATTGAAAATGAAACATAAAATTTATTTGATAATAATACAGAGTATAAAATATCATTTGAGGGATTGTTTAACATTCAACAAATTATCGATCTAAAAAATCAACTTTAAAAGAGTAATCCTGACATAGTAGTTTCTGACATCAAATTAAGTCCATTAACAACTCTAATTAATGATAAATTACTTGAATAGATAAATAATGAATTATAATGAATATTTTAATCATTATTATTACTACTTAAATAATTAATCAACATCTTCATCCTATTATTAATTTCATTCCCTTCATATAATTTTTATTTATTGTTTTATTCATCTTCCTCATCATTTTTTCTATTTATTCCTCTCTCTCATAACCTTTCTCTGTTTCATCATCATCAATAAACAAACTAGGATCGTTAACAAATAAAGACCTTCCTGTCATTTACGAATTATTTCGATCCTAAAATAGTTTTCTAATTTTCTACCTTTTTTCTAATTTTTATTTTCAGCTTCCAATTTTTTCTTTCAGCCCTCTCTTTACACTTTTCGAAAACCTCCTTAATAATTTTAGTTCTTCCCTTTTATAACTACTAAATTTATTCATCTATTTCTTCTTCTAGATCGCCTTCTTATCTTTGTTTTGGTTCTTCTTTCTTTCTTTCTTTCTAAATACATACCTTATAATGACATTTCATTCCATTTTCATCTATATTTGCCTTTCTCTAAAGCGTCCAAAAAGTAATCGCAATGAGAAAACGTATAAGAGGTTTATTATTCCGATATATCCTAGTTAAATTCCATCTGCTAAAGTTTATAAATCAAGTATTGCATATTTTTATTCCAAACTTATATCATGAGAATAAATGCATTTCTTACCCTTCTAACATAGTCCTAGCCTTATCATGTCAACCTACCTTATTTGTAATATTCATATAGAATTGATTTTGGATTTATTTCCTCCTCAGATTCTTCTTCCTTTTTCCACTGTTTTATATAGGGATTGTATCAATCTTTGTTCCTCTTCAAATTACTACTTAATCTTTTTTTCTTTCAAATTCTTCTTATGTAATTTTGTCAAAGAAACATCATTATGCTTCACCTATAAAAACTAAAATCAATAATAGAATTACTTTTGGACTTATTTACTTTTGTTCTTATTCTTTAAACCAAAGGTTGTATCTTCAATAATTTTTTTTTTTCACTCTTTTTACTCATCATTGAAATAATTTAAATTTATCAAACATAAGTATTTTAATAATTTGAATTGATGTAATAGTATAAAATTGAAAATACTAAAAAATCTTTCTTGATTTAATTTCGATATCAATATTTATAATTTACATAGATATAAATAAATCCAGTTCTTTTCATTATAAAATTTTTTTGAAGGGCATGATGGTGTCTAGTTGTCTTTTACTGACTTTAGGACTGAATAAGTGTCTGTGTATATTAATTGTAGTTTATGTACTGAATTGTCTTGTGGAGTTTTCTTTATTATATCTTGTTGTAGTGGTGTTAATAGTTTTCCTATCTGTTAATTGCTTTTTGGAAGAGAAAGATTTCTTATCTATATCAAAGAAAGGAGTAAATGGTTCTGATAACATTTTTCTATGTTTAGGTGATATGATTCTAAGTAGCATAAAATAGTACCTTTTTTAAAGTAAAGCATGACTGAAAAGACTTGAATAGTCTTTTTCAAAGACTGTTTTATACAATTCAATAGAGGTTTAAGGTATTTATGAGCTAGTTTTCTAAGATTTTTTATCACTTAATAACCTTTCCAATCTTTCATGATGGAATTTCTTTTCAACAGATTATGAGTTTTTCTTGTCAAATTATTGTATAGTTTCAACTGGTAATAAATATAGTTCGCACTGAGATGATTTTGAAATAGCTCTGTATTCTCTAGGTATGGATTGCTGAACTTCTTCATGTCCAAAGACACAACCTATTTAAAGTAAAGTAATTGAGACTGTTTTATTCTTAGGAAATACCTTGAGTAATTCGATTTCTCCTTGTTTAATAAAATAGATGTATTCTGGAATAGAATTCTCCATATAAATCACACTAAACATCGAAGGTTTTTAAACAATAATATTTTCCAAAATACCTCTAAGTCTTTTATCAGATAATTTGCTAAAGAGTTCAAAATTTCTGAGTAGAGAAATCTTTTCATTTTTAACCTGATCATGATATTATTATAAAATGGCTTGAAAGTCTGGATTGGCTAACGTTATCATTAATGTATCCTGAGTACACAAGACAGTTGCTGTTCTAGTCACATTACCAATAAGAGCGATTTCTCCAAATTAGTCGCCACTACAACACATATTAACTATGTGTAAACTTGGGAAGAGTCTTTTCACCAAATTATCCAACCATTTATCTACTGATATTTGGTTGGGATTATTAGTGTATTCTTCAATTAAGGATTCTTAATCGACTTTTTGAATATCTACAAAAAATCAACTATATAATTGAATAATTACTGATTCCTAAAAAATTGCCCATAAGCCTGTGCCATAATTATATCTTTTAGGGCTCTATTATTGAAGGCGGACAATCGAGGACTGTAGATGGCCGATTATCTCCTCAGTTATTACGGATTAGAATCTATTCCTTTCTTGTACTCTTCGATAACCTATTGGTGAGTAATGCTTTTATCATTTGGACACAAAATTGCAACCTAACCCTGGAGAATTACATAAAACTATTCAACATTATTAGAACCTACCTATCAAAATGATGTTACCATAATGAAATATGACTTCTCCCTTTTTGAATTCTTTCAATTAGATCTTTTTAAGCATTTAACAATATAATGCTGGATCAAATAACTACTATTTTTCTTTGAAGAATTTAATATCTTGAACTCCCTTTGCAATTACATCAATAATATCTTTGCTTCTATTGCGATAAGCCAATGCTTGTTTCAAATCACTCAGACTTTTTTTTTAATCCATTATAATATTATAGTTATAATCAACAAACTCTGAAATTCTGACCACCTACCCACCTAGACTTGTTTTCGTCCCTGTGTTTGAAATCTGCCGGATTGCTATATGGATTGTCATACAAAATAAAGGGAGTCCCCCCTTTGATTGTGCTCACAACACTTGTCCTAATGCTTCTAGGTCCAATTATTTATTTGTCTTTTTATCTCTACTCCAACCTATCCCTCTCTATATTTGTAATATAAGGAGAAGAGCATCTGACTATTGGGTGTTCTCTGCATAAATCATAGTCCTCCTTAGTAGTATTACCCTTTGAAACTCTAGATTTTGCAGTTTGAACTCTGGTCAATTTAAAAGTACGACTTTAAGTTGTAGATTAGGGCCTTTATCTAATCCTCTATCCAGTGCTAGCCAACATTGAAGTATTCATAGTTCCAGGCACCTATAAAATATTGAATACCTAATAGATACCCACAAAGGCTCATTTTCAGGCAATAATTATTCATCTATATTGGGATGCAACATCTATCTAATTTCAGCAGCTGTTTTATTGAACTTCTCAGTTGTATCCCTATGTTCATGATTCAATTTGGTTGAAAACTTAGCAAACTTAGACTTTTCTAGATCAGTCTCCTCTGTTGATTGCTTAGTCCTTGGAGACTACTTCTATCTCATTGTTTTCATGGCCTCTTGTAATTGTCCTTGATCATTAATAGCATTATTCATAACAATCTCCAATTTCTTTGCCTTTTTACCTGTAAATCCCACATGCTTAAATTTAGTTAGCACTTCAAAATTAAAAACTGTTCTTTCACCCTTTTATTGGCTTTCTGCTTATTATTTAGTCATGTTCTCTAAATCTAACTTGTTCTTTCTTAAATCATTATTAGCTTATTAGATAGTTAATGGTTTATTAACACAAGATCGTATTTAAATCAAATAATGGATAATGAAGTTTCTAAGAATTAATTGTGTTTCTGGATATTTTGGATTAATATCAAATTATAAACCAACAATGTTTTCATTTACTGTAATAACTTGAGGTCCTTTTGATGAATCTGCTAAAATAACAAATGTCTTCTTTGGATTCAATACATTGAATGGATGGATGTCCCATGCATGTTTAGAATGAACTAAAAATTCTTACATAACATCCTTAAATAAGTAATTTTAAACGAAGTTCTTTTTTATCAAGCATATTTCCTCATCCTATGTAGATGTATAAAGTCCATAAATTTCCTTTATTTTTTAGGGTTTATAAACAGGAGCCTGCAACATGTACTTTCCAACTGTATTGAACTCTTCAACAGCTCTTCTAGAGTGTATACCACAATTCGCTATGGGAATCCAACAATTAGCTGATTCTACCTTATCGAAGTAGATCCCGTAGAGATCACCTGTTATGCTGTCCAAAAAATATTCATGCTTTGTCATTTAATCAAGGGACTTTGAAAGTTTGCTCATATCACCAAGAGGTCCGCCCTATGGACCATTTACCACCTCAACTGGCTAACAATATAAACTTATTCTTACAGTTTCTAAGTTTGTGGCTACAAAAAAAACCAATGCTTGCATTGCTCCAGCTGTAGCTAATAAAACTTTATTAGTTCTTAAGCACATTCTAATTAATATCATAACCTAATATGAGAATTAGACATTTACTTTTTTTAAATGCTTCGACCATGGTCTAAGGTTGGCATCTATTTCTATGAAAACAAAATCTATAAAATTAAATTAGTTTGCTGCTTCTTATTTAGAATAACCAGAGTCTTAATCGTAAAGGAATTCATCCAAATCATTTGCATCTCTAGAAAAAAATTCTGTCTCTGTATCCAATAATTCCTTCTAATTCAAGAATAACTATATGATATTTATAATGCTTACTTTTCGTATTTATCCACAATATCTTTCAAATTATTGTTTACCAGTTTCTGATTTTCCATATCCATTAACAATTAATATTCTCATTATAAAAATAATCAAATTAACAATTTATAAATCACTTTCATCCAATTTTAACAGAGAATCAAGATAGATTTAGAATTAAATATAAGAACTTAATAGAATACCAATATTAAATAATAATAATCATCTGTTCCTTTTACTAGTTTCACTTTGATGACTTTGAGGTCTATTACTGCTTTTAATTTAACTCATTTTGACTTCAAATTTTAGCTTCTCTATTTGATCTTTTAATTATTGTCTTTCCTTTGAAAGTTTGATGATATCATCCTTAAGCTCACTGATTTCTTTATCTTTTTCTTTCAATGAATTTTGTAACAAAGACTTTTCCTATTTAAGATACCCTTAAAACTGTTGTTCTTTCAACAAATTTTATTAAAGTTCTTCCTTTTACATTAATAATTCTAAAGATGTATAAATATTATATGCATACCAGTAAATTTTCTCTCCATATTCATGATTTCCTTATTCTATCTTTCAAGCATTATTTGAAATTTAGTGTTTTCAGCACTCAATTTCTTTACTTTATCTTAAGTTGGCTTGTCGTAATCATTTTCAAATTACTATTTTTAATTGTACTCCTATTTCAATTTCTCTTGAAACTATTTCAAATCCTGTGCACATTCTAATTTTGTAGTATAAAGTTGGCTATCCTTTTCAAATTATAGCTTTTTTATCTTTTCTTCTAGCTCTTTCATCCTCTTATCTTTATCAAAATGAGATGGTTCTAAAGATTAACTTTTTGATATCTTATCATTAGAATTACTAAATTTATAATTAGATGATTATTATGTATAATGATTTGCTTTATTTAATTTTTGTAGTTGTGTTATTGTTTTTTTTGCATCATCTAGTTCTAACTAGAGTTAAAATATTTGCTCATTTTATTTAGTTTAATTTTAATCAGAATGCTTTTCAACAAAATTATTTTTTTTAATTGAATTATTCTATGAATCAGATCTCAATTATTAGTTCTCTGAATTTTTGATTATAGACTACAAGTGCTAATTCTCTAAAATGAGTTTATCTAATTTTCCTTAGAGGTTTTGATTTTTCTATTTTGTTTCTTTGACTTCATTAGTTAATATTTAGATTTCTTAGCTTCTTTTTGCTGCTAAAATTCCTAGGGCAGCATCAGATGATAATTTGCTATCATTTTTTAACGTTTTTTTTTATTTTAATAACTCATTTTCTGATTTTATGTCTTCAACATTTTGTTTAAGGGTTTGATTTTCATTTTATAATTAAACTTAGTTCTTGACCTTAGTTTCTAATTTTTAAATGGCTTTAACTAGAATTTGATTTTCAACAATTAGGTTTTCAATCTATGAATCTTTTTAATTTTAGGTCCTATCGAACGAATTTAATGATTATTTAGCCTTACTATTTGTCTTATCACTTATTTGATTTGCTTAATTATATTCTTTTTCTGTTCTTTGAATAGCATTCTGTAATTCATTAATTTTTTCTTTGAGTAATTTTTAATTGAAAGGAGGCTTGAATTTATCTGATACACCTTGCGAATAATAATTGTGACTTGGATTTGATTAACTCATTCAAACAAATTTTGAAATATAATTATTACGTTTATTTTGTTTTGAATTTAATTTTAAAACACTAAATTAAAGACAATGTTGATAAATTTATTTTATATATGTAAAATTTACGTTTATCACTATTATTATTATTTCTATAACATTTGTGGAGGAATGTTGCCCATCATACCGCCTGGGGGTTATGCAAATGCAGTTTTTCCCAATAATTAAACAACTCCAGTTTCAATTGACTTTAGTAATTCCATCATATCTGGATCTTAGAATAATTCTAAAATAGAGGGAATATTGTACATGGATTTTCAAGATTTGAAATATAGTCTTCTTCTTCATAGCTATGTTCTTCGAATATCATATCTCCCATAACTAAATTTAATACCATTGGAACCAATTATCCAGATTCGTAGTTTGTAGGCAATTTGTCAATCATATTCTTCAAGAAATCTTGTTTCTCATTTAACAATTTGATTTGATATCTGATGATTTCTTTTGTTGCATTCATCTAAACCTACTTCTACTTTGGTAGTTTGTCCTTGATTCTTTATCTTGCTGAAGCTTGTAACATGAATACATGTTATCCAAGTCCTCTTTCCATTAACAACATTTCGCTTTGTTCGAGTGTTTATTGTGAAATATCAATTTTCTTGCAAATTTCTTCTTATGCCTTCATCAAAAGATTTTCAATATCGTTAACATAATCCAACAATAATTGAACATATTTAGCTCCATCAGAATAAAGGACTTCCCTTCTGGCCTTTCTGTTTTCTAAAGTAATTCTAATAAATTCAGGTTCAGCCAATTCAACACTGCCTTCAACTATTTAAGTGTATGTCTTAATGCTAATCATGTTATTGGTGTTTGGGATGTGCATAGTTTAAATTTATGAAGCAATTTCGTTTAATTTGTCACTCTTGAATGTGTAATTGTCTTATGATTAGAATAAATTATGATACTTTTATCGTTTCCTTCATTTTTTGGTTGCACATCTAAGGTTTTATGAGATTCTTAGGTTTCTTTGGGTTTGAAGACTTCTAATTCAGCTAATTTTGAATCAAGCCATTCATTGGTTTCTTTAATTTTGTCAGTCACTGATAAGTTATTACCGACCCAAGGTAATACAATACTATTCACTTATCCTTTAATGAGAGATGGATTAAGTAATAATTCATCCTTATCATTTTTAAAGGCATATTGAGTGAGTGATTTTAATACAATAGGTTCTAGTTTCTTATCTTTAACCTTTTAGACCAAATCCTTAGCATCGTATTATCTCAAATTTTTGATGTTTATTAAGAAAACTCTTTATAATGAATCTTTGAGGGTGTATAATCTCTCAAATAGTTAATCAAAATGTTTCATTAGGTTATGTTCGGTCTGCTCAACCACTTCCCAGTTGACCCTACAAGATGAAGACAAGAATACATTTTTTCATCACCCAAAGAGGCCAACACTGTCTCGATATTAGCTGCCAAATCTTCAACTGTAATAGACATTCAACCACAAATTAATTAAATTTAATTTATATTTCCCCAACCTTTTATTTTGTATTTCGCTAAATATAATACTATATCTTTATAACATCAACATCATCTACAATTTTCTACTTTCAACTAATTATTAAATATATTTTTATAATCACAAATCTCAGATTTTATTAACATTCCTAAATTTCTACTTAAAAATAATTTTGCTATGACAGCCAACCGGCTTAATATTATAATTTAAGAATATCCTTTATCATTTGCATTATAAAATAATAGACAAATCAAACTTATTGATAAATCATAACGCTCAACTATTAGAATTCGTTAAAGAAGGTTTGTTATAGAAGATTAAATCAAAAATGTTTATGAACTTTTTCATTTTCAAGAAGAATTTATTATAAAATGCAAAAGGATCAAAAAAAGTCGTTCTAAAATGTGATAGATATATCTATAAATGAACGACAATTAAATTATGATTATTATTTAAACAAATTAGATGAATATAGAAATTAAGAATTTAAAAATCTTAAAAAGGAAGGAAGATGCTAAAAAAATCAATTATACTTTTTTTATTTAAGATTTGAATAACCTTAAAAATAGATTGCCCATCTCTAATAAATCTAAAAAAAATTAGGTATAAAATTATTGAAACTATTCACAAAATAATCAAAAAATTTTGAGAGTTTTCTTATAAAATTACTATTTGAATGTGTTTAATTTGAATTAGTAGAACTAATTGATAGAATCTAATGAATATTAAACTTCAGCTATTTAATGGTTAGAGGTATATTTTTTATGGATAAATCAAAAATAATAAACAATGTGGCTGTAAATTATTTTAACCATAAATTGCATTCCTTATTTCAGCAATAGGCTAATTGTGCATATGTTAGGTAGTAAGGAAAGGATCAACCTATGCATTATTAAAGTAGCATGTTGCAAATAAACAATTTGGTAGAACTACTGAGGAGATTCTATAATGGAAAATTCGTATAGATGAATAAAAATTAATATGATTGTTTATTAAATTATAATTTAAATACAAAGAGATGTCTAATTACAGTCTGATGTTTAAGTATATAATCATAGGGGATACAGGTTTAATTGTTATGCAATGATTAGGAGTAGGAAAGTCGAGCATCCTTTTGTAATTGATTGAAAATGAAATCAGAGAGTAACATGATGCCACAATAGGTGTTGAATTCGGAGCAAAAATCATTAAAGTGAATGGGATGAACATCAAATTGTAGATATGGGATACCGCTGGTTAAGAGAACTTCAGATCTATTATTCGTAGTTATTATCGATCAGCTATTGGTACTGGAATATTATATCTGAAGGAGCTTTACTGGTGTACGATATTACGAATAAAAACTCGTTTCATAATTTGCAAAGATGGATGGAAGAGATAAAAAATAATGGGAATGCCAATATGGTAATTGTGCTATGTGGTAATAAGATTGATTTGGAATCCGAGTAATTAGCATTGATTTTATGTAGAGGCGAGCAGTAACATATGAAGAAGGGTGGTAATATGCCCAATCATAGTCACTGATCTTTCTTGAGATATCTGCCAAACAGGGTATCAATGTGCAATCAGCATTCTATTAATCAACACAAAGGATCTTGCAGGAGATTGATGATCAAAAAATACTGCTTGGATAAGATGTAATGATGTTATTTTGATGTTAAGCCAGGAATCAAGATTGGGGGATAGTATAAAAAGAGGGATAAGGAAATACAAGTAATAAACACTTATGAAGAAGCTGTTTAGTTGAAAACAATAGATACTCCTAATGGAAATAATTGTTGTTGATACTTGTTATAATCTATTCATATTAATAATTATTATTATTATCTATAATAATAAAATAATGAAAAGAATTTTAGGTTTATTTAGATTTGGATCAGGTGGACATGGCCATCACCATGTTAAATTAAACACAGTCTAAAATTGGATTTCAAATGATAGTGGCAAATTAGTTTGCATCACTGGCTTCACTGATCTCCATGATCACCCTCACCATGACAATACAAATCCATATCAACATCTAGTGGATGCTCCCTTTTTCAGGTTTCTGATATCACTCATATGTATAGTTTTGAGAGATTCTATTGGTCTGACCCATATTTCCATGCCGATGAAACTGATCCCTTGGCAAATTAACCTCATGGATACTTAGTAATGGATGATGTAAATTTTTATTTGTATCTCTAAGCCCCTTAATTAATAAAATAATGTCGAGTTACCACTTTATGAATTGATTTTCGTATTTTCTGGAGCACTTGTATGAATAATAACCTTAATCTGTAGGGTTTAATCGTTTTGTATGGACACAGCAATTTCCTTTATTAAAGCAGAGGTGAGCAATTCCTTCAGACACACATCACAAGAGAACTCTTGGAAGAAGAAGTTAGGAAGATCAGAGAAGAGACTTCTTAACTCGAGCAAAGAAAATAAAGACTCCAAGAATTATTGGGTTAAAACCCTTGACCATTTAAATAAATCATATTCATATAATACAACACATAAAATATTAGAGTAAATAAATATTGCCCTGTTTGAACAAACCATTCACTTTTCTAGAATAATATCTATTATTTTTAATTATATTGTAAAATTAGACTAATAATATTACTAGCTGACTCTGAATTACCTGTTCTGGTTTTCTATTCTCATTTAAACAACTTCATTAATTTATAATTTAATTATTATCCTATCTATTTATTTCTTTATTTGTAAAATACTTAAATCAATTAGATTTCTTTAAGTATCTCATTTATATAATATTATACAAGTTGTATGTTGAATGATTTTTGCAAACTAAATGATTTAGATATTAAAAGGGGGGAAGAAAAGTTTAGATAATGATACTCTGATATAATGGCTGAATAAGAACGAAAAAAAGTGAATAAATTAAGCAAAAAGAAATATTATTAGAAAGAATATTGAGATAAAATAAATCTGAAATTTGAGGTTCAGTAAAAAAATTTGAAATGACATTAACAAAAAAATAAGAAATTCCTAAAAAATTGCTAAGTATAAAACAAAATTAAACTAAAGGTATATCAATCTGTTAGGATTCAAAGTCAAAGGAAGGTTAATTTTTATCCAAAATAAGGATTTAAAATTAGAATTTATTACATATTCGCTATCAATCCAATAAATTAAAAGATAGGTTGTTTCAAATAAATTAGAATTCATAAAATTCTCGAATATAATTGAAATGATAACTTTTCCAGTTATTGCAACAAATATTTCCTCTAGTATATGATGTTGATATTAGAAAGTCATTAATTATTGAAAATAACATTTTATAATTGTAATTATGTTCAAATTGTGAATGCTTCAATTCCTTATTTGGTAACAATCTTAACAATGAATTTATTTTAGGCAATCAGAAATCTAGTTTATAATTCTTTAATGCATTTCTTTATTATTTCAATTCCTTCTTCTTTAGTTAAATTCTTATGATAATTATCAATTATATACAGGCTTATATTGATTATCCAACAAACCCAATAGGAAATAATTTGCATAGCCTTGAGCTCCTCTTGTAATCTTTTATAGGGATCCCAAATAGTCAAGCCAATAAAGTGAAGGTGTACCATCTGAATCAACTCCTCCCAATAAACCATTGCATTAGTGAGGGCCATCTCTTGATCTGATGGCTTAAGCATACATGGATCTTATCGAATGACTCATTACAATACCTAACAAAATGAGCAGTTTCTTGGAGATTCATGTATCCGCCAGTTTTATATCTTATGAGACAATGATTCTTATGTACTATTTCTCCAAAAGAGTTTCTGTCAGCTCCTTCTCCTGAAATCCCAAAAATCTTATGATCATCAAGCTTAAGAATTTTGTCTTCGGTTTCCTTAATTTTTAGAATGCTGTGAGCTATGCTGCCATCACATGCAACAATAACAAAATCACCTCCTTATAAGCCGAAAATTGAATCCATATTAATTTAAAAATAAATAATACCGATGTTGAGAATTTTTAGATTATATATACATATCTTGAAATACTCATTGCAAATATTATAAATAAATGGAGAAATTAACAATCGATCATTTTACACTCTTAAAAGTGATTGGGAAAGGGTCCTATGCTAAAGTGATTCTTGTGAAGAAGAATGTATGACATAATTCATTACACATAATAGGATAACAAGGAAATTTATGCTATGAAGATTTTAAAGAAAAAAAATATTGAAAAAAGAAAATAAGAAGACCATGTCTTGGGTGAAAGGAACATCCTTGTTGAAGTAAAGCATCCATTCATCATAAAAATGTTTTATGCTTTCAAAAATGATGTGAAACTGTACTTTGTTCTTGAATATTGTTCAGGAGGAGAGTTATTCAATTTATTGTAAAAGCGTAAAGTATTCACAGAAGATCAAGTAAGACATAGCTATATCATGTTAGGCAAGATTCTATGCTGCACAAATTGTTTTGGCTCTTGAACACTTACATAATCATGATATCATCTATAGAGATCTCAAACCGGAAAATGTCTTGATCGACGCATAAGGCTACATCAGAATTACTGACTTCGGGTTGTCAAAGAGGAATGTTAAAGGAACCAAAGATGCTCAAAGTGTTTGTGGTACTCCAGAGTATTTGGCTCCTGAGATTTTGTTAAAGGCTGGCCATGGCAAACCAGTCGATTGGTGGACTTTGGGAGCAATCATTTATGAGATGTTATCAGGATTTCCTCCCTTCTATACTCAAAATAGAGAGGAATTATTTGAAAGCATTAAATTTGCATAATTAAAATATCCAGTCAGTCTGACTCCAGCTTGTAAATCCTTATTGGAGGGCTTATTTTCTAAGAATCCTGATAAAAGGTTGGGAAGTAAGGGAGCTTAAGAAAGTATTATTTGTGTCTATTGTATTTAGTCAAGGATCACCCTTGGTTTTTGAATGTAAATTGGGACACTTTATTGAAAAAGCTCTATAAACCACCATTCATCCCCTTGGTGAAGAGTGAAGTTGATGTTTCAAACTTTGACCCTGAATTTACTGAATAACCATTGGAATCACATGATCCAAATTCGTTATCGATTGGAGGTGAAAGCATTGGTTAAAAATATTAAGATTTTACTTATGATGCTAAATTGGAATGAGATATCATCATAAATATTAAAATATATTAAATGTGTTAGAATATTGTATAGTCTTATGATGCACATTTTTCTTAGAATATTAAATTATTTATTAATGATCTAAAATGTTTAGAACAAACCTAAACTCTTAAATCAAATACCAGAATACATATTAAACAATTAAGCCTTGAATAATGCAATAAGTTAGTTACCCAAACATTACAATTTTGAAATTCATAAGACAATCAGCAGAATTATTGAGACTCAAGAGAGACTGTAAAGACAAAACATCTTAATCAATTTGTAATTTCCAGAAGGACTATTACTATATTCTTGCATGATATCAGATATTCTAACAACATTTACTGGTTGTGAAACCTTTATAAGTGGAGATGTCACATATGGAGCTTGTTGCATTGATGATTTGACCGCAGATGAAATGCAAGCTGATTACATAATTCATTATGGTCACAGTTGTTTGGTTCCAATTAATGAATGTGCAGTTAAAACCTTGTATGTTTTTGTGGAAATTAACATTGACACTAAACACTTATTTGAAACCATCTAAAAGAATTTCACTGATAAGAATATCAAATACTATCTAATGGGTACAATTCAATTTAATACTTATATCCACTTACTCAAGAAATAATTAGAGGAGGATGGTTATAAAATTGCAATTCCCTAAGAAAAACCTAGATCTTCAGGTGAAGTCTTGGGATGCACTTCCCCTAAATTAGAGGTATCTTAAGATAGTAGAAATATAGTCATCTTTGTATGTGATGGTAGATTTCATATGGAGTCAACCATGATTCAAAATCCACAATTTGAATTCTTCTAATATGATCCATACACTTATCGACTTACTATAGAAAAGTACGACAATCCAAAAATGATGAATTTGAGATATTAATAAATTGTGCAATGCCAGAAAATGTAACCTTAATTAGCATGCATCATTATGAGCACACTTGGAAGACAAGGGAGCACTTAGATTTTGTAGAGAATTGAAGAATTGTTGAAAAAGCATTAGATACAATATTTTACTCTTTTGATAAGTGAAATCAATTTCGAACAACTAAATTAATTGAACGAGGTTGATATCTTCATATAAATTGCTTGTCCAAGACTGTCGATCGACTGGGGAGTGTAATTCTAGAAACCTTTGTTAACTCCATATGAAACATATGTTATGTTGGGGGAGGCTGATTGGAAACAAATCTATCCTATGGATTATTACTCTAACAATGGAGGGGCTTGGACAAACTATTATCACAAACAAAAAGTTAAATTAAACTATGAATGATTGATATTTTTTGTAATTTTATGAATATTTAATTGGCACACATGGTTGTTAGTCAATGGCGGAGCTTTGTAAATAAGCGAAAGGAGGTCAGAGCCATTCTCATTGCATAATATAAGCCTAGTTATATTAGAGTTCTTTAATCATATAAAGAGATGAAGAGACGAAGGTTCTAATAATACATAATCAACAACGCATCTAATTTAATCTACAAGGCTTTGAAAATCAATTTATGGAAAGTCAAGCATCTTAAGCAATTTTTGAATTAAAATTAAGTTAAGCGATTTTATATTTTAAAATCGTAAGAGTAAATATTTTAAAATACCTTCAATTTGCATGCTAAAGAAGTAAACGTGAAAACAATAAGGTTACACGTCTAAAGTAGCTGCCAATATAAAAATCTTATCCCTTTACTATTTCACAAAATTAAATCTGCCGTTATCCTTTTCAATTGTCACTAACTAAAAAAAACCTTTGGAGAAACAAATATTAATAAAGACGTAATAAAATACGAATTTCTTTATAACTTTATAAAATATGTTAAAGTAAAGTTGCCAATAAAATAATTTGTATTCACTAATTAAGAACGTACAATCCATTAAGAATTACTCAAAAGAATAGATAAATTTTAATTAGAAGAATACAATCTGTTAAAATATATTGAATTAGACAATCCAAAGATTTTGAAGAAGGTCTATCAATATAATAGTCAAAACAGAGATAGATAACTCCACATTTTTTTTGATTTCTAACTGAAAGAGCTTGCTGCTGTATGTCGAATTCAAAAATACTTTAGAGCAAAAAAAGACATTGCTTCGAATGGTATGAAATATCAAGCTATCATGAAATTGATTAATCAATCTAGAGCTGTTTATGTCATTCAAAGGTGGTTTAGAAGGATCAGATGGAATCACAGAAACAATTTCTTCAAAGAAATCTCCTTTTATGTTTCTCAAATTCCAAATTCAAATTTGTATCTTGATATGGAGATCTATTCGAAAATTTAAGAGATTGCTAAAAGTTAATAACATTCCTTAAAGTTTTTAGAATAATACAATACGGTATTACTATAATAATTTTAAGATTGTAGCAGATAACCAATCAGCAAGACTATAATTTAAATCCAAAAGTTTTGATGATTCAGTTTAATCTACTTATGTACAATCTTTGGCTTTATTTGATCTTCTAAATGTTCCTATTGTTCCTAATTGGCTTATTAGAGAAATCTAAATGGTTTACATAAATGAAGATAAATTAATCGATTATAGTGTTATTAAACAAGAATAAATTTAAACTAAATGGAATTGCAGAAACAGAGAATACTTAAATAAGAATAGAGAATCTTTGAAAGAACTTCAATATGAAAAACCAGTTGATATCTATGGATTACTACATTTTGGAGCATCTATATCTTTTGATTATATCAACAATAGGGATTACATTAAGTTCACTTATGTTTCAACAAGTGAAGCAAAATACAGAGTGATTGCATTGGCTTTGCTTACTTACAGATTCAAATTTAATGGAACCAGCATTCTTATGTTTGGGGATAATATTTGGGAAGGCACTCAGCAACAAAAAACTACCTTTTTAAGCAGATACTATTAGAAAATTTAGAAGATTTATTAAGTAGAAATACAGACTTTGGAGAAATCCTAATTGTATAATGGAAAACAAAATTAAGTAATTTTATGCTTGGATAATTTTCAAGCAGAGAAATTCAAATTTGATAAGTAAACAGTTCAACTTTAATTTTTTAATGAAAAATCTCGTATTATTGAAAATTTTATTTGGATGTGTCCAGAATTAGCATGCAAATAAAAATATTTAAGAAATCAAGTCTCAATATAATTGAATTAGAATAGCTTAAAAAACAGTTCACATATATAGCAGGCCAACTCGTCATTTGGTGATATTTAATAAGATTACAAGTCATTTATTCAAAAATTTATCCCATAATAATCTCTTGATATATCTCCATAATCTGGTATAATTGATGGTAGTAGTAATTCAACTTAAGTGCCTCTGAAATTTTCAATAATGTGCTTAGAAAATGCAGAGATTTAATTTTAGCAACCGAAATTTAAAAGAAGAACAGAACAATCTAATTAAGAGTTTGTTATGACTAGTAGATTCAGAACTCAAAATAATAGTTTAAATAATTCTAAGATTAAAGAATAAAATGACTCTTAGAATTATAGTTGCATTTAACCAAAGAGAAGGTAATTCCCACTTGAAGATATAAATGAGCATATTGAATATTCTTAGCTTAAATAACAATAATAAGAGATGGCTTTAATTGAGAATAAGGAGAAAATCGTAAAAATTAAATAAAAGAATTTAAATGAGAAGACTTTTATTAGGGAATTTCAAAATTTTGCAAGTTTATTACAAAGATAAGAGCAAAAGATAATGAAGAATCAAATGAGAACAGCTAGAAATAATACATTAGAAAAATCATAAAAAACAGAAAGCATAAAGTAAACAATAAAGAGTCAATCTGTTACAAGAAGGGAAGATTATTAAGATGTTTCAATAGTGTTTCCTAAAATAGAACCAAAATGTTCCAAAAAGTAAACAATAAACTCAAGATTATCCAATTATCATAGATATGCTGTGTTTCCAGAAGAATTGTATGCTATTTCTACAAAAAAAGATACTTTTCATTCTTGATACTATTTACGTTTTTAATTTATAAAATTAAGATTGATCTTTTATTGAGTAAATTTCATTTTGTAGTTTTAAGAAATAAATACAATGCACTTCCATAGAAATTAGCAATATTGCATATTCAATAATAAGACTGTATAAATAAATTATTTGAAAATGATATTGATTGATTAATAGCATTAAAAAGGTCAAATTTATTATAAATTGACATTTAATGTTAATAGAAAAATAAAAAGAAAAAAAATTTTGATTAAATTCAATAGATTTAAGTCAGTAACTCATTATTATAAGTTCTATGTATAGGTTTTTTGTTCTAATTTTAGTTTCTAATTCAATTCAGTAGCAGCAACAACTTGATAAATATTTTTTTGTTATTCACTCATTTTGATTTATAAGACTCTTTCAATTTTCTAAATATTAAGAGCATAATTACACTACGACATAAATAGCATTCCTCTTTATTTTTCCACAAGTCTATGGCACAATTATAGCAGACTCCTCCATGGCCACATTACATAAATAATGCATTAGGTTCATTTTCAAAACAGATGCAACAAGAATTAATAGATGATAAAGAGATCGAGCTTGGCACATTAACTTACTAAAACAGAAATAATTATACACAGTACTTGTTTAATATCTTATGAATTGTTTTCTAAATCTGCAATGCTCCTTTGCCTTCCACTCAACTTAATGTTAATTAAGGATGACAATTTGATTTTTTCATTTTGATCATCAGAACATCTTTATATTTATGATGATAATGCTTTGTGATGAGAGGGTTTCTTACTAGACAGTTAAGTCTCAGACTTTTTATCTGTAGGTAGATCCTCAAATCCAAAATAAGTTTTTGATATTCTCTTTACTATTTTTGGAATATGCACTTGGGGCTCTGATACTCGACTTTCCCCAAAGTCTTTATTGTTGAATTATTAGAGTTAAATTTCTCCTTGTTAAGTAGGTAGAGTGTTGAGGGGATTAACAGAATCGTTCAAGGATAAATAAGATTATAAGCTGAATACCATTTCAGGTTTAAATCTCACTGTAAAATAAGAAAAGACGACTTGGTTAATAATTAGAATAATCCTTGATGTGTCAATAATGTTTCCGTAATTTCCTAAGTTATGGAAGTTTAGTATTGATATGGGAATCAAAAGGAGCATGGATGTATTCGATATCATAAAGAACAATATCCAGAAGTTTATAATAACTAAGAATATAGACAAATCTTAAACCTAAATTTTTTAGTCTACTATTTTGTTCTAATACACTTTGGATTCCTAATGCCAAAACCACAAAAATGTAATAAATTACAATAGATGCTGATATCCCAAATAGTATCCAAAACATCCACAATGCATATAACCATTATATATCGAAGTATCCTTCAAGTTTTAGGCTTAAGAATATTGAAATTATAAATAAAGCAATATTTCTAAAAACATGAAACAAATTGATTTATGATATTGATTGTTTAAAGTATTAATTTCCTTCATTCAACTTTAAAATCACAGATAGAAATATATTTAATAATGGAAATATGTTTGAAAGTAATAGTAAATCTCTAGTCCCCGATATCTAATATAAATTAAGTACAAGTAAATAAGAACCTTCAACTAATGTTGATATTAATCTTAGTAATGTGTGTTTTTCTGTTCTAATTAATTAATATGACTGTCATACATGTTAAAATGTAGGAATATTCGATAAAAATAGAGCTAATGTATCAATTGCAACAACAATTTTGAATCAATACAATAAATAACAGATAGCAGATTACCGTCAAAACTCAATTGAAAACTGAATAGTAAAACTGCTATTGCATAAATAGAATTGGACAGCAATACAGAGCTCAAAACTTAATTGGCCTGCTCAAACCGAAATCTAAATATGAAAATGACATTACGTAGTTCCTATCTAGGGAATGTTTTCAACAGTTTACTAACTTTATTAAGTACTAAGATCTCTCCTCATTAGAAAAGACAGAGAAGAGTATTATGATAAATAATTTAATGAAAAATATAGATCTCTAAAAAGAATCATATGTTTTAATTAAACTTCCCAATAAGAGAACCAACTACAGTTTTATTGTTATTAGGAGTGTGACTATTAGAATGGTTTTTTTTCGGAGTGATCTGCAAAGCCTTTTTTGGAGTTGTGACTCTGAGTGGCTAAATTAAACTTTATATTTTACAATAATTGTGTATGTTTTTCTTAGTTTTGGAGTTATAACTGTGACTTGATTTTAATTCTGCTCTTTAATTTTTTATTCAGTTTATTATTTTCTATCATTCAATTGTTATTAGATGAGCAGATCTATGCATTTGCCAACATATGAATTATAGGAATTAAAACTGTCTGGTTTACTCACAGTTTAAACTTAAGGAGTAGGTACATTAACTATATTCTCCTTGCTCTCTTAAGCTTAGTTTTTTAATTCGTGTTATTTTAAATTGTATTGAAATACTTTTAACCCTTCCTTACCAACCCATTAAAATGCAGGTTTTTTGGATGAAACTAAATGAGTTTTCTTGATTAAACCAATAGACTTTAAGACATTAGCAATATCATACAGTCTTCTCACTTTTGTTTTCAATTTATTTTGATCAACTTCATTTCCGAGATATTTAGCAGCTTCTTCCAAAGTCCAAATGGATTTTTGTTACATAAACAACTTAATAAACCCAGCTGAGAGTACTTCTAAGGATTTCTCTCTTTTATGCGAAGTTATGTCGAAATGAACTTATTTATTGGCATACTATTAAATATATATATATAATAAAATACTTGTTCTATTGTTGAATAAATAGTTTTGAATCCACTCCAACTATATTAATTTTTGCATTTTCTTTTCACTACTTACAAGCTTTCGAGTATATTAATTATATCATAAATTCTCCTTCTTTCAACACCTAAGTTTGTATAATACAATACCCAACTCTTCGGTGATTTAATCCAAGCAGATAATTTTCTCATCATAATCAATCAGACATCGTACAAATTTCTTACTCAATTCCTCCAAACTTTTTTCCTTTCTATTATAGATCTTGTATTTGATTAATTGTTTACTAAAGAATACTAGGCATTATAAATACTTATTTGGGTATACAATTTTGAAAATTTTTTTACTCTTGCTAGATATTTTTTCTAACAATTTCTAATCCTACTCATCATTGAGTAATGATAATGAGACTAAGTCTAATGAACATTATATATATATATACTTTGATCTTCTTCCATCTTTTGAAAAATATTTTTCCGCTAATTATTATATTCAAATTCAAATTCCAAAAAATTAGGAAAAATATCAATAAAATATATCAAATTTATTTTTTACTCATCTCTTATTTTATTATAGATCTACTTAATATTTGATATTTATTGTCGAGCTGCAAAGGTTAATCCGCATTTTATCTAGAATACTTTATTTTAACACTATAACTCCTCATTTCCTTCTCCACTGCTTCCAATTGAAATTAAGTTTCGCTAAGTTTCTTCCTTAATTGCGTCTATGATCTATCTCTTAATTAATTCAAATCTGTAGTTATGTGATCCTTTGATTTTTACGACATTATTGATCTTCCTATATATGTCTTATGCAGATATATACTTGTATTCGATATTCGAGTTGCATTTGCTTTATTGTACCATTTTTTGGACGACTTAAGTTTGTTCCTTAATTTTTGAAGGGAAAACACTTCAGGATGCTTAAAGATGATTTTCTTCAATTTTTATAGTGGGCCTAATGAAGCTCCAGGCTTTTCAAAGGATAACAACGATGTATCCTAATCGTTCTGTTTTGTTTAAAATGTAATAGTTTAGGAGTTCTTAGAATCAACTAATGTTTGTCTATCAATAACTCTCATTTATAAATCTTATTTTGTAATGACTTCTTAATTTGATTTCATTTTGACTGGAGAGACGAATTTTGAAAATTATGTCTTGTATTTCAATAGCTTTTTGTAGAAATCATTCTCCTTTTATTAGAGCTTCTCTTTACTTAGTAATTACTGTGATTGAGATTTCTTATCCCTAATATTTATGGAATAATAAATTACTCTATATTATCAAGAACTATTTTCTCTTCGATCAGTTTTTTAATCATTTTATCAAGCATAGGAACTGTATTTTGCTAGATTTATTGCACTTATTGACTATTGGCACACATTGACTAATTCTTCTTCTCTGAGAAACTTGTCGAGAATTATGATATTGATCCACGAAAAGACTTTTATACATTCAAATTAAATGATGTATTTAATCTTTTTGGACACTTCAAAGTTTTGCTAGATTGACGAGTGTCCATAGAACTCAGATTTTCAACAGGGATATCGATAAATGGTGCATCAGTATTCTTTTTTTGTTAAGCCAATGCTTTGATCTAAGGAGTGCAATAATAAAATTCTGGTTAAAATGAGGTGTTCTTATCATTCACATTATAATAATAATTGACTGATTGTTTATATTACTATTTCTCTTGATTCTATTCTTAATTATCTCTCATCAATTTCTTTAATCTTGGCATTCCCACATCATCATCTAAACAAACGGCTTCTATTACTGAATTGAATATAATTAATTCTTTGTATTTAGAATATGTCAATGAGGACACATTTTGAATATAGTTTGCTAGTTCATCATTCTGAAGAAGATAATAAAAACTTAGCCATTTTAGTAGTGTCATAATGGCCTAGCATTTTTCAAATTTAAAAATGGATTGATAATAATAGATAGATTGCATCCAAAACCAAGTTAATGGTTTTAATAATTTCATGAATTTCCATTTACATTTGAGTTTTCTTTTAAAATCGTTATTGGCCTCTAATTACTATACTAAATATGTTAAATAATTAATTGTAATTGAACTATTGACTTCTTCTAAAATTTCCTGAGCCATATCATTATTATTTTCAAAACTTTTAATTAATAAGTTAGTAGCACATAAAATGTACTGAGATAATTTAGAGGCTCTTTTTCCTTTTCCCTGAAGTAAGATTTTGCTGATATCAAATGACAATTTTGCATATCTGCCTTTTTCTTATGGCTTGATATCCTAATAACTTAAAAGTCTGAAAGAAACCATAATATTTTATAAATAACTGTCATATTCTTATTCTAAAGAGAAATTAGTCACTATTTAGTTCAGTTTGAGTTTCGCATTATTATTTGTGATATGAATTTGCTATTGTAATTTATCCTTCAACATGGAGTTCCTAATTTAGTCTCTTAAACTATGTTTAGTTTCAATTTAGATCATGTCGAAATTGGAAGTAAGTTTAGATATAAGAACAGGATAGATTTCCAAGTATTTAGCTATTTTCTATTTCCATATTTTAATGTCGATAATATTTTTACGAGACATATCCTTTAGCATACATTTTTAATAGATCTTATTTAAAGCTTTGAGCAGAATATTTTAAAAGTGAATTTTGTCATTCAAATGAATTTAACTAGAATGATCATAACGATCAAAGAATTTTGACAGTAATGCATATATTTGTTTGTATTTTTTCTAGTTTATAATGATTTAATACTTTTGGAATGAGCTTAGCCAGTTATTCATTAATAGACTCGAATTAGGATTGAACAGATTATAATTAAGTATAGTTAACTATTAAAACCTATTCTTAATTATCCATATTATTAATAAAAATAATAAATCAACTTAGATTATATGAAATCGCTTATTGTTGCAATGACTTCAACACCAAGTTTTCATAATCCTCTAAAGTAACTTTCCCATCCCCATCCGAATCAGTCATATGAATCCAACTTCGGACATCATCAACAGTAGGCTCATATTTCATTCCTACCCTCACATATTACAAATACCCATCTATCTGTATGTTTCACGAATTATCTCATAAACCTCATCTTCAGTTATGTACCCAGAGCCGTCTGCGTCAAGCTTCTTGAAAAGACTTCTTGCCACTTCGAGTCTCTCTTCAATATAATTAGGTTGTCTATTGTTATTTAAATATCAACTTGTTGGCTGATTGTTGTTATTTGAACTAATAAGAAGTACCGCAAAATTTCTTCAAACAATACTACTCCACATCTTGTAATGTAACTCTATTCTAAGCACTCTCTAACCATCAATCAGATATTCATACTATTAATTGCTCTCAGAAAACCATTCGTCTCATTGACTTTAGGCTTGATCGTGATATTCTACGCTCTGTATGCATCTGTAAACATGGATCCAACATCAACAACATCTATATATCCTTTTTTGGAGACTTTTATATTAAATTTTCCTTTTTTATACTATCATAAGTCTAAAAGATTTTTCTAGCAAGCATTCTGCAGCCATCTGGATCTAAAATACCTCCATATGGCATAGATGGCATGTTATAAGGATTGGTCATGTTATTTAATGTATTCATTATTGAACAATTTCTTATTGATAATACTTTTAATTAAAATATTTATGATTTCTCATATTAAACAAAAGAAAAAAATAAATTTCATAAATCTTCATTCTATTAATGGAATCCATTTATAGTTTTTGCATATGCCAATATGACAATTAATATCAGAATTCCTATAGTACAAAATACATGTATGATTAACGATTTCGATAGATGAATGCTTGCCTTTTTCTCTTTTCTTATAATAATGTTATTTGGTTATTGATAGGTTTGATAATTATCTTAATTTTTATATGTTGTTACAATTTTTGTTTAACCAATTAACTCTCCCAATTGATGTTCGCTTTTCACAATAGCACTTGGATCATTAAGTAATTGATTGATATGATCAGAATGTTCTCTATCTAATTTTTATCTTTTTGTTTCATCTGAAAAACTCTTTGAAATCTCTGACACTAATTTAATGTGAGTTATCTTATTCTTTGCTTTTTAGAACTATTTTTTAGCTCTAATGGATTTTATCATCTTCTCAGAGATGGATACACTATTTTATATTTAAGGTTCTTTTTCAACTTCTACTTCTTCAATACCCAACTTATACCCAATTGATGTCATATAATAAATGTTCCTAATTTCATGGCATTTATTGAAGTAAATCTTTTGATCTATTGTTACCTCTTCACCATTGAAGCATTCAATTCGACGTTGTTTCTCATTCCTTTAAACTAATTTAATTTAGGGAATAAGGCAGTCTAACTGCTAATATTTTTTTTCTTATTTTGATTTGATATCTAAACAGTCTCTTTGTACTTAATATTGTTATGGTTTAATATATTAGGTTTTCTTATCACTTCTGAGAATTAATTTAATATTTTTTGGTGGACTAGAATTTGATTTCAAGGTATTTTAAGATTTTTATGAAAAAAATGAGTCAACCATAGGGTTGATTAGTTCATCTTCATCGTCCTTTTTTTAATAACTATAATCTGGTGATGTGAATAACCTATGTTTTAAAACATTATTCATTTATTATTTTAATGATCTTTAGTATATTATTGCTTGAAAATTCTGTAAACTAAACTTTAAAATGTATTATTGATTCAATTGAAATTATAATTTTTTGATTAAAATCTTGAAGAAAGTGAAATAAAACTCAAATCAACAAAGAATTCTGATAAAATTTAATAATTAATAAAGCATAGCATACTCTTCATTAATATAATACAACCGAAACCAAATTTTTCAATTTAATAGATTAAAATTATTAAATGTGTATCATTTATTACCTAAAAAATAGAGACGATAAAATAAAAAAAGTAGAACTACAAATGCTGATATAAAATTTTTTTCTGCTAATTATGCTATTTTAATTTGGGGTATACACCAACATTTATTAGGGTTATCACAAGAAATAGATTATTAGATAAGAATTCTACATAATTAGATACACAAATGAAATCACTTGAAGTTGATAACTTAAGGTAAATTAAGAAAAAAAGAATTAGGATCTGCATAACATTTATGGTTATCGAGGGGCCTTGCCTTAATAATAAATCTATCAACCTAAGGATAAAATTACTTAATTATATATAAGTTCAGAATCTTCCGATTAAAGAAGAAATTTTTGGATAATATTGAATATATATAATTTATATCTATAAAAAAAATGGAATTTGAAGTTTAAGAAAATTAAGCCAATAACTCCATATAAGGAATAATAAATCTTTAGCCTTAGGTGAATTAAGTGAACTAAGTCTAAGTATAATAGTAAGAAATATAAATTAAACAAACTGACATTCAAGTTTCTAGCACACTAGAAGAAAGCGTAGCAGTCACATTAGTACATCTAAATTTAAAACATAGCTTCGAGATTTGAGATAAATAGGAATAAAATTGAGATGCGTTTTGGTACCTACAATGTCAACTGATAATGCTAGAGAACTCAGAAATTGTAAATGAATTTTTTTAATATTACTAGGGGATTTGTGGGGACCATTAGTATTTTGTTTGATGCTTGCATTGTATATTTTAGTTTGACATTTAGAACCCTAAGTTTGAGCGGTAATAATGATGATGGCCCAGGAATATTTGCAACAATATTTGTACTTATTTGGGTTGGATCCTTTGTGGTTACTCTAAATGCTTAATTATTGGGTGGAAAAGTGTAAATATAAAAATAAAATTAAGATCATTTTTCCAATCAGTTTGTGTTCTGGGATATTGTGTATTTCCAATAAATTTAGGAGCATTATTTACTTTATTCTTTTAGTTCTTTTATTTGAAGATGTTTTTGGTTATTGGATGTTTTCTATGGTCCACTTACTGTAAGATTACTGAAATTTATTTTATAGCTGCGGTAGGATTCATGAAATTATTAATTCCAGAATAGAAAAGAATATTAGCACTTTACCCAGTGATTTTATTCTATTTGTTTTTAAGTTGGTTTGCTCTGATTGTTTGAATATCATATTTTATATTAATTAATATATTATTTATAATGGGAAGTTGCCAGTGTCGTAAATTTTGTGAATCTGATCCAATCAATTCCAATCTACATATACAAGAAATTGCTACAAATGATGATTATAGGGTTAATAATTAAGAAGGAGCAGCCAAAGATTTGTTCATAAAGATAAAGACTTGGCAGAAAGAATCATTTTCACTTTTTGATTATGAAAACTAGAGTCATTTAAAAGAGTAGAACTTTTAAGTAAATGGATTAATTATAAAAGATAAGTAAGGGAGGGTACTTAATTAAAAATAATAACGAATTATAATGGATCGATGATGATGTAGATTGGAATAAGAGTGTAATTAAATAGGAACAGATTCTATTCAGAATTGATAAAAATGAAGGAATTTTCAGTATAATAAATAAAAGAGGAGAATGTAAATAAAATTATGAAGACGACAAGTAAGAATAAACTACCAAGTATCATGGAGATAATAAAGACTTTTAATAATCGGAAAATCTGGATTAATTGGAGGGGGATGAATTTCATTAACCTAATGACATAATTAAGAAGTACAGTCATCATCAAAAAATCAGTATGAGTTAGAGAACTAATACTAAATTGATGGAAAAAGGGAGTAAATTGTGGCTGGTGGTAAGATCTATCCAGTAAATGATGAGCAACAATGGGATTAAATTAAAGGAAGGGGATGTCATAAAGATGGGGAGAGTGAAATTTAAGATCAGAGAAATTCAGTTAAATTAAAGATAATTGATGTAATCTTTCTCTTTTTATTGAAAGATAAGATTCAGATTCTGCAAAATCTAGTTAATCAGATGCCATTACATGCAGAGTCTGTTGCAGTAGTGCATATAGCAGATCGAATCCACTTGTAAATCCATGCAAATGTACTGGCTCTATTAAATATATACATCTTAACTGTTTAAAAAAATGGTTGAAGTCTAAATTCCAAACAAAATAGAGTGATCATTGTGTCATTTATATGTGGAAGAACTTGGAATGTGAATTATGTAAATTTAATTATCCACCCATTTTCAAAAGTGATGAAGGAATATTCGATTTAATAGAATTGAGTAAACCTACTGAATACCCATATATTTTGATGGAAATCACTCAGAAACGATATGAAGTATTAAAATATCTGATAATCATATAGGAAATGTAAGAAAACAACATGAATGAAGATACTTAATGGAATTAATGTAATGGAGTCTATATTGTTTCTTTTGAAAATAATAATAATGGTTAAGTCAAATTTGCAAGATCTAATGAATTAAAAATAGGCAGAGCAAATGAAACAGAAATTCGAGTGAACGATATATCAGTAAGCAGAAATCATGGAACAATTAAATTAATAGATGGATAAATTTATTTAACCGATAATAAATCTAAGTTTGGAACATTAATTCTCATTCAATAAGGTGTAATTCCCTTAATTCCAGAACTAAATGGTATAGAAATGCAAGTTGGAAGAAGTGTTTTATAATTTACTCTTGGCAATAGCAATGCCAATTAGTAATCATAATAATAATAATATTTAGAATCTGAAATTTTCGAGTAATTTAATTGTAATATCATAGTAAAATAATTGGTAGAAACTTTGAAGATGAAGAATTTGATTATCTTTAATGAACTAATAATAATTTATGTTTAACTTTATAATAACCTAATCATTAAAGAATAATTGGTCAAATATATATATATCTCAAATAAATCTAAACTTGTCAAATAAAATTTTCAATTGAATTTTTTTCTCTAAAATATTATCAACGGCTAGGAAATCTTGTAATGAAGTTTATATAGTTTTCCTGTCTATATACGAGTGATCGAAAGACTTAAAAATTAAATAGCTAAAATACAATCGATAACTTCATAATTTAGGCTTGATATACATTTTAGATAAAATTAAGAATATGAAAGTTCTAAAAACGATGTCTTATGAAACTTAATTGAAACCATACGGTAAGAATTTGTTTTTTACTATCAGTTATAATCTTGCAATTGTTACATAAATTTATTATTTCTCATAAAATTTACTCTTTAATTGGGATTACTTTTATTATTAAAATTGGACTTTTTGAACGATAATATTTATAATTTTATGTTGAACAAATATTAATAATTACCTAATAGATTGCAAATAAAAGCAAAGATAATTATTCTTTTGTTAAATTAATTCTTATAATAAACTTATATTGATAGTCCAATAATTTAGATGAATATTCACACCATCTTCACCTAAGTATTTCGCATAATTTTAGTTTTTTTTCAATGTAAGCTCTTAGTATGGTGAACAATATCTAATAACTAATATCTAGAATGACTGAATTAAATCAATTTAAGTCTCAATTCTTTATTTAAGGATATTTATTTTTTAATAAATGTCTGAAAGCTCTCTATCTTAAAATGACTTTTATGAATTGAAACATGTTAGAACATTGAAGGACAATCCCTCCAAATTTTTATCAAAAAAGAAGCAAACTCAATTCTATTTGAATCGGGCAATGCTTGATAAAGAATATATAAAAACTGATTTGAGTTGCGAATGTTCAGAATGTGGAAAATGTAGTTAATTTAGTGAGACAATAAAAAAACAATATCCATTCTGTGAAACAAGGTAATGAATTCATAAATTTAAAGATGGTAGAAAAGAAGAAGGATTTTTAAAAGATTTAAAGCAGCAACAAATGCTATTATTTTTATCTTATCATATAAAGTAGAGGCTATTAAGAAATTTAGAAAGAGAATGCATATATTAAAAGCAGTTAGAAATTTAACAACATTAAAAAAATCTTAAATTAGTGCTCCAACTCAGTTATAGCAATAACCATTGATTAGTATACCTCATTCGCGATAATCGTAAAGGTAATTTTTGTTATAAAAAAAATAAGGATCAAAACAACTCCTGATGAGGAGACATTTTTCCATCATGTCATAAATAGTGCCCGAGAACCTAGAAAAAGTTAGGTTTCGATTTATATGAATCAGATGTTAAAAAACGTTATTCCAAAATCGGAAATTCATCTAAAACCTTTGAGTTATTTAAATTAGAAACAGATAAAACAAAATAATGCAAAATCAATTACTCAAGCATCTTTTTCTCATCATAATTATTCACAAGTTACATCGAATCCACAGAAGTGCCCAACGGTGCATATGGAGTAAATTGTGAATAATCAATATAAAACGAACAATAAAGATCTTTTAAAACTAATAGATTCTCTTAAGGTTAGACATAGAATTATTAGATGTAAGAAATGATTATATAATTTATAATTTATTGATTTTATATTTATTTTTCTTTGTTTATAAATTAATTAATAAATGGACCTTCTGAAAGATCCTGTCAATGATCGATAAGTGAAAACTTTGAAGCCTCCACCTCATCGTCCGTTGTCGCGGAATCTAATGTTTCCAGATAAATTGAAAAGTAATCACAGCATTAAAAATAGACAAACCTGATTGGAAATTGATAAGAGATCATTTACAAAAGGAAGGCAGAATCGCTAAAGAGGATCTTTTTAAATTGGTTGCCGATTGTAATAAATTGTTGAGTATATATATCTATTATATTATTAGAAAACGAAGGCAATGTGCTATATTTATAAGATCCACTAACTGTTGTAGGTGATATTCACGGGTATTAAATTGAAATATATCCTTAGTTAATATTATGACTTATTGAAATTGTTGGAGCCTAAAGTGGGAGGAAATCCTGAAAACACAAAGTAAATTTGAAAATATTAAAATAATAGATATCTCTTTTTGGGAGATTTTGTGGATAGAGGATCATACTCAATAGAAGTAATAGTATTGATGTATGCAATAAAATTGAATTTCCAAAATTCAGTATTTTTCTTAAGAGGAAATCATGAGTGCAGATAATTGACGGCATTCTTCAATTTCAAAGAAGAATGTTTATACAAATATGATTAAGAGACTTACGAGATGTTGATGGATTCATTCGACTTGTTCCCTTTGGCATGCATAATAAACTCTAAATTCATAGCAATTCATGGTGGAATCTCACCTGATTTGAAATCAATAGATGATATCAAGAAGATAGAAAGATACCATGAACCTCCTAGACAAGGACTGTTTTGTGATTTGCTATGGAGTGATCCAGTCGATCAAGAATAGGGTTATTTGGATACTGCATGGAAATCGAATGAAGTAAGAGGATGCAGTTGGTTTTTTGGAGGGGATTCAGCAAATAAGTTTCTATAAAGGAATAATTTAATTTCTATTATCAGAGCTCATGAAGTAAAATAAATAAATAAGACAAGGCATAATTGGATGGATATAAGATGCATAGATGGAATGGTGGTTAAGACTTTCCAGTTGTCATAACTATTTTCAGTGCACCGAATTACTGCGATGTCTACAACAATAGAGGAGCAGTCATCAAATTTGAAAATAACACTTTGAATATACAGTAATATCAATACACCCCTCATCCCTATTTATTGCCTAATTTTATGGATATATTTACATGGTCAATTCCATTTGTGTCTGAAAAAAGTAAGTTCTTAATTTAATTTCATTTTAGTAACTGAAATGTTATATCATATCTTATAAACAGATATTTAAGGAGACGATGATGAGTAAATCAGTGAATAAGATATATAGTAATTTAAATAGTTGACCAAATAAGCTGGCTTACAAAAATAATCGACCACAGGTAGTTCACAAGGAGCATAAAAAAGTAAGTTATTAATATATCATAATTAGACACTGAGAAATTGAAGAATAAAATCAAATTCGTATCTACAATGATGAAGATGTAAAGAACTCTTAGAGAAGAGAGAGAAAGCATAATCTAATTGAAAGGTGCTTGTCCAGATAAAAGATTGCCAAGAGGAATTCTGATGAAGGGAAAAGATGCCATCAATGATTGTAAAATTGAATACTAATTGTTAGAGCTTGCTGATTTTACTACTGCAAAAAGTGTAGATCTAATTAATGAAAAAATGCCTTATGCTCAAATACCACAAGAATCCATTCAAATAAAAAAACCATCAACCTAGAGGAAAAAATGATTTCTATATTTTTATGTATATTTATTCAGCTGTGATAATAGCATATATATTTTGAGAAATAATACTTCAAAATCTCTAATTTTTATTATTAGTATGAGTTTAGTGAAATCATTTGAATTGGCTCTAATATAAAACGATGTCCTATCCAAAGTGTTACCAATATTAAAGTTCATCAATCACACTATCCCTTTCCCACAAAAGCATAGTTCTATCAATGAACCCAGAATTATTAGATATTTACTGTAATTACACTGTCAAATACCAGACACTATAGATATGATTTTAATCTCATTGCTAAACATATTCAAACATTCAAAGGAATGGATTAATGGTTGTTTCAAGGCAATTGAAGAGTATGCTCAACTTCCAAATCAAGGAAATGGAAAGTATGTCGCACTAGAATTTTTAGAAACTGTTTTAACTGAAATCTCAGAATTGGAGTAATATAATAAGTAATAAATAATAGTTTTGATATTGACGATAGATGTTATGCCTTCATTATATTTCTTAAACATGCAGAAAATGAGAAATTGGTCAGGGCAATTATGAAAAAAGTAGGATAAATCTAGCAATAATTAGGAAATAGAATGAGATCTGCAAATCAACTCAATCAGCTAATTGAAGAAAGTATCTAAAAATATTTGATTAAAGAATAGCTGTACTAAAATTATACCAAGAAGAGGTTTAAAAGAATTCAGATGAATTTCATTATTAGACTGTTGCCTTTGAATTATAAGAAAAGGGTAGCTAAGCAAGGAAAGGATCCAAGCCAAAAATGTCATTGATGGCAATGAACATACTTTAGTCTTAATCTTTGTCCTAAAAAATACCCTCCAAATAACAGCTCAATAATGATAATTTAAATAATAGCAATTCAGATGATTCTGTTAAGGGAAGTGAAATGAACCTAGATGAAATTTTAATTTAACATAAACCAAGAATCGATTCAGAATAAAGTGAATATCTAGCAGACATAGATGCGTTATAAAATTTATTTGCTTATATTACTAATCCAGTGGCTACGGAACCAGGATTGATCTTCGCTACAGATGCCTTAGCAAATGATATTCAATTGCCTTGTGATGATAATCAATACAAATTGCATGTGATTAAACCTGATAAATTAACCACTCTAAGATCCTATAAGGCTATGTTATTTCTTACAGATTACCATAATCATTAAATGATCATGTAAATTAACTAACATACTATGCAAATTGCTTGTAATTTATTTATATTAATGATAAGTTCGAAGTATATCTGGATTCTTTCAAAACTAATAATCAAGTGGAAATTTGACCCATATTATTGGTTTACTCTAATTTTACTTAAAGTATGAATTGAAAGAAACAGCTTACAATTTTCTGTATTTTTAATTCCATCAACAATTCTTAGATTATCTGTGTACTCTTACATTATTAATTTTAGACAATCCCCTTTATTTAGATTTTCTTATGCGATTTATGGATCCAAATTATTCAAAAATTCCTCAGGACTTAAGGAATTATATTTGGTAATTCCTCAATCGCTAAGGATATATTTCAATATTAGTAAGTAAAATTACAAACAAGGAAAAGGAGGGAGTATTTCCTAAAAGGAAAGATATAACTAAGGAAGGGTATCAATTTCTAAAGCATATTAATGACTACAAATTACAATTACTATAAGATGATGATTAAGCTGCTATAACTTATTCTATTAGCAGCAACATAGATCAATATTTAGGTCCTTTGATTCCGGGAAAAACTTTGATTTAAAATAAGCAACTCCTTGAGAGAAAAATGCTGTTAAGTTCACATCTCAGAAGAGGCTCAGACCTATCAAGTTTAGCGAGATAAATCAATAAAGTTATTATTTAAGAATATATTGATTTGACTGAATTAAATCAATAAGGAAGAGATATCGACAGATTATAGGATGTGGTTTAATTTTACAAGGATATTAGTACTCCTGCTGAGACTCCTACATTATATAATGTTTATAGACAAACATCAGAAGGAATAAAAAATATCTAATTTGAGTAGCGGTCTTAAAGATCATAATTAACGGAGCCTCCCCTTAATATCATTTAATTATAAAACACTTTTAAACTTCCATCCTTAAACATTTAACCTACAACCATTATCACTGATTCAATAACTCTAAAAAATACTTAGCGTAAATAAAAGTCAATGACATTCTCTGAAAACATTCTTGCATAAACAATTAGTAAAAGATCTGATCAACCTTAATATATGAGTCTCGTTGGTGTTAATGGTAATTATTCTCGTATATGTAATAGATAATAGTTCAACTTTTAGATAAATGAATGTAATTTAGACACCAACTTCTTTGGCAAAATTGTTTGTCCATTATCCAAATTAAGATAATAGTGTTGTGGATACAATCATGAAAGAGGAGTATACAAAATACGAAACTTAAAATGATGAAACGACATCCTTTAGGAATAGTACTCTATTAAAAAACATCATTTAATCAATGCAAAAGTTTGAATATCATTATGCTTTTGATGAATTGTTGGATGATTAATATATTTTGTTCGAAAAACTATTGAACCATTATTCCATTACGTAAACAGCATTATTTTAAAGTTCCTATGAAGATAATAGTTCAAATAATTGTTAGACTATTCTTATTGATCTTATTTAAAGAATCAATAAAAAGCCAATGAATGAAAAATTAACTAAAATATACATAGCATATCTACCCAGAATCTGTAGAAACTTAACTAATATGCATAAGATGTAGAATTAAAATAGAAATAACATGGAGTTATTTACTAATTAGAATCAAATGGGGAGTGTCAGAATCTTTAGTACCAAAATTATAGATTTGATTTTAAGAAACTTTTAATAAAGGAATCATCGAATTTACTTAAAGGTCAATGACACTTCCTCATTCAGCCTTAATGAATAATTCCATTAATTACCTAACCCTTTTTATTAGCAGATCTTTTATTCTATTATGAAACAACTATGCTTGTTCGCTTAAGAGAAACAGGTTTAAGCTATTCTATTTAAAGCTAATTTATTAGAAGGAATCAGTTAAGCATTCCATAAAAATGTTATTAACAAAGTGATGATTAAACAAGGAAATGTAGAGGTTTATCTTATCCATTTAGCTTTGCTAAGTTAACTTATCGTTTTAGTTTATGAATTAAGGGATGATTTACAAGTCTACAAAAGTTCTTTATTGAGATTGCAATGCTTTTAGAATCTAAAAGAAGTTATAGACATGTTTAAAAATAATAAATTGATTCAATCATAAGCTTTGGATATCTAAAAATAACTTAGAAAAAAAAAATGATTTAAATTCTTTATTTTTATTAATTATGTGCCTTTAGTTTTTAAAAAAATAAATCAAATATAAATGTTCCTATCCGAATCAAAAAAATGTCTAATTGGCGCTGTTTTAATCAAAATAGGATCCGCATTATTGTTAACTTGGGGAAAGACAAATGTTTATTTCTATTCTTTCTACAAGCAAACAGAACCTGATTTATCTATAGCAGTAAATTCTTAGATTATTTTTAGTACAACACTTTGCCTATTGCCATCATGGCCCTTCCTATCGCCCTTATTACAATATTTTCAGTAAAGATTGCAAAGAAGGTTGGATTTACATTGCACATAAGAATAGCCACTACAATGTAGTGTGCATCAATATTAATCGCTCCTTATATGCCTACTTATTTGACATTCTTATTCTTTTATATTTTCTTATATGGAATAGGGTATTCAAGCGTAGCATTTCCAGTTTTTTCGTGTGCTTGGAGCCATTTTAAAAAATCAGAAGGACGAGTTTCTGGTCTTTTATTAGGAGCATATGGTTTTGCATCAGTAATCTACGTGATAATAATTACTTATGTCAGCAACCCAAATAATTAATAAGCAGACCTTTAAACTGAACATAAAACATAGATATATAAATATTTTTCAGGAAGTGTGGCTTAAAATGCATAAAACGCTGCTCAATTAGTGAGTTATGTTGCGAGTTTGTGTTGTTTAATTGGAGGATTCTTGATACGTCCATACGTTTAGACAACTTAATACAATTAAGTAGGGGCTGGCGATTAGAAAATATAATCATTTGAAGAGGAAACACCTAAATAAAATGATAAAGATGTATAATAAGATTCATCTGTTGAAATGGATCCTTCATAAGTGGCTGTAAATGATCTGCCTCTTGAAATTGCTTCAGACCATGGCTTGTATTTTTTTTATAATTAGTAGACCTTAAATTAAAATTAAATAATCTTTATCTGCAGCAATAAAATCAATATAATTTCTAACTATCATTTGTTGCTTGAGTGTCTTAACTTTATTTCTATTGACTCTTGGACTAAATTATAAGAGTTATTTCCTATCGAAAATTAATGAAGACTTCTTTATTACCTTTGTGGATTTAGTTGCTTTATTGGCATCATCATTTGCCAACATACTTTGGGGTTTTTTGATTGACCGAATTAATTTTAAAATACTATTTGCAATCATCTACTTTGTTAGTGGAATAGGCGCTATTGCCTTGCCGTTTTCAGCTGCAGACAAGGTTTCATTCTTTATTGTTTATGTCATTACTATGATGTTTGATAAAGGTGCATTAGTTGTAACAGGCCCTGCTTTAATCAAGATTTTCGGAGATGATATTGGACATCAATTATTCCCTTTAACATATATTAGTTCATTAATATCCGTTGTAGTGGGACCTGTTAGCTAGTTTATATTATTGAAGTACTTTTCATTTGATATAATATTATATTGTTAAGGGTCATTAATTTTATTAGTGATTATTTTCATTATTAGACTAAATATGAATTATTAAAAATGACATAAATAAAAATATAAATTCAAAATCTTTACTATTTTTTATTTCTATATATCGTTTAAATTATACATGTTAAATATTAAACCAAATATATTTAAAGGAGTAATGATAAATGAATCATTTATTTAACAAAATTAAGGCTTGATTTTTAATTTTTCATATGCAAGTTAAAATAGTGATTCGGTATTTTTATTATTATGTTTTCTTTAATCATTAAATATTAACGAATTTATTTCGCAAAATGAGCTAAGTTTGCCAATAAAATTTGATTCCCTCTATATTAAATTCATATGCTTCCAATAGAAATGAACTAGGATCCTTTCAGAGAGTTAATTCGCCTGGACTTCCAAATTCATCCTTAAGAACTAGTTGCAAAGGAGATAAGAAGAAATTAGAAATTGGATTGATTACAGATAGAAAATTAAGTGAAAGTCCTTCATTAAGGAAAGCCATTTCTACTGAAAACTTTAGAATGTTAAAAAGAAATGATAGCATCGTTGAAACACCCTAACCTTGGGCCCAACCACCTTAAATGGAACATCTTATAAAAAAAAATTATAAGTTGATCGACAGGTTTGAATCAGATCAATTATGTATAAAAATATATATGTCTGAAGAAAATTAGAATTAAATCTTGTTTACAGGAATAAGTAATGAGATGACTGCTTCAGAATAAAATAAGAAAGAAATTTTATAAAATTTATAACAACTATTCAAAGTAGGAATTGAAGGATAAAATAAATATATTAAATTAGAATCCTTAGAGAAAGATTTAAATTTAGACAATCAAAGATATTATGGAATTAATGCTAAAAAACTTTATAATTCAAACAAAAGAATAGCCACTTAAGGAAATGATACCAAATCAATATTTGATAGATCTTTATCAATTTCAACTATAAAAGATTCTAAATCTATCACTTCTAATAAAATAAAGAAAGACATTGAGATAATAGAATAAGGAATATTGAAATATAAATTGAATGCAAAGAATAAGTAAAATTCAAAACAGCCTTTTGGATAATATAATTCTACTGCTACACTTAAGACTAAGAGAACTGGATGTAAAAGTCCATTACTAAGTGCTGCTTCACCTTCAAGTAAGACTCAAAGAAAAACTGATTAAAAATTAACAAATAAAGTCAAATTTAATACAAAATCTATGCATGCATGATGAACAAAAACAAATTCTGATTATCTATAAATTTATATTCTATAATAATTATATATCATATTACAGGATATCAAACCATTTCAGTAGTGAAATCTAAAAAACAAGATGATATTTATTAATAATCTAATCAGAAATGATAATATTTTGATATAAAAAATGTAAAATTTATTAGAGAAGAGAAATTATTAATTGTTTGTTTCAAAAACTCAAGTTTCAAATATTATTGTTAGGATTCTTCCAATTGATAGTTCCATTATAAAATTCATAATAAAAAGACTTAGATGTATGTGACAGAAGAGCTGAATATTGATGATTGATCACAGAATTGATTTTTATTATCATTTTAAAAGTTTTACCATAGAATTGAGTAATTCTCTATTAAATATGGTGCTTTCTTTTTCATATTTTTGAATCCAAGAATGTTACATAATCTAGAAAATGCTTAATCTCTTTTTTGGATCCTTTTAGACTAAGGCACGCACAAAGCTTTTACATTCTTCGCTTATAAAATTTGGGAATTCGAATCCACTATAGATAATTTTATTCATAGTATCTTCTTTTTTCTTTTCATAAAAAGGTGTCTCTCCAGTGCATAATTCAAATGTAAGAATTCCTATAGCCCATAAATCTACTGTATGATCATAATCTCTCCCAGCTGCAATTTCAGGAGACATATAATCTACAGTTCCACAAAAAGATTGCCTAACTTGGTTTGCAGGATTATAAGTTGATAATCCCATGTCAGCAATTTTGAGCAGAGAGTGAGTGATTAATATATTTTCAGGTTTAATGTCTCTATGAATTATGTTTTTGCTATGCATGTATCCAATTCCTTCTATAATTTATCTAATATACCCGGAGGCAGTTTATTCTGTAAATCTTTTTTTTGGTTACTTTTTTAAAAACTTAAACAATTCCCCATCAGTAGCATATTCTAGAATCAAAACTACCTTTGACCATTCTTAAAAATAGCCATAAAGTTTGAGTATATTTGGATGATCTAAATAACCCTATATTTTAATTTCATTTGCTAGTTGTTTTTCCATCCCATATTTTGAAATAGTGGCTTTAGGAATAACTTTTAGTGCAACAATTATTTTAGATTATTTGTCCTATGCCTAATAAACATCACTGAATTTTCCTTTCCCCAAAAATTTGCAAATCTAAAATCTTTCGCTTATGGTTGAATACACTGGAGCTAGACTTTACGCTTGTTTGACTAAATTTACAGGTTTCTTCAAAGGTGATTCTCCTTATTAAGGCAAAGGACTTTCTTCTTTAATTTATTCTTCCTCCACTTAATATGCTGGTATAATGTGTCTATTCCCAATTTCCTTATTCATCTACCCTATCGTAAAGGTAAGTCTTGTTTGCATATTTTTTATATTGTTGTCTATACTTTAACATTTTTCCACGAGATTCTACCAATCTTTATCAATTGATAGTATAAATCCAATTTGATCTTAATTTGTCATATTATTTATTTTAATTATGGAAGCATATAGCAAATTCGATTTTGAGGGAAATGACAACTTTTAGAAATATCTCCTAAATGTATATCCGTTGCCTCCAAATTTGGACAAAATCAAACGTAAATGGTATAAAACTTATATTGACCCAGAGTTTGATATCAACATAGAATCTCAAAATTCTAATTAAAACACCTCATAATAAACAACATAAAATGAAAAGCCATAAAAATAAGAAACTCATTAATAACCATAACAATCTTAGCAATAACAATAATAGTAATAAAATTATGAGAACAGATAATAATTGCCATCAATTCCTATTTGGACCATAATTGAGGGAATGCTTAAAGTGATATATTTCCCTGCTTTATTGTTCTTGCTTTCACCTTAATTACACAAATATTTGAATTTTGGGAGTATTTTTATTTGCTTGCTTGCTATATATCGATTGTAAGGGTTACCGAAGAAAAATTATTTTAAGGAATATATCATCAAAATAATTTAACTTGAATTCACCTCAAATATTTTCTTTATTATTTCATTATTTACAATCGATAGTTTTGCATTTTAATTGCCAATTGCTTTACACTTTATGGTTGGAGCTGCAGAATTTTGGACAAAAATTAATCATGAATAAGGAATCTCTCTTAAAGTAGCCAAATATATTACAACGGAATCCAATAGAAGTGAAATAATTCTTACAAAATAGAAAATAGAAATCTATCTATTCCTATACTCTGTGGTTGGTATATTCATAAAAAAGACATCATTTGTTCAAGCCATAATCATCTTCCAAAACGTGTTACTCAAAACCAAATTTAATAAAAATATGAAAAATGCATAGGCATATATTAGAGTATGGTATGCTGATAAGTTAAGTGAAAATAGAATATTACCTGAAGGTTTACGTAAAATTTTTAGTATTATCTGGAAAGGATACGAAAAGTTATTAACACTTTTTTGAGTAATTTTATCCAAAATTGTTTTATATCCATTCAATATTAAATTTATTCACTACTTCTATAGTCTAGAAAATATCGAAATTTACAGTCTATATGTTATATTTTAAATTATCTGATATTCTTCCTTATGATACTTGATCATTATTTATAATGAACGAATTTCGTCTTTCCTTTTTTTGAAGTTGAAGTTATCTAAAGATGGTATTGGCATCATTTAATTTAGAAATCAATTATATAAAATTTAAATAGCTAGCCAAAGGACTCAACAAAAGGAAGAATTGAAGAAGCTAAAGCAGTAGTCATTGAAAATACCATGGAAGAATAGGTAGGAATCTTAAAATTAGATTAGGATCTAGGGGAGGTATATATTAGTAGAAGTGTATGTGGTTGATCATTAAAAACAATAATATGATATGTCAAGGGTCCAGTTCGTAGAGGAGATATTTTAGAATTCATGGAATGTAGAAGTGATATTAAAAGTTTAAGATGAGTTGATAAACTTGTAACACAGTAAACTTAATTAAAAGCCCAGATGCTAATATATGGCAAGGCAGGATAAATGTTATTATAATTATTTAATAAATATTATTATGTTAATTAAAATTAGGCCGAAATTCTAAAATACTACCAACTAAACTTTTCAAAATTCATTCAATGCAAGCAAATAGCAAATCTGTCCCTAACAAGAGGAAACTATTCAAGACACTAATGAATTAGGCTTTAATGTATATCATCCTTCAAATAATGCGAAAAATTTATAAACTTAAAAGGATGAATAGATGATAATAGTGGAAGTAAGTATATAGAATCATCATTTAAGAATTCTCAGAAGAAGTAAATCATTGTAAATCTAAATAAAAAGACCATTAAAAAAGTTAAAAGATACATTGAAACCCCTTAAATTATTTTGGAAAGAATAAAAAATACATAGACTGAAGTATGATTTTCTTATATCAAGTAAAACCCAACTTGCAGAATATGTCTAGAATAAGATTAATTAGATAAACTTATCTCTCCATGCAGTTGCGATGGATCTATCAAGTATATTCATATGGATTGTTTAAAGACGTGGCTTTTGAGTAAATTCTCAATAGATAATTTGATTGATAGTAAAGTTATAAGAAATTGAGTTTTAGGCTTAATGCGAATTATGTAATAGCTTTCTATAGTGCTAATTAACTTTTTCTAATAAATATGTCTATTCAAGATTGAAATAAATGACTATAAGTTAAAAGATATTTTTCATCATTTTTCCAATGCTCACTTTAATATTATTTGTTTTGGGGATCTATTTCATAACACAAATAATAAAGAAAGGTAAAGATTAATATGCATACATATTTGGAGTGGTAGTTTGTATTCCTTCATTTTGTATGTTGACTTACTTATTTGTAACTATGTTGATTGATGCAGTGAGAGTGAAATTTGTAAATACTTGGACCATTTTGAGCTAAGATAATAGAAATGATACTGATGCTAGCATTAAGCCATTAAGAGTGAGGGCCAGATCTTAGTCTCTGCCTTAAATTTACCCAGAACAAATGACTTAAGAATAACATTTTGGAAAAACCATCTTCAAATATATCACAAGATAATAAATGATATGATTATTAATCAATTAGATTAAAGGTCTTTATTATTTTAAGTATTTAATAATAACTTATATAATAATATATATATTTTAATTTGTCTTTCATGTTTTTTTTTGGCATTTATACTCCCCATAGAACATTAATCCATTTAAATAATGTTGAATAAGAGCTTAGTTACTGATAATCAACATTGTTGGCCCTTTTGATTTCTAGAAATATGGATTACTTAGCTAATTAGTATCAGATCTTCATTATTATTAATATAAACAAGTATTTTTCTTGAATAACTAACTATTCATAAATTGTTTTGAGGAAAATAATACAGTAACAAGAAATTAAATTTAAGTTATTCATGATACATTAACTTAGAGATAATTTAAATTAATTTTCATAATTAATGCTTTTAACTTTTTTTCAATTACTCTGGTGTTGCTCCTCACTAATGTTATAATTTGTTGAAGATGACAAAGCTAAATGTTTAGATGGTACCTTAGGAGTATTTTTGCCAATTAAATGTAGTCTTATTACTTTCAAAAGGGATCTGAGGAAGGGTAGAATAAATTTATCGTATTTTTCGAGGGAGGAGAGTAAGTATAAGTTATTATAGAAGGCTTATTTTAGGAAATACAGAAGAAGAATATTTAATGAATGCTGTTGGAAAGTTTAAATATGAATTTAATTAAGGATGCAAACCTAACAAGGAAGTTCATTAAATAGAGCTAGTGCATTTGAATTTGATGGAATGCTATCATAAGATAAACAGAAAAATTACTATTTCCATTCATGGAATTTAATCCATATAAATTATTGCGATGGAGTTGGTACTGATAATAAATATGCCCGTAGGTTTTTAAGGTTATAAATCGGATTAAGTTAATTATTAATAGCATTTATTATATTTTAGAGGTGAATTAATAATAAGAAGCATTTTTGACCATTTCATGACTAAATTTTAAAAAGCTGAAATAATTACATTATCTGGTTGCTCAATCGGCGGAGTGGCAGCTCTATAATGGGAATAGTATTTAACATCAAGGATTCCAGAAAATATCCCAATTTTATTTGTCCCTGACTCAAGCATATTATTCGATATACAATCCATTGATGGAATTAATTTATTATAATAATCATTGAAGATTATGAATTACATTGCTAATTATGAAACCTAAGTTCCTCATAGTAAATGTGCAAACAACTATCCAAATCAGAATTGGAAATGTTTGTATTTCTAAAATCTAATAAATTTTATTTAACGACCAGTATTTATTATTTAACCCTTTTACGATTAAAATTTTCTATACAACTATCTCGACATCAAATGTATAAAAGATTAAACCTTGGAAAATTGTTAAAATAATGAAATGGATTTTATTGATCTGGTTTATTCAAAATTTCATCAAATAATTAAAGAATCACTTATTAAAAATTCAAATACTGGCTCTTTTGTTCCTAGTTGTATTTCAAATTGGTAAATTTCAATGCTAAATCTAGTTTATTTGTAAGTTAATTGTCATTTTCTCGAAGTTGGACGATCCCTGAAGGATCGAATAGGACAGCCTATCAAACTTTAGTCAAATGGGTAGAAAAACAAAAATTAAATTAAAATCATCAAGGGGATTTTGGGTTGATTGATTAAGTTCCCTGGCCAAAGAACTCTGCCTGTGCTGAATTATCATTACTAAGCTAAATTAAATTGATATATATAATTCTATAGGTTATAAGTATTACTTTTTTTTGAATATTTTTAGTTTCTTATAATTCAGAAAACTTTCATTTTTACATTTTAAGTAATAAAGCCATTGTAATATTTATAATGTTAATTTTTATATGATATAAATGTAGTTATTCATTTTCTTTTATTGATAGTTTAAGAATTTGTTTTAATATGAGAAGTTTACTATATAAACTATTATCTTTCTCTTTCATAACTGTCTTCACTATAACGATTTGGTGTTCGAGTCCTTTTATGTTAGTTATTTCTCTATTAATATGAGCCTTGATCATCATATTTATTAGACATATACAAGTTAAGATACTAATTAGGATTATTCCTATTCGATTATATTAAATAGTCTTCTCTTTACTAATATTAATATTGTTGATATTGGCCCTAGGAATTATGATATGTATCCTAATCAATATCATTTGGTCTCTACATTCTACTTACAGCTGCAATTGGATTGATTTTGTTAATTCTCTCATTTTGTTCTTAACGGTACTATTATTATGTTTGAGGCATTCTTTTATCAACTTATTAATAGAATATTTCATCTTTAGGTATTCTGCTCTTCAATTCTTCTAGATATTATAGTCTTTATTAAAATTGTTATTGTTTTTGAATTGGAAGATCTTAATGAAATCTTTATGGAGATTGTGTTTGATAAGAAACACATTATCTTTATTATTACTATTAAACATCTCTTTGGGATTAATGTTCATCTGTACTATTAACTTATTATCTAGTTGAATTTGATACGTATTGTTGTGCATTTTGACAGCTAAACTCTTTAGATGGTTGTTGTTAATAAGAGAATTACTATTATATTGGTTAACTTTAATAATGATATTATCTCTATTAATTATCTTATATTTATCCAAATTAGGGATTCTCTTAAACGCATTCATTTATTTTTTAGTATTTTTATTATTAATTTATTGATTGTTTGTTTTAAGTTTATTTTTATTATTCTTATTGCTAATCATAAATATCCCTAGAATATAATTTCGGTGATAAAATAGATTTAGACTATTGATTCTAATTGTAGTAGTAGTTTTTGACTTCCTAATACCTATCTCTTTAATCATTATTATAATATTTAGAAATTGGCTCTTATTACTAGTTAATTTAATTATAGTTGTCCCTTTGCAATTCGTTCCTCAAATGGTCGTCTTAGAGTCGATTTGGCTAATCTTAAATTGTTATTATTGATTTGCTACAAACCTAATCTAAAGCAGCTCTGTTGTAATATGGATTGTTTGAAAATGGTTCATCGTATTTATTATTGCCTTAATAATATTGTCTATTATTTCTGTCTTGATCTTCAGTTTCTAAGCAGAAATGTTATTTTCTAGGGTTTTGCTAATAATTTTCAATATTGTTTTGATCTTCATTATAGAGTTGCTTTGTAGTTTTATGATAATTGTTATTTGGAACTCGATTGTGATAATCCCCTTTGGAAAGAGGTTGTTCTCTATAATTAGCCATATTTTTGAAAGTGATAATTTATAAAATAAATCTGTTAAAGAAATAGCAGTTAATAAATTATCAAAAATAAACCTAGGGGTTTTCTGAATAATATGGACTTGGTTCTGAATACTGGTTCTGACTTGACACATATGAGGATCTTAGTAAAGGTTTCTTTAGTTTATGCTCAAAAGATTTTGATAAGAGCAGCTATTTGAAATCATAATGAGATGTTCTCCCTATTTTATAAGTAAAGAATTTAACTTGCATTCTGAGAGATATTCTTACTGTATCTTTCAAATTAAGAACTGTGTCTTAATTATCTTTATTTGGAATATTAACTCTTTGCCGATTGAATCCTGTCACTAATTTTCTATTATTAGTTATTCATAATACGCTGTTCTCTAGATCTATTGACAAGCCTCTGTTTCGATTGGTTGATTGACGACTAGTACTCAACTTGAATTTTTATTTCATTTTCGATTAACTTAAATCCCCCTATCTAATATCAATATCAAGTATCTTGTCGAATAATATTGAGTTGCATTTGTTGATCTCATTGTTTCTCTATATCATAAGGAATCATTATTATTGTTTACTCATATTTATTTTGATATCGACTACAAACTGACAAAAAATAGGGTTTATAAGGAGTAGTTGTTTTAACTATCGATTTAGCATTTCTAACACTGTACAAATGTTTATCATATGCCTGTAATTAAGGAATTATTGTACTTCCATTTAAGTTCTCATGTGACAAATTTTACTAGCTGGAGTGTAATTCCACATTATTAATTTAATTTTATAATAGATTCAGAAGAATACAAAAATGATTCCTAACATTAAAACAGCCTGGAAGGAGAAATAAGCCAAATTAAGCATCCTTGATTCTAACTCACTCTACTTACACAAAATAAATTATGTTATTATCATTTTTGGAAGAATTCCCTTTTGTTGAATCACTTTCAAAGAATAAGTCAATGAATTTACTACATTGTGAGGTAATTCAATATATACTCTGACGTATGTTCATTTGATAAAATTTAGATTCTTTTATTTAGATAAATTTCATTTATGTACTTTATGTAACTTTCAGACTCTGATACAACAACTGCCTATTAAGTGGGGGAAGACTCAATAAAACATAGACAAAATGTTTTTAAAGTTTCATTAGTTTTAAGTCTCATTCTTTACAAACCGGTAATCTAAACAATAATTTCTTATTACAATAAACTACTATATCAATATATTAATATAATATATATATATAAATAATTAATTGGTATAAAACATTCTCTATTAGGGATTATTCATGGTCAAATTGACTTTTCACTCCAATTAGTCTGTGTAGGCTTCTATAGTAAAAATTGCGAAGATAAGATATTTGTCAGAAGAAATATTTAAAATTTACATTTTCTTTATCTAGCCATTTTTTCAAACTAATCATAAAGAATTTAATCTTTACTTTAAACATAAATATTTTATTAAGGGTGTTGGTAAGTTGCATTAAGGAAGTGAAAACAATAAATCAAATTATTATTGAATTCATTTGATTTGTAATGATAATTTATGAAATGGCTTGGCTATATAAAAAATGGTTTGGTCGATGATTTAAAATTATCCATTAAAATTACCACGCAATATTAGCGATTCTTAAAAAAATTAGTCAGTAATAATTCAAATAGAGAAAGGTAAAGCATAATATAAATATATATATATATCTAAGTTGTCTGAAGATGATATGAATTGTTATTTGAATTATTATTAAATATAATATTTATGAATCACTTCTAATCTTTTGAAAACAGCAATTTACAAGAAATCGATCCTGCAGGTCTTGATAAAAATGAATCTCTACCTTTAAATACAAAGAATTCTTCCAGAAGAGCCTGGTCTTAGAAAGAGGACAATTAACTAAGGTGTGCGATAAAATTGTATGGCACGAATTGGTTGACTGTCGCTTCAGCTTTATAAAATAGAAATCCTTCTCAATGTGCTCAAAGATGGAAACGGATAAAACCACAAAATGTAAAATTTTGTTTTCACATTAGGAATATAGTAAAAGATAAATATGGACAAAAAAAGAGGATTAATTATTAATGCACTTTGTTTAAATCTATTAAAATAATTGGGTTGAAATAGCCAGAAATATCCCTAATAGAACGAGCAAACAAGTTAGAGAACGATTTGTTAACAAGTTAAATCCCGAGATCAATCAAGAGCCATTCACAGACGCCGAAGACAAACTTATTATTGAGGGATTCAAGAATTTTGGGTCGAAGTGGTGCAAAATCTCCAAGATGTTACAAGGTAGACCGGTATTATAACAAATTTATATATAGGAAAATATAATTAAAAATAGATTTTATTCATATCTTCGAAAGCATTATTTGAAAATTGACAACCCTTACTATGTTATTCCTTAGCCAAATTAAGAATTATCTCATTCGTTTTATCGGGAACACAAGGAAAATAAAGTCAAAAAAATCAAGAAACTAAAGAAAGTAATAATTTAATTATATTTTAAAGTTTCCAAAATTAGCTAATTCTAAGACTATCAAAATATAACAAAAAAGTTAATCCATCTAATTTAAATCCAATCTCGATGACCAAAATTAAAAAGAAGACTAAATGCCTTTTAAAGCATCAAAGAATCAAGAAAAATAAGGAAAATTACAATTCAGAATGCCAGATCCATAGGAATCGTTAAATCTAGTAAAAACTGAAGAGCCATTGGAAAATGAATAAGAGGCAAAACTTCAGAAAGAAAAATTAGAATATTTCTCGTCTAATTTTTAACCAAATTCTTTTCACTAAACCAATATATAACCACTTTAATGCCTAATTTATTATTGTAGCCCTTAATTGAGTATGCCGTTTATTCCTTCATTTTTCAGTACTCCTTTACTACAATACGGAATGGCGAGTTAAGAAACTTTGCTTTCGAGATCTTAGGAAATCAAATCAAAGAATTCAAGTTGATGATTCCCTATTTCACAATTATGCAAAATTAATATAATTATTTCTTTAAACACAATGGTTATTTCTATAGCTTACACAGTCAATGCACAATATTTAAATTGTAAATTAGAAAATTCATTTGGAAATCTCAATCAAATTTAATATTTTAGATTATTTAATAAAAGAATGGTATTTATATAATTATTAGAAATAAATATCAAATATTAATGGCAATTTTTGTTTTATGTAATTTTATAATGAAACTATATCAACTAATCAAACTAAACTTATCCATCATTTCAATAAATTCACTATAATCAATCTATTAATATAATTTTCGTATTTACTTCTCCGTCACCATTTTTGTCAGCTTCCCTAATCATGTCATCCCAATATTTTTCATCTATGACTTTCTCACTCTCTATAATATGTAGTTTATGTTTAATTACTTCCCAAAACTGTTTAGAGCTCTTACTTATCAATTTTGCCACTTCCATCTAAATCTAACATCTTAAACGCTTGGTATAATTTTTCTTCCTTCATATATAAAGATTTTTCCATCGTGGCAGCCAAAAATTCTATAGCATAACCAAAATAAGATACCAGTATAATTGATAGTTCCATTTCCATCAGTATCAATACTCCTAATAATATTTGCCAAATCCTTCTACTATGAATCAGTTACTCCAGTTAATCCTTCTCTCAGTTCATCAATAGTCAGCACACCATCTCCATTCTTATCCAATTGTTTAAATAATCTAGTTTTAGTATACTGTTAAAATTTACTTGCCCAAATCAGTGATTTCTTATTCGTTTAATTGAGATGCAATAAAAGTCAAAGCAACTTTTTTCAATTTATTGCTTCCATTAAAATTCTTTAATTGAGCAAAGTTTAGTTTTAATTCTAAAGATAATAGTATAAATTTATAACATTTTGTCGGTTTATTTGACTCTATCATCCATTTGTGTTTGAGAACCTATGAGGCCTTGTACCTCATACTAGGTTGGGTAATCATATGACGAATAAGATCTTTGGCTGATTCACTTACAGCTTTGAGTTCTGGAATATCAGTTGTATACTCTCCTTTTTGTACTGCATCCAAAATCTCAGGATCTGAGTCTCCATAGAAAGGTGGGACTCCAGATAATAAGATATAAAGGATGACACCTGCACTCCAAATGTCACACAATTCATCATAACTTCCTTTTAAAACTTCTGGGGATATGTAATAAGGTGTTCCAGCTTTAGTTTTCATTGTCAGTTTTTAGCCAGTTTGCTTTGAAGTGACAGGATCTTCAAAAAGGGTACTCAATCCGAAATCTATAACTTTGATCGGTGAGTCATCAGCCTTAGTTAAAAATAAGAAGTTTTCAGGTTTTAAATCTCTATGGCAAATGCTATTAGAATGACAATAATTCAAAGCCTAATTTCCAAATGATAAAATTATTACTTGCATAATTTATAAAAATATTTCGTATGCTTCATACTCACTGAAGCATCCTTTATCCATAATTCTATCGAATAATTCTCCTCCTTCACATAATCTAATAGATATAAAATTGTTGTACTCCATTACAAGATAAACATTTCTTTAATCTTCGAAAGTTTCATATAATTTAATAATATTTGGATGATCAAGCTATCTCAATATATCTATTTCTTTTTTGAATCTATCCGGATTCTTCACTTTGCTCTTTGGGATTACCTTTACTGCCCTCTGATTTTTTGTACCCTTCAATGTAGCTTTTACAACACTTCCATACGTGCCTGAACCAATTACCTATTAAATTCACATAACAATAACTTTTTTTAAATTGATATCATAAAACTGCTCTATTTTACCTTGATGGGAAAGAATAAACCATTATTTTTTAAAAAATACCTCCTCCTAATTCATCTTTAAAATTAATATAATATATTATTGACATGTAAATTAAAATACAAATTAATATGTCAATAAATGACTATTAAATTATTATTCCAAAAATTCTAACTAGAACTGTAAAATTATATAGAAAAAACGCAATAATTTATAAATTAAAATGGTTTATTATACATATGTTAGCATTACAAATATCGGACATTAGAACTTAATTTCTCTTCCAATTTACTTCAATATTTGAATTATGATAAGGCAAGACTTCAATAATTTAGATATTTAAATATAGTATTTTAATATTAAATAGTCTTTTTTAATTCAATATGTTGAAATAATAAAATATAATAGAAAATATCGAAGATTTCATAATTAAATCATAAGTAACTAGAAGTTTGAATGATTGAAATGAATGTATAAATTGATGTTTACTTTGGAAATTTGTTTAAAAATTCTTAATATTTGTTGAATAAACTAGAGTATCTTTCTTTCTTTTATGTTTTGCAGATTAACTATTCCAAACTATCGAAGACAATATATTAGGTTATCAACCTGAAACTATTGGTTTTGATCCTTTTAAATTTATATTGATAAAATTCTTAATAAAGAATAATTTGATTCCTTAAAAAGTAAGATTTCCTTTGAGAAATATAATCATCATGATTCATAAAATTTAATTTCTTTTTTAGTCCCTTTTAAGACATCATCTATGGATGAGGTAATTCAACATATCATCATAATTCATTTCTAAATAGAGATAGACTTTTTGTGAGATAGAATTCCTGACTATATGAGAAATTGATCATTCTTATTCAAATTGGAGTAGTTTTAAAATTAAGTCATTAACACCATTTGGTTTCTAGAGTGGTTCTAATTTTTAAAGTATTAAACCATATTATTATCTGATTTTTAAATTTCTTAGAGTTTGGCTTAAATTCAACAACCTTAGATTCAGAGATTTATGGCCTAGGATACTAATGCATGAAAATCAGTGGGTGTTCACCATTTCAAATTAAGGTTTTGATAAATTAATAAATCATTATTTAATTAAACTCATGAAAGCATTAATTCTTGTAGGAGGATATGGTACTAGATTGAGACCTCTTACATTTAAGTGTCCTAAACCGCTTGTTGAATTCGCAAATAAACCAATTCTCATGCATCAGATCGAAGCATTAGTACATCTATCTTAAATCTTTAGGTAAAAGTTGGAGTGTAGGAAATTATTTTAGCCATCAATTATCAACCTGACACCATGAAGGAATAGATCAATAAATTATAGGATCTCTATAAAGTCAAGATCATCTGCTCTTAAGAAACTGAACCTTTGGGAACAGCTGGTCCTATCAGACTTGCCAAAGATCATATTATCAAGGATAATCCTGATGGTTTATTCTTTGTTCTTAACAGTGACATTATTTGTGAATTTCCACTTGATAAATTGTTGCAATTCCACAAATAGCATAATCATGAAGGGTTTAAAATATTTATATTTATAGAACCATATTCGTCAATGAAGTCGATGATCCATCAAAATATGGAGTCATATTGGCTGATGAAACAGGCAGAATCAAGGATTTCATCGAGAAACCCTAAGAATTCATAAGTAACAAGATCAATTCCGGACTCTATCTATTTAATGTGAGCATGATTGATAGGATTCCTGTAACACATATCACAATACTATTAGCTTAAACCAACCTCTATAGAAAGAGAAATCTTCCCAATTATGGCTAAGGAAGGACAACTATATCAATACATTCTGCCAGGATTTTGGAAGGATGTTGGATAACCCAAAGATTACTTGGCAGGCACAGTTCTCATCTTGGAAAGCTATAGAACACACACACCTGATGTCTTGGCAAAGGGGAACAACATTGTAGGAAATGTTCTGATTGATGCATCTGCTTAAATTGATCCTAATGCTGTCATAGGACCTAATGTAATTATTGGACCAGATTGCCAAGTTAAAGAGGGAGTCAGATTGAAGAACTGTGTTCTTTTAAAGGGAGTAGTAATCAATGCAAATAGTTGGATCAATGAATCCATTATTGGATGGTCATCAACTATAGGTAAATGGGTTAGGATTGAAGGCGTATCTGTTTGTGGTGAAGATGTCTAGGTAAAAGATGAAGTCTATATAAATCAAAGTTTTATCTTGCCACATAGAGGTATTACAAGTAACATCTATAACAAAAATACAGTTATAATGTGAAATATTATATTCAAAAATATATTAATGTATTTTAAATGGAACATTACATCCTAATATAGAAATTTCAATCTTTTTGGGTATATTTAAGAATTCTCTCTATTTATTAAACAAAGTATTAACTTATATATGTATATTTATTTATAACTCATACAAGAACAATTCCTATCTCTTCTGGTTTAAGCATGTTGCTTTCTAATTTCCAATTGTACAAATAATAATTTAATTGTCCATCTCCAGGACAAAACATTAATTTCCTGAAAATATTGATAAATCAATATACCTTTAAAAATTTTTCATTATCCATAATATCTAGTGCATTAAAAACATCGTATCCTTCATTTTTGGCTAAGATTAATGCATCATGCATTAACTGTACAATAGGTGTTTAAGTTGCAACATTGTAATAGGAATAGGCAGCCTTAAAAGTTAGAATCAAAAATACTTTCAAGTGGGTATATTTGGGATTCTTTATCACTTAACTTGGTAAATTATAGAATGACAAAAAGTCTGTCACAATTCCTTATTCCTTCTCCACTACATAGGTACTAATCACATCTTTTCTAGGGATAAACCAATGCTTCACTTCCTCTTCTGTATATTTAAAATACAACTTGAAATTTCTAAATCGAAAGATTTAATTTACTTCAAATATTCATTTAATAATTTAGTAACCTAAGCCACATCTTTCTTTTTCATTGGTCTAAGTCCAGGAGTCTTTGGTTCTTCAGGTAATTTGTATAGTTTTTGTTATCTTGAAATTGTCTATCTTGCTGATAACGATGAGAATCCAACTTCAATCAATTTCTTTGCATTCAAGCTTCTATGATAATATCTAGTCTAAGAAATGGGAGTTGGGACAACAATTCCTGCTGTATATACGGCTTGCCACATATTCTTGATGTGTACTCTTCTAGTGATTTCTTTAATTAAGACAGGAGCTAATCTGTTAGCCCTTATTTTTTTATGGACACACAGAAAATTAATTTCTGTCATTTTCACTTTGTTTTGTTCATTTTCAATGTGGAGTGTTACTGGAATACCTGTGATGAATCCAACTAGTTTCTAATTGACTCTTACGCCAACCAACCAATCGGCATATTGTCCAGGGGGTAATAGTGCCCATCTCAAAAATTCAATTGAATAATCGAATCTAAACATATTATCATCATCCTCAACATAATTCTCCTTCAATAAAGTGTAAACCTAAATATTATTCTAAATTTCTTACTTATTGAGCTTATTCATCATTTCTCAAGTCAACATTAAACCATTCAAATTTGTCAATTAAATTAAGTGGATCCTTTCTGACCTCAGCCAATACTCCTTGTTGAATGGGACCAGGCTGCAACTTCTCCATCTCATTTATATTGGGCATAGGTTGAGTTTACCAAAATTGATGGGGTTTGTTTAATTTGTCAATTAATTATTAGTTATATTAAGTGTTTTTCTTCACTACCACTTATTATTACTATTATGGTTAGACTTCTATTTCTTCATCACTCGATTCTTACTTTTCCTTTTATTACATATTATATTCAAAAATAAATATATTATTTTTATCATTCCTACAAGGAATTTATATAATAAATTATTTTAATTAATTATTCACATTATGTTTTATAGATTTCTTAATCTAAATACTTGATAAAAGTAATTATAAATAAATAATTTTAGTATTTTGATATTGCTAATTGATGATCCTGTCATCCTATCCTATTGCTTTTTATATCTTGAGCTATCAGTATAAGATTTGTGCTATATAAACTGATGTGTATTACAAGATTCATCGACATTTCCTATTCTTTAGGAGGAATATTTAAAATAATTAGTTAGCGACTTTTGATTCTTTTGAGTTAATTTCCAATTTGATCCAAGTAAAAGAATTGATTTTTTTTACTTCAACATTCTAAAAGGATACCTTAAAGTTATCAAATAGTTTTTGGTGTGTAAAGTATATTCTAATTTTTAAAGTTGATTATAAAAATAAGAATGGGATATACTAGATTAATTCAAACCTATGAATTTGATATTTCGAAAGTATTTAAATTATAATTTAATTTAATGTTCTGTTATGATTTTAATGGTTCAGATTGTAAGTCTTAAATATCTATTTGAACTTATTTCTCATTAATGAGTATTATTTCACTATACAGATTGAAATAGAAAATATCTTATTGCAACTGTCGTGCTATTTATAGAATTTAGTAGGGGATCTTTAAGGGAATAATACAATAACTTAAAAATATGCAATTCAGTGTTGATATTGTAGAAAATGTAGTTTCAGTGAATGACGGTTTAATAAATTTCCTGCATCATAATTTAATTATTAATTTTCTGAAAAATATTAATGATTAATGTTAAACTTTTATAAAAAAATTAATAATTTTTATGTATTTAAGGGTGATTAAAATCTGAATAAAATATAAAATATTAAACTATTAATCAAATCTAATGAGTTAAATTACAAATCTAAGCTAGCAAACTTCATCATAAATTGGAAGTTCTTCACAAAACTTTCAATTCTAAAATAATCAAAGCAAGCTTTAAGTAAAATTTAGGATATTAATTTTTAGTAAGAATTTTAGTAAATGGAAACATAAGTTAAGGAAAGTGAAGGGAATTATTACCCATAACAAGATTAGAGTAATGGAGGTGGAATTGAGAAAAATGTAAAATTAGTCCTAAATTCTTAGATTATATACGAAAGAAAACAAGAACAGGAAGGCATGAAGTTTGGTTGTTCCACTGAATAAAATAGCTAATCTAAAAGATCAAATGGAAATGTATATAGTGCTATTATAATATTAAAATCAGATTTAATCGATGAGATAAGATTCGGAGATGGAGTAAGATAGCACCTAAGGAAGTGAAATGCAGACCCAAAGTCAATAGCAGCAACATGCTTAATCATCCTCGGTATTTCTTGATTCTTAAGATAGAGCTCTTAATAAACGAGCTATCAAACCCAAACAATAGTAACAAAAACGATAACAACATTTCATGAAGTCTAACAATCTGGAGATAACGGATAAGTATATATCATTCTATATAACTAGTCTGACGCTGTTGCTGAGTATGAAATGATGAATGGTTAAGGTGGAATGGAGGGGGAATCCTACGAGGATGCATATGGAGTATTTATATATATTAATCAATATTATAGTTGTATAAGTACGGTGGTTACAATTTATAAGCTGATCATGCTAAACTTGGTGGAGGATTGATGCTAAATAAATATAATTTTTCAGATGCTTCCTTAAAGGTTATTATAAATTAATTAGAAATTAGGAAAAACAATTTAATAGTTCAGCTGGTAAAGTTTAATTGGCATGTGAAGCTGCCATGGCTGCTGCCTAAAGGAGATAAGATGAAGCAGCTGCTGCAGGTGGAGGAATGGCAAGTTGGGAATTATAGATGAAGGCCATGGCAGAATTAAAGGCTTAATATCAATTATCAGCCAAAATTACAATTAAATAGAAATCCTTTTTAATGTATGGGTATGGATTTAGAGGCAAAGAAGGAAAACCTTAAAAGTGTGATGATGAGGAATTAAATAAATAAAAGTGTGATGATGAAGAAATCAACAAAAATAAATGTGATGATGTTGAATAGGAGAAACCAAAATAGGATTTGAATTTCGCTGTTTGTGAAGCTGAATGTATAGAAAAACCTAAGAAAAAATAACCAGAAGATTTGACAAATGCTCCATGTGATCCGGATGAGTTTACAAAAAAAAAGAAACCTGAAGGACCAGAAGAACCAGAAGAGAAACCCTGTGATCCAGAGGAATTCACAAAAAAGAAGAAACCATAAGATCCAGAAGATCCAGAGGAAAAACCTTGTGATCCAGAAGAATTCTCTAAAAAGAAAAAACCCTAGGATCCAGAAGGGATACCTTGTGATGCAGAAGAATTCACTAAAAAGAAGAAGCCTGAAAATCCTGAAGAAAAACCATGTGACCCAGAAGAATTTACAAAAAAGAAGAAACCAACTTCAGAATAATAGATATATTTCCCATAAGATTTAAGTAGAAGCAAGAACACTCCTCGAATTTAATCACCTGATAGTTTTTTTAAACCTCGAAGTGAAAATTTCATACGATTAATGCCAAGAAGTCCATAATAAATAGTTTATCCCGTTAGTTCAGTATAGAGTATTATTTTGCCAAAATTCGTAACTTGTGAACCTGTTCAAGTATTTTTTCATCTAAATTTAGGTTGCAAAATAACCAATTTTAACATAATGTTTAAGTGCTAGGCAGCCTCTCATCATCTAAGAAGAACCTGCACCTGTTATTCTATAAGGAGTATAATTTGGAACTCCAAAACCGTTAAGACCTAACGAATCATATATGGCTGTTTAACCTGTCTAAAAATAACTAGTAGCAGCCCAACCCTAAGTTATCTAGCCTATCATTTAATAATAAGTTGTGTAAGTATAAGAAATGTAACCATTATAATAATTTATCATGGTCCAACCTACTCAAAAGGCTGAAACCTATTCACAAAAACACATTTAAGTTTAATAACCTCATTTGATTGGTCAACATGTATAATTAGCAGCCTAATAGCCACAATATACAACTACTTAGCCAGTTTAAATAATGACTTAATAACCAAATTTTGTCGTTGCTTAATCTTAATAAGTAACCTAAGTTGCCCAACCAATAGTTGTAATGTAGGGAATACAGCAAGAGATAATCTCTTCGCCAACCATGTAATAATAATAAATATTCACAAATGCTAAATTCCCATAATAAGATGGATTATCACCCATTAGATAAAAACAAATAGTTCAATAACCTTAAGTAGTTTTGCAACCAACATAATAAAAATAAACGATGCTAGTTTAAACTTAGCCAATATTATAATAAAGTGTTCCAATGCAATAATCTGTTTTACAAATACAACCATAATAAACTATTTAGTAAGTCTAATAATTCCCATAAGTAAATTTTAAATATTATTCAATTTAGGTTACATCCCCTTTGAGACAATAACCTTTGGTTTTATAGCCTCAATTACAATATACAACATAACCAGTTGAGATTTTGCAAAGCAGCTAATCTCCAATTGGTTAAAAATAATTCAAATTTCAACCATTCCTTCATAAAGTATGAGAATTTATAATAAATCACATATTTATACAAATATAATTAATATCTTATTTTGTCAAACCCATTTTATAGAAAATTAATAAATTTATTTATAATGTTAATTATTATAATTAATGATTCAATAATCAGAATAACAAATGACCAAAAAAATCAATGTAATAATTTATGGAAGATGCGAGTCTGGTAAAACTGAACTATTGAAGGCGTTAAAAAAAGAAAATTTAAAATTTAATAATTAATTATATCAGGAAGATTCAGATGAGGAGATTGATGAAGAAGAAGCTATGGATAAATTCGAATCTGATTTATATTCTTCTTAAGTTACTCGTTGTTCATTTAGTTCAGAGAATTACAATATTTATTTTGAAGAGTCAAAAATCGTTTATTCTGATGTTTTAATGAAAGCATAAAATTTTGAAGTTTTGATGTTTCTGTTCAATGCTAAAAAGGGAGTCTTTGAAAATCAAATAGACAATAGTTTCTTTTTTAATTTTGATGCTGTGAAATTGCTTAAACAAAATTACAAAGTCATCTTTGCTATCACTAATATGAATAGTTGCAATTGGAGCAAAGAGAGATTCGATTTTATCCAAAATACATTGTAATCCTTAATTACTAATTTATAATATACTGTAATTCCTATTGATTCTAAATCATTCACTAACATATCCAAAATAGAATGTTAATGGTATTAAGGTAAGTCTTTGATAGAAGAGATTACTTCTACTAAATTGAATAATTTTCAAGATATATTGAGAATTAGAATATTAGATGTATCAAATAGATGTAATTCAGCTTATGAGTGTAAAGTTTTAAGTGGACAACTAAAATAAATAGAAAATCCATTAAATTTGAACTCTACACTGTAAAAAACTAGTGTTTAGGTTATTAGAGTTATGGATTCGATTGATAATGAATAATCCAATATTTCTTAAAACGATTTGATATAAGTAAAGCTACCTTACTTACTAATTTTAGATTTAAGTAGATCAAAATACAAAACTGAAAATTGGAGATGTTTTATCACTTCCACATTATACGTCTTGTTTTCTTAGTAAAGAGATGTTAGTTGACATTTAATTAGAGAGTCAAAAACAATCATCGTTAATTATAACAAGCGGATACTAAGGTTACTTAAATATTTACGGTATTCAATCTCCTTTCGAAGTTACAAATGTTGAATATATTAATATAGATGGTAAAAAATAAACTTAAGATTTCTTAAAATCGAAGTAATCAGGAGGACTTAAAATAAAGGTAGATTCTTACTAAATATGAAAGCTTCCAGAACCAGTTTGTTTGGAAAAATTTAATGTATCCTTTGAATTAGGGCATTTTCTGATCTTAAGCATTGATTAGTACAATTTACCTTTATATTAGATAAATTATAGGGTCTGGTAATGTAATTAAAGTAAAACCATTATGATAGATATTTCATGTATATAAAAATTAGTAAATTGTAATTATTTAATACATATATAGCTAAGTTTTGAGAATATTACTACAATTATCGTAATATAATTAATAAGCTAATATTTTTTATCTAATTCACTTTTTTTCTTCGAATTATTCTTCCTATTTTAAATCTTTTATTGCTTTCTCTAAATTTTATTTCATATTTTCTTATTGCCCTTTCTGATCTTTATTATTTTCTTATTTACCATCTTTTTTATTATTCTCATCGTAAATATCATCTTTTAATTAAATAATAAATTACCCCAATCAACTCCATTCAACCCTCTAACCATGTCCATTAATTTATAAAAATATATATCAATATCTTGAAATAAAAGTATAATTAGATACATCTTAATTGAGTTGACAATAAGTATTATAAAATTAAAAACATTGAGATTTAAATTGCACCAAAATATAAATTGATGGAAACTTGAATAAATATCAAAGTCCTTACAACTAATACCAGATATATGATAAAATATGTTTATTAATATAAATCATTTATGTTATTCTTTATTATCGTCTTATTTTATAGCTTATTAAATAGTGTTTTACATCTATTTATTTGCTCGATCATCATTATTTTCTCTTTCATTCTTTTTAATCTGGTTCTAGTTTTAATTTTAATTAGCTTTAGGCAACCCAACTTAATATTAAATTTTGCATACAAAAATCATCACCATTTTTGCCTCTGATCATATTCATTTTTTATAGAATTTTTTATAATTTATAAATTATAATCAGAAATCCTAAATGATCGAATATAAAGAGCACTTTATTAAAGATTCCTTCAACGTTAATTAAAATTATATTAGTATTAGATCTCTTTATGAGTAAGTAAATCTTACATATATATCTGAAGAAATTCATAAATGTTTTGATTACAAAGAAATTATCTTTGATAATGGTTTTAATTAATTAAAGGTTCTTGGAACATTGAGTTGATTATCCATTTTTTATGATTAAATGTTTAGATCATTTTATATCATTTAGAATTTATCCGTTGGTCATTATGTAAATATAAATTCAAATTTATTAATATAACTAATGAATTATAAATCACGCGACGCCCCATCCTTTTTGAATAAGTATCTGTAAAAAGATATAAACCCTAAACGACCTTTCGAGAGTTAAAACAAATCTTATTAAAAATATGATGTGTCTCCATTAATAAAACAACCTGTAAGAAAAACATTAGAGTTAAATTTCTCAAGTTTGGAAGAATAATCACTTAAAAAATAAGCAGTCTTGCCTAACTATGAACCAACAAAATGTTCATCAGGTCGAAATGGAATAATTAGAGCTTATGCTGCAAATACAAATTAAGGAATTGTGAGAGATTATAATGAAGATAGAGTTTCTATAATTTTGAATATTGTAAAACCATAAAATAGAGCAACAGAAAATTGGCCCAAATGTTCATTTTTTGGAGTATACGATGGACATGGTGGAGCAGCTTGTGCTGACTTTTTAAGAGACACTTTACATTAATTTGTAATAAAAGAACCTGAATTTCCATGGAATCCTGTTGGAGCCATAAAAAAAGGATTTGAAGCAGCAGAAAACCATTTTTTAGCCTATGCATTGGATCAATATTCAAAAGGAATCCAAGAAAGAAGTGGATCTTGTGCTATAGTTTGTCTGATTGTTGGAGATGTTTGTTATGTTGCGAATGTAGGAGATAGTAGAGCTGTATTAAGTTCTCAAAAAGGGAAAAGAGTCACAAATCTATCAATTGATCATAAACCAGAAACAGAAGTAGAGAGAATTTAGAGAGGAGGAGGAAAAATATATCAAACTTAAGGCGTTAATGAAGAAGGAACTTAAGTTACAGGACCAGTTAGAGTTATGCCAGGGAGGTTATCAGTTTCAAGGACTTTTGGAGATATTGAGGCTAAATTCGAATAATTTGGGGGAAATTCAAAGGTTGTGATATCTGAACCGGATGTCAAAATATTTAAAATTAATTAAGATCATGATTTCATTGTTTTGGGATGTAAATAATTTTAGCTTATGTTTAGGTGATGGGATTTTTGATAAAATGTCATCAGGAGACGTAGTTAATATAATTTGGCAAGACATTTAAAATAATACAAAATCTAACTTGCATTCAATACTATCTACTGCTGTTGACTCAGTTTTGAAAGAGGCAATCTATAAAAAAAGTAGTGATAATGTTACTTTATTGATTGTTGCTTTTTAAATAAATACATAGAAAGAAGAATAGAAAGAAATCAAATACACATATAGCAATTCTGTTGAAAGGATTGAAGAAACCTTTCATATCCATAGTAGACCAAGGATAAGGTAATATTTTCATTTATTTTAAATAGCCAACAAATTACCAAAAGGAATGATGAAAATTTCTCATAATTTAGTAGTCTAAATTATTGCAATCAAGCTACCTCTATGCATAATAGTAATAAATCTGCTTTAGTTCAAAATTTTCAAAATAGACTTTTAAAATAATAATAATAAAATAAAAAGTCCAGTTTGGATGAAGTAACAAATAAAATAAAAACTAGTTATATCATATGATAATAATTAATTAATACACCATTAAATTAAATCATAATCAATATATTATTTATCTTATTTATGAATTACAAATAATATTGAAATTAAATTCCCTTTTTGGAAAATATTGCTGACTTGTTTAAAAACAATAAATAATTAATATTGTCTCTGAAATATATCAATATCGCAGATCTTTAATATTATTCATATTAGAAATCAACTTTAAATCAACTTTTTTCATAATCAGAATTTCAAATAAAAAAAATAGAATTGGAGAATGAAGAAAATGCAATTTCTGATTTTAATTGTTCAAAATCTGATAATTTTATAATAATTTCTAGAACTATTGAATAAATCAGGCTTATTAATTAAGCCTAGAAAATATCGAGACAAATAAGATGCAGAAAATTAGAAATGATATTAAATTTATAATCTAAATTTTAAAAGAATAAATGACAACTTCAGCATTTAATCTGGAAAAACAAATGAATAGAAGTAAAGGATTATAAAAAGAAGAAGGAATAAAAATGATAAATTAGATTAAATTATAAATGAGGTTAATAGAGATTTACTAGAAATTTAAATAGAGTGAGAAGAGATTATAAATTAAGCAAATCCTATATTTATAAGATAAGGAACAATACAATTAGGATCAGGTAGATGTAACGTTGGTAAAATTAAATTAGAATTGCTTTAATTTTTAAAAGGGATTGATATAATTATGATTATTTATGGAATTGGATGGTTGTATATAATATAATTCTATAGAAAGATACTAATTAAATAATAAATTTATACATATTTATAAGAAAGTCCTTTTTATATCACTAAAATTCAATTGTTTAAATTATATAAATTGAAATATGTATATAAAAGATTCAAGAATATTACTAAATAAAAATTAAAATAATAAATCAGTCCATAATTTAATAAATAATATATATAAAACAAAATGCTTAGATTCTATATTCCTACACTTAATCTAAGAATTAATATATTAAGTTATTTAGGAACTCTTTGATAAAAATGATAATTATAAATACGTCATAATTAGCAACAACTATTATAGATTAATACAATAAAAGGAAAATATCGATCAGATTTAAGATGTATCGGATTCCTAATATGTAAAATGGTGTTATTATTTTATCTGTTACATTAGGAAGAAAAATATTTATAATATCAAGTTTTAACAAGAATACTAATGTTTATTAATTATGAATTTCCACTTTTTCAAAGAAAGTAATTTAAATTTATGTAAGACTTAATGGGAATGGAGGTATTTTCAATTAGAACTTCAACTTATTTCTACTAATTATAATTAATAATTGATTAATCTGCTTAATTCATAAATAATTGATAAACAATCCCTAACTTTTTATATTAATTTATGATGAAGCAATTAATTTGGTAAAAGTACAGGCTTAGGTAGCTATATTAGAGAGGGTGAAACTGTGAAAATTTGCTAAAAATTATATATAAATGAATTATTATTATGATTATTTAAATATCAATTTCCATTTTCATCAGCTAATCTTGGAGTTGGATTAACTTATTCAATTTCAAGTTAAAGTGGGTTATCTAAAATGGTGGTTGATACTTCTGATGATTGAGCTGGGATAAGATCACTAAGTTATTAGATCAAATTTGCTCTAATTTGATTTTTAACTTCTACATCCTACTCTATTCTCCATTATTCAAGAATTTCGAATCCAATCTAGTGAAGAGTTTCGAAAACCTATCTAGCGAACTCATCCTCTGGTTATGGAGGAGGAGGAGGAGGTGGATGAGGATGTGAGTGATGCTATCTTTAGACTACATTAATTGGCTCAGCAGGTCCAGAAGCAACTTCTGTGGGAATTAGAACTTCAGCAACAGGTAACAAGTTTTCTAAATTTCCAATTAAAACAGCTCTGATCTCATTTTTAAGTGATGGGTCTTCAGTGGGGTTCCATTCATCTAAAATCACTTATCCAGTTTTTCTTAAATTCTAGAATACTTGTCTTGAGAATTCATCTTAAGGTCTATGAGGTCTTGTACAATTTTTATTATTGTTTTATTGGTCTCTATTATGGAACCTACCTCCTCTTGGTCCTTCTATAGGTCCTTCTCTACCTTGTCTTGGTTCTCCTCTAGGTCCTCCTCTTGGTCCTCCTCTTGGTCCTTCTCTAGGTCCTCCTCTTGGTCCTCTTTTAGGTCCTCCTCTAGGTCCTCTTCTTTCAAATTTGTGTCCTCTTTCATTTCTTCTATGTTCAAATTCCTAAGACTCAGATTCGCTATCTGAGCTGCTATCACTAGATGAACTACTAGATGAACTACTAGATGAGCTACTAGATGAGCTACTAGATTCACTATCATAAACTATGTAAGGAGTATATGAATCTTCACTGTCATATAGAGTATATTTATCATCACTATCGTAAAGTGTATATTTATCTTCACTGTCATTATGATTATATATATCGTCATTTTCGTCACTGTTGTGATTGTCGTAAAGGGTATAATTATCGCCACTATCGTAAAGTGTGTATCCATCTTCACTAGCATAAGCAATATATTCTTCTTCACCCAAATTTGAATAGGTTCCTTATCTTTCTGAGTACTGATCTCTGTGATGACCATGTTCCTTTCGGCCTGATCCTCTTAGACTTGCAGTAACTATTGTTACTAATAAAACTGTTATAAGAATATTTTTCATTAAATATATTAAATGATCTCATCAACTTTTTCGATTAAAAGGCCATATTATTCCATATTGTTGAACTTTTATATAGAATACTTACCTAAATTCAATATATTGTTTAACTACTAAATGAACGTTAAAAAATGTTGATCAAATATGTTCAATGAAACTTTTAGTTAAATAACACTGTTTTCAGTATTATTTTCAAGAATTTAAAATACTATCAAGGCAATTTAGATAAATAAAGGTAAAATGGATTTTGAAATATGAAGGTTGAAAGAAAGTTAATGCAGATGCACTAGCAGTATTATAATGAGATTTTTATTTAGACAACAAATATATGGATACAATAAATACATGCATACAACAAATTCATTTCAATAATTTTGGTAAGATAACTTCTGATTTTCCCTTTATTTGATAAGTATTTCCAACTTCAATTATAGGCTCTGGGTTGATTTCAATTATAGTTGCCTTTTTACTAATAAACTAGCAAACAGTCGATTTAGCACATCCAGTTTCAAGCATTGTGCCAACTACAATGATGGTGTCATAGTTTTAATATTTATCCTATAACTCCTGAAATCTACAATTTTCGTTAGTATAGGATTCATCGAAGAATAAAATGTGAGGTCTTGCATCCTCCCCACATTTTGGACATTTAGGTTTTAAATTCTTAGTGAGATCTGGCATTTCATAGAGAGTGGCTAACTCATCCTATTCTAAGGTGCATTCTTTGAAGCATCTCATATATTTGATATTACCATGGATTTCATAGATTGATTCATAATGACCATTTTTAATTTATTTTTGTGGTAAAATAGAAGTGAGCATGTTGTCGATGTTTTATGACACAATTAAAGTATTTGGATTCTTCTTTTTATAATTAGCAATTGCTGTATGTCCAGCATTCGGTTTTTTATTAATTAGCATCTTTTAAAAGTCCCTATGCCATTCCCAACATAAATCTGGGTTGCTTGTTAAAAAATCTTTTGTCAATACTTTTTGACATTAGTATGTATCTGTTCCTTTAGTCCAATACCCATCTTTGCCTCTAAATGTGGGAATGCCACTTGCATGACTTAAACCTGCTCCACATAATATTAACACATTCTTAGTCAACAATTTTTATGCTTACTCAACAGTCACTTCTTTAGCAGTTTTAGGATTTTATTCATCTGCTTTAATACTATTTGCACCCATTGATTTTCCGATCTTGTCTAATAGTTTATCCATAGCATCACTGAACTATTTCTTAAAATTATCTATGTTTTCAACTGTCTATCGAGCTTGTGCTTTAGCATCATCTAAATTTTTGAAAGTAACCTCTAAGCTTTATAAAGTTTGCCTTGACCTTTCCTAAGTTTCTTTTATTTCTTTTTATATTCTTTCATACTACTCCATTTCAATTGCTCTTTTTCTTTCATATTCTTCCCAATCAAATTTTTAGTATTATTTTTATTCTTGATTGTCCATGTTTTTTAAATTTAATAATTCTTACTTCACAATAATATAATTTTTAAGTTAAAAGCTACAAGCAGAAATGAACAGTATCTGATGAATACCATAATTGATTAAATAATCACACTAATGAGGGAACATCAAATAAGATTTTAGTTTATGGATCCTTTTATTAGTATAAAACTTACAATATCTCTTTGTAGCCTTAATTTTCAATTAAAGTTGTAAAAATAATTTAATGAATTATCTATATAAATATATTGATGGGTTTTTTTAGATTAATTACTGATTGAGCTTATGTCTCAATTAATTTGACTTAATCGTTCTTTCTGAATGATTAAAATATCAATTTCTCGGTGTTTTTTGAAAATTTTGATTAGGGGAGATCTAAGAACATTTTCATTATTTCATTTTTAATGTAAAATTTTGATCGCTGAATATATTGTAATACGAGTTTCTAAAGTAATTTAACAATTCAAAATACACATGCATTAATTTTACTTTAATGCTCTTAGTATTTTCTTCAGTCTTGCTTAATGAATTATTTACTTGCAATGATTATTCTTTGGAAACCAAAATGATAATTTAATTAGATGCTTTAATTTTTTAGTGAATCGTTTCTTCAGTATTAGAAACAAATTATTTATAATTTTAATTATCAACCAAATGGCTATTGAATCCTATGATTTTTTAGTGACTGAAATACGAGTCTCTTTAGATGTACAGTATTTGAGTTATCTTAGAAAGGAGATGAAATTAAAAAACTTATCCTTGAAGAGAATTTGTCAGAGATTAAGAGAGCTTAAATTATATTAACCAAAGGGCAACAAAGATAGAAATTGGCTGTATGATATTCTAAAAATAGATAGATTTACTCCAATTTGGGCAGACTGTTGAAAGAGGGTTTCAATTAATTATATAATGTGGTTCAAGCAGATCTTATGGAATAAAGCGAAGAACTTATCGTAGCCGCTGGGATTTCCCTCAAGAATATAAAATGCTATAGCAAAGAACTGATGCCTCTGGTCCTTCATTTTATTTAATTATACAATATGAAATATGCAGATTCGTGGATACCAACCTTTGGAAATCTTATTCATTAATTCAATTATAAAGACTATTAAGATCATATTGAGAAAATAATCATCGAAATGTCGACTCCTCGACAACCCGAAGTCGGTAGATTGATTGGAGCTATGTTGATAATTTAAGTAGCTAACTTATTAGGGGATAAGATTCAAGGACCCATATTGGATAGAGTTCGATAACTATGCAACGATAATGACAGCGAGGTCAGAGCTATAATAGCTGGAGATGTCTTTTCTTGTCTGATTGAAAGGTTGAGTCCTTGTCTTATTCATTAATATTTGCAAGACAAGTTCCTCCCACTCATATATGACAATTGTCCATAAGTAAAAAAATAGATGATTCAAACCTTATTTGTACATTATCAGAAACTTAATGCGATTGAGTGTGTTGTAATATTTTCTATCTGATTTAAGTTTAATGCTACTCAGATGTTCATTGATTGCTTATCCACTTAAAATGAGGATGTTCTTTCTACATCTCTGGCATATTGTGGTGTTGCCTTCCTTGCAATAAAGGACTAAGTCAATTTAGAATTTAAATAAAATTTGATTAATTTATTTGTGAAATTCGGATAGCATCAGAGTCAAATCATCAGATACTATTATTTGTACAATTTACCAGGGTTTCTCGCTTTAATTAAAGACGTCCAATTGAACTGCTAATTAATCTAGCCTTTTTGTATCATCGTCGACGAAGATGAGGAGGAGAATAGGATTTTTGCTTGTTCCATCCTGCACGAATTGATCAAACCCTTTGATGTAAACAAAATTTATAATTAAGTATAGCTTCATTTCAACTTAAATATTTTTTGGTATAACAAACGTTGTGGGCTCTGAAAATTTGAAGTTGATTCTGCAAATTCAATTCGCCAAAATTATTGAGACCTTATTAAATGAGGGAATTCTTGCATCCTTAGATAAAATTGTAACATATCCAATTTATATACAAGCAAAAATAATTTAAAGCCATTTTTTAAGATTTTGCAAAACTATTCGAAAAGTGTCACCACAATTATATAAACAATGAAAGATTTCTAACTTAAGTCAAACATTTTATGAGATTTGTTAAGCCAAGGTAATTTGTTAAATACTATTTGCCAATTCTGTACCAATAATAAACATGCATTCAAAATGAAAGCTTAGCTATGGAGATTTTAGCCCATTTTTTTTACACCTGTCAAGATTATGAGATCCAACAGAACATCAAAGATACTATGAATTAATAATTTTACAAGGGAAATTCTAATAAAAAAATCAAATATTTGTGGTTCATCAATGCATTACCAAAATACATAAGCAAAAAGTAGTTTAATTATTTAAATGTAAGTATAATAACCCCTATTTAAGTTTAATATATTTGTCAACCTATATGCAGATAAAATAGTAGATGTTGTAATAAATTTAATTAAAATATTGCCACATGTCGCCCATTATTTAATCGATCAAAGTCAATACAAATTGTTGAAAACTTTAAAGGGGCAAACCATTTCGAAATTAGTCGATGAAATGATCGTTGTAATAGAGTCAAACCAAATACATATAGATGAAGTTAAAGAAAAAAGATTGCAGGAGAAAGAGGATAAGGTTCAATAAGATTATTTAAATTCTCTTAAAGCTAATAAATAATGTGATTCTTCTCAGAGCATTGATAGCAATTCTAAATACAAGAAAAGGCCAGCCCCAAAATTGGCATCATAAACTGCTAAGAAACAGTAAAGTACTTCGTAAATGAGGTATGTCTATATGTATATACTAAAATAGAATTGGAGTTAAGGACAATACGTCATAACCTTCAAGTAGGAGTCAAGATAGAAGCACTAATTAAGTAGTAGCAAGACATTAGATCGAAATATAGAAGTTTAAAAGCAGACCAAGTGGATTTAATAAATTTTGAAGGATAGCATAAATTTTATTTAAAATATATTTATTTATAATTACATTTGGCAATTATAGAAATGAGTCGATAAATTTATGTAGGAAGATTGGGATCTAAAATAAGGCGGGAAGATTTGTAACAGGAGTTCGAGAAGTATGGGAAGATAAAGGATATTGATCTACGAAGCACACATGCCTTCATTGAATTTGAAGCTTCAGATGAGGCTAAGTAGGCAATATCATAAGTGGACGGGCGAAGGATAGGTGGTGATCGTGTCACTGTTAAACAAAGAGGTAGGATGACATTTGATCGTGTGATGATAAGATGATCGACCTTCAGGTGTAAGAGGACCAACAACCAGAGATGTGTGTTTCAATTGTGGACGCAAAGGCCATTGGGCAAATGAATGCAAGGAAGGTTTCAGCTATCATCTTATATCAAGGCGATTTGCGAGAAACATGCTACAGGTGTTACAAGAAAGGCCATATCAAAAAGGAATGTCCCGTGTCAAGAACTCCTAGTGATGCTAAAAGGTAATGTATGTTACAAAAGAATTAAGATAAAGAAGAGATAGAAAAAGAAGAAGATCATCCTCTTCATCTAAATCTTCTTCTTCTTCATCAAAATCTAGAAGAAGAAGTAGAAATTTCAAAAAAAACAGATAAAATAGAAGATAATCCAGGAAATCATCAAGTGAAAGTAGAAAGTCAAACTCATCATAAACATCTAGAAGTTCAAGGTAATTAATAACCCCGATATCATAGTAAAAATTCATGATAAAATGCATCAATTATATAAAATTATATATATATGTTAAAAAATATTCTGCAATTATTAATATATTATTGGATAAATATAAAATAAGGATGTTTGGAATGCATTTCTATATTTATTATAGGATAAATTATTCAATATTTTACAAAATTACTTTAGATTATTCCAAAGATCCTCTAAATTTATTAATTTTACATCTATAATTATTATCATCAAAACTAGGATCCAATTTTGAGTATTATTACCATTTTATCATTAGAATAACTGATTCTGACTTCATATATGTTTTTAATTAAGTGTCTCCTCTATGAAGTATATTTTATAAACTTTTATTTGAAAAGGTTTATTATGATTGACAGATAAATTCAGTCTTTAAGGAGACTTGATTATTGATCGTAGATGCTTAAAATACTTAGAATGATCCTTTGATACTTAGATAGATGTTGTAATTTGATTTGATAAAATTTTAATTTCGATATACATGTATAAGCTTTTTAGGAAAATTTTAACTGGATTGTTTAAGCTCTTATCAATTATTAGATGTCTGAGATCAACTATAGTTCAGTACGTTGCATTCAATCCCCCAGAAGTAGGTTATTTGATAAGAAACAGAAATGAAGTGATTAAGACACTTACTCTGTCTCCTTTGCATGAAGAAAGATCTAGGACTTTAGATGAACCACATTCCCCTTTAATTCAAGCAAAATAGCCAACAAGACAGTCATATCAATTAACTAAGGAACACCTTTCTATAATTTCTCCAAAAATAAAATACTATAACACTCTGTAAAGTGTAGAATATAAGTAACAACTAAGAAACCCAAAGAATTAATAGTATGAACAATATAATACCTAAGTTAATATCCCTCACAAGAGTTTAATTTTATAAGCAATGAATTGAAAGCTATGGAGATTGATAATAATCCTGGATTGCCTATATCTAGCTATGTGTTGGAGTCCTAGTCTGGCAACTTGATTGCATCTATTTATATTGAATTTTCAGACAGTGAATAGATTATTCTCTATAGTCATGGCAATTCTACGGATATCGGTTTGATGTTCGATACATATGTTGATATCGTCATGGAGTGTAAAATCAACCTATTCTCCTACGATTATTCAGGCTATGGATAAAGCACTGGCTACCCCACTGATATAAACTTACTCTATGACATTGAATCCGCATACATCTTTCTAATTGATCAATTGCAATTCGAACCAAGAAATATCATCATCTATGGCTACAGTATTGGATCTGGACCAAGCACTAACTTGGCCTCCAGACATGAGGTGGGAGGCTTGATCATTCATTCTGGTTTGTCAAGTGGATTGAGAGTCATTGACCCTACCATTGATCACACATCATATAATGATATATTTCCTAATCTTGATTACATAGTTGATGTGTCAGCCCCAGTTTACTTACTTCATGGAGGAGCTGATTCTATGATTAATGTTGTTCATGCTGAATAATTGGCTTAAAAGGCAAAACATTTATTCTCTGTTTGGCTAGTTGAACATGGAGGTCATGGAGACATTGAATCCTAATGGAAGGAATTGTATTTCAAGAGATTATAGAGATTCACTCGCAATGTATATTTAACGTTATTTTAGATTGTTAAACTGCATATGTTATGAATATCACATTAAATATTAAGCAAAAGAACTACTCAGCTATATTTATGTATGAATAGTAACTTTAGATTAAAAGAATCCCTCTATTTATAGTCTATTAGAAATAGTGAAATTAAATTAATGATATTCAAAAATGAAACAATAGTTTAATATATATTATCATTATTATATATATTCTAAAATAAGAAATTGGTTTAAAAAATTAACTAGTATCAAAACATAAACAGAATCTGAATATTTCTTCGAATAAAATCTCATAACGTCATCATCTCTTATTATACATATTTCTGTATTGTAGGTTTATTTTGAAGTGTTATTTTTTATCCTAACTTTTAGGAGGATACTTACTAATTATTGAGAAATCATATTATAAATTATAATCAGTGAAGAAATTCAATTTAAAATGTCCAACATATAAATCAAATATATTATGCTGAATTTTTGGACTAAAAGTAGAGGGCAAGATTATTCAATAGATTTTGCTAATGAAATTTAAATTAATAGTCATAATCAATTCAAATTCTAACCCATTCAAGTATTTACTAATCCAATAAATAAATACTTGAATTAATAAATGAATACATAATCTAATATAAGATATGGAGATGACATTGTTGTGATTATATAACACGACAAAACTAGAAATTCTTAAATAAATTTGGACAAATAGCCTAAAAGAATTCGCTATGGATAAACAAAAGAAATCTGGAATAATGAGTCATACAGTAATTAAATGAAATGAATTCTACCAATACCCTTTAGTAAAGAATTACAAATTTCTGGGAATAATATTTGATCATCGCGGGAAAAGTCTCACCACAAATAACCAAACTAAAACAAGTGGTAAATAACCTGACATAAAAGCTGCTATGGATTTCAAAAAGATTCAGCTGGTAATTTCGAATGTAGCTATGGTAAACATATATTTTACCCCATTTCCTCTACATCATTCCGTCCATTCGACTTAAAAAAGTTAGAATGTAAGGACATAAATTGGATAATTATATAATGCAACCTTTAAACTGCTTTGCAAATTCCTAAAAATTTACCAACATAAGTGCTACATTACTTAATACCAAATATCGAAACTATCGCAGCACTATCCTTAAAAAAAGCAGAGTAATAGATGATAATAATAGATATTGATATCACAGAAAATATCAATAGAAACAAATTTGTTTCTACCCCTATTAATTCATTTGCTGCAAGATCTTCCCACTATTATTTAAATTATATAATTAAACCTGTACAGAGCACCCATAACCATCATTTTACAAAGATGTGCTAAAATATCTTACTAAATTTGTTAATCTTGAGAGGCTGATCAATACGTACTAAGATGAGAAGACAAACAAAAAATGAATAAGAAGAGAGTTATTTAACTCTATTTAATGGGCCAGTGAAACCAACTGAATTTATAGGATTATATGGGTGTTAATTTTAATAATAATAATATAAGAAAGTTCATCTGAAAATAAATTGAAATATCTAATTGAGTAGCGGTTTTAATCCCAATCAGTTCAAAAATACAATAATTTCAACTAATTTTATAAATTTCTCACTAAAACAAAAATTTAAATTGTTTATAAGAGTCTAAAATTGTGAAAATGTTATTAGATATGATGCAGAAACTGATAAAATGCATTGAACTATTGGTTGAAGATTTTCTATCCAAAATGATAACATATTCGGCAGAAAAATTTTGGTTTATATTATTATACACTATGAATGGGAATAGAATTAGTTAATGAAAGACTTAAAACTGTTAGTAGAATAATTTCTGCTCATCGATTTTTACATGTTATGTAAAAAATAATCTCTTTGTTCTCAAGAATTATCAAGATAAATATCAAGAGGTTATATTTAACAATAATCCAAAAAGAAACCAATTCAAAAAGTTATTCAAAAATATTCAGAATCAGTTCATAAGTAAAAGCAATAAAATGTATTAAATTTAAGATATATTTAAAGAATAGATTAATAATTTTAAAGTAACCATCCTTTTTCTATAGATAAAGAAAAAATCAATTAAAATATTCTTCTACTTATTGGTTGGTTGAATTTGTGCATGGTGCTAGCTCATCACAAATGATCATCTCCCTAAACTAACTCAGTTTCACCAACAAGATTTAAGTTGGCTTAAGCAACTAATCTATTAGAACCAAACGAAGAAACAAACATTATCCAGATCTTAGAAGAATCATTCAAAATATCCAACAATCTGAAAATAAGATAATAAAAAGCACTTATAAGTTAGGATTCTTTACAGGTTGTTTAATACGGCTATTTTTACCCAATTTGATTTATTATTTATTTGAAAAACTCAATAAAATGCATAAAGCACAGAAGAAAAATACTTCAAATCTGATTCTATTCAAAAAGTGTTCCGCCAAAGAACTCATAAATATTAAATATAATGACAAAGAAATAACGGAACTTAAAATAGAGCAGTTTATCAAACCGTCTAAAATCTGAAAATAATATTCTGCCGATATTATCATATCGGGATCTTGTTTTAAACCTAAAATAGTCAAACAAAAATATAAATTGAGTCGAATGTTAAAGAAAAAATTAATTAGTCAATGAGGCTTTTCAATATTAAAAACATTAATTCTTATAGTAAAGATAGTTTTGAAGAAGAAATTCATTTTATCTATTGAGGAAATGAAAAACTTGTTCAAATGTCCTTAATGATATTGAGGACTATTCATTATGCATGAGAAAAACACTCAGAGGTCAAGTACCTCAAAATAGTTCACATACTATTCATAGTTAATGTAATTAATGAGTGAACTCCACAGAGTTTAAGCATATGGCAATTCCTTAATTTCTCAGCAGTATAAATCTAAAGGGTCACCATTTTAAAAGTTTGTTTATTTTTTTTAATCTAAGCATTTTTCTTTATTGAAATTCAAAAAAATAATCAACTCTCTAATAATGACTGACTATATCGGATAAATTATTTACAAACTTTGATATAAATTTTAAAAATGTTTTATAATATTATGTGATCTCATCAAACTTAATTAAATATAATTTTTCTAAATGCTTTTTACTATATTTATCATCTTAAAGGTATCCTTATGTGATTGGAGATTGATTTATAGCAATTTTTACTCTGAAAGCATTAGTACAGCAAATGATTGGGATTTTAAATAAAATTGCTCAGTTAATTAAATACAAGGATCATCAATAAAATAATGTGGCACTAACCCTTTAGATTTTTTAAGGTTAAAGGATGATAGAACAAAATTAGAAAAACAATTTTACTATCCTCATTACTAAATTAGACTATTAACGGATGTTATTTATTTTAGATCTCTTCCAGGAACTAATTCCTAATTTAATATATTTTTAGTAGACAGTTTTAGTTCTTCTTCCATATTTTAAAGACAGTACTAACAGAATGATTTATAAAAATATGAAAATGTTTGTTAGTACACTTGTGGAGGTGGTGGCGGGGGTGGTGGATGTAGTAATGTAGATGATAAAAGAGTAGAAATTAAAACAGTAGCTTTAGACTCAATAAATCATCATACACCTACCTTCAACATATCATATTGTTATATGTATTAGGATTCTGACATGAGAATTGGATTAAGAAATATCTTGCTATATGTGAAACCATGTCATTTTTCATGTTTGTCCTGTTCTGGAAGTACAAGTTTAGATTGCTTAACTTGCTATTAAGGAACACTTTAAGGAGGATTATGTCTTTGTGATGAAGCCAACTCATATGTATCGCTACTAACGGGATGTACTCAAGAATGCAATCGAGATTATTATTTAGCAGATACTTCGAAATACTGTTAATTTGATCCAAGTATATTTTAATTAATAACTTAGGAATAAAATCAAAAGTAAGTTATTTTACATCGAATTCACTATCAAATGGAAACCTATTGCCTTAAGACCCATGGACATTTATACCTGATCCATTCTACCCAAGAAATTAATAAATGTTATTATCCTGTGGCGGAACAGATCTCATAGGAAAATTCTACAATTATGAAGGAATTTAGATATAACTAGCTTAAAATAAAGCATTGAAGTTTATTAGAATAAGAGCATCTTTTTACTTTAACGGTTGGCAACCAGATTCCTAACTAATTATTACAGCAGATTCTTATTCAAGAGCTACTATTCTAAAAACAGCCACCAATTATACTTACACTTAATCAAGTTTATCGTATTTTAGCAGCCTGAGTTGTTCTGGACTCAATTATGATTTAGTAAGAATAGAGACAGTTCTAAAAACCTATACTTATAATCCAGTTATAAAATTTCAAGCAATAACAGGGTTAACATCTGAAACTTGGGCTTTCAGAAATGTTACTATCGATTATGGATTGTGTTAAAGTAACTGTACAAGTTGTGAAACTTATTCACGATGCCTGATATGTGATTCTGGTTATTAATTATACAGAGGGACATGTGTAAGCAGTTGTCCAATATACTCAATTTTGTTAACGAATGGAACTTGTTAAGATTATGAAGATTTAATTGAAAGTACAGATAATTCATATTTTAAGATAGTCGATATTTAGTTAAAGCATTTTATGATATGAATACAACACTGGAGAATCTAGGGGATATTGTGGATAATTTTACAGATTTGAGCAATGCTATTTAAACTTCATTTACTGGTTAATTATATTCTTTCGTTCCATAAAAATCAGTATTAGGAGGTGTGTTAGTTTGGAAATCAGGAAAGTTTAAAAAATCGTTTTATTCGCTTCGTCCTCACTATTAAGTGAGTTATAGGCTAAATTTCACCTTTGGAGATGAAAATACAGGTTGGTTTAAATACAAATTTCATTCTTTCTAATCAGCCTCAATTACAAATCCAAATACTGGCGCATACAATTCAGTTGGAGGTAATAAGAAGGAGACTACAAAGTATTATGAAATCATTTAACAATCTCATACAGGTAGTTAGTTAGACATAGAATTATCAGCAGATACAAATCAAGCAAATTTACAAGATGCCTTCATGTATGTTTCAGAATACTTTGTGGTTGTTCACTATGTATCAAATCAAAATATTATTAGTGTGCTCCTTTTTGTAGTGGTCTTTGTCATGGACCATTAATCGGAGATTGCGATTCTGTATACACTGGATTTAATACTACAAATTATTGTGCTTCAAATGAATATTTGAATTTTGACACAAGCACTTAAGTCTATTCTTGTTTAACTTGCTCCTTATTAGGATGTAATGAATGCTAAAGTTCAACAGTATGTACTCGATGCGAATTCACTAGCACTAACCAATTTTACTTGGCCTAAGGCTAATGCTAATGTTATCCTTCAGCTTTTTTGTCAGGTACATAATGCATTTGTAAAAATAATTATTTATTAATAAGAATGTGATAGTTATTGCGAAAGTTGTTTTGGTTCTAATAGTAACGAGTGTTATAGTTGTGTCACTGACTTTCATAGATCAATATTTGAATTTGAATGCAATTGCATAGATGGGTATTATGATGATGGATATAATCTCTAATGTTTGCCAATATGTGGTGATTAATTAGTGGTAGATGGCGAAGATTGTGATGATGGTAATGATAATCCTTTCGATGGTTGCAATTAATGTTAGTTATCATGCTAAGAAGAATGCTCCTATTGTTAAAGAGGTAAATGTTATGAGTGTAAAGACAACTACATTTTGATAGAACCTATTTATTACTGTATAAATAATTGTGGAGATTAAATTATTGTTGGAATTGAAGCATGTGATGATGGAAATATATATCCAAATGACGGTTGTTATGAATGTTAATTTCAGTGTTATGAGCACTGCACAAATTGTTATTTTGGAATCTGTTTGGAATGTGATTAAGAGAATGGATGGTATTTGACTGGAAGTAATTGTGAATCAGTTTGTGGAGACAATATCATTGTTTATGGATAAGAAGAATGCGATGATGGTAATTTTAATCCCTTTGATTTATGTGATTCCTGTGTTTTAAGTTGTGCAGAATTTTGTGATCTCTGCACTGATGGTAAATGTTAGAAATGTAAGAGTGGATTCTAATATATTGCTAAAACTTAATAATGCATTCCTATTTGTGGAGATTTCAAAGTTGTTGGATACGAAAATTGTGATGATAACAACTTTGTACTATTTGATGGATGTTATCAATGCTAATTTAAATGTTAGGATTCCTGTACAAATTGTTTGAATGGTTAATGTTATGAGTGCAACACTTAAGGGTGGATATTGAATCTATCAACCTTAACTTGCGAGTCAGTTCTTGATGATAATATTATTTCTGATGAACAATGTGACGATGGTAATATTACACCCATGGATGGATGCTTTTAATAGTAATATGAATGCTAAGATTCATGCATTTAATGCTATCTAGGATATTGTTTAGCATGTTAATCAAATTGGCAATTAGATATGTTATCTCATTTGTGCTTTCCTATTTGTGGAGATGGAATGACAGTTGGCGACGAAGTTTGTGAAGACTCTAATTCTTCCATTTATGATGGATGTTATTAATGTTAAATTTAATGTGATTAAAACTGTTAGATTTGTGATTTCTCTGTTTGCTAAGTTTGTTAATTAGGATTTGCATTAGTTAATAATCGTTGTATAGAAGTATGTGGTGATGGAATTGTAGTAGAATAAGAGGAATGTGACGATCAAATTAATGATTTAGATTAAATATGTAATCAATGCAAATATACATGTAATGTTGGTTGCAAAGTATGTGTGTCGGGTAGTTGTGAATTGTGTGAAGATGGATATTTACTATAAGACTTCTAATGCTAATCTATATGTGGAGACAGAATAATTAGTGGATCTGAATAGTGTGATGATGGCAATTCAGATCCTTTTGATGGTTGTGATTAATGTTAATTGTTATGTCAATAAGAATGTTTGGATTGTTAATTTGGCAAATGTTATGATTGCTAAGTAGAATATTTAGTTGATAATTATTAATGCGTTGATTTGTGTGGCAATGAAGAAATTTCTAAGAATGAATAATGTGACGATGGAAACTTAGAACCATATGATGGATGCTATAATTGCTTATTTTCATGTGACTAAAATTGTTAAGTTTGTTAATCAGGATACTGTCTCCAATGTAAAAATGTTCAATGGCAAATAAATCCTATTGATTTTACATGCCAACCATTTTGTGGAGATACATTTGTTGTTGGTTCAGAATAGTGTGATGATGGGAATGATGTTAGATATGATGGGTGTTATGAATGTTTTTTTGAATGTTAAGATTCTTGTATTAGTTGTGTTGAAGGGGAATGTTAGGAATGTGATGTTGGATGGGATTTAATAAACAAATTATGTACTCCATTATGTGGAGATCTTCTGATTGTTGGAAATGAGTAATGTGAAGATGGCAATGATATATAATATGATGGGTGTTATGAATGTTAATATCAGTGTTAAGATGAGTGCACATTGTGTAACAAAGGAGTTTGCTAAGCTTGCGATACATTGGGATGGACTTTGATTCATAACTAGTGCTTTCCACTATGTGGAGATGGAATAGTTATATCTCCTATTGAGTAATGTGATGATGGGAATTAGTAATAATTCGATGGTTGCTATGATTGCAATTATTAATGTTAGGAAATTTGTGGTGAGTGTATAGATGGAAAATGTTATAAATGCAATGAATTAGGATGGTTAGTAGAGAAATTCATTTGTGTTCCTTATTGTGGAGATGGATTGGTAGTTGGAAATGAACAATGTGACGATGGAGCATTGGTTTCAAATTCTTGCATTAATTGTAAACTATATTGCGATTCATATTGTATTGATTGTAATAATGGCATATGTAATTCGTGTGATGTTGGAAGATATCTTGATAATAATTTATGTTTACCTTTATGCGGAGATGGCTTGTATGTACATGAAGGTTGTGATGATGGAAACCTTGAAAATGGAGATGGATGTTCTGATACTTGCATGGTTGAAAAAGATTGGGTTTGCATCAATACAATATTTATGATTAGTACTTGTTTTTATTCGGTTTCTCCATAAATGAAACTAGAATTATTAACTCAAAATCCAGAGAATGTTGAAAAAGTCTTAATTACTTTCAATTAGCCTATGGTCCTTAAATACAATGAGAGTTTTGACGCAAATCATTATTTTTAGGGGAATGTCTCAAATTTAGTATTTGAATAATACTTAATTGAATTTAATTTCACAGTTTAACCAGAATATTAAACTGCATAAGCTATTTCAGTATAGGCTACTATCACATTTTATGAGAACATTGAAGATCCTATTTTAATTGTTATTCTCAACTAGACAGCCATCGTTTCAGAATACTAAACTATTGTGGTTGATAATGAAAAAGAACTTAAGTTAAAAACTCCTATTGTTATATCTTAGGGTTTGTTAGAATCATCACAAAGCGCTAAATCCTTTACAAATACTATAATATATTTTATGGTTGCTTTGTCAGCTCTGTGTATATTGACAGGCTCTTTTGAAATGTTTTGGAATCTGATGGATTTACTACAATATTTATCATACATCAAATATGTAAACATTCAATTTCCTGCTAATTTAAACATCTATTTTGAAGTGTTTAAATTGATATCTATATAGCCAATAATGGATGCCACTGGAATCAGTGCAATTTTTGGTTTATTAGATGGAAACGAAGATTAAGTAGTGCAAACATCTGAAAAATTCCTTGCAGATGATATAAATGGCTATTTTTATACAAATTTCTAAAGTTCTATCTTCTGTCTCATAGGCCTTTATCTTGGCTTCTTTATCGCAAAATTTATGACATCATTATTATATAGAATTGGTCCATATCATATATCCTTAACAGGCTATTATGTAGGAAAAGTCATCTATGTTTTGAGAAATCTACTAAGATAAAGCAAACAGGAGTTTTATTATAATGGAATACTTCGAATGGTTATGTCAAATTATTACGACATAAGCTTTTCTGTTTTTATTCAACTTGTTAACTTCAATACAACATCAGCAATATTAAGCATTAATTCCTATGCTGCTCTAATTGTTTTTTGTCTCTAGATGGCATTTTTCGCCTATATGTTAACTAAACAAATCTCCTTTTCCAAAGAAATGACAGTATCAAAAAAGGAGTAATATTCAGCACTTTTCGACGGAATTGCTGAATCATAGAATATTTGGGTAACACAATACAACACAATTCTACTACTAAAAAAATAAATTTTTATTTTTTTAATTGTTTACATGGAATATAATGGAACTTTATAAGCAATTATAATTGCATTTAGCTAAACAATATTTTTAATTTATGTATGCAAATTAAAACCTTTGAGTAACTTATATGAGTATTATAAAATATTGGTGGCTGATTCCTTCTTAGCCTTTAACACATTGCTCTTTTTAGCATATGCATACAGAATTTAGCTTAATCTGTCTATTGATGACTACTTATTAATAGGCTGGTTTCATATTGCAAGTTTTAGTTTTATCCTTGTGTTTTCCCTTTTATGCGACTTAAAAAATTAGGCTGCTCAGATCTATAAAAAAATAGTGGCTCTTCTAACAATTAAAGTACCTGTATAGAATCAAGGAGCCACAGTGATATTTTATTGAAGTAATTTATTTTATTCGCTTTTTATTTTAAATAAAAAAATATATTATGAGATAAATTAACTATGCATAATTAAACATAAGAAATCTTTTATTTTATTATAAATTGGTTAATTATATCTAACAAGAGAGATATAATACAAAAGTGCTAGCATTGTTAGATATTTATATTTATATATTTGGAAAATGATACTATTAATATCAAGATGTATCATTGGTCTCATCTTCTTCAATTATCTCACCTAATACAGTTAAATATATACCTTCCTCTTGTTGATACCCATCTCCATCTTCACCTTCTCCTTCCCCTTCCTCTTCCAATTAATTAGGATCAATTCCAAACAAGTGCAAGTTTTACTAGATAACTTAATATTAATGATACACTAAATATTTCTCTGAATTGGTTATTCTCATTAGCCAATTTTTCATTCTCTTCCATAATTACTTATTTTTCATCTAACATATGCTAGTACAATTATTTGAAATTGTCTATCAATTCCTCAAGTTTTTTGATTTCTAAATCCTTTTACTCTATTTATTGAATGATTTCCTCCTTGTCTCCATCCTCTCCATCATTTTAGTTGCCTTCACCTTTTTCTAATTGTTTTTGCAATTATTCAATAATCTAATCTTTCATATTGATATCATTTGACATTTCTTCCATTTTAGCCTAAATATCTTCTAGATTGTAATTCTAGAATTCCTAAGCAATCTCATCAATTTATTATTGCTTCTCATTAATGGTTTATTCCATTTCTTGACATTTATTTTTCATATTATTTTTTTTGTTAATCTAATTTCTTTTGAGTTTAGGTTTCAGCATTCTTCAATTGATCCTTCAACTTTTTAACATCCTCAGTCAACTACTGTGTTTTCTTCTTTTCTTCAGCTCCTTCCTTCTTTAAATCATTCAGTTTTTTCTCAAGGTCCTACTGAGATGCCTTGCTACAGAAATAGATACATAACATTTACATCTTCTTCTCAACCTCTCTATTAAGGGAATTTAATTAATCTTAAGCTTATTTAAGTTCTTTTTTAAGCTGTTAACTTGTATCTTGCTCTTCTTTTAATTGATTGTTTAAGGAACCTTTTTAATCCTAATAACATATTATTGGAATTGATTACAGAGTTTTTTTATGAACTATTGTATTGTTCCTCTTCCTTTTAATCATATCTTGGCTTGTTGTTTGATCTTGTGCCAGAGAAATTAATCTCCTTGGCAGCAGGTTATTGTAGTGGTTTTGCCACATTGGTAACTGGCTTCTAAGTAAATTAGGGTGGTTCTTATTTGGTTGTTGCTGTAAATTTAAATTGCCCCTAAGGTTATTATGACTGTTAAGGTTATTATTTTTTTTGAGCATTTTGAGTATTTTCAAATTTATTTCCCAAGTTTGTTTAGCCAGCTGATTGTGGAGCTTTTTAATACATTTCTACAATATTTCAAATTTGCACTTTTACCTTAATAAGGAATGATTTCTGTCTTATGTAGTTGACTAATAGGTCCTTATCTATTATGCACTTGTGAATCACAACTGTAACATAATCTGACAACCTGGCCAATTTTACACTATTGACATTTTATTGTTGCTGGTCTTTGATTACATTATAAACATTTAACAAAGAGGGAGCTCATCCAAATTTGAATTAATAAAATTTAATGATATTTTTAATACTCCAAACAGATTTGACAAAATATACTTAAAAAAGTTAACTAACCCAAAAATATAATATGATTTTCCATTTCAATAATTGACAATCTCAAAATAACATCAGAACTCAATCAATACCTAAGCATTCAATTTCATGAAACAAATGTGATCAATTAAAATTAATTTTTAAAATGGATAACCTTGAATCTCATAGCTACATTATTCAATAATGATGTAACTAGTTTTATTTAATATAAATTCATCAGCTAATTTGAAAAATATTTAAGACTTTCATGATAAAATCTAAAAATTTAAAATCAATGAAAATTTATTTATGAAATGTAATTGAAAACAATAAGTATGTATTTCTGTTAGAACATAAAGTATAAATTATCAAGTGCTTCAAATTATTTGATCATCTTTGAAATTTGCCTAAAAGGACTCTCCAGTAGGCTCTGTTATCTTTGCTTCTCCGTTTAATTTACCTTCCCACCATTCTCCTTCAATGGATCTACCTGTTGCTTAAATAAATTTTCCTAATCCATGTTTTTTATCATTCTTAAAATGTCCTAGGTTAATTCAATACTATACCTATGTATTTATCTCCATTCGGGTATCTCATTTCCCCTTTTCCGTTCATTAGATTATTTTTCCATTCTCCTCCATAGGTCCTACCATCACTCCATTTATATTCTCCAATACCCTCATAGCGATCTTCAACAAAGTTTCCTTTATATTAAGAATTATCTGAATATTTTACTAAGCCAGACCCATGCTTGCGTCCATTTTTAAACGATCCTTCATAGGTGGTTCCATTAGATTTCTTTTCGTAGCCTTGACCATTCTGAATATAAGACATACTTACTTATAAATCATCTTCCCATATTCCTGTATAAGTTAACTCTTTAGTAACTAAAGTACCTTCTCCGTGAGTTTACCCCAATCGCCATTCTCCTACATAGTATTCTCCATCAGCGTAGATAATTCTGCCGAATCCATCATGCTTATTATGACACCAATTGCCTTCATAAATAGAACCATCGGGATAGTATTGAGTTCCTGCTCCGTTTCGTTTTTATTTATACCATTGACCTTCAAAGATGATAATAGAATGAATGTCTCCATTCGGTTTGTAATTTACAATTTATATAGGTTGATAAACCTGATACTAGGGATCAAAAGTAAGTTTGATAGGGCCAAGTTATTGTCTAATAGATTCTGCTCTTTGATTATCTAATTTGGGAATGTCTTGTAATTTCATAGCGTCTGACGGTAAATGTTCATCTTCAACTTGATTATTGTTGTATTCATCGTTGTCAAGATCTTGACAGACTTCTTCCAATATGTATTTCGAATTTTGAAGCCCTTTGTCCATCGATTCTGGTGTGTAGATGTTTATTGGAATCTGATCAGGCATATAACCATTTTTTGGATTACAACATTATTGCCCCATTAGTTATAATAAAAATAAATGATAGATATATATATATTATAATTAATGTAAAAATTAAGGAACATTTATAAGAATTTTTACGAGAATGTTGTAAAAGGAGGTTAGAAGATTGATGCTCCTCCCAAATACAATTTTAAGGGATAGAAACAAGATTTCAAGGATTTCCAAAGAGGTCCCTAGTTGACAAGAGAACAACTAGCTTAAAAGTATTAGCAAATTAAATTTATAGTCAGAAGTTAGATGAGGAATTGAAACCACAATCAAGAGAATTAAGGATGAAAAATGCATTTTATTTTTGCATCTACATGGGATGGTTTGCAGGAGTGATATTATTTGTGATGTATAGACTCGGAAGTGATGAAATTGGAGACATGGAAAGATCAGCCAAAGAAAGGTAACTATGTATTTCATATTCAGAATTCGTTTACGTGAGAGCTTAAAGAAAGAAAACTAAAGATGATTTAAAATGGCATTCTTAATTTCACAATTTATTATATAAAATAATTATTATCAAATAGATAACTAATCTTTGTCATTAACCTCTATTTTTTGAGTGTTATTAGTTTCAAGTTTAATTCTCTTAATTTTATATTAACAAATTATCTATCAAAAAGTAATTTAGATCTTTTTTGGACATCTACATTGATGTCTTTTAGTCTAATCGTTTAGACTTGAGGGATTATAAATATCACTTCGAACATTGAGTACATAGTTGTTTATGAATAATAAATGAAATAACTTTAATTTAAAGGATATATATTTCAATCTGAAAATGATTACTAAAATGATAAAGTATTTATTGTGTTGGAAGGAATAAGCAATTCTTATATGTTTTAACATATTAATTGTGTTTAAATTAATATAATTTAGCGTAATATATGAACAATATCAGTGATATTGTGTATGAAAACGCATCATTCTAGATGGTTTGTCAAAGTAAGCATAGTCATTTAGATGTTACATACTTCTTGTATGTTATCGATGATTAGTTGATCTTGAGTCAAGTATTTCATGGATAATATTAGTAAAGGAACTTAATTCCTAATAACCGAAATATGTTCTTCAAATCAATCTTTAGTCAAAAATCTACTGGAACCAAGATAAGCAAAAAATAACACAAATGGGGTTTGAATATAGAGAGGAGGTCAAGTATTTCGAAGGAAACTGTGAGGAATTTAAATAGCTAAAGAAATTACTAAGAAATAAAGTAATGTATAAGGATGTGAGTGATTTCTATCTGCCCATGAAATAATTAGGGAGAGGAGGCTCTTCAAGAGTACTCTATTATTTATAATTCAAAGGTTTACTTGGTAATGGATAAATGTGACAAACAAGAATTTGCATCCAAAAATGTAGAGAAGAAATATCTAAAAGAAGATGGAGGCTTTGTAAAATATTGTGTTTATAGTCAAATTAGGAAGCGTTGTTTAATGAAATTAATTTGATGGCAGCACTTAATCATGAATATATCGTAAAATTGGAGGAGGTTTATGAAGGAGAGACTACATTTTATATCATTTTAGAATACTTAAAAGGTAGTTCCCTTCATGATTTGATTTCCAAAGGAATCATATAATTGGGTTGGGATGAAATTAAGTCTATCTTGTTTGTAATCAATTCAAGTAAATCCTTAGACAATCTTAACTGCAGTGGCTCAAATGCACTCTCTGAATATAATGCATAGAGATTTAAAGCCAGAAAATATCATGTTTAAGAAACCAAACGACATAAATGGATTGAGGATAGTAGATTTTGGATTAGCTACATGGCAAACTGCCGCCACATACCCTTTCCCTAAATGTGGTACTCCTGGATATGTAGCACCAGAAATAGCCAATCTCAAAGATCTAACATGTAAATATGATAAGATTTGTGATATGTTCAGTGTTGGCTGTATATTCTATAAACTGTACTATTATTCTAACCCTTAGAATTACATCCAAAGATTTGTTTCCAGGGAATGACTATCATGAAATTCTCAAGTTGAACAAGAAATGCATTATAAACTTAGATACTCTCAGTCTCTACTCAACTCCTTAATCAGCCATGGATTTAATATCTTAAATGCTTTAGGCTTTGCCTCAATAAAGAATTTCAGCATAATAGGCTTTGAATCATCCATTTTTTACAGGATCATTCATCGATAGAAAAATGAAATTCCAATAATCGAAAAAGCAACTCAACAATAATAGTAAACCTTGGTAAACATCAACCTTCAAAACTGAAAAATCTGATAGACTTTAATTACCAGAAATCAAATAAAAATCTAAATAAAAAGACGATGAAAATCCAGAAGATGATCCTTTGAGAGTTAGAGTTCCAACCTTAAATAGTCCCAGATTAGCATAACATGCAAAAAAAAAAAACTTGGCCCTAAATGAGAATTCACCAACTGAATTTCCTAAGAAAAGCGCATTTAAGAAATTTGCAACTTAGGATTTTGATCCCTTAACACCTGATACTCAATCACCAGATTCTGGAAGATTGAATTATAGTAATAGTCCTCGACTTATTTAATAAAGTGTAATAAAAAGGAAATTCACTTACTCGAAATTCAATTAATAAAGATAATAAGCCATATATGAGGTTGATGACGAATAGAAGCATTGAATCTATTAATTAATATTTAATTATATCATTATTCCTTATTTATTCCTTAACATATACTCATCTAAATAACATTGATAAAATTTACTTTATAAATTTACTAAAATAATAGTTATTTACATTTTCCAATAAAATAAATTTAGAAGTCTGTTCGAATATCTTTAATTAAAATGTAATATATAATATTTGATAAGCAATCATTAAATAGTAGACTACTCAATTTTTACATAAGTTATGTTTTATAAAACTATTATTATTAAATGTTATTAAAAGGAATTCCAGTAGTAGGACATTAGTTATTTCAATGTCTGATACATTAAGAAACGAGGTTACTTAATATCATATAGGAATCAATAATTAATATATGAAATCAACGTTAGAATTTAGTATAAATAAAATAAGACGCGTGATCTTAAATAATATTCAATTTAATATTTCTTAATATTTAAATATAACAATTGCAAATGGGTACATCAATTTGTGTAAAAGGATCATAGTAACCATAAGTGGAAGTAAAAACAATGTCATAACGTTCATATAAATTAAATGGACCTCCTCACTTGTTCAAACCAACTCCCATCATCAGTATTCTGATAACTGATGAACAAGTAGAGAAGGAAGAATCTCCAAAAAAGGAAGTGATCTAACAATAAAGTCAAAAGTAGTTAGAACAATAATTCTAATACACGGCCCAACAATCTGAAGAGCTGGATAGTTAACAATAAAACCCGTGGATTAAAAAAAACTTTGCTATTGAAGCCATGAATTTAACCAAAATAAAAAATAGCGATGTCAATAATTCGAACAATGGAATCTTAAATAACTCCTTTGACCAAAAAAACTCATTCATTGAAACCTCCAAGTAAAAACCTATACTTAAAAATAAGAATGGACAAGATCTCTCTAATCTTTCAATTTCAGCTGGCTCATAAAGGTCCATTAAGAAGGTTTCTTTCGATAAAAAGTAATAGGTTTGGTACACAAAATACAAAAATTGACATCGTTTTGAGAATTTTGTTATTAATTTATTTTATCTAAAACCAATATATATATAGAAATCATAAAAATCAAAATAATGAACTAGCTAAATAATTGATGAATAAACAAACTAACCAAATGTTATTTGACAACTTAAACATATCTCAAAATATGATAAATTTAAAATACTTTTCATTCCTTATGACCCCAAACAATCTTGAATTTGCAGTATATTAAATAAAATGATAGAAACAAAGTATAATATAACGCAAGCCACTGCGAAAGCATGACTAGCTCCATTTAATATGCAAATAATAGCAATTGCCAATTGTGGAAATATCTTACTTGTGACACTTAGTGACTTCTTGTAAAATTCCTCTAATTTTGTCTAATTTTTATTTTAAAACATACAGGTGGTTCTCTGCTTTATTAAGTTGTTGATTATAACTATCCAGAATTTTACTCATTCTAATCTACCATATGAATCTCTTGTGCCTCTCCTTATTAGGAAGGAACTTAATATTTAACTGCTGTGTGATTCGAATTCAAATTCTCGATATCTAAATGAATATCCTTTTTCAATCTAAATTTTGCATAAGCAGCAAAAAAGAAGAAAACGAATGCTAAGAGTAGCCAGAAAAACTCAATAATCTTAGCACAAGTTAGAAACTCATCACTCATCTTGAAATTATATAATTATATATAAAATTAACTATAGTAGGTTCTTAATTCTCATTAAATATAGAATTTATTTGAAAATCATTTCTAATTCTATCCAGTAGTTTTATTATAAGCTATTATCAATAAAGTCATCTATCAAAAGCATCTTTCTATTGAAAAATGTGCATCAAAAATGCGATGAATTTTAAAAGGAATGAACACATTAAATTCTATTTATTTATAGCATCTGATAATACATCCCAAAAATTCTATCATTCAATTTCTACCTAATTTATAAATTGTAATAATGAATCAATTTAAGATTGGATTAAAAATATATATGAATTCATAAATCATATTTTATCATTTTATTTCATTATTATTGATATTTTATAAAATGAAAGGTAATGATCGACCAATTAAAATGAATCCTACCGGGAAATATAATCTTGATTTTATAGATTGGAATAATGAATGGGCTGCCGTATACACTAATGGATATCGACATGACGGAAAGATGGATTGTAACTGTTATACATTAATTAAGAATGCCCCATTTAGGGAATGTCGCTTGAGACCTTTAATAGATTAATTGTAATTGCTTGACATTTAATTTATATAGTCTGAGGAATTTGAGAGATTTGAGTTTGAATAAGAGGATCTGAAAAATGAAGAAAATAAATTAGAAGAACAATTTGTAGGATAAATCAAAAAAATGAAAATGGGTAAATCATCTAAGAATTGTTCAATTTGCATTAAGGACTTCGCCAAAGGTATAAATTTCTCATAAGTCCAAAGGGGAAATCATAATGAAGTTGCCATGCAATCATATATTTCATGAAGACTGTATAGTTCCTTGGTTTTAAAAGGCTAGCAAATGTCCAAATTGTAAATTTGATGTTAAAGAGCACTTCAAAAGTTAATAATAATGAAATTAAGAATTAGTTTAAATATTTCATCATTCAAACATTGTAAATAAATTGTTGTTCTCTTTTTTAATGCTCTAATACACCATTTTATTCTATATTAATTTAGAAAATCATTATGTTAATAATTGTATATATTTTTCAAATGAAGGAGAATTATAAATATTGTTTATTCAAAAAAGCATATAATTCATCCAATTATATCTTCCTTTTAAATTTTATATTGTAGAGTTGGTTAATAAATCATTATTAAAATAAATCAACTATTAAGTCATCTTTGTAGTAAAACAATTCTTGCTTGAATCTAGTAAATTGTAATTCATTTAATATTAATATGAAAATATAATATGAAGAGAGGAGAACCTTTAAAATGATTAGATTATTTATTGATTAAGTTTTAAAATGATTTTAGAAATTATTTTTACTTTATAATTAATAACATGCTAAATTTAAAAGAAAGTCAAGATTGGAAAAAAGGGAAAAAGCTTGATTCAGCAACATTGATACAATTGATTTGCTTTTTTTTGTTATTGGTGAATCATAATTTAAATGGAATGACACAATATTCAGAAGCAAGCATATTTTAGGCTGATTAGTTTCGAATACCTGAAGAACACTCGTTTGTAGATGAATACTTTAATTTCGGAGACACTAATAACTTCGCATTTTCTGATATTGATTTTGAGATGAACAAATTGATACCTATTGGTATTTATAACTGCATTATTAAGATAAGAATTCCCCTTTATCGATAATATGGACATCGAGGATTAATTTACTACAGGGTAGCAATAAACATTACAATTCAAACCAATATCAATGTAGTAATAATATGACATTTTATTCGAATTTAAGAGTTCAATCAAAACTAAAGTGATTGGAGGATCTGATTTGTTTTCTAAAGTATTGGATTATGCCAATAAATTGCAATTGAACAAATTTAAGTCAAGTATATATCTATAAATTATATAAGTCCCTAAAATTAATGATAAAAACTAAAAAAAAATCAACCACTCTACAAGAATTAAAGGAAATAAACCGCATAAATTTATGATCTCTAAATTAGAATCATGGGATGTCCATCTAAAATCCATTCGAACACATTTTATGTAAAAGATCTTTAATAAACTCTGGAAAGTACCTACTCAATAGATCCTTAAAGCTCATTGCTTCTAAGGTAAAAGTAGTTAATAAAATAAAATTCAAATAATAGCATATCTATAAAATGAGATTGAACAAATTGAAAAACAATATTCTGATTTCTAACTCAAATAAGAAATTTACTAAAATATAATCCAAAGAATGATTTTTTGCTTAGATTTAGCAACTTAATTAAATAATCAAGCAGACGATCTTATTTTTGATATCCTTTTTAAAGGATTTATAGCAGAATTATTTCATTATTGATTAATATAATAATATTATTATTAATGAGTTTATTACATTATAACGAAAATTTAATTTTTAGCAACTTTTTGAAGGAACTTTTGATATTAAAACATTAAAGTAGAAACACTTTATTTCTAGAATTTGGATTACAATATTTATATAGAAAATATACAAAGCTTAAATTAAAAACTAATATTTAGTTCATCTTCAATTATTATGATAATGATTATTATTAATCTTTAAACTGAATTTAATTAAAGATTAATAATATTAAAATTACTTTGTAATGGGGATTTAACAAAATCAGTGATTATTTAGGATTTTTATTAAAAGAAAAATAAATCTTTATGTATTAATGAAATAATAAAAAATTTTCTAGGGTGAATTTCCATTTAAATTGATTTATTAGAAGCTTATATTAAAATTTTATTCAATCGTGTAGAGAATCATAAAGTGTTTATGTAATTATATTCAATATCAGTTTCATTTTAATTAAAAATTATAACTGCTCATATCAAATTCTATTTTTTAATTACAAAAAACAATTTTCTAAATACTTTCAAATTCCAGAATATCTAAAAATAAGAATATGATAAGAAGAGCTTGAGAAAAATTAGTAAATTGATAATTCTAAAACACTTTCTGTTAGGGCTAAATAACAAATTTATATCACACCCTACTTCTGTTTATAAATTGAAACATATAAAATAGTCGATTAATCGTAATTTTAGGAACATAATTCTAAGTTATTTTAATATCACCTCGTTGATATTAGTAATTGAAAGTATTTATTTAATTGATTTTTCTGTTTTTTTGATAACAAAATTTTAACAATTACATCATATCAGGAATATTGATGATAATTAGAATTACAATGCAATATAATTAATTTGAAATAAAGATAGATTAAATATATATATATTCTTTAAATTTATATTACAGAGCTCATCATTCGTTTCGCTTTTTTGCTAACACTAGAAAAATTAATGTAAAGTTACTTTTTAATTTAAGTGCTTTTAATTGTTCATCTTCTTCTGAATCTAATTCATCTGGAGACTGTTCTTCATCTTTTTCCTTTTCTTTTTCTTTTTCTTTTTCCTTCTCTTTTTCCTTTTCTTTATCTTAATCTTTTTCTTTATCCTTCTATAATTATTAAGTTTTTAGAATTGCTTTTATTTAAGCAATCAAATCCTATTTACTCTATAAAGGCAATTACACTTTCAATTATTCTTTTTCATCATGCAATTATTGTGGCTACTAAACGTCATTAATAACATGTTATGCTTAAGGATTTGGTTCTTTATTTGTCTATTCAGCAATAGGTTTTTGGCACAATTAGTCATCCTTTTTTAATTCGTTACCTGTGCTTGATTACTAGATATTATTATTGTTGCTTTTTATATTGTTATTGCAATCATTTGGTGTCTCAATTTCCATTTTGGATTCAACTTGAGTTCTATCCTATTAGACCACTTATTCTGGATCTTTAGTTTTAGTTTTTTCTTAGACTTCTAATTCTTTTTTGTTTTTATCCTTTTTCTTATCTTTCTTTGATTATTTTTTTTCATTTGACTTGCTTCTAGATCTACTTCTAATAATATAGTAAATATATAGTTACTTCTTTTTTTTGTCTTTTTTTTCTTTCTTTTTATCCTTATCTTTCTTCTTCTTTTTCTCAGATTTATTCTTTTTATCCTTACTTTTTTTTTCATTAGACCTACTTCTTTTTTTCATGCTTTTCTTATCGACTGGTGATTTTTATTATTCTACTTTAGTAATTTATTGTTATTCTTATAATTAGGAGGTTGATTTAATAGCTTCTAATGGCTTTTCAATTTTCTCTGGAATACCATAAATTTCGCTATGTTAAATAACATAAGCTACTCTATTGGCTTTTGCTAGAATTCTTCTTGCCTATCGAAAATCAATCTTTTCGAATTCATATATATTATATATAGTTGCAGCCACTTACTCAATTTAATCCAAAGTAGCTTCTAATAGAATCCACCATGGTTAAGAAGGCATTGGATGATTACAGATCCTCAATGCTAAATAGAGAGCTCCTGCTGCAATAACTTAGGGTGGAAAATGTACACATAAATCAGTCATGTATGAGTCGTTCAAGTAACACCATGCCTTTTGAGCTACCTGCTTGTCGACCTTAATAAAATGATAAAATGATTCTATGAACTTGTGCGGATGATCTGAAACTCTAAATAATTCAAACCCAAGTTCCCTAAGTATCAATTTCTCCTATTTTATTATTATGTCCCTATTTAATATCTATATGATTCTTACAACGGAGTTTATTTTTGCTTCTAAAATACAGAGCTGAAAGTACTGGCAATGTACCAAGTTTTCAGCACTGTTTCTTCTACCTTGCCTGCCAAATATATGGACGCCATTGAAATTTCACGATAATCGTAATCAACAAAAGAATTCCTAACACCTAACATCATAATTTACTTTGCAAAGAATCTGTGATAAATCACTAAACTTGTAATGGCAGTGGTTAGGGGCAATTTTAAATGATTGCAGGCTTGAAAACATATTTGAGCTCCATGCATTCTTAGGGCCTATTCATCCTCATAACTAAGACCATCAGCTTGAGTTGGAGTTTGAATATCCATCGGAATATAAATATTTTCATGTCCTTCCGGAGTGATTGTCTCCAATGATAAATCAGAGCTGTGTAAAAATCTCTCTTTTAAACGATGAAATAAATATTTTTTTTCATACTACTCTTTTGTCAGACCAACACTAGCCTCATCCTTCAAAATTTTTTATCGATCATAACTTTTGGATGACATTATTTAATTTACTATATTTAATAATTATATTATTAATCCTATTCATGAGCTAGAAATATATAATTCACCATAGATTCCAAAATTTACATGAGTATTGAAAACCCTTATTATTATTAACGTAATTTTGAAACAAGATGATTCCACAAAAAGATTATCATACGATATTCCTACTAAATGAAATCACAATTTTATCTTAATAAATTGTTTTTCACTTCAATTTTATTTACTCTTGAAATTACTTTACTATTTATTATGGAAATTTCGAAATGGTTATCACTTACATGTGATAAACTAAACAGAAAAATCAAATCTTATATATTATAAAATCCTATTACAACTCTTTAGATACAAAAATGTTAATATTTATTTAATACTATTATGATGATTACAAAAGTGATGTATTATATTATTGATCAAAACTTTTTAGTATTTATTTTGTGCTTTTATTACCATTATGTTGCTTCATCATAAACAGCTGATTGTAATATCTCCTTTTTTAATTCCATTTTATCCCAGGACCAATCGAAAACGGAATCACAAATAGGCTCATCATCTTTAGAATGCAATCCATCAAAATATGGGTGATTCAAACATTATTCAACAGTGTATCTTTAAAAAGGACTAAATGTCAGCATCTTTGATAAAAGATCTAAACATGTTGGATTAACTTTTTAGAATAAAGTACTGAAATTCTATTTGGTTCTTTTAGGTAAAGATCTAAACATCAAATTATTGATTACTTAATATATTTGATGGCACCTTCATTTGTAATATATTTCATTTCATCATTTGAAGGTGTTCCTAAGACAGCGATGATTCTCTATATTTATTCTAAATAGTCCTTTCCTGGAAAGAGAGGAGTACGTCCAAGAAGCTCTGCAAAAATGCATCCAACACTCCATATATCGATTGCCTTAGTGTATTCTGAGGCTTAAAGGATTACTTCTGGAGCTCGATACCATCTTGTAACTACATATCTATAAATAAATAATAGTTGATTACTCTGTCTTATTTTCGTCTTCTATTTCAAAACCTCTAGCTAACCCTAAATCGCATATTTTCAAATCACAATTTTTGTTGACTAAAATATTGCTTGGTTTCAAATCTCTATGCATCACATTTGCTGAATGAATGTAGAGCAATCCTCTCAGCGTTTGATACATGAAATATTGGATATGTTCATCAGTTAACTCTTATCTGGAATAGATGACCCTATGCAAATCTGTTTCCATCAGTTCAGTTATTATGTAAATATCATTATACCCAGTTCTTGATTCTGGTTTTAAAATATCAACTAAGCTGATAACATTCTCATGTTGAAAAAACTAAAGTAGCTTGATTTCTCTCACAATTCTTTTTGCATCTATAAGATCCTCGAATGCATTTTAAATCTAAATATGAAAGCTTTCCATACTTTTTTTATCGCAACCTTTTTATTTTTAACTAAATCAACACCTGAACATACAACTCCATAAGCACCATGTCCTATTTGCTTATGGCATTCATAGCGCTCATCGACAACAAATTGGGTTCCTTAATTTAGTATTATAATTACCCCCAATTTCATATATATTTCTTCCATTAATACTCTTCTTTTTCTGGTGCTTGGTATTTAAGTTAATTTACTACAATGGTTGAGATTTCATAATCAAATTATTAACGGTATTATAAATAATTAAATAATGCAAAATATAATCGATGACATCTATTATATTATTTATAATATTAGAGACCCAGAAATACCTCAAACATTGGGACAATTGGAAGTGATCTAAAAAGAGTTTATCAACGTTGAAGGCTCTAGAATAACCATTTATTGGAAACCTACAGTGAAGCATTGCTCATTTGCCTTATAAATTGCACTTTCCATCAGAGTAAAGCTCTCTCAAGAATTATTAAAGTAACTGTGAATAATAAGTTTAAGTTACAAGTCATATAAAATACATATCATAGTTAAAGATAATCTCCACAATTAAAAATCTTAAATAGACAAACAAGTTAATGATAAGGAACGATATTTGGCAGCTATGGAAAATGAGTATCTAATGAATTTCATTAATTAATTAATTTATTGAGATATATTATAGAAACGATAACACACAGCATTTAATTTTTATTTTAAGAATAATAAAATTTTATTGATCATGTACCTCTCTTAAAAAACTTAATTACGATTAGCTAACTTAATTACTACTATTGCTGAAGGGGAGAAGAAAACAGAAACTTATAGACAAGTCCTAGCTGAACAAAGCTTGTTTGAACCCTACACGGCATTCAAAAGATTAGATTAATAAAAGGCTGGAGATTTAACAATTGCAGATATAGGTTATTTTTTAAATGAAAACAAAATAAATGCATCTATTGCTTAAGCTGATTATTTGTTTAGGAAATTAGATTAGAACAGAGATGGTAGAATCACATATCCAGAGTAAACTAATGATTATAAAACTTTAGCTTTGTTATGTTCATCCTCCCTAAAGAAGATTCTAGGTTGAGGCATATTGTTTCACAAAGAGAGCACTACTCTGTTAAAACTAATAGATTTTTACCAGCTGAAGTCGAATGGGGACTTTCTAAAGTTCTCCACTAAGAAATCTAAAATTATAAGTATTTTTTGTCCTTTTTAGATTAGTTCAATTTCAGCTGCGTAAGAAATTTTGACTGGAAGTGCTGATTTCACATCTCTTGATGCTTTTCGATGCATAGACCAAGCATAATTTGGATATATTACAATTGAAGCGTATGATAATTTATATATACTTTTTAGACTTTAAGATTTCTTGAAACAAAATGGAGTTAGGTTGTCCTTTGACGATTTACTTGCTTTTTTCAGAGTGGTTGATAAAGACGCTGATGGAAAAATCAATTATTCTGAATTATTAGAAGCAATTACTTTTACACCAGATTATTTTTAAAAAGAGAGATAATTGACAGATTAATTAAGAAGGAGTAGAGAAAGAATAATCCAATTGGAAAAAGAAAATGAAGAATTTACTAATCTCCAAAGAAGCAGAGAAAGAGTTGAAGAGCTTAAGAAAAGTAGAGAATATTTAGAGGAACTTAAAAAGAGTAGAGAAAAAGTTGAATAATTAGAAGAGTTAAGAGATAGTAGGGAAAGATTGGAAGACCTCAAAAAAAGTAGAGAAAGATTAGAGTAACTCAAAAATAGTAGGGAAAGATAAGAATACCTAAAAAATAGTGGAGAAAAAGGATATGATTTAAAAAATAGCAGAGAAAAATTAGAGGATTTACAGAGAAGTAGAGAAATATTATATGAATTAAAATCAAGTAGAGAAAGGTTAAATTAATTAGAGGATTTGAAGAAAAGTAGGGAAAGGATGGAGTAAATAGAAGAATTGAAAAAAAGCAGAGAGAGGCAGATTTAGATTGAAGAATTAAGGAAAAGTAGAGAACGTCTTGAAGATCTAAGGAAGAGTAGAGAAACGCTTATGCAATTGGAATAAGAGAGGAATAATTCTGATAAAATGGAAGAGCTGAAAAAATCTAGAGAGAGGATTGAAGAGCTTTAAAAATAAAGAAAAAATTTGGAGGAATAGAGAACTTATTAGGAGAGGCTAGAATAGCAAAAGAAAGAAAGAGCTGAAGTGGATTTGAGAAGAAGTTAAGAAAAATTATCAGATTTGAAAAAGAGTAGAGAGAGAGTAGATTAGTTGGAAGCCTTAAGAAAAAGTAGAGAATAGGAACGTAATATAGAAGAGATGAGATAGAGTAGAGAAAGAATAGAATAGCTTAGGGAGTCTCAACTGAGAATATAACAATTAGAAAATTAGCGTAGAAGCTTAGAGAGGAGTAGATAATTAGAGAAAATAGAAAGAGATTTAGATTATGAAAAGAAAAGAAGTTAGGAGAGAATACAAAGATTAGAATTGGAGGCTGAACTTGAAAGAAAAGAGAGAGAGAGAGCTTTAGAAGAGGAGATCAATTTTGTTTAGAGTCGAATTTACGATACACCAAAGAGAAGATATTGAATTAATATTTAAGCCACATAGATTAAACTTAATTATATAATTAGTCTATTTATTTTTGGATGAAATAATAATCAAATATTTTTATAACAATTAAGTTAATAAAATACAATTATAGCCTTCATTTTACTTTACTGCCATCAACCCAAAAGCCATTTATTACTTCTCCATTTTTATCTGTAAATTTCCCATATCCGTTTTATTTATTTTGTTTCCATTCCCCAACATAAACTGATCCATCAGAATAATGAAATTCTCCTTGTCCTTCCTTTTAATCTTCAACCCAATTGCCTAAGATTATTTGAATCAATCAATGTACCTTTATAGTATCTTCCATCAGGAAACCAAAACTCTCCATGGCCATGTATTTTGGTTCCTTTAATTTAACCACTATATTTTCTTCCATCATTCCATTTATATTCTCCGTCAACCATTTATCCCCTTTCAAAATGACCTTCAAAGACCACATCAGCCATTATCAATTTTCCTTTTCCATGCCTTGTTCCATTAGAGAAATCTCCTTCGTATGTCTCTCCATTAGCCAAAACTTCTTTGCCAAATCCATTCTAAAAAACAATAAGTTTATTTAGGCTTACTTTTAAATCATTGAGAAATCTTCCATCGTAAACACCTCCATCTGAGTACCAATATTTTCCTTTTCCGTGTTACTTATCATCCAGCCACTCACCTTCCTTATTAAGTTTAGTTTTTATACATATGTATCTCCATCAGTGTATACCAATCTGCCGTGACCAGATTTAGTTCCTTTATTGAAATGGCCACAGTAGTGAGTTCCGTCATCCCAATAGATTTCTCCATATCCTTGAAACAGGTCATTCTTTAGGCCTCCGACATAGATTGAACCGTCATCAAATTGGATGGGAGGAGTAACCTCTAAACCTTCATTTGTAATTGAAGAAGGGATCTGATACTCACCTAATTTGGCAAGCGTTTCTTTGACCAATCCATTGTGTATGACAGGAATTTGAACTTATTGATTTTGAGTTTGGATTGTTGGTTTCAGAAGATGGGTCCTGATTTCCTGATTTGATTTATTTTATTCACTTCTGGGAGGCAAGTTGTCAGCATGGGTGAATATTGGCTTATTGGGGGGATTTCTAATTTCTTTGTTGGTTTCTAAAGTATCATCTTTACAGCAAGATCCTCCCATATGATATTCGTTAATAATTTATTATATTAATGATTAACATATAGCCTAGGACTAGACAAGAAAGAGTACTTAAATTAAACTGATAATAGGAAGCGTTGCGAGACAAGGATAGAATAGAGAAGAGCAGGGTCGATTTGAGAGGTAATTAACATCTACAATAGTAAAACAGTTGGATTTGAGGCGAGAGGATTGGGAGTCGGAACCTTGATCCACCAGGCACCTCCTTAATCTACCTTATATGTCCCAGGTATGGATAGAGTAATTTTAGAAAATGAGAGATTTGACAAGGACTTTGCAGTAGCAGATAAAAAGCAAAGAGAACACGAGGTTTGGCAGAGGGAGAAGATCATTGAAAGAAAGAGATGGGAGGGATTGGATAGGGAAACTAGGAAGTGGGATTATTAGGAGAAGGTGGAGACAAAGGATTAAGTAAAACTAATGAGTCACACCCAATAATTAACTCAAGGGAAGAGAAATTCAAATGGGTAAATGAGGAATTTATTGTTTTGTTCAGGCTGGCCTATAATCCAATTACTTTAAAATATGATAACAGTGAATAAGGCAATTTATTGAGACAATATGATGACAAGGCAAAAGTGAGATAGTTTGTGAGGGCACATAATTTGGATGCAAGAGGAAACACTGGGTTTAATATTTTGACTGGAGAATAAAGGGGAGGTGTAGATCAAATAGTGCCCAATCATTTGCGATCTAATTATCAACAGAGACTAAGAGATGTAGATGAACAATAGAATATTAAACACTATGCTATTTAATAATAGTTATTGAATTAGTATGAATGATTATTGACAACAAAATTAACAATATATTTGTAATATTTGAAAGAGCAGATTATTTCAAGGCAAAATAAAAATATTAAAATACATAAATAGATTTTATGAAAAAATCATCATTATTTTTTTGTCTTCTATTATTATTAAACTTTTTATTTCTTTTAAGGTGGTTTTTCATCTTCATCTTCTTCATCATCATCATCATCATCTTCACCCTCTAAATCATCATCATCATCATCATCACTATCTTCATCATCATCATCATCCTACTTTTTCTTAGATACTTTCTATTATTTTTATTTGGTTTGAGCTTATTTCTTTTGTTTTTATTTATTGTCATCTTCATCTTCTTCATCATCATCACTATCAGGAATTTAGTCTCTTTGTTCTAAGTAAGCCTATAAATCTATGCTGGAATGTGAAGAGGTTTGGATACCTAAACAATAGTTAGAATTAATTACCATCATCTTCAATTTCTTCGTCTTCCTCTTATTGCGAGTCGACTTCAAATTCGTCGTCATTCTAATCATTACTTTTCTTTTGCTCTTCATTTCTCTTTACTTTCTTTTTGATTTAATCCTCCTCTGAACCCTCTTCGAATTGATTTGTATTCTTTTTAGCGCTCATATTAATTTTTAATATTATTTTTTAATATTCCTTTTATAATTTGATTGATTATATATTATTTTTGCGTGATTCATTAAATTGTCATTTACTCTCCAGCATTAATTTTATTTCTTGGTCATCAGTGACATCTCCAGGTGTAAGATTCCGCTAATGATATCGATTTAATTTGCTTACCGAATTCTTGCAATGAGGAGATGCTCCTTTTGATAGCAAATATTATACTAATTTTTTATCTCTTTTAAAAGCCGCATAGTGGAGAAGAGTATCATCCATCTAATTAGAAGATCCATTATTTCATACTTGATTTATTCTTTTATCAATTGTGAATGTTTAATCAGATAATTTCTATTCTATCAATCTTGTTAACTTTTCGTAATTCTGCATATGCAATTAAACAACCAAGTTATTTGAAGGCAAATTCTACGATTACAACCAAATAATTACCGATTATTCTTATCCCATAGTTTATTAAATTAATTAATGACTAAAATATCATCTAAAGATAAAAATACCTTCCTCTTGTTTATATTTCTCTATTTTGTATAGGGCATTCCCTTAGGATTATGGTCATCTACACTAATGATGATTCTACTTGAACATGGCGTGCCCTATACAAATTTAGGTATCAATTTGTCAATTGACATTATAGCAATCCTCTCTCTAGCCATATATCCCTTTTCATTTAAAATGCTCACTGCCCCTTTCTTAGATGTTTATTACATCAAATCGATCGGAAAGAGAAGAACATACATTATACCAATTCAATATCTGATGGCAATAATATATACGCTATTATATTTCACCAAAATCTCAACTTGGGTTTATAATATTGAATTCTTAACATTGATAGGCTTCATTTTGATTTTGCTCTCAGCACATCAAGATATTGCAATTGACGGTTGGGTTCTCACTGCATTTAGTTCTGAACATAATCACTTAGGAGCAACTGCATAAACAGTAGGTTAAATGATAGGAGTCATATTCAGTACAACCATATTCATCACATTAAATTCGAAGGACTTCTGCAATTCATACTTATACGCCACTCCCCAAGAAACTGGAATCCTATCATTGGATCTATTTTGCTTGATTAACGCATTTTATTTGATTGCTCTCACATTATATGTATAATTTTTTACAACAGAATAATCAAAAGAGGAATCTTAAGAGGAAATTGAATAATAACAAATTAAAACAGTATTCAAAAATCTTAAGGAATTGGTTTTAAATAGAAATTTACAATTTTTGTTTTTGCATCTCCTAATATTTAGATTATGTTTTTAACCAATACTAACTTCTACTTGTATTATTATTAAATGATGAATAGCCTCCTTACTCATTGCTAAAGGATTGAAAAAAGAAATGATGGCTTGGGTCCAAACTATAATGATACCCATAAATTTTATCATAATTGCCATAATTGGAAAGTATGACTAGAGGGGAAATGAACTCTAGAAATTTTTCCATTACTTAACGTTTAGGATTGGAGAGGCAATTTTGACATACAGTATTTTTAAATTGTTCCCAGATATATTGAATTATGAATCAATATACTAATATCTCTACTTGGTATATAATTGTTTTAATTATTCTAGATAACTTTTGGTATCACATCCAGTTTCTTGTCTAACTCTATATTCATTAATCATGGAAGTCTATTCAATAGAATAAGCGACCCTCAAGTTGGGGCAACCTCCTTGACTTTGATCAACAGCATTCACAACTTGGGAGGAGCAGTAATAATGATAAACAATAGTCATAGATCACAGAGTCGTTGTCAATCTTGTCATTGTCATTTTTACCCTACGATGTTGTGGCTTTCTTGACTGTTTGTTTCGGACTCAGTTATTACTTCATACTTAGAAAACCACTGGTTGTATTAGCTGAGTAAAATTATATATTTAATACATGTAGATAGAATTAGAAGGTGTGGTAGATATAGAAAAAGTAGTGTGATTGACATTCAGGATGTATGTTAAATATTATAATAAACACAACAATGACTAAATTTATCTTATAATCTTATTGTTATTTAAATAAAATATAAAATGTCATTAGCTATTGAATAATCTATTGATTACTCTTATATTAGGTTACCATTCGAAGTCATTGTTAAATGTATGAATATTAATGAAGCTTTAGAATTTAAGAGCACAAGAAAATAATTGGAGCATGATCTCACAATCACTTTAAGTTAAATTGCTCACATTAATTCTTCAGAGAAGGCTGACTTGGTAATCGAAAGAATTCGTGCAATTCAGAAGGCATTGCATGAAAATTAGGAACATGAAAAACAATATGTGGAATCTTATCTTTAAAGATTAAAATGTGAAGAATGTGGAAATGAATTAAAGTTACAACGATCACTAATCGACAATCTATTAAGAGAAGGCTATTTCAAAACAGCATAAAAATTGATATAATCCTATTAAATACAAGTATTATAAAAAGTATTATAAAAAGAATCTAACAAGTTTTGAGCAAGAAATAATTCTAGAGGCTAATACAATAATTAAAGATTTGAAAAATAGATCTATCAAAAATGCCTTCAAATGGTATTAATAGAATTCTAGTAAATTAAAAAAACTGAATAGTTCGTTTTAAAATGATTTGGTATTCTAATAGTATATCGAATATTTGAAACAGGATCCTACTATGGCTCTGAATTACATAAGAGATTATCAAATTTACATGAATCAAGAGAGCATACAAAAATGCATGGGATGTTTGTTATTTATAAAATAAAACACTATGCCTCCTCAATACTAATAATACTTCGATGACAAACGATGGGAACTGTTGATTAGACAATTTAAATAAGAGCTATACGATGTGTACTGTTTTCCAAAGGAATCCCCTTTATTAAGCTTTGTAAAGTGCGGAATCACAACATTAAAAACCTAGTATTGTGATTAACCTGATTATCAATAAGTGAACAGATGTCCTATTTGTAACAAATAAATGCAAGAGTTATCAAAGGATTTGTTGACCACACAGAAGTTGGGATCGACTTGGATCTGCAGAATATCAGGAGAATTGATGGATGAAAATAACCCACCTATGATGTTGCCTAATAATCAAGTTTATAGTTAGAAGTCATTGTTGCAGATGAGCGAATAATAGAATGGATAGGTGCATTGTCTAGTGACAAAACAGACATTTAAAATAAGCGAATGTGTTCGAGTGTTTTTAACTTGATAATATATTAATTCAATAGATAACAAATGAATTTCATATTATAATCAATTAAATCTAGACAACCAATTACATCTGTCTTAATAAAAGCGTTCGACCAGTTTATTATTATATCTAGGAAATTCAAATAGATCCATATATTAGTGAATAGTTTTAGGGTTCGGAAATATACATGAAAAGTTCTTCCCTCTTCTTTTAACTTCTTCCACAGTTTGAATGAGCATATTGAAATCATTCTACGACAGTTTGTTTAAGCAATTGGACGTGTTGATATTTGGGATTTCCTTAATATTCCTCTGATTGTACTTGGGAGGGGATGAAATTTTGTAGTTCTTTTTATCCCAAAGTGGTACTCCAACAAGATGCAAGACATCTGAAATTAAAGAAGTCTTGATCTTTTTATCTAGAGGTGAACTGGAATTCAGAGATGGCGACACATTGACCTCCAACACCCAAGGTTTGAGATTTTCATCAATGAGCACGTCGAATCCATATAATTCAAAATACCCATTTCTGTGTTCTTGAGACTTGGCATTACTATCCAACATAAATGGTTCTGTTGCAATACACGTTTTTAGTACTACATCTTTAATTCTATTAAACAATTCCCTTGAATCCACTCCTAACTCATCCAGTTTTTTTCGATAGGCATGATGAGACCATTTTGATCCTTCATCATCCTTTTAAGAATTTTAATTCTTTACAAAGTTGGGTGATAATTTATTCACAGCAAAATTGGTCAAATGAATATATCTCTTGGTTAGATCCTTTGAATTTGTAGAATATTTCTGAGTGGCAAATCTTACGAGTCCGTCCTTATACATATACACTCTCAAAGGATCAAAACATGATATTAAGACATAGACTCGTAGATCATATTTAAATCCGTTAATTAAATGAGGATTATAAATGTAATCCATAATTAAAAAGTTTTTGTCTCTCTTAACCTTTGACTTTTTGCTCACCATTGTAATACCTCTCCCTCTAGAATCTGCACAAGGCTTTTTAATCCACAATGTATCCTTCTATGCAGATTCTTAGGCCATAATAAATCTATCGTAATCATATTACAATAAATATGTATTTGGAATAAAATTATATTCTTTAGAGTATTTTCTTTTGAATTTACTTAAATTTAACCACAATAAATCTTTTCTACCCATATTCCAACATCCAGGGAAGTGATTTATTTTTTAAAATCTATTCATATTTCTCAAAGTTGTTTTGTTGCCAATTCCCCATTATACATTCCATTCTTCATCTTCGTCATCTTCATCTATTCTTTTAAAGCCTGCCCAATCAAATGAGGTTAATACGCATTTATATGGAGCAGACCCCAACACTTTGCATGTTAATGAATATTTCTTGATTTCCTCCTCTGTCATAGGTCTTGCATTCACTAATGGTCTTTTATCCTCACAAACTGGAGGGTACTAAAAGAATATGGTTGGCTCTGTATTCTTAAGGAATGGCAATTGTATTATTGGCCATTTCTAAGGAATTTCATCCTGAAATACTACATTAGATTAACTATGTGATCTTCCCTATATAATTTGGTTCTGTTGATGTTATTATTATTATTGCTGAGTCTATCCATATTATTAACTTAATGGAGTCTAAATCACATGACTTAAAAATAATTTTCTTCCTTGTATTGGAGACTTGTATCTTTGATTTGAATTTCTTCTTTATATTGCTGATTGAGAAAGTGAAGTGTCTCCTTTAAGTTATAATTTTTATCTCATTTATATAAAATTTATTGATAATCAAATTTAATAATTTTCTTTTCTAAATTACTATTGCCCAGCTGTTTTATAATGAATTTGCTGAAACTTTTTGGCAATCTTTGCTTTTTGAATTGCAATATGATGAGACAAAATTTAGCAATGTCTCTAATCATTGTAACTATTATTTATGATGTTGCTCCCATTATTGGAGTCAGCAATTTACTTCATTTCTCTCCTTTATTTCATCAAAACTGACACATCCTAAAATTCCATAGGCTCAGCTATCGGACCTAAGATAAAATGATCAATATTTACTGCAATCATGTAATTCCGCATGCTCAGTATGTTTTTAGGTTGGTGATTCCAATCCCATTTCTTAAATAAAATTGACCTTTATCCTATCATTTATCTCTTAGACTGGAGATTACATTGATGTTAGTATTGAGGCTGTTGAACATTTTTTGGAAATCCTTAATCTCGAATTGTTTCTGCTATTTAATCTTTTTTTTTCTGAAGTCTTTGCAACTGGAGATAAATTAGATTTGTTCTTCAACATTCTTAATGTATCTGAGCCTGTTTCTTCAATTATAGTTTTCAATAGATTTGATATTTTCTCTTAAGCTGCCTATTCTTTGGTTGCTTAAGGTGCCTATTCTTTGGTTACTAAAGGAGCGAAATCAAACTAAGTCTACACTGAAGGCATGGGAAGAGATGTCAGTGATTATTGTTATGAATAAAACTAAGACGAGTATTGCGACTCAATTGGAGATTGATAAGTGTGTAAAGAGGATTTGAATTATTGTAACTATTATTGTTATTATTATTGAGATTGATGTAAAGAATACTCTTTAATTTCATAAAAGGATTTGATCTGTCTAATTTTTAAAATGGATGTGATTTTTCTAACTAACAATGTAACTCCTTAATTAAATTGACATTTCTATTATTTTTTCTTGATGAACTGAATTTCTTCATCTGAATCAGATTCACTTTTGTTAATTTATGTACTATGATCACACTTCTCTTTTTAAAAATATTATGATTAACAATTAAAATTAAATATTCTCTTGTTTTAATCAGTTTATGATAGCCATTACTCAAATGATGATTAATTCATCTAATTTGATTAGGTTGATTATAATTAATTTAACTATTGATAATCCTGTTTAATTTATTAGAATTAAATATCACAGGTTACATAAGAATCTGGTTTAAATTTGACTTCTTCATTATTACTAATCTAAGTTGGAATTCTTAAGTTTGCTGTATCTTCTGAATATTATAAATTACATTCTGTAATTCCAGTAGCATTTTCAATTATCCTAATATCTGGTTAGCCTGCTTCAATCTCTTCTTCAACCCTTATAAAATTTGTATTGATCTAATTATTCAATTGAATATAAGTTGGTTCTGTAATTGGAACTGACAACTAAGATCTATTGGTAGTCAAAGCAAAATCTTGTTAAATATTTATGAGCTCATTTTATTTCAATTAGACATCTTAAGTTTCATTCTGTTTTTCCATAATCTGCTAGATTTCTAGTTGGAATCTATTTGTATCTACTGAAATTTGAGTTCCATTACAAGGTTTACTCAACTCAATATTATCAAAATTTAATGCTTGAATAATCTTTGGAATTTCTATAGTATTTAACTTATTCTCAGCCCTTTCTCCTAATTTTTACTCTTAGTCATTTTTATTTATCTTGGATATTTATGTAGAAGGTTCTCCAACATTTTCCTTATTTGTACATCTGGGTTAAATTGGAAGTGCCACATCCTCCTTATTCAATTTCAATATTAACTTGTCCTTAAAATCTTCCTCAAAATTGGATTGAATTGAATTTCTAACCTTATTTTAAACATTTTATTCGTTTGATCTTACTGAAAATCTTTCTTTGTTAAAATCTAAATTGGCCAAGATTCCATCCTTACCATTAATTTCATTTGAGGTTACGGAGAATCTTTCATTTTCTGAAAACCTTTCTTTCTTGATTTCTTCGATGTTAACAGAGAATCTCTCCTTATTCTCATCATTAACATTTGTTGAATATCTAGCTTTTTATAGGAATTCACTTCTTCTACTCATTCTTCCTGAATTCTTAGATTTTTATATTGAATCCTCATTTTAATATTGTTGTTGCAACATTTATTATAAGGGTAATTAATATTCTGATGTAACTGATTATTCCACCTAATAATATGGATTGTGTGATTATTAAGGGGAAGTTTGTTATTATGTATTTTAAACCTCGTATTATTCTTAATTATTTCTTCTTGAATTGTTGGTTCTATCTGTTTTTTATTATTAATAATTTTATTATGAATTATTCTAATCATTAAATTATTAATAACTTTCTTATTGTTATTTTTATCTTTAGGAATTTAATTGCATTAAATTTTCATCCTACAATGAAACTTAAATTCCAACATCCAATGTTTAACAACTTCTTATAGAACGAAGCCTATTAATTCTGTGATTCAATCTATTGTTTGTAGAATCTCTTCCAACACTGACTCTCTAATCCAAGAACTGCCTAAATTCAACTGATTTGTTTCTCAAATTACCTGAACTTTAATCAACATCTGATTGATACTAACTTTCATATTTAATATCTTTATTAGATTCATCAGCATTAGTTCCCAATTGTTAATCAATAAATTCTCTAATTTGATTAATTCTACTGAATATATTCTATTTGTGTGCACTATTTTCAATAATTTTCTATTCGGATTGGCATTTTTGCATTTCTGACTTTTTGACAGACCTATTTTTGAGTTCTTAAAATGATTCTATGATTTATTCAGCAATTGGATCGTATACTACTTATTTTTAATTACAATTTTCAACTTATCTTTAATATTTATTGATAATAGTAGACAAAGTCAATTCATCAGTATGTTATTTTTTGGCAGAACTTTAACATTATTACTGTTACTTTTATTAGGTTATTTGGGACTAGAATTGATAATAAATTGATTTGTTCTTTTCAGGAGTTCCTTGATTATAGAGTGAATCTACTAAGTTACGTATAATGCTTTTTCTTTCGCTAGTTCTTGATCTTTATTAAGATTATGAGTTATTTTGCCTTGGCTGAAAAGTTTGCAGTAGTTTTTCTTTTTCCTGTCTCCAATAGACTGATTTACTCTTGTATTGAGTTTTTAATTGTTCTGATAGCATGTTGGACATTACCATAAAAGAAATCATCCGTTAAATAATTTATTTATAATTTATGTAATAATAAGAAATCAACCATGCGCTAAAAAATCCATTTTAGCCAATTCTTAAGAAGGTTTTAAAGGTTGATGAGGAATTGGAGAGACTATCATCAGAAACATTCTATAACCCTTTCGATGTATTGTATTTGGGAATGGAAGCTACAGATGAAGATATCAAGAAAATGTTCAACTCTTTCTCAAAATTATTACATCCAGACAAATGTCAAGATCCTAGGGCTAAAGACTGTTGGTAAATAGTTGATTAAGCATACAAAACATTGATGGAGTCTGAGAAGAGGAAGGTTTACATTAGAATTATGAGGGAAGCCAGGGAGAAAACTGAATTCGAAAGACTTAGAGAAAACAAGAGAAGAGAAAAAACTGGAGTTGCTCCTTTGCCACGTAGAATTTTGAATTTTAATTTTAAGCTGATACTTTCGAGAGTGATTTTTAAAAATAATGCAAGAATCTATTTAGTGAAATAGAAGACAGAAAATAACATCTTATGAGATTAGAATCATCATAAAAGAGATACAAATTAGATGAGTATGAAAGAAGGAAAATGTTGGAATAGTATAAAGTATTGACTGAGGAGGAGTGGGAAAAGACTAGAGATGATAGAGTTAATAAATGGAGAGAATTTAATAACAAGAAAACTGCCATTGGGACCAAGTAATCTAATAAGGTAGTGTTTTGATTTTATAATATTCTAGGGGATCAGACCTCCTACTGAAAACATTGAGGCTAGACCATCTGAAATGCCAACTAAGAAAGGAGATTTTAAAAATATTAAATTAGATTGATTCATTAGTTTTGTAATTCATATGAGACAATTAATTTATCAGAAGAAAAAATTTATAGCAATCAAAGCATTTCTTCACTAATAAACGATATTGCTATTATTTTTGATTGTATTGTTATTATTATGAGTTCCCGAAACTTTTATTAACTTACTTAACTTAGTTGAGTAATAATTGCTTAGTTATCTGAATTCTCTTGGCTATGGAGAACTTTTCAGTGATTAACTATACTGTTAATTGGGTAGACGAGCAGATGATAATTGTGATGGAATCCTATGCTATATTCTGTTATTGCTTTTTATTTCTTTTTGAAGTTGAGCTATTTTACTGGAATTTTCTTCTTCTTTTTTTATCAACTACAAGAGCATTTCTTAATTTTACTCATGTAATTGAGTTTGCTTTTATAATAACTCATTTATGAGTTTAGTTTTAGATTCCAATTCATTTTTTTGGTTTGTAATTTATTGTCTAAATTGCATTATTTCGTTTTCCAAATCATGATTTTATGGAACTTTCTAATCATTATATCGTATATCTTCCAAAATCATCAGTGATTAAACTAATTCTAGTGCATCAGAATCGCTCGACAATTTTAATAGATGCTAGTAGTCCTATCCCATATGATTTATCACTAATCGCCAATACTTTTGTAACTCTTCTATCAATTCCTCATTCTTTATTTATTCATTATTTACTTTATAATGACTGTCTGCAGTATCTGTATTATCATTTTCGTACATAATTTTTATTTATTAATTTTATGATAGTTAAATAAATACATCTAACACTCACCAGTAAAATTTCAAGTAGACTCGGATGTCTATCTACTGATTCCTATCCTGGAAACCTTTTATTATCCTCCTTGAGATTAATTTAGATATAATTTTATAAGATGATAATATCAATTATTCTTCAAAATAAAACAGAAGTTACAGCCAACACTCTTTTCTTATTTTATTTATGTTTTCTGGCCTGATATATATTCTATACTAAATATTCTCCAACCTTCGTTATTTCCTATATAAAGACAGAAACCAAAGATTCTACTTCCTTCTCTTCCTTAGGCTATATAATATTTATTCTAAATTTAATTTTAGTTTATACTTTTCTTGCGAGATAAGTTACGTATAGTATTTTTATATAAACTATGAATGATTCAACATAATTAAGATGAATATAGAAAATTCTCCAATTATAAAGTAAGAATAATTGAACTTTCCATTTATATCTTATTTTTATAGTAAGTACCCGTAAATATTGTCCTATTAATGTGTTCCAATGGCTTTATTATTTTATGGCATCTCCATGAATGTTATCAAGTTATTTACACTGATCTTATTACTTTATTTATATTCAAATTTAATCAAATAATTTAATTTTTGTATTCTAATTTGCTGAACTATTCAAACCATTAATGCAATGATCATTTGTTACACCTTACTTAGTAAATTAATATTACTCTTATGATGAGCCTTCAATATTCTCATATCTACTCCTCTAAATTAGGTTCTAAGCTTTTCCATATAAATATTCACTCTATTAACTTTAATCTTATTTTTAATTGATATCAACAGTGTCTATATTTAATACTACGTTAATGCAATGGCGATCTTAATTTTAATACAGATATTAAATATATCCATTTTAATCTATTGAATTCTATCCATCTTTAAATTTAAATATTTTTCATCTCGTATATTAATTTTGCGAATAAAAACTACTTTCGAGTGAATAAGTCTAAATTATCGAGAATTTTTTTTGCATCCTCAACCCAGTTCTCATGAGTTCCAACTAAATCTTGTTATTTAAGTTCTTAGTTTTTAGTTTCTTGAAATTCTTAGATAATTGTTCATTAGCATATTCATTAAAATAAATGCTTTGTATAATATTATTTGAAAATACTTCTTAATAAGATATAAAATGTATAATTTCTTCTATTTCCCACAATCTTGAAATATTAAGATAATCAATTGGGCCTTCCAAAATCACAGAATTAATTTTATAGGTTTCGATAGAATAATCAATTATGTATCATTTCTTGAAATATTGAGTATTCTACAATTAAATTAAATTTAATGGATATTCTTAAGAATTTTATGTTTTACAAATTATCAATAGAGGGGAAGTACAACTATTTAGTATCAACGTTAGGTATGTAGACATTAGTACAGATATATTTGATTGAATTTTTGACAGAATATTATAATTATTATAGTAATTTTGAATGAAACCATAATAAAATTTAAAATATGGCTCCATAGTGCGTATTCAGGGAAAAACTGATAGTGGGGGATAAGGATTCATTTCAGCCAAAGGGTAAAAGAGTTTGGAATTAAGATTAGATTCTTTGACAAGGCAGTGTATTATCAAACTTACGAAGATCTGAATGATTTGAATAATTTCAGAGAAGGCCTATTTTAACTTTTACCAAGAGGGAGCTTTGAGATCCACGATGAGTATTACAAAACAAAGTAAATATTTGTACTCTATGAAAGGAATAGAAATAAAGGATTGTTATATAGAGTAAAATCAGAAAAAGAATAATTTTTGGCGATGATTGAAAACAAAATGAATGAAGAACTATATTTTGGGTATCAGATTATCTTAGAATAGAGCTGAAGCAATTTTTAAACACATTGAATCTGGGTATTATTTAGTGTCCTCAGATGAATGCAGTGATCAAAGAAGTGACTCATTCAAAATTAAACTCCAACCTTATTTATCAAGCAACATCATCTTCAAATTAGAGGCTTGTAAAAGTCATTAAAAAACAGGGAGGCCGATTTAAACCAAAGAATAAGTCAAAATACTCTCAGATTCATCAAAATTTTGGTTAGAAAAGAGTTTAAAGGCTCCTGTGTAATTGGATCACAAGCCTCCCTTGTCTGACTTAAGACCCGATTTAAAGGGACTTTCAAATGAATCGCATAGATACGAATTAATAATAAGTCATAATTCAACAAGCAGTTGGAAAATAGATCAATATCAATCATATGAGGAATATATCCAACCATCTAATTTAATTTAAGATAGAGACCTATGTGTCTTCAACTTTACTCAAAACAATTCCTATCTTTGCATAGATTTAAGAAAGAATTCATTAGCATTGAAACAGATCGATCAAAAGACTTAAGTCCCTATAGATTGTTTATGGGAAATAACATTCACTTAGGAGAAGAATGAATAAAAATGCTAATAAACAGTTCCCTAATTCTAATCCAAACCAATAATTACTAGACTTCCATCTGTTTTGGCAACAAAGGTATCTTTGCCGCTGTCTTTAATTGGACTACCCGGTGCTCTTTAATCTTCTGGAAGAACATCTGCAAATGTTGCAGCTGGAGCAGGTCCTTATGTTGGCTAATTGACATAGCAAAAAAGAAATAAGCACATTTATTAGACTATATTGCTTAGACATTATTTGACTGGAAAGCTAATCAAATGTGCAGAAAGATTGGATGATGATGATTGCATTTAAGCCTTTATTGATGAAATAGGAACTCCAATTGATTTGCAATTAGCTAATAATCACGATTAAGAATTTATTGATGGCTCGTATGTTAATTTAGTTCATGACGACAACACGTTAACCTTAATTAAATTGAATTAACACCATACTCAATAATCTTTTGGCCAAATTAAAGACATAAGTTCTCTAGGTGGGTTTTTTAATAAGCATACATAAACAGAAGAGAATCTATTTAAAACTGCTTTTAAGGGTAAAAAAACAACAGATGCTTTTATTATTAAGAGAGTTGACTGCAATTATAAAACTGAACTTATTCAAGCATTTTCAGCTTTGGAATATTTGATTAATTTCTCTGGGGCACTTAAAGTCAATCATTAATATTTTGCTTCAATGGCTAATTTAGAATAAATTAAACAGATAGAAAAATTATTAGCTGGTTTAAGCAAATTCATCATTAATTTGGAAATTGATGAAGAAGAAGACGAGGAAGTAGATGCATTTGTTAATTCCAGGAGATAAATAATAATGAAAGAATTGTATTATATAGAAATATTGATTGAAATCTTATATTCCTTATGTTATAAATCAGGAACAAAGAAGCTTTTATTTTGGAAGCATTAGAAATAACTCATAAAAACATTATTTTCAGAGACTTACTCCTTACTTACTAAGTTAATTTAAAATAATAATGCTAACAAAACCTACGCCTCCTAATGGATGGAAATGTATCTTCATTAATACATAATGGTGAGTGAACCCTATATTCAAAGATTCTTAGCTGAAATATTGGATAATAACGTTTAGGCCATCAAAAAATTCTTAAATCAAAACCTTGTCATTAGGATCATCGAAATTATCGGATCTCAAGTTCCTCATGAGAAATACTTAAAAATTTTAAGTTCAATTTGTGTTTCCAACGGCTTGCCTGTTAAAGAGAATCAGTCCTTAGTTTTATAACAATTTTTTCTGAAAATTGGATTTGGTATAGTTATGCATTAATATTAGATTTTTGTTTTCAATTTAAAATTGATGAACAACAATAATTATAAGTGTTATGCCCAATCTAAAAAACAAATAAATTTAGGACATTTGAAGAATTTTATAGAGAAAGTCAAAAAGTTGATTCCTTTTAATAATGGAATTATTTTCAAAGTTATTTTGATTTATTAGGTGACATTTGTATGAAGAGGAATAAATAAGCAAAAAAATATGTGGATGATAATTTCCCTTTATAAGTGTTATTGAAAATTCTTGTAGAAGCAGAAAAGAACTCCAGGTTTAGCATTATGAGACCAATATTAAAATTAATCAGATATGCCTACATAGATAATGTTCCATTTGAAAAAGTTAAGAGAATCAAAAGAGTCCAGATATTTTCAGCATTAGATGATGAATACCCTCAATTTGCAGATGTCATTGATGCTAATCATCCCTTATAAGAGTTGAATGTATTTGTTTTAGTACAGTTGGAGAAGAATAAGAACTTGTGGAAAAACATTGAATTTCAAAGAACTCTTTAAGAAATATTGAAAATAATTGGATGCCAATTAGATTTTGGATTTTATGTAAATTTGGATCAAATAGAACAGATTTTAAATTACATGTATCAAATTTGCAGTAGCATAAATGAATTCTCTTTTGGAAGCGAGAAAGAAAATTCTATGTTATCGAGTTAATAGGGTACTTATGTACAAAGTTTTATTGATCACAAACTCAAAGCAACAAGATTATCAGAATCAAATAGTGTTAAGATTTCATGTAAGTAATTGGCTTGTGAAATTATTCAAAAGATATTTGATTTTGAAGCTAATTTAAGAGTGTTTGAAGCAGCCAAACTGTTAAAAACTCTATTGATTGAGTTAAAGATTATAGAAAATATTGAATAATAGCAATAAGGAAGTAGTAGAAACATCAAATCGAATACCAAAATTAAGGCTTTGTTTACTAGTGAAAGTTCAAAACCAAATGCTAAATCAATTGCTGATAAATTAAAAAAGAAATCTACAGAGGAAGAAAAAATATTTTATGACCCTTAAAACTGGATTTCAAAATTTAAATTACTATTACAAAAAAGAACTTTGGCTGACGTTGAGTTTTTCGAATTGATATTTGCTGAATTGTCATTCTATGAAAATCCTCTATTGCCTAAATATTCGATTGAAATTTTGAAAAGGGCTTATGGACAAAGAAAAGAACTGATTTCAAATTTTGAAAAAATCATCATAGTGGTTTCTGGAAAAACACTAGAATTATCTGAATTGAGCTCTCTTATTTTCAATAAATTTGACATTTTGACAGACTCCTACTTCATAGAAATGTATAATGAAAATAGTCCAACATTTCAAAAACAAAATATCATTTGGAATCTGAATCAATAAGAAGCTTAGAAGGCAGGTCTCATTTAAAATTTATAGAGGCTTAATAAGTATTTAAAAAAAGATTTTGACAAAAGTAAGTAATAAGTCTCTTTGAATTATGAAGATTACTATCCTGACAATAGATCTAGAATCATTTATCATGAAAGGGAACTTAATTATAGACTTCATCAATCTTTGTTAATAGCCTAAGAATTGCACATTCCAATTCTAAACTTTATCAAAATATTTGTTCCTTCTTTATCTGAAATTTATTGGAAATTACTGCATGCTTGTTATGATTATCTAACATTAATAATTTGGAATCACATGGAAAATAAAATAGCCTTGTCCAAATATAAAGAATCCATGTACCCTCATTTATAATATAACATTGGAATGATCGATTTCTTGAAAGCATTATTTGCCAATAATAAACCATTAATATATAGTTAAAGAGAGATTCCAAACGTCTTACAAATGGTTCTCAAATAATGTGATAGTTAACCTCTGAGTAATTACTACAAATCAAAATTATTGGATTTCTTGAGAATCATTTTAATTTTCAATTCATCATACATTCCGCAGAATCAAACTTTAACCTTATAAAACTTATAAGAAAATTCATATGCAAATCTTATTCTAAGCTTAAATTTAGCAGCTTCTGACATTATGGCAACTCAAAACTCTGAATAAAGTTTTAGTGATGTCACATCATAATCTTCTGAGCCAATTATTGAAAATTTAATACTAACTGAAGATCAAGTCTCCTATTACATCAATTAATACTAATTAGAATACTCAAGATTAAATAAGGATTAGATTCAATTTGATATAAGTCCAGAAATTACATATATGTATACATTTTTTGGTCTTTTCAGTCAATTAGTAGAAGAGTAACATAAGGTTAATCAAAAAAAATGTCGAAAGATTCACACATTTCCAGATCTAATTAAATTATTATCTTTGTCCTAGTAAGTATGGCCGTTGAAAAGATATTTAAGAGCTTACACAAATAGGCTCTATTATTGTTAGGGAAGGGACGTAGTTACATAATTTATTTAAGTTGATTTCATTACAATTTTAGATGACCTAGAATGCATTATTGAATTAAAATCTAGTCAAAGTCTCTCATTCTTTAATCAAGTTACAATAGTCAATCCAATCAGATATAAATATTTGATTTCATACATTTATTTATATCTAGAAGAAATATTGATTACATTACACTATGTTTTCAATAATATTGAATTTTTGGAAGATCTAGAGGAGTAATTATAATTAAATAGGGGTAAAAATAAATTGATAATCCATCTATAAATCTTTGATTTAATCTAGAAACTAATATTGATTGAACGATTTTATTAAAAGTAAAATATAGGGCATTTATCAAAAATCATTTTAAATATCCTTCATAGCATAGTGTCAACATTTGATCTTCATGTATTAAAAATAAGGGATTAATTATTCGTTTTGACTTTAAAGCAAATTAACTCTTATGAAAAAGCAATGTAATTGAACTCTTCAAACCTGATCATCTCCTCTGAAGCAATAGATTCAGAAATACGGAATTCCCTTGAAAATACAAGTAGATTTTAACATAATGAGGAGGAATATAAAAAAAGTCTTATAGATTCCATTTTTTCAGTTGATAGATTTACTCAAGGCAAATAAGCCTTAGGAAATTTGGTTAAATATTGGAAAAATACAAAGAGATCGTCTTTATAGCCAGAAGATTTGAATGAAAGAATCAATCATAAGCTGAAAAGAGTCATTAATATATTGAGTTTGTCTTCTTCATTCTAAATATTTCTAGAGGAAGAATTTCTAGAAGCGTGTAAGAAAATGTTGTCAATTGGTTAAGAATCGATGCTGGCTTATTAAACAAAGTTTGAAGTTACATCTCTAAAACATTACATTTAAAATATAATTCATATGAGTATTTCGAATGAGGCCCAATTTACAGATGATTTAAGAATCTTCTTTTTAAAAATGATAAGTAAATTAATAACTGAAAAGAATTAGGCTAATAGCATTTAATTAGTCTAGGTTGATTAATGGCCAAGTGAATATTGGATTGATTATAAATAAGAGATTGAGAATGCTTAGAACTTTTTGGTTGATTGTGGAGCTGCTGATTTAGTTATTGCACTTTTCTCCGAATAGAAATTAGAGATTCGATTAGATTTACTAAGTGAGTGCTTGTTGTTTTTGATAGCATTTTTGTTAGGTGGAAACACAAAGGCTCAAAATGCCATTTTGGAGAAGCTTAAAAAAGATGAATAAAATACTGTATTAACAAACTTTCGAGTGTTAATTAGTAAGTTAACTTAAGTCATAAATAATAATTTTTCCATCATCACGTAAGAATAATCCGAAAGCTCAGAACTAATTTAGACAGTAGATAATTATGACTTTTACGATGTTGATACTCAGACTATGATAAGGCTGAATGTTATTGATCCTGATGATGCTAAGGAGACAGCATTTAAAAAGTTGTGTTTAGATGTCATTTGCAGATTTTTTAGAGTTATGCAATTATTTTGTGAGAATAATAATGTGGAAATGAAAAAGTATATACGATAATAAACAGATTAAAAGAATAATCCAAAAATATTATCAACTAATTTCATTGAGTTTGCTAGTGTCTAATTAAGGGTTTACTTTAAAATTCTATCTAAAGCTATTATTGTAATTCCATAATCAATGTTGGACTTTGTAAATGAAGTTATCCAATTGCCTTGTGTTGACAATCAAATTACATTATGCAATACAACATTCTTTGAAGATGCAAGTCACATGGCGCAATTCTTTAATGATAAAAATAATTAAATTTAAAGATTATTTGAAAATTCTGAAGATTTATAGGAATTATAGGAACTTTAGAATAAAATTCTATAAGCAGTTCTATCTGTCTTAGAAGGAAATGAAGAAAAGATATATAGGGATTTATCCAATAAATTAGAAGCACAATTTCTAATAAACTTTCTAAAAAATAATTTGGAATCCTTGAATATTACAAATTCATAAGATTTAGAATAGGTTTTATAACTTTAAGATAAAGTATTCGACAGTGAAATGTAAAAGATTTTGAATGTTTGTATCATCCAATAACAAATGACTTAGCATTCAGACAATAAATGGCTTGTTTAATTTTAAGAGAAAATGGAATAATTTCCAGAACTTCCAAAAATATTTGAAAAATTGTAAAATTTAACCCATAAAATTGAAATTATCTATTAAGGGAAAAAAATGAAAGTATTTTTCCCATTTCATCCTTATTTTCATTTACTGTCAGAATAAACAAAATAAGAGTTATTATTTACAGTAAATAGAGAAACACAACGAGATAAATTAGTTGGAATGCTATCATAATCTGAGATTTTATTTTATGAATTAGAACACAATTATAAACTAAATCACTTTAGAATTCCAATTACTTAGTAAAATCTAGATTTATTATAAAATCTAGCATCTACTTTTGCTGTATTAATTAATTTAGCTATGGTAACTACTTATTAATTATTTTAGATATTTTTTTATACTGTTGTGGTCAAGGAGAACACCTATTTTTTATATTCAAATCAAATAAACCAACTGATAATTAATCTATTATCTTTGGGTCAGTTATTCTCGTAAATTGCATTATTTATAATGGTAAGCTTATAAAGAGTACCAATTGCAATAGAAAAGAATCGTCAAAAGAAGGATAGCTTATTATCTTATATAGTATTCTTTAAAGAAGAAACATGTCTTATATTATTATTCTTGGTCATAATATCCTTTTATGGAGTGTTTTTCAATTCAAATTTTTATGTGATACATTTAGTTGAAATATTTAGTAGAAATTCACTACTAAAAAATGTGTTCTAAGCAATATCATATAATGCTAAACAGCTATTTGTAGTTGGACTGTTGGGAATTCTTTTTGTGTTTGCCTTTTCTGTGATAAGTTTCAATGTTTATTTCGATGATATCTATTAAGGAGAACAAACTGAAACTTGTAATTCATTAATTACATGCATGATAACATTAATCACTTCTGGGGTGATTGGCAATAGCATGATCAATTGGGACCCCTTAAAATTCTTTTTTGATATGCTATTCACAGTTTTCTTCGGATTGCTCTTCACTAACATCATACAGGGTATTATGATCGACACTTTTGCTGAATTAAGAGATTAGAGATAAAAGATAGAAGAAGATATCAAGAATAAATGTTTCATTTGTGCAGCATCAAGAACAGATTTGGAAAAGATGAATGTATCATTCGATGAACACACTCATCAGTTGCATTATATGTGGAATTACATTTTCTATGTGAAATGCTTAAAATTAAAAGAATGGACAGAGTACACTGGTCTAGAATATTGGATACATGCCAAATTAGAGTCAGATGATATTACTTGGTTTCCTGAAAGCGTTAATGATGATGCTAATCTTACTGATTAAATGTCGAAAATGGAATAAATTCTTAGCGACGTTATTGTGTTATAAAATGAAATATTAAGAAGAATTTGATCATCTTCAATATACTTATAAAATCCTTAAAATTTATTGCTTTATCAAGTATTTAGAATGTAACACAGAATAAATTTGAAGGACCACTTTCAGACTTTTAAGTTGTTATTTATTTTATTTTGTACACATTCATCATTCATAAACCCATCCGTGGTCATTGGTGTTCCAGGCAACCAATTCTTAAGGTTAGAACCATAAACTGATCTCCTTGTTGGCTGATTCGACTGAGTCTGATCCGTGAATTACATTTCTTCCAACGTCAATAGCAAAATCTCCTCTGATTGTGCCTGGCTTTGAAGCAAGTGGGTTGGTTTCACCTAACATGACTCTTCCTGTCTTGACGGCTACGTTTATTAATATAATTTCTACCATCCTTTCCTTCCCAAACCATAGCGGCAACTGGGCCTGAACTGACATATTTCAAAAGACTTGGGAAGAAGGGTCTTTCCTTCAAATCAGCATAGTGCTAAGTCAAAAGACCTTAGTCTGGAGCAACGAATTTAAGGGCAACAAGTTTGAATCCTCTGTCTTCGAATCTTTGAATGATTTTTCCGACAAGTCTTCTTTAGACTCCGTCTGGTTTGACCATGATGAAGGTTCTTTCTTGGTTATTCATAAATTTATTTAAATTTAATTTATGTTGGGAATTATATCTTTTTTTATTAATCAATATTATTGTTTTAAGAAATTTAATACTGCGTCATTACTTTTTAAGTAATCCTGATACAGAACATCACAAGGCTCACTACTCTCTAAATTTTGCATCTTAATCCTTTCTAGAGCTTGGTTTAATTCTTTAATCTATTGTTTGGCTAGTTAAAGTTCTATATAAATCATCTATTTCTCTTAGTTCAAGGCTTTCTGCTTTTTATGCTCATCCTAAACATATAGTCTTTGGTTTTCCAATTCCTTTATTGTTTTAATGCAATTCATACCTAAATCATTGCTATTATAAGGTCATTTTTTCCTTCATTTTAAAACGATGTTTCCTTTAGTTCATCTATTTATGTTAATAATTGTTTAATTTTATTAGATTGATTCTCCACCATGCTTGTCAATCGTTCGTTGTCATCAATCAAAGAGGTTATTTGATCAATTGGCAATTTTTTATAAGCATCTAACTATACTTCCAATTATTTATTCTTTTATTCTAGACTTGCGATCTTTGTTTTAAAATCCTATTGTTCTAATTGTTTTATTTTTATTTATAATATTTCATTCTCTTTTTTTAACTAATTAACTTATCTAGACAATCTAACATGTTCTCGATCATTTGATAAACATTGTGAGAATCCAGTTAGAGTTTCTTAACTTAACTATCTTGTCATCTGAAAAGGCGTTGGGCACTTATTAGAATCACTTAAAACTCTAATCAGTTAGGATTTTTACATTATTGATAATTAAAATTTATAGATAGTTGTTATATTTAGTATTTCATTCCTTAATAATATAAATCAAATAGTATATTTTTAAATCTACCCTCATATTCAACTTAAATTTCTATAACTTAATTCTCTTTACATATTGACTGAAATATAATGACAAGTTGTTCGATAATTATTAAGAATAAATGTTAAGTTATTGTATCAACTCTTCAATAATCTTATAATAGAGCAAATAATTAAAGATTCCTATCATGTGGTAATCTGTATACTCATATTTTAATAAAATATCCTAGGGTAGTTATGTAGTCAATAAATTATATAATAATATTATTAATATCATTTTATTGTACTAAAATTCTATAGTTATGGAAGTTTAGTCTTCGCATCCATTTTAGTCAAGTTCATTTTTAAAAACCTTCTCTTATACTTTCTTGTAGCAAAACCAATTTTTTCATAGAACCTTCTTAAATGTGGACAATTATCCCCACAACGAGCATGAATTTATCTCATCTTTTTCATATATTCTCTGAATTCTTCGATGGAGATTTGCTCATTACCTATAAAAATAATTTTATGGATATATACCTTGCTTTCCCAATTAATTTCTAATTTATCTCAGCATTTCCCCCATTTATCCATTTTTTGATTGCATTAATCTTTAATAAAGTTTGTCTGATTAATCTTCTTCTGGTTGATCTTCATCCAAAGAATCTAAGGATTAGTTAGATTAAGCAGATGAAGGTCTTGGTTTTAAAACTTCCTCATCAGAATCATGTTATTACATTTATTATTATTATTTTGTTGTTCTTTTAATTTAAATTTGTTATTTAATCATTACCCAATTTCTAATTTATTCTTACTTACTTTTTTCCAATCCCAGATTACCCAACTGCTCTAAAATTTAATCTAATAATGACTATGACTTATCACTAAAATCAAAGATTCCTTCAGTCTAAATTTCTCTATCTTCTGTTCCTAATTTAATGATTTTCACAGTCTTAGTTCCATCCGAAGAAATTTTAGTTTCCTCCACAACTATATTACCATTCTTATCTTTATTAAATTTCTTGATTATTTTTTCAACCTTACCATCCTTTCCAATTCTAGTCTCTTCTATGATTTATTCTCCGTTTTATCCTTTTTTAGTTCTAATGACAACCTTATTTCCATTTGCATCAATAGTTTCTATTTCTGTAATTTCTAATCCATCTTTATCTTTATATTACTTTTTCTTTACTGTCATTTTACTTCCATCAGCATTTGTAGTTACTTCTTCGATAATATTATTTCCATCTTTATCTTTGAAGACTCTTGTCTTAATCAATCTTTTATTTCCTTATTCATCTGTAATGATTTCTTCATTGATTTCGTTTCCATTTCTATCTTTATAGGCTTTCCTCTACACAGTTTACTATTACCCATTATCTCCCTTAATGATTTCAACTTCAATTGGATTTCCATCTCTATCCATTTAGACTTGTTTTTGAGTGTTTGTTATTTTTCCATCAGCCCCAACTATTTATTTTTAAACTATTTCCTTTCCATTTTAGTCTTTCTAAGTCCGAGTAATAATCTTGGCTCCTGTTTAAGGATCAACAGATTCCTCTTCAGTAATGATGTTTCCATTTTTATCCTTATATTAACGTTGCTTAACAACAGTAACATTTCCATTTTAGTCCATGATTTCTGTTTCAATAGTAAAGGTTCCATCAGGATTCTTTTTCTTTTTAGATGTTTTGATAGTTATAGTTCCATCAGGATTGATAGTCTCTTCTTCGATAATATCATTTCCATTTTCATCTTTCTTGATTTTAGTTCTTTTTATAATCTTATTTCCATTTTCATCCAATACAACTTCTTCTGTTATAGCAATTCCATTTTCCACTACAATTTTTTTCTCCACTTGCTATATTTTTCCATTTTTATCTATAATTTATTCCTAAATGATATCTTATCCAAATTAATTCTTTTTAATAGTAGCAATAGTTTTATTTCCTTTTGCATCAGTTCTTTCTTCTATAATAACTTAATTTCCTTGAGCGTCTCTGACAATCTTTCTTTTGACTGATGTTACATTTCCAAACTAATCAGTTATCTCCTCTTCTACAACCTCATTACCATCTTTATCCTTATAAACCTTTTACTTTTTGGTTGTTTTATTACCCTATTCATCAATTGTGATTTCTTCAATAATCTCATTACCATCTTTGTCTTTGGTAACTCTCTAAATTTTATTATTATATCTATACTTTAGCCACTTTTTGTTTTCTACCCTTTTCATCAACAAACTCCTCTTCAACATAATCATTTCCATTCTTATCTTTCCTAACTTTCATTTATTTTATCCTTATTTATTTTTTTCCGTTCTCATCTATATACTCTTCTTGTACTTCATAGGTCTCTTCTCCATCTTTGGCTTAAACTTTCCTCACTTTTTTACCTGAACTGTCTTCAAACCATTCATTTAATTGTACTTAACGACCATCCTTAGTAATAGGCTTTGTTGGTATCTTTATTTTAGCCCCTCCAACAGCAAAGCCACCAAATTAGTCTAAAAATTATTAAGTTTATTTTGATTATTAAACCATAATTGGTTTATCTCTAGCCCTTAACTCTTCACCTTAAGCATTTACAACAACTTCCTCTTCTACTTCCATCTCTTCGTCTACCCATTCTCCTTAACTATTTTACCTTTTGACCAACTTCATAACTTTCCTTGTGATTATTTTTTCCCCCGGATTTAGAAATTCAGCATCGAACAAAGGATCATAGAATGGCACTTTTGCCAATTTTTATTTTCTAGTTAATTCATCCTTTTTAACTTATCTAGTTATAGCAGAAATATCAGATCCGCAGATCTATTTAAATAGAGGATCTTTCAGTAAATCATCCACTACCATTAATTCTTTCATCTCTTATAAATTTAATTTCTCGTTAAAATCAAACCTCAATAGATTGTCCAATGAGTTCAAAATCAATTTCTTTTAATCTTCACTTATATTAGAATTCTAAATAAACAATCTAAATCTTTCTAAACTTCTATTATACTCCTTCTCTAATCCTGCCACACTATCTATAAGATTCTTTATTCTGAACTTCATCTTTATATTATCTTCAACCAATTTTTTTATTTTTTCTGAATCAGTTTTATTAATAACAGCTTATTATTCACCACTAGCCTTTTCTTTTGATTTCAATTATTCCTATAACTTCCTACTTTCCAAATTTGCTTTTGTCAACTAATTATTAATATTGCTCAATTATTGAATGTAAGCTTCTTTTTCAATCCCTAAATCCTTGACCTTTCTCTCTAACTATAAGATCTTGGATTCTCTCTCTGCTCCTTCTTTTCTATGCTACTACATCTTTTCCTAGAATTCAATTTCAATTTTCATTTTATCAGTCTAACTTGCCACTCCTTCCATGTAAACTAATTATCCATTCTTCATCAATGCTCTACCCGCTTTAATATCTTGTATTGCTTTTTCTTAAGCTTATTTCTACACTCCTCTAATGCTATCCATAAGTGTGTTTTCTAAATTAAATATCTGTTCTCTCTCTTTCTGTTATTACTCTTCAATTTCTGCCGCCTCATCGTCAATTTCATTTGTAATTCTTCTTTTTTTCCCTAAGTCTTTCAAGACTTCTTTCAAATTGGCTTATGCCTTAGATTCTCCTACTGCCATTAAATCAAGTTTTCTATTTTTTAAGAATTCAGATATCTTTTAACTGTCCTCATCTAAATCATCTTAAATATCCATTAATTCCTTTTACTTTTTCATAAGATGATCTTGATTCCTAGCATTTTTCATATCTTCTCCAGTATCAGTCCCTTTTTCTTCAAATACTTTCTTAACCATCTTCTTAACCACAGGTTACAGTTACACTATTTAATGAGCCATTTTATTAGTTTCTCTTTCTTCAGATTAATCAACAGATTTTCTTCTTGCCTATATCATATTTTTCTATAAACTTTCAAGCATTTTATCAGGTTACACCTCAAAATTAGTATTTATTCTATGTTTTGGATATATATACTTACTTTAATATATAATGAACAATCAAATTCTAGCCATTATAAATTTTATTCAAAGTTTATCTCAATTCACTGAAGTGTGCGACTTCTAGCATTTCGCTAATCTCATATAAAACTATTTAATAGATTTCATGCATTGTTTTCATTAATTCCATTAATTTTGGCTTTGTTAGATCTTTTGATTATTTTTGCTTGAAATCATGATCCACCTTTGATAACAATTTATCCAATTTAGCTATTTTTTAGAAATCCAAACCTCCAGCAAATTGGTTATCAATTTCTGAAAATCTAGCTTCAGCCATAAAAATAGATTATAAATTTATAATTATTTATAATTACTATGCCTAAACTATTTAAAAACAAAAAAGTTGGAAACAGCATGATGGTCAATACTAAAGATTCTATTGAATCACTCGAACAACTTAGATCAGAGCACTCTAATCTTAGCAATACCATCTCCGACTTAGAGATGAAAAGATAGTTGATAGAGGATAAATTGAGAGAATTATCAATTAAGTTAAACTCCTTTTACTAACATAGCGACTAACCAAATATTCCTATGTTAATCTACAAATTACCAAATGATTCACATTAAGATTAAATTACGTTAAATTAAGAAGTATACATTTAAACTAATGACTATCAAGAATTCATTCCTCATCTTTAAGAAAATGACACTAAAATCAAGAAAGAATTGTTTAATTATTTTAGTTATAAATCTGATGTTGGAGATCTATTCAATGATCTTGATGATACTAGCAACCTTAAAAAACTTGCAGAAGAGTTTGGAATTAAATCAAATAATATCAATAAGATGAAATAATAGATTAAGATAATCTAGAATTACTTGCTAAACTAATCGTTTCCAACTTCATGGAATAATATTTATAATAAAGAACTATTCGATAAATTAGAAATTTGATCTATGCATCATAACTAGTTATAAATAATTATAATTCAATTTTTTCTATGTAAATCTATCTTTTCTCCCCATCTCTTCTCTAGTCGTTCCAAATTTGCAACAGTTTCATCATACTTTCTTTTTAATATTTGATATTCTTCATTTCTTTCAGACAGTTCTCTTGATTTTCTATTCATTTCATTAGACAATCCATTTATTTTTTATTGTAAACTCAAATTCTCTCTGGATAGATTTTCTAAAGCAATCTAAAGATCCTATTGTCTCAAAACTGATCCTAGAAATTGATAAATTAAAATATTTACTCCTGCTATCATCAGACATTTTCTTGCTTTACAATTCTCTCCTCATCTCTTCCAAATTTTAATGCAATTACTCTGTTTCTTCCTTTCTCTTTTTTAACATCTCACTTAAATGTTGTTATTCTTATCTAGATTGAGTCAACTCATTTTTATAATTGGCAATAGTAGCTTAATGTTGATTTAATTGCATTCCTTATCTTAATAATTCTTCTTGAATATTAAAATTATTGCTTCTCACCTTCTCAACCTCTGATTTCAAACCCTCAATTTAATCATTCTTACTCAAAAGTTCTGCTTAGAGTTGTTATTCCCGTTAATCGTAGTCAAAGGAGGATAAGGCATTTCTCTTATCTAACATTTTTATTTGTTAGTCCATTGTTTATTTTAAGTCCAGAATTTCTTGTTCTTTCACTTATAGAAGTTCTTCTTATTGCAGTCTTTAATTTTTTAATCTTCTTTCAAGATCATTTACATTTTCTTGGCAGACTTTCTTTTAGACTTCATATTAATCTCTCATTCCACCCATTTCTTCAATTAATTCATTGAGTTATCTTTCCTTCTCTTATGTTTTTCTTGCTTGCAATGATATCATCTCATTTAATTCTGTAACCTGATATTTCATCTCAGATTTTACAGCCTACATTTATTTTTCAAGTTTCTCATATTCCATTCTAATTTATTATTCACTTTATTTTAATCCATCAATTTGTTAAAGTAATTGTTATTATAATTATGATTATTGTTATAATTACTAATTCATTTGATCATGCTATGCTTAAAACTAATGATTTCTATCACTAGATTTCTTTAATTCCCCTTTTGTAAAGGCTAATTCTTGATTTAATTAATCAAGTTTCTTTTCAGAATTCCTTAAATCTTCTTGCAACTTACTTTTTCTAAGGTCAATTTATTTAAATTCATCTAATAGTTTTTAGTAATCTTGCTTTGCTACCTAAACCTTATCCTCTGTTCCTTTTAACATTTAATTTAAGTAATTAATCTAATTTCTATGATCCCTTTCTGACTCATTTTTTTATTTTAATAGGCTTGATACTTCGCTTTCTTTGTTTTAAAGCCCATTCTTTAATTGCTCATTCATAATCTCAAGGTTATGGCAAATCTATATGGATTACTCCTCAGATATACTCTTTTCTTTTAGAATTGATTTAATTTTGTCTTCCAATTTCTAAATCATATCATTCTTGCTGTCTATGACTTTAGAGTCCACTTGATTATGAGCCATTTCTGCTTTTAAATTGTCATTCTCTATTTAAAGTTAAAGTAATTTTAACTCCAATTATTCTGATTACTTTGTACTACTCGAATGGATTGATTTAAGGATTGATGGTGACTTAGGGATCTCTTTTTAATTATTCTTCTCTGTTAATAATTGCTTATATTTCATTTCTAATTATTCAAGTTCATTTTGGAGTTATTGATTTTTCATTTTATAATTATTAATTTCATCCATTTAAACTCTATTACTAGTTTAAATTGATAAATTCTTAAAGCTATCTTATGAAATAAGTTTATTTTTTAGTTCTTCATTTTCCTTTTAATTTATTTGAAGGCATTCAAAGACTCGATTAAATTCTTTATTGGCTTGATTTGCCTTTTCCTCAGCTAATAATTTTTTCTTAATTTCCTCAGTTACTTTTTGTTCTTATTCAATTAAATTTTTATTTAACTAAAAATAAATAATATTATATACTTTTTAATTCTCTTAAACTAATGCAGTCATTTTAGTTTGTAATTACTCCAAAATAGTTTTTAATTTGTTATAATCTTCAGCCATTGTGGAAATCTTTGAATCATTATCTGATGCAGGCATGGGCTCACTATTAGCTATTTCTTCTAATTTTCTAAAATTTGCTAAAATTTCAATCATTTTATCATTAATTTAATCTGGTAGTTTACCATCACCCATCATCTTCTGGATAGAGGACATTAAATCTCTCAAAGCACCTGAAATTCGATAAATTTCAGTTTAAATCTTTGGTTTAGATTACATTAGGTTAATATTTTGTGAAGATAATCTGCTGTTGCCCACGGTTGGATGATTGTCTGTGAATGGAGACTTTGCCTAAAATTGTTAGTAATTTTCCTTTTAATCAATATGAGTAGATCCATCTTTTTTTGAGGTATTGCTTTTTCTTTCAGTTATTTATTCTTTATTTGCATCACTTTAAAAAGTTCCAGCAAATGTTTTGTTGTACTCATATTTATAAGTTTCATAGGAAGGCTTAAATTCATTCTAAGATTTAATAGCTTCTTATTGGTTATTTGGTTTAAAGATATCATTTGTAATTGACCCATTTTTTATACTAGGTTTGTATTGATAGGAATTTTCTAATTTTTAAGGCGGAGAAGGTTAAATCATAATGTTATTTTAACTTACTTATTTAGCATCAAATTGAGGTGATTATATATAAGGGGATGGACCATATTATTGAATCTTGGCTTATGATTATGTTTTTGGGCAATAGATTTATTTATCCGGAGATTACATAGAAAAATTTCCCATATCTTTAGATACAGAAAATTGCCTAGTCATTGCTGAGATCTGCGTTGGCTTTTATACACTTTTCATTATATGCTGTTAAATAACTTTATTTATTTTTCTGTTAAAATTAATATATTATTTTACTATTATTAAAGTAAATAGGAGTTCTTATATCTTATTCTAATATTATTATATATTACATATAATTTAACATTGTATTCTAAATTCTAGAACGTTGTAAATCAAACATTCAAGTTGATAACCTTGTTAATTCAAAGAATTAAATATATCTCAACATAAAAATGTGATTATGCAAAAATGTAAATCTCAAATATTTTAAGCCTATTCAAGAAAATTCAATTAGCGTCAATCAACTAGAATGAGTTAATACTTTGTGTAGATCATTTAATTAAGGATTTTGAAGATCTAAATATTTTTAGTTATATTATATTCAAAAAGTTTGGGATTAAAGGCTTAAGCATGTTTAAGAAATTTTAGAAAGATAATAAATAATACCTAATATAATAAAATTCCTTAAATTAAAATTAGATGAATTAATTTTATATACCAATAACTATGGAAGTCATTTATAAAAGTGTGTTATTATTTGAGATTGATGAAAAAAATAATAATTTCACGATTGACATACATTAAAATTTGAGTTCTTTTGATTTGTTCAAATCTCAGGCTAGTTATTAAGCCGTGCTAAAATGTCATAGGTCTATAGTCTTACAATACATAAGTAGCTGCAATATTATCGTCTGCTTATGCAAATGAAACATTGCGATGTAATCTTTAAAATCTTCTCAATAAACTCAAACAGGCTGAACTTATAATTTCTTTATTTTACATTTCTTAAAGTGTAAAGTTTTAACTTCAACTTAATTATTCTATTTGACTTTTACTTTAAATATAAATAAATTTACAAGTTTCTTTTTATATTGATTTAAAACAAGAATTTTAAAAAGTCCTACAGCGAAAAAAACTTAAAATTCTTCTTAAAAACGTTAAAACATATATTAATTTCTTTTGAAATTATAATTACCATTAAGATTTTTACAATATAGAAGAAATAAACAAATGGGGCAGCAATCACAATCATCTAATTAAATTATATTACCAAATTAATTTCTTAATATTTATTTAATGAAAATAATTCAATATTTTACAACTCCAGCTTATAACATATGAAAGTCAAGAACTTCTACTTCTGTTTAATTCAGATTTCCATTATGACCGCATCCCAATGGAATGAATGACCCTAAATAACCTTTTAATGATTCATGAATTTTTGAAGCTACTTTAATTGTAAGATTTACTTGACTTTCTCTCTTCTGAATCTTTCGATTCAATTTGAACTGATTAATGGGATGGATGTTAAAGTTAATTCTTCAAGGTTTTTTTAAAGTTTTCTCTTATCAATTTAAGTCTTTAAATGATTAATTCCAAATCTTAAATTAACTAGCAATTAGGAATTCATAAATACTCTAGTTCCATTTGGAGAATCTAAATTATTCTTTTCATTCTTAATCAAAGTTTCAATTTTATTGATGTTGGAAGTAAATCTTGCAAAAGCTAACTTTTGACAAACTACTGTGTTCATTTTTTTTTTGGGAATGTTTTTTAGAGGAAGATAGGATCCCCACAAGAAAATACTCAATAGGTAATCTAGGAAGACATCGTATTGTTGTGATTCTCTGAAGGATGAAAAGACATCATTTAAAGTCATAGAGGCAGTTTCAAAGGATTCAAAACATTCATAGACTTTATTTACAAATTTGAGAAGACTTTCATTAGACTTTTCTTTTTCAGAAAGTGTGTAAGGTCCTGCCAATTAAGTAACCTTGATCATAGTATTAAAAACATTCATACCTCATCTATGTCAACAGTTGAATTTTAATTCTAAGAATATTGCTTTTCAATTTCTTACGACTCATTTAAATAAGATGAGTAAGAATCATCTAAAGTCTTTTTGCTTTTTTCAGTTTATAAATCTTTCATAATGAATTGTATTCTATTTTAAATATGATCTCAAATTTACCTTTTATTTGCTTCAAAAAACGTAAGCATTTCTTGCTTATTTAATAACTAAGAATACCAAATATCATAGAAGACAGTACTCTCTGATGTTGGAATCCAAGGTATAAATCTTAAGAGTTTTTGGAAAAATGTAGTTCTCTGGTCACTTTATTTAAACTACAAATAGAATGCAAACAAATACATTTTCATCACCTTAATATTACCCTCCAAATTCTCTCAGGAATATTTATTTTGTGACATCAACTTTTAGTGATGAAAGAAATGGAATGACTTCATCCTTCTAATCTAAGGCTAGAATCTTATAGCTTTGGCATTCAACATAGGATTTGGCAGAATTATAATCCCATGATGTTAGCAATTTAAAGAAAAAACTGGCATATTTAGAAAATCCAACTTGGGCTATTTTGCTGATACTTGAAAAGGTTCTGTCTGCAAATAGTAAGTTACATTGTCTGACTCTGCCCAAATGACATGCGACCATTCCTCCTAGGGATTCACCATGAAATATCAATTAAGTCACCTTTAATTGAGTTGTTACATAATCACAGATGGATTCTGCATCCTTCATTATATCCTTTGTATTTGGCAATCCTTAACTTTCACAATAACCTCTATAATTCCATAAAAACATGTTTATTCTACGTTTCAAGTAATAATCAATCCATTCTGATTCATAATACATATATTCATAATATCCAGCATTTGGCTAACAAAATATGACTGCTCGATCATTATCAGCATCATCTTCGCTTGCATATATATATAGACTTTGATAATCCAATTTATAAATACCAATCAATCATTTTTCCATCATACCCTTGCACTTTAAATCTTCTGGTCTTAAAAGTATTTTCTAATTCAACTCTCATTTAATCTACTGTTCCAAGGGTCTTGTTAAAGATCCATCTTTCTGCTTCCAAGAGAAAGTTCTTAGGCACATATATATCTTATAATTGATCTATTAAGCTATCCAATATTATAAGTAAATTAGAACACAGTTCAGATTCAATTTTAACATTTTGTTTACAATAATTGATGATATCTTATGGATTATCCAATTGATCATAAAGAGACTTAGTTTCGATTAGAAAATCCTTCAAGCTCTATTCCAATTATTGACATAACCCGAAGAGATATTTTTATTACTCATTCAATTCTTTTCTATAGTTTAATGAAGAAAAAGTGTTTAAAAATGATTACAAGGTTTTTTTAATTGGCACTAAATCTTCAACATAAATTTCTTTAGTACTAATTTACCTTAAATAAATTACTCAGGTATCTACAGTAATTTTCTTATCAAATTTTATAAATCTTCCATCCTTTTATTGGCTCTTTTTGCCAAAGCCTTTGCATATCTGTTTTCAACATTTCTTCTCCATAACCAATATGAGCCTGGAAATACAAATAATCTTATCGTATTTTTTATGAAAACATATAATCCAACCAAAAAAATCTAAAATTTAATGAATGAATTTTGAATTACAAAGTGGCCTAGAAAACCAAAATAAATCACAGTCACCCAATCAATAAGACATAAGAGTACAATAAATAATATAGCCATTCCTGTGATAGCCATCATTTTCTTTTGCTCATCCGTAATTTACATAATTAATATAAAAAAATAATATATTTCATAGGTTTGATAACTTTTCTTTGATAAATTTAAGTTTTTCTTGATCTCTTCCATAGTATTGATACTATAATCAAAAATATATCTTACTAAAAACAACTAGCATTCGCTAAGACTTTTAGACAATCCTTCTTAAAATTGAATGGTTTTTAAATTTTCCATTTTATCAATGAGAAAAGTTAAGAAATCTTCATTTTTCATATTTATTATATCATTTTAATCTTTCTGTTTAATCACACCTAACTTCTAACTAGTATTTGCATCGTTTTTTTGTTGCTCTCCTATTTTTTTTGGTTCTTATTAATTATTGATTTTATAATATGTTGTTTATTTAAATGCCTTTTAAGCAGAAATAGTATTAATTTTAAGAAGACCTTTACTCCCAGATATAATGACACTATTATTTTATGAACATATTTCTGGAGTATTTCTTCTTTTCATCTATGGCGTTATTTATCTCTTATCAAGATGTACACTACTTGTCATTTATCTTCTGTTTCTAAGATATTTCTAAAGTATCTGAGCCAAAGATATTAGATCACACCTATTTTGAGGGTCGTACGCTAATAAATTTCTAATTGCCTCAGTACTGCCTACTGAAATAGCATGTGAGAAAACTAATACATGATCTGACTAATATTATTTCAGCTTTCTAATTAAATCATCTAATTCCATTGAAAAAAATGGTACCACACCTTGAATAATGAAAAAATAATACCAAAAATCATTTCAAAATACAAAATTCCTAAAGACCAAATATCGGTTTTATGATTATACTCTTATTTTAAAAGTGTTTCTGGAGACATATATAAAGGAGATCCAACTTATAAGTTTCTGTCTTCAAACTTGAGCTTATCTTGCTATATTGCAAATCCAAAATCAGCCAATCTTACCTCTCCATTATGAATTAAAATGTTTGATGGTTTAATATCTCTGTGTATTATTTCTTTATAATTTTATTCATTTACATTTCTAATTTAAATATAACAGTGCTTCTGCTATCTATAAAACATACATGATAACCAAATCTTCGTTTATCTTTCCTTTCTGTTTAATTATTGATAAAATATCTATTATAAATATTTCTAATTATACCTGTTTCACAATACTCAGATACAATATAAAAGTTGTTAATAGTTTCATAATGTGCATACATTTTCACTATATATTAATGATTTAATTGTTCAAGAATTTCAATTTCATGTCTCAGCATCTACTCATAAATACCTTTCACTAATTTTTTATCTATTTGTTTGATTGCTACTAATTTGTTAGTTATCTTATGATAACCCTTATAAACATGGCCGAATTATCCTGCACCAACTTTGTATTCGTTGGAGATAAGATAAGCATAATCCCCAATAACTTTTTCGTTGAGCATATTAAATTTTAATTAATTTAACATAATGGATGAATATAAGAGAGTGTCTAATGCATTCAACATTATTATTCTAATTCATAGTAACAAAAAGCTAGAGATGGTATTTTCATTACTGAAATAAAAACTTTGATTATTCTCATAAAATACTTTTGAAGCAATTAAATTCTTAATTAATATGAGTAATGATTAAAGCCTGATTTAATATTTTAATTAGATTAAATTGTAATGAGCCTGAAATAAACCAATTTATAATACAAATTTAAATGATATTGAAATATACTTAAGTTAATATATTAGATATATTAAACGATAAAAAGATACATCTGAAATGAATAAATGTTATTTACCAGGAGTTATAATAAAAGCAAGAATGATCTTATATGATGGGGATTTGTTAAAACTGTATTTGAGCTCAGCAGAAGACAAATTAGTCCTATTATTTGCTAAACACAAAGAAACATTGAAATCGATGGTTACTTTACCTTGTGATGAAATGCTTTGTGTAGAGAGTGGTTTAAAAGAAAAAGAAAGTAGCTTAACTAATTTCAATTAATTGGTCTGAATTGTTGATAATTTATATAAACGTTTACGTATATCTAAACCTCATTTTGACTTTTTTGGCTTGCTTGAAAATATCTTAACTTTCTGTTCTCCAGATTTAGCTTCATGCATAATGTGTTAAGCATCAGTTTAAACTTGCTTTTATGGGGGATTTATAGTTGTAGTTGTTGTTGTTGTTGTTGTTGCAACATCACTATTTAAATCAGCTCTATCTTGAACAACAGCTTTAACAATAGTTTAGATATTCATATTATTTTACCTCTCTAAAAGAGTGCCTGGTAGGTATTTAGGAATTCCAAATATTCTATGGTATATTTTCTTATTTACTTTCTGATTTTCTCTTGTCTTGCTAGAGCTGTAATAATTAAATGGCAAAATGCTGAGGAGCACCAATAAAGATTAACGCCGGCAGGGAAAAAGATAACAACAGGAATAGAAAAGAAAGGTAAGAACCTTACATATCGATAATACTTAGCAAAAGGAACAGTAGATTATGATTACATGTTGGGATTCAAAGAGATGTTCCAAAATGTGAAAACGGAACTCATAATTGGCAAGATTCCATAGGGATCATACTCGCTTAGGTCTTAGAACCTATTATTTAATGCAGTTCTAACCATAAAAATCCTTGGCTTTTAAGGTCCTCGTATTTATCTGGCAATGAGCAGACATATCTCAATGATAAAAACCATGTGAATAGGAAGGGCATTTGTAATATGGATAATCCTGGAATAAGCATATTGATGTTATGCTTTCTTTTAAAAAGTTTAAATTATTTTTGTGCTGCTCTGCTAGCTTTGAAGTCCTGAGCTCTCATTGCTCGTTAAATCATGTTTTAGAAGTTTTTGGATTCAGGTTCGATTAATTTCATACGACAAGCATTTAATTATGCAGAAAACATTAGAGGTGTAAATGCAATCTTGATACCCATTGATATTGCTAAGATTCCCCATCCCATTCCCCAACTCTTTTAAATAGAAATGCAATATTTACTAAATCATTAGCCAAATAAAGTAGTAATTCTCTTGAGTATTCATCTAATGAATTGTACATGTTGGTAGGAGTGTATGCAGAGAATCTTGTAATTAAGTCTTCTACCATAATACTAGAAGGAGCAGTCAATCCTTATTATACATTGGCAAAATCAAAGACGCCTGTAGGGATTTTGGTTGAGAATTTGTATAATTTGAGTGTTCTCGATATCATAAATATAATTTTATCATTTTATAAACATTTGCTTTGCTTACCCTACAAATTATTTACAGCACTCTAATTAGAATATTGATCATTTCAATTAACCATAATTACCTATTTTCTAAATATGGTCCTCTTTGTTTTCAATCTAGAAAATTATAAATTAAAGTTGTAATTTGGAATGAGAATTTAAGGCGATTTAAAACTCTATAAAGTTAATTAAAATAATAATGAATAAATATTTCAATTTTAGAAAGATATTAAATGAAGTAGCTTTACTATTTTTTTTGAATTATAATAGCATTCAAATTATGCTTACATTTATTTGTCACCACCTCGATTTAATAATTATTATTTTTTAGAGTTCTAATAATTCTGCTTGCTTTCACCATCAGTTAATAAATAATAATATTAATATTGGAATATATTAAAATTCAAAATTAATGTCATATAGATCAAGTAAACCTCTTCAGTCGGTGAAGAACTAACCGGGGTCATTCTTTCCAAAGCAACCTTACTCACCAGCAAAGTCACATATAGAGCACTTTCGGTCTGAAAATCCTACACCCCATAATCGAAAATAATAATAGGCTTATCCTCCGAGACAAGAATCGTTTAATTTGTCAAGCGGGGAAAGTCTGGAATAATTTCATAGAAAGCGTTAAAATTCTAATTTTAGTTAAGATAAGAAAGCAAAAAATTAACTGTTTAATATTTTATTCAATAAAACTAAGCGTAATGTAAGTTTTTGTAAAGACACCATGTAAAATATGATCATGTATAATTAGGAAAAAGCAAACTCTACAAAACCCATTTAATAATTAGGGCTAAAATTGGTATCTTCCAAGCAAATCGAAGTTATCCTAGACTATGTAAAAAAAACCACCCAAGATTAACAATAGTATGGATGGATAGTAGACTGTTGATATTAGTTTTGAAAACATTTTAATCAAAGGTTATTAGGATCATAGTGGTTTTTAGAGTGACACCACTAAACCTGCAGAAGACTACAATCCTAGATCAATCAAACTATTTGAAAAGGGCAAATAACTGTTAAGAGAAAAGTAAATTGATGAAGCAATAGAGTAATCAATTTATTTTAATCCAAGTCTATTAAAAAAATGCATAGAAGTTGACACCAGATTGTTGGAAGGTCATTATTTTTTGGGAATCGGCTATTTAGGAACTCAATTGTATTAAAAGGCAATTGCAGAATTCTAATATGTAATCTAGTAGGATGCAGTCCATCGCAAAAACATTTATCTACTTTTAGCAATTTCTCATAAAAAGATGAATGAATTAGATTAAGCAATTCAAATCTTAAACAAAGTGATCACAATGTTCCCAAGATATTACGATGCCTACATATATAGAGGTAAATTGCATACCAAACTTAATTAAATTGACAAAGCTGATTAAGATTTCAACATTGCAATTCAATTAAGTCCTTAAAAAGGGTTAGGTTATTTAGGCAAAGCGGATTGCTTAAGAATGCAATGCTAATATAAAGAAGCCATTAAATACTACTAAAAGGCTATCAATTGCGAATAAGCAGTTGGAAATGCAGCCATTTTAAAAAAGGCCATCACCTTATATGAAAGCCAATAATATGAAGAATGTGCAAAAGACCTTAGCAAACTGTTAGAAACGGATCCAACAAATTCAGAGGCCTACTATTTCAAAGGATTAAGTAGACTAAAAATAAGTAATTTAGTATTTGAATTTTAGAGAATAACACAGAGGCACTATTATGTTTTGAATAAGCTATAAAGCATAACAATTCAAAGAAAGCAGTGACCAAATCATTATATGAAATTGCTAGGATGAAACTTGAATAAAGAGACTTTTATGCAGCTTATCATACTTTAAATAGATCTTCTATGCTAGATACAGAGAAGAGCTATTTAGAGAAATTTAAATTGTTTACTGAAGTAACTTAATCCATTTAAATAGGCTGTGATATTTTTGATGAAAAGAAAGTTCTAAGACAGCATGCTCAACTTTCAAGAAATCCAAAATAACCATCAATTAAATGATTTTTTAAAGCCCTTGTTTTATGCTTATAGAGCTTACGGGTAATTTTGTTTATCCAAACATTAAAAAGCATTGGATGACTATAAATATCTGTTAGAAATCTAACCTGCTGAGTCAAGTGTTCATTATAACAAATTTCTTTGTGAAGGTATACTGAAGGTGTAATCTGGGTTATACACTGATGGTATGGAATTGTTTTAAAGAGCCCAGAAGATATTTTAGAAGAAAATGGAACCCACCTTTTATTTGGCTGTTACTTATATTAATTAATCCTTCAAAAAAAAAAATGACTAGTACAAGGATGTTATCAAAGGGCTCGAACTATTGGATAAAGCGAACAGTATGAATGATCAAAATGCCAATTTATATTATGTTCGATCTATTGTGAAGTGCTTTTTAGGCTAAGTGAATGAAGCATTGATGGACATTGAATCTGCAATCTCAAAGTCAGAAGATAATGTTGCAAAGTATTTCTATTTTAGAGGAATAGTTTTTGGAATACTTAAGCAATACAAGCATTCTCTAAATGATTTTGGCATTTGTCTAACGCTAGATGAAACATTTGCTGATGCTTACTTAAATAGAGCAAAATGCCATTTTTTAAATGGAGATTCAAATTCTGCTTTCTAAGATTTACAATCATGTATTCAGATTCTACAAGATGATCCAAGAATGCATATATGGGCTGGTAACTTTTTGTTTGCAAATGCTGCAACTTGAAGATGCCATAAAAGCATATTCAAATAACAAAGATTTTAAAAATAATCCAAAATTATTATAATTACGCGCAGAATGCTATATGGTATTAGGTGATCTGAATTAATGTTCGGAGGACATCAATAGATTATATAAGTTAACTAAAGAGAAGACTGCTGAATTCGATAAGGATATGTTACAAGCGTTGAGAATAATATTTAAGGATGATTAGTAAATTTATTTTAATGAGGAAAGTGAGAATGAGTACACCGATTTCAATAATAATCTTAACAAAGCTATTAATATTCTAAATTAATTATGCAGAGGGAATGGTAAATTGTTCCAGCAGTTTCACGTCTACATTTTCCGAGGAGTCTTTTTGTTTCATCAAGAAAAATATGAGGCTGCCTTAAGAGACTTTTAAATGGCCAAGAGTCAGAAGGAACTCTCTATAACAGAGAAGAAATTAAAATAAAGGGGAAGCCAAACAGATATTTTCTAAGAAGAGGAATTTCATGAACTTACTGTAGATGAAGAAGATGCTGACTTATTAGAAATATTAGAAATCAAATTCAATGAATTGATATGTTTAGTTATACTTAAGCAATATAAAAAAGCTAAGGAAAAATGTAAATAATTAATAGAGAACATTAATGAAGCAAAGTAAGAGGGCTTATAAATTTTATTGATGCATATAGAATAAATTCTTATGAGAAATTAGCAAGATATTGATTATTAAAGAGTAATTTGCTTGTATGATGAACCTAAAGAGAACATCATTTGTTTCTAAGTACCGATTGTTTTTGTAGATGGGTTGAAAATACGATTATCCTTTAGTTTACCAAAATTATCTCCTCCATCTTTATCCATAACATTTGACAAAAGTTTAGTTTAAGATCTTGGGGTATTAAATGTCATTCATTTATTTAGCCGTTATCCGTTGAAAATAAACCAGAAGCTCCTTGGATAAGAAGAGAATAACAAGATGATATGATCATTTTTACAGAAAATGTTTAACTAGTAGATGATATTAGATTAGAGACTGAAAAAGACGACGAGTAACCTCAGTAACAATAATAAATGTTAGAAATTACTTAAATTAAAAATAACCTAATGCTAGATAAAGATATTGAGGAGAAATTATAAAGATTTTTCGAAAAAAAAAATAAGTAAAAATGATTTATATAATTAAATATACCTAATTTTCACTAAATACAACCTTATATCAAATCTCATTTATCATATAAATTCAGAATATGTCGTAAGAGGATACTCTTAGGCTATTTCATAAGATCAACCTATTATATCCTTGAGTGTGCATTAATGTTTATAATGGATTGACTTTAAAATACGCTTTTCCTTTGCTAAATATTATTAAAAATGTAAATTCGATATCCCATTGAAGTGATAAAAAAAAAGATTGTCACGAGAATAGAATACAAAATTAGGTGGAACACGGGAACAATTACTTATGAACCAATGACAGATCTTACACCCGAAATTCTTTAAATAGTGAATTAATGGGAATTGAAGCAGAATAAAAAGAAGAAACGCATAATTGTAGGGAAGAGTAATAAGAAAACATAAAAAATTACTCGAAAATAGCAAAACAATATTATGCCTTTAGAAGAGATTCCTCCTCAAAATTAAAAGTCTATACCGCATAGAGAACGAATTGTAGAAAATGGAGTGGTCAAAGAGGCAAGAAAAATCTCAGGAAAAATAGAATTCTAAATCATGTTAAAAGAGGAATAAGAATTAAGATGGACCAACTTAGAAGAAGTTAAAACCAGAATTCCTATTGCCTTATGTGACTACTTACTCTAAAGAATCAAGTTTAGTGGAAAATGAATTTAAATTCGATTAAATGCATTCAAATATTTTGTTAACAAATATTTAATCAAAATTAATATCTTAAAAATTCTATTACTATTAATAGGATAAGTAGTATTATACAATGATAAATACTGATTATCTAATAGAATAGAGTATTGTGCTAGAAAATTAATTAGTGATATATATATATTCCTAATATAGAGAGTTTCATTATCATGTATTTATATGTAATTAAATCATTAATCGAATTAAAATTTGTTTGATTAATAAATTTTGTTTATTCATGAATTATATGAGAGGTTCAATCTCAATATATTAATGTTTAGCTATCATCTATACAATATAAATTTGGAATATCCAATTATGGTGTGACGAGTAGTCATTAAAAATTTTAAATTAAATTAAATCTTTTATACAAATAAAAATGTCTTTAGTTTTGGAAAAGGCTGATTCATTCAGACACATTATTCGTATTTTGAACACAAACGTTGATGGAAAATAAAGACTTGCTTATGGTATTAGAAGCATTAAAGGTATCGGAAGAAGATTTGCTATCTAAATTTGCAAGGTATTCAATGTTTTTTTTATTCCTTCTATAAGGTCCTCCGTCTTGATCTTACAAAGAGAGCTGGTGAATTGACAGACGACGAGGCTCACAAAATCACTGAAGTCATCAAATCACCCAGAAGCTTATAACATTTCCAAGATGGTTTTTGAATAGACAAAGAGATTTCAAGGGATGGCAAAAATTATTAAGTCACAACAAACGAATTGGAAACCAAATTAAGAGAAGATTTAGAAAGAATGAAGAAAATCAAGTATATCAATTAAATTATGTTAAGGTGTAATCGTGGTTTGAGACATCATTGGGGATTGAGAGTCAGAGGACAACATACTAAAACCACTGGTAGAGGAGGATAAACCCTTGGAGTTGAAAGAAAGAAGAAGTGATTAATAATTTATTAAGTACATTAAAAATAATAAATGGACTAATTATGGTTTAATGAATGGTATAACTTCTAATTTGTTTGTTAAAATTAAATTTCATAGCTTTTCAAATTAACATTTTATACTCATGTTACAATTCAAGTTCCCTTAAATTTAATGAAATATCAATAACATATTCTTTATTTCTTTTCTAATCTCATATCTAGCAATATATCCTTGGATCGCAACAAGGAGGATAAAAACTAAGAGTCTTATAAATTTTGTTAACAAATCGTAGTTTGATTAGAAACTTCATTAAGATAATTCTCGTCCAGCTGGATCCTTCATTCCCTATATTGTGAATAAAGTAGTGAGTTTGGAATCGTTAATAGTGTGGCAAACATTAGTTTCTTATAAAATAGCATTTGATTTAATTTATAAATATTATTAGAAGAAAGAGAGTAATTCAGTTATTAATTAACTTCGAACTTCATAATTAATAAATGGTTAAATTTAGCAAAGATGATAGATTATCTAATATAAGATGCAAATAATCTTGAAAATAATTGTTAAGCAAGAATTGTGAATAATACTAAAATATGTATAATTGTTTATATTATCTTAATTCATCACAATATAAACATATACATTAATTAACTATTGCTTGAAGTAAGATCCTTAACTTCAATAAAATGTATTTGCGTTGTTCATTTTAATGTTTTTCCCCTTTAAATTTACCTACAATTCCTTATTATTTGTATTAGTTCTACTTTTCCTGGTTTCAAAGTATAATGAATAGGGATTTAGATTCAGGAGATAAGAATAATGTTGAATTTTATGATATATTATTACAGTGATTCTACTATTTTCTAGAATCCTTAGCTTGAATTGGCTATGGAGTAAAATAGTGGACCTTACTTCAAAGAATCAAATTCATATATGATAATGAGGATTTATGAATGCATTAATTAAATAAACATAATTTATCAGAATTAAAGCTATCATCCCTGATCAGGGATATTTATTTAATATAATTAATAAATTTAATGACTGACGCAGTTACACAAAGTATTCCAAGAAGAGAAAAAACATGGGCAGAATTAGCTGAAGAGGAAGATGAGTATTTGGAAGAATTATAAAATTAAGTTTAATTTTTAAATTATACTTAGATTTAAAATGAATAAAGTCAATTAGCGGGAAAATAATTAACAAATTTTCAGAAGAGAATGATTGAAAGAATATCAAGATACGAAAAACCTATAGAAGTGGGCTTATAATAAGTTCCTGAAAGGATAAGAGAAGAGGATATTCTTATCGCTTTTAAACAATACTATATTAGAGATTGCTCTTTCAAAAGACCAAATTGGTTCTTTTATTTGCCAAAAGAGCAGGCCATTAAGTTGGTAGAAGAGAGCAATTTAAGAATCACAATAAAAGGTGCAAATCTTTTGATAGTGATGCTTCCATTAAAAATTTGATTGATATATATGTTTTCATATCTACTTAGTGATATCACATTAATTGTTCTAATTAATTGTAACTAATAGATCCTGGTTTTCTTTCTATAAAAAGTTCAGGTTGAGAAGCCTTTTAAAACTATTTATAATCTGAAGGATAATCTAAAACTTTTTGAATCAAATCCTAATATCCGACTAATCCTTGCAAGATGAATGCATGCATTTATAACTAAGATTAAATTTCATTATTACATCTTCTGGCAAAGATTGCTCTTGCTTATCAAATTTAATAAATTAGAAATTCTATTTAATTTCTGTTATACTCAGTCTTAAATACTATTAAGTTGTTTTGTAGAATGAATCTAATTCAACTAAGTTATTATTACACAACACTCCAATAATCGAATCTTTTTGGAAATCTAATGAAATATAAATGAATTGTTTACTATTTTTATTGGCGAGTTTTAAGACTTTTTCAAAATGTCTCAAATATTTGTCCTGATATTCTGAAATTGCTTAACAGAATCTTTTATAAGATTCACTTTTTCTATAATTCTCAAAATCAGTTAAATTAAAAATGTTTTCTGATTTATTTTCTTTATCTAAGATTGTGGATAACTTATTTATCTTAATGGCTATATTTTTGCCCATTAGGAATAGTAATCTATCTCTAATATCTGTTGGAAATACTTTTGTACTTGCCAAATGCTATGAAAATTTATAAAGAAAACGACAGAAATTAATTTAGCAGAATAAAATCTCGTTGTTTTATTTGAAATCAAGAGTAATTGATTTCTATTTTTATAAGGGAGGAGTGGGTTGAACTTATTCTTCAAAAGCATTGGTATTAACTATTTTTTAAGGTAACAATAATTAGTTTTAACTAGCTGATCGCAGTATTTATTCTTCAAGTTTTTTTTGATTTTCTTCATGCACTTTTCGCTTATCCTCTATCTACTGAGGTTTAAAATCCCTTACAGTATTCTCCCTAATGTTCTAACTTTGACTTCTTTTAATCTTCTTTACTTGTGAGTTTTCAGTTGGCAGAGTGATATTTTGAATTTATTTTAATGGTTTCCTTTTTTCTATGGGACTTAAATTTCTTGATTGCATAATCGTGTGTTCTGTCAAATCCTTAACTCGCCATCTCTTAAATTCATCTATCTGTAAACATTTACGAATGAAATCCTTTGATTCATCAGAGACAATGGGTGATGAAGGTAGAACTAATTATTAATGTTAGATGTTAGAAATGAGAGCGGCTTCAGATGATGCATTATAAGGTGTTCTACCTATCTCAATATCAATAAAACATTACCATAAAGCATTTCAAAAAATACAATACCGATAGCCCAAACATCTCCTTTTTCAGTGTGTCCTTACTATCTTAGAGCTTAAGGAGACATATATAAAGGAGTTCCAACGTTAAAGTTTCTGCCTTAGATTCTAGCTTCATAAGCGGGGACTGCAAAGCCAAAATCAGCCAATTTTGGTTGGTTGTCATTGAGTAAAATGTTAGCTGGTTTAATGTCTCTATGGATGTAACCTTTCTTGTTCATTTCATTTAATGCACTAACTACTGCTTATAATATTCTTATAGCTTCAGATTCTTCTATTCTTCCCTTCTTCTTGATGTAATTGTTGAGATCACCCTGAATTATATATGAGACATTACCGAGTCACAAAATTCTGTGATGATATAGGTGTTATTTTGGGTTTGAAATACATCATGGAGCTTCATAATATTTTTGTGATTGAAGGCTTTGAGTGCACTGATCTCATTTTTTAAGAGCTGGGAATGAATTGATTGCTTGACCATCTTCATATCAATCACCTGAACTTTAAGTAATTATGTTACTTTAACAGCCACATTTTCTGCCGTGTTCTCATCTCTCCCCTTATAGACTCTACTGCTGAATCCCCTTCCTATTTCCTCATTAATGGCATAGGAATAGTGATCAATTGCTTTCCTTGTTTCACTTCCTGCTTTATTATGAACTGATTTATATTTGAATATAATTACATTACGTCCTATAAGTAGATTAGGATGTGGCATAAGAAGGTAAATGAGGGCGGGTTTAGAACATTATTTGAAAATAATTAAATTACCTTATTAACGATTTTCTAAATAAATATAATCGAATTAATTATTATAAAAATAGCCTCTAAATTTAAGTCTCATTTTAGAATAGAAATATTGTAAAAATCAATTTTCACTAGAAGTAATCAACTTTTGTTTTTTTGAATGATTTTTTATTGAACAACCCTGCGGTGTTAATTTCTTCATTTTTATTATTCTTTTATTACATCTATGGTAGAATATCTTTTAATTCAACATCCTTGTCTGCCAATTCTATTAATTTTTATTACAATATTCTGTTTTTGTCCTTCCCAATTTAACCAAATATTAAGACTTCCTTAACAAGTTCTTGCTAATTTTTTATTGTGCCTCCCTTAATATCCTATTCAATCTTCTCGGCTAATTACTCTTCATGATTAAGTTCTGCTTACCCTTCTTCTGACTCAGAAGTTTCTACCTTAAATTTATTTAAAAAAGCATCTTCAGTTTTAACGACTTCCCACTAACCAACCTTCACAACTAATTCTTTATCTACATTTTCAACTGGATTCTATTGGTATTCTTCCCATGCTTCTTCTTCATAATCTTCTAACATCAATCCCATAGGTTTTTCATAATTGATAGTGCCTGTTATTGTATTTCTAAATCTCAATCTTCCTGTATCATCTTCTTTTTCTAAAATCCACACCTTGCCTTCTGCAAAAAATCCCAATTAATCTGCTACTTTTGTTTATTATTATTAATTCTCTCCTGTATACTCATTTTCAACAGCCTGATGATAATTATGTTCCTCCTTTTTTTAATTCTAATTTTTAAATCCTTTAGATGTCTAAGGTATTGAATCATAAGCTTTATTTTATGATTTATGTTCAATTCTTGCCTTCTTGTTCTATTCTCTTAAATGATATTCCTTGTTCTTTTTATGTTTAGCAGTATTCTCATGATCTTGAATAGCAGACCTTGTGTAAGGAATTAACATCTTGCAGACTTCACACCATTTCTTTCTTTCATTCATTATTTATCAATTTAATTTATACTTGTTATAATAATAATCGTTTTTAATAACAATGCCTTAGCTCTTTTATTAGATTAAGCTATCGCTAGTCCTATTGATTCTATTATCCAGTCTCCCTGTTTTTGCTATTTAACAAAATACTATTTAATTTGAAGAAGCAATAAACAATTTAAGTTTCCTTCAATTGGATAATGAGAAGCAACAAGGGACTATCATAAAGCCTTTAATAGATCCAAAATCATACAAATACATTGAATTGGAAAACAAGTTAAAAGTATTGCTTATACATGATCCGAACTCAGAAATTGCCACAGCTGCACTGGATGTGTAAGCTGGATCTTGGAATGAACCAAGTGAATATCCTGGCTTAGCCCACTTTTGTGAACATATGTTATTTGTTGGCTCTGATAAATATCCCAGACCTGATTATTTCGATGAATTATTGGCAAAAGGAGCCGGCCGTTCCAATGCTTATACTGATGCTTAACCAATACTAATTATTATTTTGAAATTACTTCATAATACTTAGATAAAGCCTTAGATACATTTGCTCATTTTTTTATTGATCCTTCTTTTTAATGAAGATTTAGTAGAGAGAGAGAAGAACGCTGTTAATTCTGAGTACGAGATGGATGTATCCTCAGAAGATTGGAAAATCTAAAATTTATTTACATTATTTGCTGATCCTAAACATCCTGCAAGCAGATTCAGTCTAGGCAATGATGAAGTGTTGAAAAAGAAGGGTATTGAAAATGCATTAAAATCCTTTTTTGAATAATATTATTCCTCAAACCTTATGAGTTTGGTTATTTAGAGCAAAGTTAGTTTGTAAGACATGGAACGATTAATTAAGCCTTTTAATCGGATCAAGAATTAAAATTTATAACCTTCTCAATTTAATGCATTTCCCTATCAATTTGGATTTCTATGCAAATACAAAACTGAAAAAGATCAATTGACTTTAAATTGGTAACTTAAAGGAAGAGAATAGTTCACTCATTAAAAACCAATTGAATTTTTAGATTATATCATATAAAATGGAAATCTCGTAGATTTTATGAAGGAGTAAAACTTGATTATTTCTCTTTCTTCTGAGGTCTTCATGGAGGAGTCTTCATATACTAATTACATGATGGAGATAGTTTTAACTGAAAAATCTCAAGAGAATGAGGAAGTTGTTGCTGAAATAACTAAAATTATATTCAATTACATTCAAAAATTAGAAAATTGGTTATCAGATGATGAATACATCAACCAAGTATTTAAAGAACAAAGAAAGATTTCTAAATTGAATTTCAACTATTTAACTGAACAATTGGATACTTCAACTATGGCCAGAATATTGAACCGATAGAAACCAAATGAGGTACTTTCCTCGGAATTCATTATTGATACTTTGGACAAGGATTTAATATTAGATTACATTCAATAATTGAAGAATACATAAAACTTAATAATTTTAATAGGTAACCATCAATATTCTTATTCAAATGAAAAAGTTGATGAAAAAAAGAGTAATAAATAGTTTCTTTAGGATAAAATATTAAATGAAAAGAGCAATTTATATAGACTCATATACTCAAAACAAAAATTTGATGAGCATTTTATTAATTTCATATCCAAATAGGATGAAAAACTATAAGGAATGTTTGATAAACCCATAATAAAATGAATTTATCCCCAGATAATGTGGAATTAATTTCATTGTGTGAATCATCTGAATCCAAATTACCTAAAATCGTCCATTCAGATAAGCTAAAGACTTTGGATTAACAAAGTAAGTTAAATTTGTTTCTGATGGCTGGATAAGATCTTAATCAATATAGTGATGAACAATGTTCATTAGAAGAGCATAAATACTAAAAGTAAAATCATTATCCAATTTTACTTAACAAAGAATAACAAGAATGGTGGAAGAGTTAAACTTCTTATAAAAGTACCATTTATTTTTGGAGCTTTATAAATGAAATACCAAAAAACTTTGAATTTACGATAATTTACATCTTTAAGATTGTATAATTTTATGGCAGACGAGGTTATATCAAAGGAATTAAAATTACCTTTATCTTCTGGATATTCCTATGAATTGGATATGAATAAGAAGACTCAAATAAAGGTTTATGGATTTAGTGAACATGTGAGAAATCTATTTAAGAAACTATGTTCATGCATGAATCCATTTAGGGATAAATCCAAAAGTTTCCTTGAACTCACTGAGTCAAAAAGATTTGAAATAGCCAAATAATCATTACTGTTGTCAATTAAGAATATGTATCAAGATACTTTATTTGAATAAGCCATCTAAATTTATTTACCTCAATTATTATAAAAGGATTCTCATGATCCTGCCAAAGTTATGGAATAGATTGATTAAATTACATAATAAGAAATGCTTAAAGATGTTAGAGACATTATGAATAATGTGTAATATTCTAGTCTGTTTATTGGAAATATCGATTAATCTGAGGCAACTGAATTATCTGATGAAGTTCAATCATGTACTAAAAATAAAGAATCATCATCTACATAAGACAATATTTAAGATAAGGTAGCAATCATAGATTTAAAAGGGAAGAACCTTATTGATTCTAGATTTATCGAATCAGGGAATGATGATGATATTAATGGTGTCACTTTAAATTATTATTAAATTGGATAAAGAAAGTAAATGAATTAGGCATTCATTAAATTATTAGAACCAATCCTAAATTAATAAGCTTATAATTATTTGAGAACTGATTTATAATTGGGCTATGTAGTAGCAGTTGAGTTTAAAACAACAGCATGTGTAGATGGAGCTCTGATTTTAGTGTAAGGAAGCACAGAAATTCCAATGAAAGTGAATCAAATTATTGATGATTTCTTGGATTAATTTTCAGCCTATTTGGAGTAAATGAATAATAGAGAATTCCAACATCTTAAACATGGAGTAGTTACTGATTTAAAGGAAAACCCATAAAGTTTAAGTGAGGAGGGTGATCGTCTATGGCAGTATATTAGTGCTGGAACTATTGAATTTGAAGATAGATAAGTGGCAATTGAAGAAATTAGAAAAATATCAAAGCAAGAATTAATTGAGTTTTATAGGAATTCATTCATTGACAACAAATCAAAATTAAGTCTGCAATTATATGGGTATTGATTATTATTATTATTATTAGATAAGGCATGGTGACATAGATGATGAATTTGGAGACTTAGGCGGAATTTAATGAATTTATTTCTAATACGAAGCCAGAAGAGGCACAATTGTTTGATCCCCATACGGCATCATATTATTAGTGCGAGTTTGAAGCCACTTAGATTTGAGTAATTTGATGTTTGCAATAAAATTTAGTCTACTCAGAATATTTCTTTATAATAATTAATTTCATGGTAGATTATATTAATAAATATAAAATAATTGTTAATTTATTCAAAATAATAATAGATCAGATGATATTTTATCGAAAATTGAGTTTATTTGCTTGATATTAATTAATGAAATCAGTTTAACTAAATTTAATGTATATCTGTTCATCATATTTAAACAGAGTTTAATGCTCTCAAATTATTCAATTAATAATCAAAATTATTATGGATTAGTTTCTCAGTGTAAGACATAGCGCTAAGTCATTTCAATTCAGATCATCTCCTTGTTCAAAACAATCTTTTTAAAGTGAAGACGACAGAGATACAGCACTTTCGTTTGACATCACTCCAAAACCCAAGCCAAAACCTTTGTAGGGATTGAGTCCTATGTCTTCTGCATTTGATAATGAGGATAGTGATAAAGGCAGTTAAAGAGGAGAGGCAATCTCAAAACCATCTAGTAACAACATTTGATCGAATATTAGTTCCTAAACTTTCACGCTTCAGCACTCAGAGAGTAATAACGATGAATGAGGGGGATAAGGATGAAGAACCAGAAGTGATAGAAAAAGAAGTTAAATAAGCTTCAAATATCTAATCATAAATGCATGATGAACAAACGAAAACCATGGAAGAACAACTCAAAAAAATGGAAGAGAAAACAAATATAAACCCTAAGCTTAAATAATTGAAATCTAAACCTCTGTCCATGAGAAATTTTTAAAAAAGTTGGAGAGTCCAAAGAAGATAAGTTATTGGAACACCCCTTTCGACATTTGATATTCAGTCCAAAAATAGACGAGTTGGTCTTAGAAAAACATTTAATAATAACCTAAAGAGGGCTAATTTATTCTAGGAAATGTTTAAAAGGGCCTTCAGAGCAGTTCATTGAAAAGAAAAAAGTAATTTTAAGTAAAATCAACCCCAATAAAATTAATACAATATTCCTTGATCTTGACGAAACGTTGGTTCATGCTTGTCATTCAAGAGAGACACATACCGTTAAGTTGTAACAATAAAATGAAGATGGATCTGAAATAGGGGTATATATATAGTAGTCATTGTAGGTTGGAATCAATATAAGACCATACACAACCTACTTTTTGTAAGAGCTGGCTCAATATTATACAATCTACATTTATACTGCTTCATCTCAACCATATGCCCAAACAATCGTAAATTATCTTGATCCTCATAAACAATACATCAGTGGCATCTTATCTAGGTCTAATTGCATGGAAACGAAAAATGGATTTTTCATAAAAGACTTAAGAATCATTTAGGATATAGATTTAAATAGAACTCTTATAATAGACAACCTTGTTCATTCTTTCGGCTTATAGGTTGAAAATGGAATCCCAATCTTAGAGTGGCATGACAATTAGGAAGATCTAGAACTCAAATACCTGTTAGAATATTTAATAGAAGCCTCCGAATAGCCAAATTTAAAGGAGTTCAACTTAACTCATTTGTAATTAGACAATTTAATCAATTATGCCATCAAGTAATGAATTTTATATCTTCCATAATAAACCTTCTAACTCATAATATATATATTTATGAATCAAGAATTCACCTAAATTTATACAAATGGGATAATTATTTCGATTCTCCTTGTGTTCTCAATTCGATTTCCTCTATTTTGAAATCTTTAATTGAGTTGTCCTATGATAAATGAAGCAGATACTTGAGTGACAAAATCATAAGGGATGACTTCATCCTTTGTGTTAAATATGTACATCATTCCCTGATCTTTTTTTGCTGCAAATATTAAATGCCCTTAATCAAAGAGACTTTAAGTCTATAAATTGGTAGGTTGATTAATTTAGAGAATGAAATATCTCTTAGGAGTTACTGCTGACATCCGATATAAAGGAACAACCAAATTCTTCATATTTAAATTTAATAATTGAATTAGTTTTGTAAGCATACATCATGACACCTATTGAAATATGTTCATGTGCATTTGAAACAATGAGTAAGAGGTAATGTGTGATCCTCAAGTGGTAATGATATTTGGTATAACAAGGATTAGAAATTATATAAAATAAAGCGAATGATTGAATGAATTCAAAAAATTTTTAATCTTTTATATTTTTTTAAATAAAAATGGGCAGAAGACCAGCAAGATGCTACAGAGTGAGTAATGGTAAACCATTCCCCAAATCCAGATATAACAGAGGTGTTCCAGATGCTAAAATTAGAATCTATGATGTCGGAAGAAAGAAGGCCAACGTTGACGAATTCCCAGTATTGAATAATTAATATGAATTAGGCTGCCATTCACATTGTTTCAGATGAAAAGGAATAAATCTCATCAGAAGCCTTAGAAGCATGCAGAGTTGCCATCAACAAATATATGATTAAGAAAGTTGGAAAAGACGCATTCCATCTTAGATGCAGAGTCCACCCATGGCACGTACTCAGAATCAACAAAATGCTTTCATGTGCTGGTGCAGATAGACTCTAAACTGGTATGAGAGGTGCCTTTGGTAAGCCAAATGGTTTGTGCGCCAGAGTCAAAATTGGTAGCATTCTCTACTCTTTGAGATGCAAGGATGCTTCAATCAATCATGCTATGGAAGCTTTGAGAAGAGGAAAGAACAAGTTCCCAGGAAGATAAAAGATTGTTGTCTCAGCCAAATGGGGATTCACTAACTATTTCAGATCTGACTATCTCAAATATAAGGCTAATGTAATACCATAAATTAATAATTTAGGATGAATTATAATACTATGGTACTCACGTTCAAAAATTGAGATAACATGGTAAATTAGATAAATTGAAGATCTTCTAAGCCCTTAGAAAATGATTTGTTAGAATAATCGTATAATATAAATATATCAATGGTTGTAATGGTCTCTATCTAAAAACTTACTAATTAAAAATGGTATTGTTTAATATTATGGTTTCTTCAAATAAACATCCTTTAAAATTGTCTAACATTCATCATTCAAATATTCTTGGAGCATCCAAATATTTGAAATCATTTTCACTTATTCGGATTGCTTAATTATTTGAAATTAAATACTGAACCTCAAATCTCAATCTTTCTCTGCTTTTTGTGTGATTTTAATCTTAATTAGAATTTAATTTTATCATTAGGAAACTTCACATATATAAATTTATCCCTTGGTTTGATATTAATTTATATTATGTTGGTATAATATCAATTAGAAACAGAGAATTAGACTGAAGTGTCAATTTTCAGCTTTATACCCAACATAGTTTCAATATTTCAGAAATCATATAGGCTTCCCTTCTGAATTATGAATTATTTTTAATTTTCTATTAACGATATTAGAATCAATTCATATGATGTTGAATTATCCATTAATAAGTATCCTACTTATAACTATTCGAAAAAGTTTCAATCATAAAGCAACAGAAATGAAATAAATAGAAGAAAATTAAAATTGTTATTAAGGATTGTAATTCAAAGCTTAAAATTAAAGCTTTTGATAGGAGTTGTTTTATTTAAAAAGGTAACTGACTACCTAGTTAAATTGCCAATTATTAAATAACGGTTCTCCAAATGGGGGAGAATAGATAGAGTTAATAATTTATGAACTATATTAATATACTCTAATTTGGTCACATTGGCTATGCAAATTATCAATTTAAAGGTTAATCATAAGAAATCAAAATAATTTCTTAAAATTAGTTTAGATAATTGGGTTTGTATTCTACTTAAGTTTATAAAATCGAAAAAGGTTTAAAATATTAAATTTAGTAACATTGTAATTCAATAGAAATATGATCAATGAACCTCCTGTATTCATAAATGATTATATATTGTTGTCAAATCATATATGTTGTAACTTAAGATTTATTCCTTCTTGTTTGAATCTTACTTATTTTTTCAAAGGAGAATTGGTCTCTATGTCTGAATCTTTCCTTTTTAAAATTGAAGTAGGAGTGTAATTTCTGAATTTTGTTGGGCTAAAACACTCAACTCCTATGATAAAATTGTGGTCGTCCCTTATATCACTAATCTTTCTTCTAATTTATTTATTCTTTTCTTTTTATACAGGTGCATCTGAGTATTTTCTCTTTGGTTTCAACTCTTATTACTTATTTACTTTTTTAGAATTTTTAGAGCTTTTTTTTGTTTTGATTTCAGCCTTTGAAGTACTATAAATAGGTGAATGAGAATGGCATACAATTTATTGTTTTACATAAGGACTAGGGCTTTAGAATTTAGGACTTTAAGCTTGATTCTATTTGCTTTTACATTTAAGAGAAGATTTCAATACTGTATGAGGTTATGGATATTTTTTCAGTTAGTAGATTGAGTTATTTTCGATTTCATTTTGAGTGTCCTTCGACGGATTAAACTAAGAAAAAAATAGACTATCTTCAGAAGGCACTCTTACTAAAGATTTAATTTCGTTATGTTTTGGAATAAAGGGTTTAGTAGGGGACTGAAGCATTGCATTAGGTATATCCATTTGAGTTAATTGACTTGTATTTATTAAACTATTTAATTTAGGTTTTGCCATTCCTTTCAGTTTATTTAGACAATTTAGTTAATCCAATTTAGTTTTATCATTTATTTATTCTTTATCGGAACAATTATTCCCCATTTTCTATTTTTAATAATATACTTTATTAAATGAATTAAATATATAATGTTAATCTTTTTAGTAATTAACTTAATAAAATGTTATAAGATTAAAATATAGAGTACAGGAGTTTCAAGATTTTCTAATTGAAATGAAATTGAGAATAATCTTGTACAACCATTGAATATGAGAATATTTTTATGTCATCTCAGCCTTATAATTAATAATTCACTTATTCTACAAATTCTTTTTCATTTCCTTTGATCTTAATCTCATAAATTTTATAGATACTAAATCAATTAATTTCCATATAGGTTATATTGACAATAGATTTTGTCAATCATACACTTCTAAGACATGATTATTTTGCATAATTTAATTAATCTTGAGGATATTTGATTAATAGATAAAAAGATCCATACTGAAATTTATTTATTCAAGTAAATTGATTAAAATTATAATCTTACTCTAAGTTTCAAATAAATATAAAAATTCAAAGGAGAATGAGGAATTGAATAGATTTATTATTAAAATAAATATTATTTAGATCAATCCAAAGTATCTTCAAAGTCAAATCCTAAGAGAGTTCTGGAAACATCATTAAGATGTAGAATGAACAAGCAAAAATTAAATAATCTATTCTAATTTTCTTGCACTTTAAATATTATGAGATTTAATTTATAAGATGAAATATAATTTAATTTAAGTATTTCTTTCAAAATAGTATATCTTAAATAATTAGAATGGAGGTTTTAATAAATAAAAACATAATTTAACATTTTACAAGACAATATCTAATTATAAATTTTGTGCAAGTAATAAATATATAATTCTTAATAATGCCTAAAATTGAAAATACAACAGGAATGCCAATTAATTTGATTATAGATGAATTGAAAAGTGATGATATCAGAAAAAGAATTCATTCAGTCAAACACTTAGATTTGATTGCCAGTACAATAGGTCCAGAGAGAACAAAGAATGAATTAATCCCTTTCATCTAAGGTATGCTCGAATATCATTTAGAATTGCTTGACGACGACGATGAAGTCTTGATTGAATTAGTTGAATCACTATCTAAGAATTTTATTGAGCTTGTTGGTGGATAAGTATAAGTGTTGCTCCCCACTTTCGAAACATTATGTCGAGTTGAAGACGCTTCGGTAAGGGAAAAAGTAAGAAATGCATAATATCGAGGCTGCTAATCAATTGAAGAAATGCTTTGCTACGTTGCCTGATTAAAAGAAGGTAGAGGAATTATCAATGGGGATTATAAAAAGATTGAATGATAGCGATTATTATTTGGCCAAGAATGCAGTTGCAATACTGGTGCCAGCAGTTATTAACTAAGTGTCCTAGAACAACTAGAATGATCTGATTAACATAATACTTAAAATTTCCTAAGATCAAATACCTCAAGTTAGAAAATTTTCGTCAATGTATTTTTAAGTATTTTGTTACATAATTGCAGGATTTAGTGAAGCATTTTCCAATAGTAAATGAGACCTTCATTTAAAACACCCTAAATTCGTTCATTAAAGATGAATAGGATTTTATTAGAATGTATATAGTTGATGCATTGATTGCTTCAAGCAGAACCGCATTTTTCTAAAAACAATAAACCTTTGTTCTTAATATGTATAAATAATTGGCAGAAGATCAATCATGGAGAGTGAGATATTATTTTTGTGACAAATTGGCTGATGTAAGCGAGAATCTAAATTGTATTAGATAGGAGATTCTGTTGGGAAGGAAGGTTATCGAAAGAACTTTTAGAATTACCATCTTAAGTTTTTGTAAGACAATGAGCCGGAGATGAAGTCTATAGCAGCACTGAAAATAGAAAGAGTAAGTTCTTTGATGGATGCAGATGATATTTTGAATAAATTAATTCCACTTTTGAAATCAATTCAATAGGATTCAAACTCATTTGTCAGAAGTATGATGTGATTTATAACCATTTATAGATTCCTTAGCTGCCTCTGTCTTATCATTGTCACCAATTATCGGTAAGAAAAATACAAGCGAATAAATTTTACCAATCTTCTTAACCTTACTAAAAGATCAAGATTCGGAAGTCAGAATCACTTTATTCAAAAAATTAAGTCTAATCACAAATGTGTTAGGTGTTGACTCTTTATCATAAAGTGTCATTCCAGCTCTGACGGAATTAGCCTAAGATAAGAATTGGAGAATCAGGGCATCTACAATCGAGGTTCTAAGCTTCTTTGCCAGAGCCATAGGTCCAGAATTCTTATCAGATAAAGTTCTAAAATTGCTCTTAGATTGGCTTGGTGATAAAGTGTATTCTGTTAGATAAACAGCAATTTAATAAACTGCTTAATTGATCTAGATTCTTGGTATTGCATGGGCTGATAGAAATTTGTTAACTAAAATCTGGGGATTTTAATCTATACAAAATTATCTTTAAAGACTCACAGTGCTATTTACAATAACTGTAAAATTATTGATTTATTATTGTTTAGCAAATAGCATCTTCATTGAACAATGATTACATATTGAAAACAATTCTTCCTCTTTTATAATCAATGTCAAAGGATTAGGTTGCCAATGTCAGAAGCAATGTTTGCAAGACATGCATCTTATTAGCTAAGGAGAAAGGGGGAAATGTCGTAGAGCCATTGAAAAAAGTGTTATAGTCTCTTTGTGATGATTAAGATGCAGAGGTTAAATACTAAGCAAAAAGTGCATTAGAATCATTATGAATTCAATAATGATTAATATATTAAATAAATAATTTCATCTTTCCAGAATTTTAAATATATATATATGATTATTAGATACAGAATGAGAAGATATTGTTATTGTTTATTATTATATATTGTATGATTCATTATCAATATTATTTTTGAATGCTGCTACTACCAACGGTTGATCTTGTTACAGTTCTCTTTTCCACGACTACTTCCTAATTACAATAAATATTAAATGATACTTTCTTTTATTGCTTCTAAAGAGCTTCTAATTCTGCTTATGCCATCATCAATTGTTCCTAACATTCATTATAATCATGATTAATCTTGATGAATTTCTATTTCCAAACTTCAATTTCAGAACTTAAGAAAGTCACCTTCTCTTAGACAACAGTAGTTCCTTATTCTTCCAAATATTAGATTCTTAAATGCAAATCATCTATTTCGTGATCCCTATTGGCTAACAATTATCTTAATTTTTCAATTTCTGTTTTCAATCTCAAAATTTCTTACTCCAAATCACTAATTTAGAATCTATATTGATTAATTTTAGAACTATATTCTTTGTCATTAAGAGATAATTGATTTCTTAAGTCTTCACATTCAGTAGTTCTCTAATATAGCAAACCCTTCAAATTATTAACTTCCATTTCTAATTCTCTAATTCTTGATTAAGCATCTCTGCTCTCATTAGCTGCTGATCTCAATTCAAGTGATGTAACTCTATATTTTTCTAATTCATTATCCTTTTATTATATGATCAACCTCAATGAACTCAATTCCATTTGTAATTTACTATTTGCATCTTACAAATCCTAGACTTAATCTCTTAACATAGCCAATTCTTAATCTTTGTTTCTGCATTGATTCTTCCAATTTTACAGTTCATTTTCAAGTTGCTTATATCTTGATTCGCTTGAACTTGAACTTGTCTTAATGAGTAATAGTTCTTAATCCTTTTACTTTAATTAATTATTCAAATTTGCATTTTGCATCTACAATTCAGAAATTTGTCTTCTCAAATCACTTACTTCCTATTAGTTACTTAATCTCAATCTATTCAATTCATTCTCTAATTAAGTAATGGATTCAGTATCCTTCACAATCTTCTCCTTTTCAATGACTTTCTCAACGACCTTTGTTTCTAATTGTCTGGATTCAAGTTCAGTAATAACTGATTAAAGGTACTCGCATTCTAATCTCCAGGGAGCCTCGATTTCCTCTCTATTTACAACTACAATTTGCATATGCAATGGTGATGCCTAACAAGGATTGCAAGGCTAATATGTTAATAGATCAACATTACATTAATGGATGGATAGTTTGTGACTTGTGCTGTGACAAAATTATTAGGAAATTAAACTCCTTATTGATTAAATGCTTAATTTCTTCCATCAAATACAAATTCTTCTTGTTGCACTTATTGACCTGCAAAAGGAACCTAATATTTAAATTCAATAGTATTATACTTGTTACACTCCGCTTGTATATACGAATTGCTAAGAAATAGGTCTTGTCGATTAGTATTCATTTCTTAATGTGTCTTATTGATCAAGTCTTTATTAATTTAACATTAGATATTAAATTATTAATTTTTATTTGCCTTAATTTTATTTATATGGTGTAAATCAGTATAATTTAAGATCTGTTTGTACATCATCATAGTAATTCAATTCACCAAGATCTTACTATAAAAGTATTACACTAAATAACAGCTCTAAATAAGAATGTTTATCTTTGATTAATTGACAGAATAATATCATTTAGATCCGAAACGCTAGGAAATTAATCAAATTAATAGTTTATAAGGTTTTGCTAAATCATTAAAATTCTTGTGAGATTGAAATTCGAATATAAAGTATTTAATATTATATAATCATTGCATAATTCTAGTTTCTTCTAATAACTAAATTTATTTGATTAAGTCCTACTTTTCAGTGATATGCCTTTGCAACTCATCTCTGTAGGTGTTTAATAGAATAGAAGATCTTTGAAAGATATTTTATAATTGCGAAATCATAATTCTCTCTTTGTCTCTATTGGAAGTAATATTTGTAGAGTCAAAAGATTTTTTTTGCAAACGATCTTTTGCATAGTTTCTTACCCTAGGTTTAATGCTACTTGATGTAGTTGAATTTAAGGAAGGAGTATGATTATCTGCCTTATACATTAATTGGGAGGATAATTGATTAGAAGTAGGAAAATGCCCTTTCAAGTATTGTTAAGAAAAACTATCTTAGATTTGGAGTTATTATTAAGATTTTTATTGAACTAATTTTAAATATGGGCTGGATTTTAACAACTATTGCAAACCCTTGGTTATAGCTTTCTTTTTATGATTTTAATTAACAGTTATTGGAGTTATTAAATCTGCTTAAGAATGATTGGTCCTTCTGTGGAGAGTGCTTTATATATTATTTCTTATCTCTGGACTGATCGTAGATTTACGTTGCTGATCCAAATATGGTTAATCTGACACAAGTAAAGAGTTCATTGTAATTATTATATATTAATTAAATTCTTAAATCTGCAGTTTAGATATTTTATCTATCAATCTAAACAATATATTGATCCATAGTAAAGGAGAGAACTATTATGTTCACAAGAGTATAGATCGAACATAGTAGATGCTTACTTGTGTCATCTTTATTTTAGATTCATGCTTAGGTAGATGTAGGGAATCAGTCATGAATCATCAGTCATCAGTTATTATGTAATATTATTGACATCTTAACAATCAAAAGTTCAAATAATATAATATATATATTTTAATAAAACAAATGCCTCGCTCAAGCAAAGTGTCTAACCGATCATTTTCACATGGAAAACAAGGTTAGTTGAATGAACCAATCATTATTACATTATAGAGAGAGATTGATAATTACACCAGAAAAGTAGAAATTGAAAGAAGGTTTCATTTAACAGATGCATTATTTTAGAAAGCTTTTTAATTTGGAATAATAGCACAGATAGTTATAAGAGGAAGTGAAAAGCAAAGTCTAATCTGTAAAGAAATTGAAAATGGATTCTATTAAAAAGGTTTTGAACAAAGATCAGGCAGAATCTAAAAGTCTATAATTTTAAATAGATTAAGTAAAACATTAAACCAAATTTAGTTTGATAAAAAATTGTGTAAGTCTGTAGCCAATATTGAAATTATGAAATCAAATATTGATATCATTCGAAAAGAACGAAATTAACTGCTATAAGCCATGAAAGAAATCGAGTAGAATCACGAGTAAATTCATAGTAGATTGATATCAACGTAATCGTAGGCTCAAAGAAAGGTTCATGATGCTTGTAATATTAAGAAATATTGTTAGAAATTACCTAATAACAAATGTTCGATTTGAAAACCAAGAATGAAATTGACAAAAGTGAGTTTCAGGAAAAGTTTGATAAACTGAAGGCTGAATTAAAAGAGAAATAAGAAAAATAAAATGAAAAAGACAAAATATCAAAAACCAATAGACTCAAAGCCACTAATTATTCTACTTTTGATACTGGAACATTGTTAAAACGAAGACTCTAAAGGATTATTGCCAACAATAAGGAAAAAGTTAAAATGATTGATACCTATTAAAGAAACATGAGAATTATAGATGAAGCATTCAATCAAATTAAAGAAGCTACTGGATTAACTGATATTGAGGAAATCAAAAATAACTTTATCAAAAGTGAAGAATAGAACTATTCATTATGGACATATGTTGATGTGCTAAATTAAGAAATAGATGCTCTAGAAGATTCTAATTAAGAATTGAAGGAAAAGTGTGAAATATAAGAAAAAGAAAATATAGAGAGAGACAGAATCCTAACAGCGACACCTGATGGTGAAAGAAAGAGAAAATATATCCAAAGGATTATTGATTAAAAGTAAAAATACCAAATATCATACATAGATAAGATGAAATTGATTAATTTGGTAATAAATTATCTTAGATCCAACCAATAATAGAGGATATTTTATAAAAAATGATCAAAACTAGGTTTAACCATGATCCAACTAGAGCCTATACATTCTAAGGAGGATTTCAATTGAATGAATCTAATATTGATCAATATTTAGGTGAAATTCTTAAGTTTATTATTAGCTGAATTGGAAGGCTATATAAATATGTTAGTATTATTTAAATCGAACAAATACAAAAGAGATGGATTAAATTAAAATAAATTTATAACTGGATTACTATTGGAAGAAATACCCACAAAAGAGTTTAAGCCAAAATAATAATTGAACTAATCATCAGTCTTACCATCTTAGGGAAATGAAGAAGGTTCGGACTTTTAGAAGTTTCTAAATTATAATGAGTTCCATGAAATGGCTAAGTAAGCTCTTAAGGAGGGTGATGGATAAAGTATTTAATTGCATTATTTCACGTAGATTTCACATCAACAAAGAAGAATAAAAAATGAATTTTTCTATACAATTTATAAATATAACATATATGTTAACACTATTAAATATCACATCATAAGTGGTTTTTGAAGGGTTTACAATTTATCGAATTCATTTTACGTAAAATTGTTTTATGTAAAACTGCTTTGTGTATATTCGGAATTCTATGATAAAATAACATAATTACATTTAAGACATTACGAGAACTGTTTTACTTGATAACAGTAGTTGAAGTAACGATTTTCTGTTGACTATGTTATTTAGACAATGATTCATATTCTGCTTCTTTGACCATTAATTTTTCTTAACATGCATGATATGTATCATTTAACTCCTTGAACTTTTATTTCCATATTTTAGCTTCCTCCTCATAGGTCTTGACTGATTGAGTTGTTGTGATCTCCTCAGTCAATTAATCCACTTGTTAATAAAGTTCATTTAATTCCATTTGCAATTTTGATATTGTATCATCTTTTTAATTGCATAAATCTTGCATATGCTATCTCTCTTATCTAAGCTAATTGATTTCCATTCTCAACTTCTCGATTAAATCATCCTTTGAATTTAGATTCAATTATTAGCTGGTAATTGTCTACTAAAGGGAGTTCAACTTAAATTGTAACTCATTTATAATTTACTAGGAAACGTTCTTTCCAGATTCTTATTTTAAAATAAATAGTTACAAGCATCTAAATTATATTAATCAAGAGAGGATTTTAATTATTATTTTAATTTCATTATGATTTCATCTTTTCCATTCAACATAGATGAATTCTATTGAAGTTCAGCTTTTAATTAAAAGTTTTCCAATTTATACTTTTCTGCCATTTCTTAGACTGACTTCAAATCTATTTATAAATTAGAAATAGTTTATTGCAAATTTGTAATTTTGATGTTCAATTCTGAAGTCAATATGTTGGAAGCACTTCTATTTTGTTCTAAGATTTATTGTGAATTAATACTGCTTTCAAATTCTATTTGATCTCGGGCATTTTACAATTGCTACTTCATTAATTAAATTTATCTTTCCCTTTCTTCCAATTAAGTTTTCACTCTAAAAAGTTCATTTTATAAATCTATAATTGTCTAACTATCAGGATTGTTTTATGCTCTTAATTCAAAGTTCTCAGACTAAACAATTACTTAGTTTTTGGTCTCAAGCATTTCCTCTATTCCTCTCATTCTTTTACTCCACATTTCTTCGAACCTTACTAAGTCGACTACTTTAATTGGATTTTCAATGATTGTTTGTTTGTAGATTGGTTCAACATGAGGCATATACACTGGAGGGTAATACTCTACAAATGCAGGTCTTGAGAGTGAAAAGCTCTTGTTGGATTTATGGGATAAGGGGCCTTGAGGAGATGAAGTGATATAATTTCTTAATGATCTTGGACCCTCGCGTCTAATTTATTAGGATTATTGCAGAGGCTGTTATTGAGCAGGTACAATCACATTGGTTGTAGATACTTGTGCTTCAGACTAAAATTGAAGATTATGAATACTTATTAATGAATGGATCTCGTAGACACTTAATTGACTCTAACTGATCTAATAGATTGGAAGGACTATTAAGAAACTACATTTTGTTATTGAGTAGTGGTGTTTACCTACAAGGTTTAGGACTAAATTTTCTAGTATATAAGACTACTGTACTTAATGTTAAGAAGTGTTTAATTGCTGTTAATTCGTGAATGCGTTCTGCTGTTTTAGGTTGGGCTATGCATCTTAGGACATCCTAGATTATCCAACATTATATGATCCCTTTTATCTTAAAGGTGAATAATTCATCATCGAAAAGGTTAAATAAATTTATTGATAAAATAAATTTCATCTCCCACTAGATTTATAATTAAATATTCAGTTTTTTCAAGGGAACTTATACAGCATCACAAAAATTTAAATTTCATTTAAAAATGGTAAAATATGCTAAAATATATATACTAAATATAAAATTATGCAACAAAATTCTTAATTTAATCCAAAAATTTCACAGATTATCAAGCCTTAGTTCGAGAGCTGAACAATTTTTCCATCTCATTATCTGCTTTCGTATCGATAACAAGAAAGATTGAATATATAAACTAGAATTTAAATAATCTTTTTCATTCTAAAGAGCAATATCTAAAATAATTAAGATGGTCTTATTACATTATATTATCAGACTCAAATTATTAAAATTTAGTGGAGTTTTAGTTAAAATTTAATCAAAATATTTAGTATTCTAGAAAATGCTATTTATATATGATTCTATATTATATGCGAATGGATTTTAAAAATAGAGAGAATAATAATTCTATGTTCTTTTAGAAGGAATGGTTTTGTTAGAAATATCGAGGATCCTATTGTTAATATTAAAATTAAATTTTATATCTAATTTATAAAAACAATGGCAGCTTAGCCAACTCCAAGAATCATAAAAGAGACTCAGAATTTAGCAAAAGACAAGGTTTAAGGCATTGAAGTAACTCCTGACCCTGGAAATTTCAAACATTTTTTTGTAATAATTTCTGGACCTCCCAATACTCCATATGAAGGAGGGGTTTTTGATGTTGAATTACTATTGCCAGATGATTATCCAATGGTATACTAATTGAGTTTAATTTAGTCTCCTCCAAAATGTGTATTCAATACAAAGATTTATCATCCAAATATTGACAATTTAGGAAGAATTTGTTTAGATGTGTTAAAAGACAAATGGTCTCCTGCATTATAAATCAGATCAATTTTACTTTCAATATAGGTGCTACTGAGCTCCCCTAATCCTGTATTATAATATTCTATAACCCAAGGATGATCCATTAAACAATGATGCAGCCAATTTGTGGAAAACAAATGAAGCCTAAGCACTAATGAAGGCCAGAGATTTCACATTGAAATATGCAAAAAAACATTGATATGATTGATTTGTTGGAATATATATATAAATATTTGATTTTCTTTAATATAATTCAATTCAATACAAAATAATTAAAAAATTAAAATTATATAATATTACTAACATATATAATTCAATAATATAAGTTAATTATTGGAGGAATTTCATTCATTATTAAATTTATTGAATATGAATCATTAACATTTCGTCCAAACAGCCCTCACCAGATTTAAAATGGCTGCTATAAATGAGAGGGTAAATTCGGATCAAGTAGTTACTATTTTGCAAAGTTTAAATTATACTCAGTCATAGATTAATTCAATTGTTTCACAAATCACCTCCGAAATAGGTAACACCATTAACTAAATAGACATTAATTAGTTTCAATAATTGCTCTAACCCATAGAATAAGAAATCCCAATATAAAAGCTCACATCCGAATAAATTTATGCGATATATGCAGATTTTCGATAAGCCTTACATTTTTAGAACATAGAAAAGGTTAGGCAAATATTAAGTATGCGCATTGTTTTATTAAACTCAGCTACGTATCAAAAGGATATTGATCTAGTGAATCGAATTGATCCATAGACTCGATAAATTTCAACATTTATTGCTATAGTAGGTTCAGATGAAGATATTTCATTGCAAATATTGAAGTACTTGTGTGAACTAGGAGCAAACATAAACTATAAAGACAACCTAAAATAATCCATCCTTTTTTATATTTGCAGAGATGGAAGGACAAAACTATTTGATTTTTTAGTATCATAAGGAATCAACATTTCTGATACTGATTCCTATGGATAGACTCCATTATTTTATGCTTCACGAGAAAATAGAATTGACATTATTTAAAGGTAATCATTGCAAACAAACATTTAGATTTATTAAATTGGGCAGTGATGTAGCACATCTGGATACTTTATCATGTTAGACAGCCTTGTTTTATGCAGCAAGTAAAGGACATTACGAGGCTTGTAGATTATTGATAGAGGTAAAAATAATTATAAAATTTAGGCGGGATGTCCTGTTAATCATCAAGATAATAAAAAGAAAACAGCTCTTTATTTTGCTAAACAATCCTAGAAGAAAGAAGTCGTAGATCTCATTACTGCTAGTATGCAAAAGCAAAAGGAGGATGTTGTTCATCAAAAAAAGGAGGAGAGTGTTAAAGGGGGGGAATAAAAATAGAATAAGAAAAAGTAAAAGGAAGTTCCGAAGTAGTAATATAAAATTCTGCATACTGACGACAAAGGATAATAAAGAGAATTAACAAATGGAGGTTTTTAATAATTTTCAATTTAATATCCTGATGTAGCATCACTTATTTTAAATGCAGATGAATTCATTGATGAAAATATGATAAATTAATTCAAAGAAGACGAAGCTTGGGAAAAGTAGGCCAAAAAAATAATAGGTATTTTTAGTATTTATGAATTAAAGCTTAAATTTGGAAAGCTAAAGGGGCCTACTTATTCCGTGAGCCAGTGGATCAGTAGAAATTTAATATTACAGATTACTTTGATATTATAAAAAAACCAATGGATTTTGGAACTATTAAAGTACAAATATATTACGATCAAATAGAATAAATTAAATGTGAATGCATATAAAACCTTGAGAGAATTTCATGCAGACATGATGTTAGTTTTTGATAATTGTGGGATTTATAATGGAACTTAAAATGCTATAGGATAAATCGGAGTAAATATTAGAAATGAGTACTTGAGTCTAATTGAATAGAATGGATTAAATAAATATTTGTGAATTATTTTTACATGTTTGAGTGTCAATAATTTTAAAAAAGAAATTATAAAAAATAAAGTAACATTGTCAATATTTCAAGCAGAGACCTTTTATTTTCTTTTTTCGCAGATCAAATCAAATAGTGATTTGCATTAATAGGAACCTGGCCCAGGAATTTATTCATTTAAAGTTTGCTTTGGTCTGTCTCCTATACCGAAGGATATCTGATTAAATCGTTAATTCAAAGTTATAGCTTCTTTTGGGTTGTATGTAACAAAGGATGCTTATTACTAAGGTAAAACTTATTTATCACTAAAGATTGTTATATAAGCATACATTATTTTTTCATACATACTAAATTATGGGGTTTTTGATAGCAGCTTATACTAGTATTACCCTGGTCCAGGCACCTCCTAGCGATGTTTCTTGACAAACCTATTTCCGAATGAAAATGATTTTGTATTTTAGGAAATCTTAAGTTAATAGTCTCCAGGCGCTGGATTTAATTTATCTCTTTTCTCCATGTCCAAAGGTTTAATCAGCTTTGTACCAAATCCAAAGGAAGTTGATCTTTTTGTTTTAGTATCACACAATAAGAGCATCTTAGGAGATGATTCTCTAGAAACAGAAGGAAATCGTTTGGCTTTTGGAAAAGAATGTTTTTCATGTGTTTATAATAAAATGCTTGTGCTTAATTGATTAGGTTCACTGAATTAGCCGTTAATTCTTTAATTCTTACTTTTTAATTTCTATTAAGACAAAACTCGATTACGAACTTTGGCAGTATTCATAAAATGTATAATAATTAATTTTAATAGTAATTTGTAAATGTATTATACATAAACCTTAAATTATTTCATAAGAATTCACTATATACAAAATGTTTACTTAATATTAAATATAAAACTCAACTAATATATTTATCTGCTTATTATTCTAATACTTTAGCACTTTATTTTGCATGTAAGAAAAGTTCATGAACTTCCGATATATCCTATATGGCAATTTCCTCTCTTCCAGAAGTTTAAGCTAAAATATTGGCAGGTGTTAGCAGAAGAATAGCAAATCTAAGTCAATATAATTATTGAATACCTTAAAGAGGATTGATTACCAATGTTACTCAACTCTTATAAAGCTTCTTCTGTTATCTTAAGTCCTTCTGTTTAAGCTCTGATAGCCAAAATTTTAATGATGTCTTCTAAGTTATATGGAGTTGTTCTTATGATCAATAATCTAAGTATACTAAAACATTAAAATACCTATCCAAGAGATCGACTGGTAATCCATGAGGACTATTGATATCAGTACCTCTAATTTAAGAGTAACCTCTATTAGTAGCCAATATGACAATAGGAGCTAGAGTAGATTCTAAGGCTCTATTTAAAAATGTAAATGCTTCTATATCAAGCATATGGCATTCATCAATAAATAATACTCCTGGTACTAATTCTGCAACTCCTTAGTCAATGTATTTGCTGACTACTTTATTGATTTCTCCTCTTAATTTGTCTGTGATATCTGTTTTCTTCTTTTTATTCAATTAATTCATAAGAGAAACGAAATCATGACCTCCTTAAGGTTTTGCATTAGCCACATCCAAGTCATGTAGAGTAACATCTTGGACAATCTCCTTCTTTTTATGAACATCACCCTTAGGCAATGGAACATATTCTTCTGCTTCTAAATCATATTCGCTATTGTAAACATCACATCTTCCTACTCTCTTGACATTTCCACTATTAGCTTCAATATAAATGACATCGCCAATAGTAACTTTCTCTCTAGTTAAATTTTCATGAATAGATGGGTCTAATTTTAGTGTTTTAGATCCTTTAGATGTTTTCAATGTAATTACTACTGCTGATACTACTTTTCCATATCTAATTTATTGATTATATCCATACCCTGTTTGATCATCCTTTTCTTCTGTTTTTAATTCAATAACTTCTCCTTCCCAAACTTCTTTGGTTTCCTTAATTCTTAGTCCAATAGCTCTTCTGAAATTCTCCATAAGCACTTCTGTCTTTTTAACTTCAGCTGAATAAACTTCAGACCCAACCATTGGATAAAATGGTACTTTAGATCCCAATTCTTAGGCTACCGCCAATGCTATGGCTGTTTTTCCAGTGCCTGGTGGTCCTGCCATTAATAATGCTCTTCCTGCGAGTTTTTTTGATTTAACCAAATCTACAAATATTCCTGCTGCCTTTTCATAATTTATTTGCTTTAAATACCTCTCTTGCTATTTATTATCCAACCATGCCAGATGCATTTTCTAATGCAGTTCCATCTTCTTACAAACCCAATCCTTTGATATGACTGTGATGTGCAATTCTCTAGGTTTTGGTTGTTGATTTCACTTCTTCTATCTAAAATAGTAATGAATTATACTTTCATCATGTTTATAAAAATTAATTTATTTATTAATTAATCACTCATCACTAATCAAATCTATAATATCCTAGATGTGCATTTAATTTGATATGAAAACATGTTTAAATGCTTATTAATCAAAATAAGTATCATTTTCATCACTTATTACTTTCGACAATTTAAAGTTTTAGATCAACTCTTAATAAATCGGTTTAACTGTTGGATGTTTCTCTTTAAATTACTCACAAAGTATCCTATTGATATTAATAAATTCTCTATTTGTAACTTTTTGTTATTTCTCCGGATCATAAAACTATTAGCATTATTTAAGTTACTTACATTCAACACACTGTCTATCATTTCCTTCAAATTTGCTTTCTTGTGAATGAAGACTCGTATGAAATGGCAAAATTATTTGTAAGAGACCTTCTCATCATTATTCTGAGGACTCAAATCAAAACTCAATAAAAGTCTATCCCCTATTATTGGTTTCTTTAAACATAAGAAACTCTCTCTTAAACAGAATGTTGTCATTCCTTTGGTTTTGTAGAGATGCAAAATTGAATTAATTTTTGGACTGCTCTATCAATAATAATACTTTACTCAAATTTATAAAATTTCATTGGTTATGGCAGTTCAGTAACTTATGAAGAAGTGTCCTATGACTGAAATTGAATCATAGATCTTTTGAATGATTCCACACTATTGTTAACTTAATTCTTTTGAAAAGTGAATTTTGGGATCAATTCGCATTTTGAGCATTATGGCTATTCTTAGCCAATTGATTGTCTTGTCCATCTATTCAAAATGTATGATTATGATGGGAATTTGATTTACAGTGGATGTGCCGATCCTTCCACAATATACCTCTGTATATCTTATTTTAGATTGTCCTCCATGGACTTCATTTTAATTAATGTTTCATCAGATTGCTCATTATCCAATTGAAGTTTAGCGATATATATAGTTTCTAAACAACTCGATGGTCCTTATGGTTTCCTTGCCTTAATGAGATGATCCGAAGTATAATTGCTCCTTTTGATCTGAAGACTAAGGTCATGAAATCAAGAGATACTTATTCACATTCAATTTCTTATGCAATAAACTTTTATCCCAAATTCCAATAATTTTCCCTAATTTGTAGGTTCCTTCTAAATACTCCTCCACATTTATTTATCCAGGAGGTCTCTAATATTTGTAGTTCTTGTAGGGTAAATTGAATAAGTTATAATATTCAGGAGGTCTTTCGGGGATATCTGTTTGAGTCTTGGGTCTATCTTACAAAGTTTGAAGAACTTTCTTCTCCATTACTTAATTTGCACTTTATTTTTTTAAGGGAGCAGTTTCAGATTTCCTGAATTTACAATCGGAACTTGATGGGAATCTCTGCCTTGTTTTTAATATTCTCCTGAAGTGATTATATTCTCCAGGCTAATTAGGGTGCAATCAATAAGTTACTGTTTTACTTTGTCTATTTGAATTCACCGTGCTTGGAGTTTACACTATTGCAATCATTCAAGTTAATAATTATATTATCTCAACAATATTAAGTTTGACATAATTTGTATAAATTTAATTATGAATATTGTAAAGACCATTAGATAAGCATTCTAATTCTCAAGAGTCAGATACTTTGTCTAACAGAAGGACCCAAGAATTAATGCCGATTATCTTGACTCTAAAGAAACCAAAATACCCAATGTTTTTACAAACCCAGAAAATATTAATGAAGATGCAGAATATAGCAAAGTTACACTCTAAGGGAAAGAAGTCAAATCTTAAGAAAAGTAAATTAGAATTATCATTCTCTAGATTAAGAATCAAAGCAAAACTTAAAAATTGTAAAGAAATTAATGGAGTAATTGCATATATTTGATGCTGATTATATATACAAAATCATTAAACAAACCCTTCATTTATCAATATCGTATCACAAATTCTTTTCATATTCTTAATTGCATTAATTTAAAGGCATCAGAATTTCAGTACTAATAGCAAGCTAATTTTATTATTCTGCATGATCTCAAAAGATTTATTATATCTTCGTTTCTTCTTTATTTACTCCAATTTTATCAGATTCTTCATAAATATGTACAAAATAATATTATACCATATCCTTACTGTACTTTTAATCGATCTTATTAAGTCCTTTATACTTGTCCTAATCTTGTTTTTGATTCTAAAGTTGAATTAATATGAATAAGTAATGGGATAGTAATTTATCTAGTAATGTCTGTGAATTTAGGTATAGATAATAAATAAAATGAAGAAATTATTTGATTAATTTAAAATAAAAAATGCAATAAAATAGTTATAAGGCGAATGCAGGAATTGGTGTCACTTTTAATACTAATTTGCCGACATCTTAAGTTTTGAAATAGATTGCACAAAATAAAGATTAGACATAGTAAAATAAATAAGCGTAGGATTAAGAATTAGCTTTGATAGCATAATAGACAGATCATCTAAGAAAAAGAATCTCAAACATTTTTGATTTACCTATTAAGCTCAAGAAAACATAAAGTAATTAGCAATACTTAAGATAGACTTTATGATTGAGGATATTGGATTAAAGGTGGATTACCTCTTCAAAAAATCTCATCTAAATTAAGGCAATGTTGACTATTTGAGTGATCACATTAAAAGGTTGGGAGACAGGATCAATCAAGAGATGAAGAAAAAATAAGAGTAATATCATTCTAGCATTAAAATTGATAATTTTCGAAATTTTTCGTAAATTTAACAAGAGTTCTAAAAAAATAAATAAGTAAATACTTCAAGTAATCAAATTAGATATATAATTCCTTTTACAAAACCGAACTGAAGACAACAGTTAGACAGAAGGAAAGGTTGGTAGATATACTCACTTCTTCAAACAGAACTGAAAAATTAGTGTCACATGAAATTTAGCTAAATTAATATAATGAAGCAATTCTGGAAAAATTATTTATAGATAATCATTTATATTAAGTGCTTTCAAATTTCATCAAAAACAAGAATGATCTATCAATATATGAGAAGCTGTTTAGAACACTGGAGCTTTTCGAAACAAATCATAATGTGGAGATGAGATTATTAGCAGATTAATTTAAGAATATATCAAATACATTGAATTAATAACAAAAATGGTATCGAATTTCAATTACATTATAGTGAGAAGATAATTCGCAATACAGTAGCCCATTTAGAGAGTGAAATGCTTAAATAAGTAGGTCATTTGGACTTATAGAATTTGAATAGAAAATTCAAAGAGTTTTACCTTCCTTATTTACAAACCACTGAATTGTATTAAATAGGGCAGTTTTTTCCGAGTGGAATCCTCTTTTTATTGATGAGATGCGGAAAAGCTAATGAGGCTTAAAAGATCCTTTCTGGGTTGATATCAAGTGATTAAAGGATTGCTTAATAATTCTTAAGTTTTTTCGATTTACAGAAGTAAGAAATTCTGAATCAAAATGATGTTGAGGAGAAATCAAGACAACAATGTTGTGATATATTGTTGCAATAATGTTATTGGTTATTATTAGATGTGAGTGATGCTTACGATGTATTTGAATAAACCTAATTTCAAAAAGATAGGGACTTTTACATTTGGTTAACATTGAAGACCACTCATTGTTCTGATTAATTTGTGGTCTATGAAAGATCTGAACAAGAATCAAAAAAGGCTTTCTTTCATTGGAAACTTATAGATCTTCATGAAACCATACCACAATCTACAGTAAGTCTAAGAATCAATATTATTTTGTAAAGATATGACTACATTTTGAGTGAATTATATAAGTACTAAAATCAATGTCTTTCATAGGTAGAATATTTTATATTAGATACAGTTCTTTCAGATTTGCATATGAAAACATAGCAAAATGCTTAGGCTGAAAAGCAAAAAAAGTTTGTTATTGATAACCTTGTTAATTTCACATAAAATAAGCATCCTCTTATTTCTTGTTTAATAATGAGTGTTTGTTCCTATAATATTGAAGCCATTGCTAACTTATTATAGAAGTCTAATCATGTTACGTAGGTTCTGAATGAAAAAAATGTCAGAGATAACCTCGAAATCATCTTTGGAAAAGAAGAATTACTAAACATTACCAATGAAATGATCAATTTGTTCTTTGAAAAGAATCTACATAATTCATTAAAAGAATTTTAATAGCAATTGGAAAAATCATACACTATGAATTAGATTAATGATTGTCACACAATCCTGATCTTGAAGTTAGATGAAATGAGTGTCTATTTGAAGTAATTATTAAATTAAAATTCTGAAATCCTTTTAGAAACAGCAATTTACCTATATCATGAAACATAACTAGTATTTATCCTAAGTTGTTTGATTGTCAACTAATACTGCATAATTAGATTAGGGTCTTAAATTGAAAAGAGACAATTGCAAGCAAAGAATCTTGAAAACCTACATTCAAAAATTAAGAGTTGTGCAAAAGAATCCAAATTATTTAAATATTTCTATCGATTCCAATTGATCGAAATATTTTAATAAGCCTATTTGTCTATGCGATAGGAATCAATCAATCTAAATGAAATTAATCAAACTCTATTTAATATGAATATTAAGGAGTTAACCAAAAGTTTGATTGAGAATAAGCAAGTTCATTTGATAAAGATCGTCTTTTGGCAGATATTACTATTGATTGACTAAAAGAAATGCAATGACAAATCTCACTTCATGTAATTATTGTTAGTTATCAATAGTGAAAAAATAAAAGAATTGAATGAAGCATTGCTGAAATTCCCAGAAAGCCAGGGAATTAAGATTTGCAGGGAAGATGTTCAATTTTCATAAATTATTGTCGATATTTTGAATTCTTATTCAAAGGTGTTAAAGATGTATTGAGCTCTGTCCTTCTGTGATTAAATTATTATAAATTAATTTTTTGATTTTAATTATATTAGATTAAGTTAGCAATCTATTGTAATTTATTAAATTTATAATTATTATACGAGAGAACGAGAGAATGTTATCGAAAAGGAAGGTTTCATCTTAAAATCAAGAAGAATCATCTAACTCTATAGAATAATTATGCAATAAAATTCGAAAGGTGGTAGTTAGCGAAGTTGGTGAAAAATATATCTAAAATCATTCCGATAAAGGAGTTAAGAAAAAAAGAACTAAGCGCAAATCTAAACGTTAAGATGAATAATAACTCATTGAATTAATCCAGAATGATCCCGTAGAAGTAGAAGAATAGCTTTCTTCAATTCAAGCGATATCTGAATCCCAATCATGGGTATTTGAAGAACTATTTGAGGAAATAAATAAGCTCAATACCCATTAAGAGTTTGAATGAAGTTCTTTAATTAATTATGATTAAATATATATTCTAAAATATGGTGTTGTACATAGATATGCACTATACAAAAATTAAATTGGCTTACCTTCTAAGAGAACTCAACTATAAGTGGAGGCAGAATCTTGATTGGATTCTTGCCCTTATAAAATGTAGGACCACTTTGAATATGAGATAACATCCAAATTTGATTTAAATTTAATCTGATAACTCATAAATCGTCTTAAAATTTAAAAATTACAGTGAAATACTATTTATTATAGAATTTTGTTAATTGATATCTTTTGATATTGAATTTTAGAATGAGTTCGTTAGTTTTAATAGTATTTAAAATAAGATGACAAAATTATTAGGCTTATGATTAAGAACATTGATAAATTACTACATCATTAAAATTGAAACAAGTAAAAAATGAATAATAGCTATAAATTTAATTCGGTAACTTCTTTGTTTCAGAAATATCAAGATAAATTTGGCACAGATCGCGCTAGTTATTTCAATTGCTAGATCATGCATAAATCAATGTAAATAGTAAAATGAATTGAGATGTATTTTATTTAAATACATTTTCTTTGATTATATCTGTTGACTAATGGGTTATTAGAGAAATCGCTGAGTTTGAAATTTATTGTGCAGAATTGAACATTTTTCATTTAGTTTAAATTTCAAATATATTGTAAGTTTTCAATATATAGTATTATAATCTTGCATTAATTAAATGATATTAATTTAATTTCAAATAAAAAATACATGTCAAGTGAAGAGGAAGTACTATTATCTAGTTTATTCTTTTAGAAAATGAAATAATTGTAAGCCCTTCCAATTAGAAATTACTTGGATCAAACTGTAGTGCCACTTCTACTACAGGCCATGACTGAAGTAGCAAAAGTGAGGTGAGTTTTTCTTAAATATTAAGACCTCCTAATCCCATTGAATTTATAGCTAACTATTTGCTCTAGAATAACCCAGAAAAAGCTCAAGCAAGGTAATAATGAGTGATATTGAACTGAAACTGATTTTATATAAACAAAATAAATAAATACTAAGATTCTAATTATAAAGACTATTTCTCAGACCTTTAGATAATTTGCAGTAATTCATACATTTATTATTATTTCATTCATGATATTGATCAGATTGGTATCAATATTTAACTTAAATGTTTATAAATATTTAATCTTAAATGTTTATCAATGATTAGGATGCTATTACAAGAAGTAAATTGAGAATAAGTTGTAAATTAGAACATTAAATTCTTGTTGGATTTAATGAATAAATCATTTCATGGAAAAATACAATATACAATATTATATTATATTTTAAATTAATTGAAAAGTATCATTAGTATTAATCTGAATCAGGTATTGAGATGATGTTAAATCCATTATTGTTTATTAAGAGTTATTTTATATTAAATTTATATATTTAATGAAGTTTTTATTCTAAATAAAATGATGGCTGACTAGAATATGGATCGGTCTAAAAGTTCTATTAATTTAAAAGGAAATATTATTGTTATAACTTATTAATGACTTCAAACATATAAACAAAGACTAATAAGAATTCTATAATATATTAATTGATAAACCATGAGTTTATTGACTGTATTTTTGGAGGGTATATTAGTAGAAGTTAAGAATACTAAATTTATAGATACTATGGTTAAATTGAATTTTAATCTAAAAAAGGAAATTCAATACATTTTTTTAATAGCAGTTGCAAGTATAAAATGATAAGCAATCTGTGAAATGGTATCAAATGACTGAAAATCTTAGCTTACAAATTTGTGATTAATTAATGATGCAATGAAATCAAGCGCAAGTAGAAAACTTTAATAAAAATGAAGTTATAAATATATTTTATTACAGATTAATGGATGATAATAATAATGATACAATGAAAATAATGCATTATTTTAAAAGATAGAAATTACATATTGGATAAGCAAAGTTATTAATATGTACTTTAACATAAAAGAGATGATCTTAAAACTTCATGGAATTAACAGCAATCTCATTATGAAATTGTTATGATAGAAATAGAAAAGAAGTAATAAAATGTATAATTAGAGAAACAATAATGAAGATAATTTATCATCGAAAAATCAAATTCATGTTTATTAGTTTAGCAATTTATTATTTTTTATTATACACTGGTTGTTTAGAGATAAGCAATACAAAATGGATGATACATAGCAATATAAGAAAATTAAAGAATCGCTGTTATTAATGAATTTTTTATAAAGTAAAGAGAGATATTAGAAATCAGAAAAAATAGGTAAAGCAACCTATGGCTTGGTTTATATGGCCAAAAATAATCAAACTGGGGAAATAGTGGTATTAAAGAAAATAAGATTGGATCATAAAGATGAAGTAGTTCCATTAACTTCCATTAGAGAGATTTCATTATTGAAAGAAGTAAGAATATTTAGAAATACTAGGTCTAAATCCAAATATTGTTCTTCTAAAAGATGTAGTTTATGATGAATCAAGAATTATACTTATCTTTGTCTTTGTGGATTTAGATTTAAAAAAGTGCATGGAAAATGTAACTTAGTTAGTTAGATAAAGTCTAAGTGAAGAAGTTTATTCACTAGATTTTATAAGCACTAAATAATTGCCACTAGAACAGAGTTATTCTTAGAGATTTAAAGCCTTAAAATATTTTGATAGACTTAAAATAGTGAAACACTCAAATAACAGAATTTGGATTGGCAAGAGCATTCAGTATATATCATGAAGTCATTACCTTATGGTACAAAGCCTCAGAAATTTACTGGGACAGAAACAATACTCAACTCCTCCAGTGGATATATGGTCTTTTGGTTGTATATTTGCTGACATGGCTCAGAAATGACCACTATTTTGTGGAGATTTCGAGATTGATTAGTTATTCAAGATATTTAAGATGATGGGAATTACAAAGAAGTCTACATGGACAGGAGTTAGTATTCAAGAGTAGTTTCCAGGATGGCCAACTCATAACAAATCCTGCTGTTTCTTTGTGAAAGGATATTACAAATTTATGTCCATTAGGATTAGATCTACTTGCTAAGATGATTGTTTATGATCCTTATGCAAGAATCAAAGCAAAAGAGGCTTTGAAGCATTCCTATTTTGACGATTTAAATAACTGATATGAAATTTTATTATATATATATTAATGAGTAAATTATCGTAGGTTTTGAAATCTCACACAGATGTCAACGGTGTCACCCTTTTTGATCACATTAACAGCTTCATTAATGAAGTCTTGTAAAGCAATCACAAGGATATGAACTCAATCGAACTCTTATCGGATTTCACAAAAAAAAATAGATTTCTTTTCAAAAAATTGTCATCTGAAAGTGAAGTAAATAATCTTAAAGACAAAATCCCTGAATTTGCGGATTGGGTAAAGAGGGTTTCACAATTACTGAAAGTATAATGGCTATTAAATTGTAGGGTCAAACAGTTGCATAAATGCCTACTATTTTATAAGACTTTGTTTCATCAGCCAGATTGTTAGAAGCTGCAGGTTATGGTTTTGGAGAGGAAGAAACCTACTAGATCCAATTAAGCATTAAGTAATTAAGTGTAAATATCAATATCTATTTTCAGATTGAAACTAATGCAACTGAGATGACATTCTTTGGAAAGATACTATGTAGGAATTCTGATTATTATGTGGCCAGAGGAGTAGTCCCTAAATTACCAACCGATTATTTAGCCCCTAATGCTGAACCCAGGGGAGATGGTGTAAATTACTATACTTTCTGGGTCACAAACGATAGTAATTAACACCTAAATCCTTAGTATTGACTGATTGGAATGAATTACCATTGGTAACACCAGACTAAGTTAAAGTGGCTAGAGAAATAAAATATGTTTGTACAGGAAATTTGAATTAAGAATTAAAAACTTATCCTCCTTTTCCTGGAAAAGAAAAACACTATTTAAAAGCCCAATTAGTAAGGATTCTACATGCTAATCTAATTGCACCAAAAGGACTTTATCAATAAAAAGATGATAATCGTAATTAATACATTTATCTATCTATCTAGCTAAGGAATTGGAATTTGTAGAAGATTTCAAAATTCCAGAATTTGCTGAGTTGTAAAATCCAGACAGTTGGGTTCATGTTCCTGCATAAATATTAAAATAAGGAAGAATAACATTATACACAGATGGATTATCTGATGATGAATAAAAGGCTTTACTAGAGGCTAATCCAGATCTTGATAGTGAAACAACAAGATTAAAGGGAATTGCTGAAGATCGTCCACTCGAACCATTTTATCAAACTAATTGGCTAATTAAAACTTTCGGAGATTAAATGATATATCCACCTAAAGACGAAAATTCTGGCAACAATGTCTATGCAACTGTCATACTTAAAAACTACACTTGGAGCGGGGCTGTTACAGTTGCCAATGTATTATTAACAACAATTTTTTTAGCAAAATCAATGGGCTTTTTTTTATGTTGGTTATGGATTCAAAGATACACAAGCAGCTTATGTGCCCATCCAAAACAATGACTTATAATTGGAACCAGAAGATAAATCAGAATTTCCTGAACCAAATCCTAAAAATCCACCCAAACCCCCTGAGCCAGAAAAAGTTGAAGGTCAAGATGGTTAAGATGGATAAGACTAGCAAGCTGATCCAGATGATTAATGATTTAAAATTATGGCAATTCAACATCAATACATTCCTGCTAATTCATCATTAGTATTTTAATTTTCTAACTCCATAATTTTTAATTCCAAGGAAAAGATGTGTAGACTATATAATAAGAATTATAATATATTATAATGCAAGAAGTTTGTTATTGTTAAGTTTACATTGTGAGAGCTAATTAATTAATTCACTAACAACTTTCAGTTTTTCAGAATCGAACGATACTGAAATGTTTTAATTAGATAGATTTTATAAGATTTACCATTCAGTATAAAATAAATTACATATAAATGATCATAACACTTCCAATGGGATGCCATGTTATCTTTCTAAGTAATCCATAACAGGAGTTGTTAGTAATGCTTAGAACATGAATTAACAAAATCTCATCTACCAACCAGCATAAAAACCAGGTATTCCCTTTTCTAAATACACTTTTTTAAATGCATTCCAAATTGATAGATGTTTTATTTAATGATTATTTTCCATTTAAAATTATGTTTTAATCATATCAAATGGTTACACAATGATGATATTGGGAATTGCAGTAAAAATAGAACAAAGGACAATCTCTTAAACTGTCAATTTTGATGATGGACGTTCCTTGAAAAAATATCTAACCCTATGATCCCAATATAAATAATTTGTCCAGGAAACAACTTATTTCAGAACCATGACTTCCATGCCAGTGAACAAATCTCTAGTAAACCCTTTGATTCCTCCATCGTGTTGCCACATATACTTGAGAACTAGGAATATTTCTGAGATCTACTACCTGATTTTGATTATTATTAAGTCATTAATTAACATTTAACTCGTTCGAATGGGCAAGTTACAAGGGACTCAAACAAAGCAATCGTTATTCCAGCCAATCCTTTATGAAGTGCAGGAGCCCACTCCTTAATCTTTGTGGGCAAGACTTCCATATAAAACTTAGGGATAAAAATCATCATAGGCCATCTAAATATGCTTGAGAATTTACCTATAGTATTATTTAAATAATTAAATGCTTATTTATGATGAGAACCCTGCGAATATTCCACGAAAGATTCCATTTCGATAGTAACTTTCAAAAAATAGCTATAATTGCTATAAATGTTTACTTGTTTGAAATTGCTATTTTAGGAAGCCTAGATCAAAGTTTTAAAGCGATCAAAGAAATGATCCATCGGTAATCCTAAGATTGCTCTTGACACTCCGATGAGTTGAGTCTCCACAATTGGTTTCAAAAGTTCTTTGCTCTTATAAATCCATTAAGTTGTTTCAGACATATTATTTAAACCATTTAATCATTATAAAATTACAGCTTATACTCAACTAAGTGCGTATTAAATTGGATAATATGGGTGGATGTTGTAAATTTAATCAAAAACATGATGCATTATTTAATTATAAATTAATGGCAAAATTTTCAAAACTTATCAATATGGCATACTTCCATATAACCAATTCATAGAGCATTCTGACATAATCATATAGAATTGATATTTGAAACTTTATGATCCTGTATAATATGATAGTTTATTCATTAAATTATATAATTCTAGAAATTAAGTTTTTCCTTATTTTTCACCAATTATAATAATACTGTGTGCAAAATGTATAAATTGCTAACAAATTGAATAGAAACATTCATCAATCTAGAGAACCCATTAATTGTTTGAGTTTCTGGATATCTGGAATCTATTTTTAGAAATTTCAATATTTATGTTCACATCATTAACTCTAATTTCTAGATTAGGTCATGAAACGCATTTCAGTTGCCAATTTTGTAAACTATAATTATTAAAAATTATGAGTAAATTATAATTTATTAAAAAATTTGATCAAACAAATGATAACTTGATTGACTAAAGGGATTTGAGATTCTGAACCATCTGGGAAATAAAATGATATAATACAGTAATCATACTTAATTTTGATATCAAAAACTATAAATTACATAAATATGATCATTGAAATTTATATAAATAAATTAATAATAAATTTAAGAGATGTCTGAGTAACAAGACCATCCAAGTGCAAAGAAAAGAATTAGAAGATGCACTAAGCATGATGAAACTCCTCGTCCTTATAAATGCGGTTGTGGGCGTGGTTACTACAGTTATCCTGCATTGTACACTCATTTGAAGTAATCCTATTCATATCTCTAAAAAGGATCAAGCATGAAGGGCAGCCTCCTGCAGGGACTCAGATACCAAGTGATAAGCATTATGGAAGTAGGGGAAGGCCTAGAGAGAAAAATTTTAAGTTCGAAGAAGAAAGCAAGCATCAAGTCTTTATCGATGAAGATAAGAGGGAAGATAATCAAAAAGACGAGAAAGCCACAATCAATTAATGAAAATAGAAGAAAGCAAAGGGCTTTTTTCTTTTATTAATAATTTATATCTAATACTTATTAATAAAACTCTTTCTATAAATGAATTGGAAACAAGTTTATGCTTTCTCAGAACACAGAACCAAAAGAAGTATTTTTTAATATTCTATGTAGTATTATCTGGAAATGCGAAGTTCAAAGAACATAAATCCAATATACATAGTCCAAGAAGTAAAACTTTCTTTAACATTCAAGATAGTCAGCATTCTCATAAGGACACCATGATTGGGCTTCAGAGGATTTCAAAAGAGATCGTAGAAAGTCTAACCAAAGCTTTAACTCCAAATTTTAAAGTTCGTTAGAATTCCCCAAAACCCATACCTCAAGAATAGGAACAGAAATAAATCCTAAAATCCAACAAGGAACCTGAAATAATAAGATAACCTTTGGAATAAATGGAAAACGTTAAGCAAAATAAAGAAATAGAAAATGTTGAGTATATTAACTTTACCAAATTGGCTGTAAAATATTCAATCAAATATGATAGAGGAAGATATCGCAACAGCCAATCAAAGAAATTAAAATTTAAAAAAATGAGTAAAAAATAACGAGATAGAGATCTCAAGATTTCCATTCAAAACAAGAAGAATGGTTAAGAAAGAAAAATGAAAAAGTATTCAAACAAAGAATTGAATAACAATGTTAACAATAAAGGAAGGAAAATCGTCTAAGCTTCTTAGAGAAATCTTAGACCGATAGATTTTAATGATTACTTAATATTTTACCTACTTCACTATTATTTCTAATAAATTATGAATTTTTTATTTCAAATAAAGAAAACTGAACAGATGTCTCTAAGATCATGTATTTGTGTATTTAATGTACTAAAACATAGAACTATATGTATCATTTTTTGATTTGTTTGACAATTTTGACTTCCTCAACCAAAAATGCTCTAATTATTCTGTTTTTTAAAGCACCAGCACTTAAAACACCACCATATGGTCGTGAAACTGTTCTTTATCTTCTTGCAAGTTGCTTAAGCTTGGTTGGTCTGATTCTTTTGAGTCCATTAAGAACAACATTCAAATTTGAGTCAGCACAGGTAGAGGCACTTGTCTTTTTATTGGGATATTGGACAACAACATTACCACCTAAATGATACACATATCAATGTACCTGGTGTCTTGACCTTTCTAATTTTATTGGATCTTGTGTTGTATGATGTTCTTCTTCTATATGTCACTCTAACACCCATAATTTAATATCTTTTATTTAATTATATGAATTTATTGTCTGAGAAAATATATATATTATAAATAACTAATTTATCTGCTTGAATTGACTAAATACAATACAATTATGAATATATAAAAATCAAAGGAGTTGATTTGCAATATCTAATAGAATAATTTACAACATTTAATGAAATAATTATACTAATATATTAATTGATGCATAAGAATTGAAAAAAATCTATCTAAATAATTAAGCTTAAGAAATCTAAAAGAGACTTAACAAGTGATAATAAATTAGTAAGCAATCCTTTTATGACAAATATCTAATAATTTAATTTTGATATAATTTACTTAACAAAAGTTAATATAAGATATTTTTTAATTTTTAGATTATAATCAGATTTGTATTCTTATCAAGATTATTGTACAATAATATCAGGTATTTCCTTTTGGAAGAGTTATAGTTCATCTTTAAGATGCTTCTATTTTAATTCTTATTAAAAAAATAGCATTTCTGAATTGGTTTTATAAAAGTTATCAATTATTCCTGATTATCAGGTGAGAACTACATCATAACTAGAAATTCAAAAGTATGATTAAGGCTATGATTGAATAATTATTGACTGATATAGGTGTTGAGAATGAAGAATAATTGGGAAATGCTTCGAAATAGGATTAAAAAATAAAAATCATAAAAAGTAGTTTGAGTAATTGTTGATTGTTGAGAATTTCTTAGTAAAGGTTGATGTTAAAAATAAACAAGGAATTGAAAGATGAAGCTTTAGAAGAATTATACAAAATAGACATAAAGATATATCTTACAGAAGGGTGGAGAAAATCCTGAAATGGAAATCAAAGAATACAAGGAGAACTTGAGTATGCTTATGCGATGTCTATTGCTGTTGAAAAGACTAAAATTAAAATTTAACAAGAGGAAGAATTTATTCAAGCTATAGGATAAAATTAATATCACATTTAAGATAACGTGTAAATTCTAATATCGTTTCAAGAGGAAGAAATTTTATCAAGTCAAGTCTAATAATAACCGATAGTAAATCGCAAGGCCTAGCAGTAAAAAAAGGTCCATTAGTTACAGATATGGTAAATAAAGAGTTAATCAATATCCTTAGACAGAATTCGTCATAGATTAAAAGAGACCTTTTGAATTAGAGTTGAAGAAGTAAGAATTAAGAAAGAGAGCAGAATTGTTGAAGAAAATAAAATAAGATACATTAAAGTGTATAGATGAAATAAATATTATATAATATCATGTATATTATTCATCTTTCAATTGTTGAGGATAATGGGAGTATAATATACATTATTAATTTAGCTAGGTATATGCTTTTATATTATTGAAACAGTTAAGGGGATTTTTTTTGAATCATTTTACATTCTGCTTTTCAATTTGAAAATTAAAATCTATATTAATTTCATTGCTAATTAATTCACTTTATATTCTAGATATGTTTTTTAGATTTAATATTATTGAAGATCAACATTGAATAATTATGAATATATTGCAACTTTTTTTTGATAAATATAACATTCATTTAAGAAAATGCTCGTATCTTTCAACATTTCTTTTTAGAATTTACTCCAATGGACCCATCATTCTTGTAAATGATTTAAAATCACAATAGTATAAAGTACAATCTGACTATAAAAATGTATAACTAAATAATTACTATTGCTATAATGGTTGCTTATCTAGGTGTGTTTTTTAATAATGCTAATTCTCCAAAATAATCACCTGATTTGTAGGCGTAAACCTTTTCTTGCTAACCATCTTTGTATGCTTCCAATTCTCCTTCAGCAATTAAGTAAATTGTATCTCCTTATTCTCCCTAAGAAATTAAAATATTATTAAAACCTATTTAATAACTTTATCTCCTCTTAGATATTTGACTTCTCTCAAAACATCACAGAACTATAATCTCTCATAAGTGTCCATTGACTACAAGAGTTCAATTTTGTTTAAGATCTATTCCATCTATTCTCTCTTTCTGATAGCTGCATCTTTCACAATATTGTTAAAAGTTGCTCTATCTAAAGCAAAAGCTATTACAGGTTAAATTGCTTTAATAGTTGCAGCACGAGGTACATTATACAATAAAGCAAGTTCACCAAAGGATTCTCCAGGCAAATACTTTTTTAAGAACTTTTCTTGAGGTTGATTGGGGAATTTCTTGGTACATTCTAATTCACCTTCGTCAATCACATACAATTCATTTCCATCATCTCCTTGACGAATGACATAATCTCCAGGTCTAAAATATTGTGAAAAATAAAAATAATTACTAAAATTTTTTCTCTTCCATTGCATCAATAACGGTATGTAGATTTTATTCATCTAATGCTTAAAATAGGAATGAATTTAAAATCTTTTTCCTAATTCTGTCAATTTAATCTTTATTTTTTTCAATGACTCTTGGTTTGAAATCCTCTTTTTTGTTAAATTACCCATAGACTTCAGCTGAAACTCCTGTTCTATTTGTTTTTTTTGTTTCTTTTTAAATAGGTAAAACCTCATCCTCTTCATCTTCTTCTTCTTCACTTTGATAATGCTATGCTTCCGAGTGTTTTGCTTTAGAGTTTGTCGATTCTTATAATCATATATTCCTTACATAATTGTTAAAGCCAATTAATACACCAACTCACAATATCATCAGGTCTAGCAAGCAGTAATTAAGCTAATAGTTAATCAAAAATTGGCTTAACATTTCTATTCATATATTCCTATATTGTGTCTTTCAATTAATTCATATGTATATTTATATAAATATATTAAATATTTAATGTGTATTTCTGAATATAAATTATAGAAAGACTTAATTATATTCAATCCAAAAGTGCGAAATAAATCAGATATCTAATGCTCTATTAACACTATTTGTTAGAGCAATATGAATATTCTAAGCATTATATGATATCTTTGATATTTGTTCTATATTTTATAATATCCATAGCCATATTAAGAAAGTCTGTTGTATATTGAAAAAATAAGTATTGATTCAGAACTTAATTTCTACTCTCTTATCCTAGTGTAAATGAAAATAATTGATATTGTATCCTAAATATTTCATCTAACTTGATTATATAAGTGTATATTCTCACATAAAAATTACAGTGATTCTTAATGTTTCTTAAAACTATTTATTTTGTTACTTTATTTCCACTAACTTTCAATCTATTACGATTATGTAATTATCCAAAAGTATTTTTTATATTTTTCATTCTAAACATACTTCAATATTCTATTCATCATGTTATTATAAAACTTGTGATAGAGATGATGAAGTTCTGCATACTCTACTATTAAATAAATGCAAATATTTCAATAATTATATTACAAATATTCTAAAACATTCAATTTCAATTTCAAATTCATCTCTTCTTATTTTATTATTGTTTCCATTTATGCTTTGAATTGTCATAATATTCAGTCTAATCTTTATTGGCAAAGGTATCTACTTCAATTTCTGACTTTAACTCTGGATTCGCCTCCACTTTTTACTTTTCAAATTCTCTTTCATCTACTATTTTCTATCTCATAAATTGATAAACTAACTTAATCTGACAAGTCAAATTCTGGATGCACTAATTTCACCTTTGATATTAAAACTGGAATATTGTTTAATAATGCATAATGGACTACTTCGCAAGCATCTTAAAGCTTTGGAGATATGTTATGCCCCAATTATGCCTCTGTAATTACTTATCTAATCCTAAACATCAGGAAGTCTCTTTATTTCCCTTAAATTATTATTCTATTCAATTGTTCAATTTTATCTACAATGTGAGGATTACTCGCATTCTACTAGTGAGTGCTAGTCCCACTAACCTTTTTGAAGAATTACCCAGCTTGGGTTAGGTTGGGTTCCTATTTGAGTTAACCCATTAATTTTTACAAAAATCCTTTCATGTAATTATATAATTGAAATTTAATATTTATTACATAATAGAAATACTCTATTAGATGGATGCATATTAGCTCTTCACTCAATAAATCAAAAATATAGAGCACAAAGAATGTTTATAGCTACTACTTAATACTTAGGTAGGAAATAACTAATTTGCGTAATTACTTCGAACACTAATATTGTATTATGATTTTTATCATAAAATTGAACTTTCATAAGTATTAATCAAAAAAGATACAAATCATTCCATTTAAATAATGAATACGTGTTTTTTGTAAAACAAATAAAGAGAGCTCACAGAAAAAAAAGTAATTGAGTTTATGAGATATCTATTTGGAATATACTATTAATCTAAACGAATTACATTTGAAGAGAAGGATTGGGATTAATTAGAAAAGTGGATTGCTGCTTTTAAAAAAATGTGGTTTACTTAAAAACCTATTCATAAGGTAATTCATAAAATTGGATCAACTGAATATTCTACATTATTGTTGCTTCCCAACCATAACATGTATTTAATATCAAATATTTAGAATTCGCTCAATTACTAATTCTCAAAATACCATGTTACTCAAAAATTCTTCTCATTGTTATTATAATGAAAATGAATACTTAATTCAAAATTTCTGGAATTAATGTTCCGATGTGATTAATCAGAGTATGTTGAAATTTACAGGAAAAATGCAATAAGAGTAATCATTTATCGCAAAAAGACCAAATGATAGTAAAATTTGGGACAAATTTCTTGGTTTCATAGATCCTGTATATCTAATCCCTAGAGGATAAGGTAAACTAAGTAATTAGGAAAGATAAATGCTATTTGAATGTGATTAATTTTTTTACACAATTCCAAGTGCTAAATTTACATATTCTGAATTTGATATTTAGAAGTAGAAGGTTCAGTCCTGTCCTGGAGACGGATCCGATTTTAGAAATATTAAACCAATTGTAGTTTCAGATGAATTTCATATTACTCCTAACTTTGCTAAGGCTCTATTTGATGGTGGATGGTTAAACCAGATTTTAGTTGATTATTTTATTAGACAATATTATCCACAATAATAACTAATTAATCATAGGGAAGCAAAATACTAAATTGTTCTCATGGATACAAGATAAGCTTAAGATATATTTTCCAGCTAGATCACTCAAGTTGACTAAATTAATTTGGAGTATGCTAATCAATTTTTTAATCCTATAAATTGTTAAGAAAATAAAAGTTTGAGATTAGTAATTTTGATAAATGTTGATAGATGTCATTTTATTTGCATTTGTATCGAAGAAGATACCATTTATATTTTAAATTCAATGAATTCTACTTGGAGTGATGAAATTGTAGGCCGATAAATAAGCAAAATATATTCATTATTCAGAGAAAAGTAACGTCAATTGAGGAACTAATCTTGTTTTATTGAATAATCTGCAAACTTCTTAGAATTGGAACCTAAATAAAAGGTAGTAAAAGTGCCTCAATAAAGAAATGCATATGATTGTTCAATTTATACTTTATTCAATTCAATGCAGTTGATTAAACATACTGATATTAGCGTTACTGAGATTAATTTCGAGGTAGGACCTAAACAGATATCCGAATTACGTTTGCAATTTCTCCATGAGTTGGTTAATAATAATGCATTTCTATCAAATTAGAAAAAATGGTATCTAAATAGTCGCTGATTAAAATATTTAAGTTTATATAAAGATATGAAGTTCAATTTAAATTAATTTAATTATTATTATTAGTTAAAAGTATTGAAAAATTAAAAAATCAGACCTCATATCAAAAGAGTATATTAGTAATAAACATTTAATCTGGATCAGCCGTGGCCTATAAACATTCTCCATAGTTTAGTAAATCTCTATTTGGACTTAAATGAGAAATCCTCACTTGATCCTTAAGTGGAACTCTACTATGATTCATCCGAGCAGCACGATATCTTTCTTCAATTATTTCTGTAAAATTTTGTTGACTGGTTAATCTTTCATTTATCATCTTAATTAAAGGCTATTTCAATAGCTTTTTATCAATCTTAGGCTAATCCTTTCTTTAAATTCGATAAGATGTGGGAGGAATCTAAAATATCAATAATATCATACAAATCCTCCCATTTTATTCTATTACTTGACTTTGTTCATATATAAGACCTCTTCCCTGTCATTTGAATTTTGAAGGACTGAAATAAACAAATCTTAAGGATTGATTCTTAATAGATCGTTCGAATGAGAATCCTACTTAGCTTATCTGGGAGTAGAAATTTCAAATTCAAATTAGGAAGTAATGAATAATTTTTAAAAACTTGCTTCTGGAGTAACATGAGATAAAAATCTATGTGGCTATTTAATAACATTCATATTTTTTAAATAGTAATTAGTAATTTCAATTCCGCAATAATATTAAAGAGCATTATTAATAGTTTATTAATTCTGTGTTTAACTTATAAATGTGAATGGCAGGAAAGTAGCTTTGCTTACTAAATTCTGATCAATATGTTGGATTCCTTTAGGAAGTTTTTTTAAATATTATCCAATATTTTAAGTAGATATCTGATAATGATTAGAATTTTCAGGCTCTGATCTCCCCCAAATAGCTCTGCAATGATAAAACTAAGCTTTCTCTAAATTTGCTTGTAGATAGGCTTCTTACCCAAGTTTGTCAAAGCATACAACCTCTAAATACTTATCTTTAAAATGCCAAGAATATTGCAGTAATTTCTTCAATATTTTGACAGCAGTCTCATGCATTTTTAAATTATGCGCTATATTACTTAGTTTAAGCAACACTTTTAACCTAAATGATTTCTAGACTTCTTCAACATCATTACATATGTCACATAAATGCAGCTAAAATAATCATTGTAATTACTAATTATGTATAGGTTTAGATGGCTGATGAATAATATGTAAATTTTAAATAGGTTTCAGCCACTAGTATGTAGGCATTAAGTAATCCTAAAATGTTGTCTCTTACAACGTGTAAAATCATAACATCTACAACTGCATCGATTGCCTTATCAAGTTCTTTATTTTTGAAAGCTGTTGAGTACTGCTGTTATAACTGTTACAATATTGCTGGGTATTTGCTGTTTCTTCTTTAAAATTACGTTGAACTAATAGATTTGTTATGATGGGCTCTACTAGTGGTCAGTAAATCGCTATTCATTTAAGTTTCAGTTTCATGAGTTTTCAAGGAATCCAGATTTAGTTTGAGTAGTTTTTTCTTAAATGATTCAGAATGAGAGACTCCTCTCTTAGGCGTATTTGGTTAATAAATTTTGTTTTAAAGCATATATATCAAATATATTAAATAACATTTTCATATACATCATTATAATTTAGAAAAAGTTCATTATTACAGTTTAAATGAAACTACATTTAAAATGGTATTCTACAAATTACCTAATCTAACTAAATTTTTCACTTTCCTCTATAGTTAATCCCCATTATCAATAATAGGAGTGTCATATTTTGATTTATATTATTTTTATCGTAATTTACTTTCATGATACAACTCATTGAGTCTGAATTCAGTGATGCTCTTATAAGAATCTCCTTAGCTTTCATGAGAGATATCGTTTTCCCTTGATAATTGAGGTCTTTGAACTTTTCTGGAAGTTAATTTAGTTTTTGAGATTCTAGGTTAGGATCTACAAGTTTGACTTCCATTTTCAAAAAAATCCTTTAATACTTAAGGGTTGGATTAATTAATGCTAAATTTATCAGCTGCCTCTATGAACTTATTTCTGATGTTCAATTTGGAAACTTCAGATTCAGATCTATACATTTTCACACTCGGTTTTTACTGATTTCTAATTTGTTCAGGCAAATCTCTATTAAAAACATGGTATTTAATTTAATCTTCGATACTATCTCACTTATAAATATACTTTTAAATGTGATTGTAGTACTCTTAGCACTGCTTCTCAGGTTTTCTTTTGACTTCTGTTTGCTTGAGCACTGTGTTTCTTAATTTTTAGAATAACGAAATCGGTTGAGCTTGCACTTTGATTTCTTATTAGCTTTATTGCTATTTCGACTACTGATCTAGATTTCTGTGTACATAATCAAAAAACCATTTTTTCTTTTGAAACACGTTCATCATTCTCCATGCATCTTCATCTGTTATATCTTTTTTTAGTAATAATTCTTTTTCTTCTACATTCAAGCGTTCCCCACTTAATTTTTCGCATCGTTTTATTAATTATTCTTCCTTACCACTAGATGTGCTCCTTTATGAAAATTTTCTAACTGGTGCTCTGAATCTTGATTGCTATATTGGTTAAATGAGTTCTTTAGTGCTGGATGTCAATTACATTAAGGTTTCTTTCCGTTATAATTTAGGTGGATGCGAGGGTTTTGGATTCTATGCAATTATAACTGATTATTTTCTTTGTTGTTAAAATCTTTCAACTAAACTAAATATTTGATCTGCTTAATTTTTTTTAATTGATTTATGTCTTGTTTATTATCGCCTGGGTGCAATTCTTGGAACATTATCAATATCATTATGATCCATTTTTAACATTTATTTAGCACTAATTGATCCCTTTAGGAAGAGGTCAAAAATTTTATTATTAGGCATAGTGACAATATCTAATCCCAGAGGTGGAGGCACGAATGTTGATTTGGTTGTCGAGGCGAATTCCACTGTTTTTGGAGTTGAATTATGAGAATGAAGTTTATCAAATTTCATAATATAAATTAACATCAAATTATACAATTCAATTTCAATATGACACCCATTATATCAATAATCATGAAACTTAGTTAGATAAACAGATTAACCTTATGTAAAATGCGCGAATTTTATATAAAAGGTTTTGTGAATTGGAATTATAATTATTATTAATTAATATATGTCTTTAATCTTATATTTTCCATGATGGAAGAATTATATTAATGTTTTGACTTAAATAAATGTAAAAGAATTGTCAATATTTTTATTTCAAAACCAGAGCCATAATTAGATCTTTTTTATTTAATAGGGAGAAATTTATTAATAGCAATTTATTATTGTAATCTGCCTAGTAATTTTGCATATTAATTTAAATAGTGCTTAACAGAAGAACTAAAATTCTTAGTTATCATAGGTGAAATAAAACGATACAAATCTCTTCAAATTAAGAACAATTCAATTTAAATATATTATTCCAGTAAGAATATTAAATTGGAAAGAATTTATAAAGGAATATTTTCAATGCTCCTACGTTTTTCTAACATTCTCAATGAAGTTAATTGTGATTGCAAAATGGAATTCTGAATTTACTCAATAAAGATTGATTATATAAATTTCCAAAATACGAATAATGTATTGTTAAATATATTAAGTGTAAAAATAAATAATGTCATTATCTTAAAGAATTACTGTGACATAAAAGGGAAGGGAACTTTAGGAATAACTTAGAGAATAAAACAGGCTACCCTAAAAACCAGCTTTAGTCAAAGATAGTTAAGGTAAAGCAATTATAATGAATTGATAGATAGTTTAGCTCATTTTTTTGATAAAGAACTTAAAGCCCAAGATTAACTTAATAGTTATGCTTCATTAATACAAAATAGATTGAAGTCTCCAGAATAAATCATAGAATTTCTTGAAACCAAATTTTAGAAACAACCTTTATTTGTTTAAAAGGAGATGTAAAAAGTTGGATAAAGAATATATCACTACGGAAATAGAGATATTCAATCCTAAGCAGTGTTGCCTTAGTTAGATTTCAAGTAAAAGTAATATATGAAAAACAAATATGCAAATTACAGCGAAAATATCTCATCCAGATAATCAAGTACGAAAATAATTTAAATGTTAGGACATAAATTTGAAGAAGGATTAACTAAAAAAGTGAATTTCATGTTATTTTAGGAAGGAAAGATCGAGAGAATGATTACTAAGTATGAAAAATTCAATGAAAAAGCTAAATTAATCCCTTAATATAAAAAGGATGATAAAAAAGGAGAAGATTTTATGAAGTAATTGCTATAAAGAATGGATGCTGGCCAAGAAACTAGAGTTGAATCTCTTTAAGAAATAAGATAGTAACATTAAGCAGAATTAAGTTTACTGGAGTATCAAAATTTGTAGAAAGAAAGATTAAGATAAACGATGTCAGATTTGCATAAATCAAAATATGGTAGATATTGGAATAAATTAAAATTGTCACCCAAAACAGATAAATGAGAACATTGTTTTCGTGAAAATTATGACTTATAAATGATTATTTTATCTCTACTATCAAATGTTTGGAATCATTAACTCATTGACTTTCTCAGCTCCTTATATGAATTTTCCAATATGTTATTCTAATAACACTTTACTGCCTTAAATTTCTTGAGCTACTTGCTTGATATTCGGTTACAATTGATGCAATAACACTTGTTGATCCTCAACATATTTCAGCTATGAAACCCAAAAGTCCTATTAAATTTTATTCAATAAATACATGAGTTCTTTAATAACTTTCTAATTCAACCTTTCTTCCTGCAAATTCCTTATCAATCCTTTCAAATTCAACTGCTGATTAGTCCTTCTTTTTTTAATTTTCAATACCTGACACTGCAAAGTGAATCTATTTTAATTGTCTTTATAAATACCCAATCAGCAATATCTAAGAATGCTTTTGTGTATTAGGGATCTTAAAACACTTTTTAGAATTGTGGATCGGCCTTCATCTCAAGTAATAAGTTTTCTTTCTCTTAACTTACACCCTTAAATTAAAAGTTAGCTAATCTACTTTAAAAGTCAGCGCCTTTGTCTTAATCAAACCTGAAATTTAAGTAATGAATATTACACTTTCTTTTTGAAATCAGCCCAGTTGAATTTACCTTGATCTTCATTGTAGATGATATGGAACAATTTTGACATAAATTAATCCATTCCTTGAGGCAATTAGCCTATCTTATTAAGTTCCTTAGAATCAATCTGTTTAAGGTTATATAAGAATTACTTTTGAACAAGTTTCTTTCATTGCACTTGAAATTGAATCTATAGCCTTTTGAATAGCAGCCAATTCATCTTTCTTACCTTTTTTATAGGTTTCACTTTTTTTGAGTTTTTCCTTGATGTTAAAAAGTAAGATTTACTTATTCAGATTAAATTTTATCGATTAACTATTTAACAGTTCGACTAATAATTGTTTTTTTTTCAACTAGCTCTTCTGTTAATTCGTCACTTTAATTAATGATCCTAAGATAGAAAATAACATCACTTTTCAAAATCTTCTGATTCCTACTTTAGGTATTCATCTGTCTTAAAAAGATGATCACTGAGTTATGGAACATAAGTTTGAGATAAATAGTCATGGAGTACTTTAGCTTTGGCATCATTAGTCAATATGACTTCCTACATTAGTATAATTGCAGAAAAAAATAAATTTAATTTAATAATAAAATAAATAAAATGGGTAATTAATAATTAAGTGAATCTTAAAATGAGTTTCTAGAAAAGAAACTGGATCCTAATTATGGAGAAATAACTATATATAAAAATAAAGCCAACAACATGATATTTGCAGAAATTAAATAAGTTTACTCAAGTGATTCTTTAGCTTAAGCAATAAAAGCCAGTTTAGTAAAAAGGTATTATGTTGAACTAAAGTCAGATTGCAATTAAATCATAAATGCTTGATTAAAATATTATCATTTGATAGTGGAAAGATGGATGACTTTTGCAGTTCATTTACTATCTTATCAATAACCTCAGAGTACTTGAATGAAACCTTATAAAATGACATTCATATAAGAAAGGTCCATAAGACTATATATTCAGAATAAGAACTATGCTACATTCTATATGAGATTTCTAATCTCTGCCATTATATGAAAACCCTCAATAACGAAATAATCGATGTTTATCCACATAGAATCCTAATTGATGATAAAAGATAGATTAAATACTATGATTAATTTCTCGAAAACCCAAAACTGAGCAACTACTATTAGGTTCTCTTTGGCTAAAGAGATTTAGAATATGTAGCTCCTGAATAGTTGATTCTCTTAGCTGAAAAAGATAAATACGATATCAACAATTAAGAATTGGTAAATGTCTTTTGTCTCGGTCTTATGATGGTGAGTCTTATAAGCGGTTAAAGATGTGTTGAATTTTACAATCAAGAAAAATTGTTGTTTAAAAGAGATTACGTAAATCGACTAATAGATAAATATTGTTCAAGATACTAGTATAGTGATTTCTTTAAATCCATCATTCAGGCAATGCTCAAATTACATAATGAAGGCAGACCAAATTATCAAAGTCTTTTGCAAGTTCTCCATCCATAACAGGATAGCTTTGCCACTTTTTTGAATCCTATAGGGAAACAGGGAGGTACTAAGATATGATTATCATAGAAATGCTGGAATCATAATTTCATTCTTTCCGCACCTAAGGCTCAGTATCTAGGTCACATATCTTGTCAAGTGATCCTGTCGATTTTAGTGAAATAGATAGAAGAATTCTTTCTGCTAGGTAGAAGGCTTAAAAGACTCTAGATCAAGTGGGATTGGATTTGAAATTGAGTAATTTTGGAACTACTTAAATTAACATAATTGAAGCAAGTGAATGATTGTAGCATTTTATTAAATCAAATTTTATTAAAAATTATAATGTAACGATAAGACTCATAAAAGAATCAGGAAATGATAGTTAGATTCCTTAACTTTTGTGCTACATTAATTTAAAAGAATGTGAAGGGGTACATTTAGAGATAGAGGCACAAAATCATCATGATGCATATCAGAAGATTCAAAGCTATTTTAAATGGATTCATTCAAGGTTTGTTATCAATTCTATTTTATTAGGATATAGGACAAGATAAATTCTGAAAGTCCCTGATGTGGCTAAGTTGAGATAAAATATTATCGAAACTGATGATGGAAGTATATATCTCAAGAATTATATTAAGCATATGGAAATCCATAAATAAGACAAAAAAAGATAAGATTAATAAGAATGATTGAAAACTATTTACAGAATGGTTAATTCTACAAAAAACTTAAAAGAGTTAAAAGTTCTTAAAGATAATTTGTTCCTAATCAATATTTGGATAATGAATTTGTTAGTTAAGACTAAAAATTCTAATAAAATTATTACAAGAAACCCTCTAAATAACCCCTTTAAGCAAACAAAGTTGAACAACAATATTATGATTAACTAATTCAAAATGAATATTCTGAATAGCCATAACCATATTATTAAGAATATATGTAATAGAATTCTTAAATTCGTGATTAAAGTCATTCCAACTCTAATTTATCAGGATAATACCAACAATCATAAAGAATAGAGTATTAATAAGATGAAAGACCTATTAAATCGAAAAATTAAGCAAATTTTGCAATGCAAGAAAGGTATACACCTGAAAAAAATTCATATGATGATGATAGACCAATTTGTGGAAAGGGTCAATATAATTATATAGAGGATGAAAGACCAATAAATGCAAAAAATACAAATACTTATAATAATTTTGACGATGAAAGGCCAATAAACGCCAAAAATGCTAATACTTATAATAATTATGAAGATGATAGGCCAATAAATGCAAAAAATAATAATGCTTATAATAATTATGAGGATGAAAGGCCTATTGCAACAAAAAAAGCAAACGCATATTATGAAGATGATAGACCTGTTGCACCTAAAAATAAAGGCGCATATAATTAATATGAGGATGAGAGACCTATAAAAAAAGGCAAAGATACATATTAATTCGAACAAGAATAATATTTAGATAATGACAGACCAATTGCAAGCAAAGGAAAATATCAATAATTTGAAGATGAAAGACCATTAGGTGGAAAGGGATAGTATGATATACCTGCTGATGAAATACCTATTAGTGGAAAGGGGACATATGGTAATTTTGAAGAAGATGCTCCTCCAAAGAAATAGAAATAACCTCCTAGAAAAAAAGCTGAATAAAAAAAGGAGAACAAGTAAGTTGAGGATAGATAATAAAATCTTTATGACAATTAAAATGAAAATGAACCCCCCTTAGGAAAGATGTAGAATGATGATTTTAATGATTAAGAAAAACCTAAACCAAAAAAGAAAGATCCTAAACTCTTAGAAAATCTTAAAAAAAGAACAAAATATGATCCGAGAAAAGCAATTCAGGAAGCAAAGAAGAAATAGGAAGAATAATAACAACTTGAAAAAGTTGATGTTGAAGAAGTTGAAGAATAATAAGAAGTTTAACCATAACAATAACAATAAATTCCTTAAAAAAAGCAGGTTTTATCATAACAAAATCTTTAAGAAAGATAACAATCACCAAAAACTAGCAAACTTAATTTAAGTGCAACTCCTGAAAAGTAAGGACCATCGGTTGAATAAATTGGAGAATGCTCTCCTAAAGATGATGCTTCTGATCAAAAACCAAAGAATTTCTTAAAAAGAAAATCTAAATAGATTCCATTGAAAAATCCAAAAGTAGATCCTAAAACTGTTAAATCAAAAGTAAAGAATTGTTGGAATGCAGGGAACACAATGGATGATCAAGAGTTTGATGGCAATGAAGATATCCCTTAAAGTCCAAAAGCTTATATCAATAATAAATCTCCTTCTAGACGATTTGAATAAAAGGGATCAGAATAGCAATTAAATTATTAATAGTAATAAATACAACAATAATAATTAATATCATAATAATAGTAGATTCAATAAAATAAGTCATAGGGTCCATTACATGTATAGGTTTAATTAGTTTAAGAAAATGTATCATAATATTAAATAAATCCCAGTCATCAAGCAAATCAATAGTAACAGTAAAAAAGGTAGTCAATTCAACTTGACGAATTGGAAAGAGCATATTATTCAAAGTATACTTAAAAATTAGAAAGTATTTGAATTGTTTAATCAAATAGCAACTAAAATGAATCTTAAAGTGTTGGATCAAGAGAGATAATAAAATCCTAGAGGAGTTCCAATAATTACAACTAAATCCAGATTTTTTACTTCATTCAGAGTTAACGATTTCGAAAGACTCTTGGCATAGTTAGAGGATTAATATAATAAATTGCAAATATCAAAATGATAAATAAATTATTATTAACTGTTATATTAAATTTGAATGGAATAAGAAATAATAGACTGGGCTAATACTTTTGAAAACACAAAGAGTATTGATGATCTAAAAACAGGTAACTTTTGATAAAAATCAAAGGTGTTGCATTATGTTAGATAATATCGAAAGAATTATTTTAAGACAAAAGATAATGTGAACTAAAGATAAGAGTAATAAAATGCACAAAACAAGACTATTAAAGTTGTATAAGGAATTTAACATTTGCATTGGCTTTGTTAGAGGAAAGCCAATAGGTATAAGTGAAGCATTTAACTGGATAAATGCTATACCAAAATCCATTAAAGATATTTTAGATACTATAATAATTTTATAGATCAAAATCTGTATCATCAGCTTCATCAAAACCTCCTAAAGCACCTCAAAAATAAGACGAGCCATTATTTTATGTTGATGAAAACTTAGTTTAACCCAATCAATCAATCTAGATGACATATAATGAAGAATTAATTGCAAATAAATACAAAATGATTAAACCGAATAGCCCTTATTAAGAGACTAATAACAATCAATAAAGATCGCAAACACATTAAACTGAATATGCTGAAAACTCGAATCGATCAAAACCATAAAATTAATCTAATGATTCAATTAGTAATCTGACACCAATTAAATCTAATAAAGATTCTTACAATTAGAAATTAAAGTATGAACTATAAGTTTTAGAGAATCAAATTGCAAAAGAATAATAAAATCTCTAATAAAAAAATAACAGGGAATGTAAATCAAAGCATAGTTAAGAAAGCAAAAGTTAACATGACGAGTTAAATTAGGATTAAAATTTTAATCAACAATAATAGCAATAAAATTCTATCACTAACGAATAAAAATAATAATTAATTGAATGGCTAAAATAAATTCGATTAATTAAATCAAATGCATAAGGGTTGGAATATAAACTGCCCAAAATTTGTAAAAATGGAGTTATTTTTTTTGATTTAATTAATAGACTTACTGGTAGAGATGAAGTTTTAAAAGGAGCTTTAAGAAACCCAAAAAGCTTAAGAGAAATCAAGCACAATTATAGAAGAGTACTCGAATATCTAAAGTAACTTGAAAAAATGAGTTACAAATATTTAAGTTCGGAATAATAATTGGTTGACGGAGATGAAGGAGCCTTTTGGGGTTTGATGCATGACATTAAAGTTTATTATACAAATTGTGGAAATGCTGCAATTACTAATTGTTCATAATCAGTTGATGCTTCTTTAAGATAAACCCAACAATAATAATAAGTTTAACAAAATACACAATTATTTTAATAGAATTCTTAATCTAAATTACAATCACAAATAACACGTTCTTAAAAGAAGTAATTACATAAACAATCCTTCGCAGACACATAATTAGAAATAACAATTGATCAGCCATAATAATCAAAATCTGTAAAACCAAGCACTGCAAATAGATCGCCTGTGGGACCCTATTCAAGAATTCACAATATGAAATAAGAGTATGATAGTGTTAACAGATCTTTGAATTCACTAATGAAAAAATCTTAAATTGGATCTTAGAATGGCACCCCTGTCAATCAATCTTTACAACATTCAAGAAATTTCAGTAGCTCAAAATAGTAATAAAAAGCAAGGTCTACATCAATAAGCAAAAATTGTGTAACTCGAGAAATGGAATTGTATGTTCAAACGTATTTTAAACAGAAAGGATTGTATAATAATGAAAAGTAAATAAAGAATTATATTTAGTTTGTTTACAGATCCAATTCGAAATGGAAATTATATTATACAATTAATAGAATAGCCAGTCACAAAAAACAACTTTAAGTCGATTTTAGAAGTTGAATTTAATGTTGATTCAGCATTACAAGCTACAAAAGCAATAGCGGATGCAGGAAATTTACCTGCTTGGATTGGAAAAATCGATAAATCAAGCATTATGTAACTAGATAAATCTGCTATGGGTTTATATTGGTGGTTATTAAAATAATAAACCAAAAAGATTGAGCCAAATATTAATTAGTTTACACTTCCTTACAGATAAGAAGAGATTGATTAATTGAAAATTGTAACTCTGCATTTTGCTAGAGAATATACATCTACAATACAGAATTTTAATGACCTAATCTATTAATGCTAAACTGGAATCCTACTATGTCAAATTGAAACTGAAATATTTTAATAGAAAATCACTCCCATCTATACAAAACCTATTGGAGAGAAATAGTGCATTGCTAATATTAGAAAGGCTTTGGATTACTTAAAAGGAAAATAAATTGGATAAAGATTTGTTTGGTCTGAAAAATTAATTTACGAAGGAGATTAACTTATAATTCTGGGGTTATTTGAAGATTTAAGGAGGTACTTTGATGGGCTGCCTCAAAGGTAAGGAGACTCTTATTTTGAAGATGGCCCTTACTTAAAAAAATCAATTTTTTAAAGTAAAGGAAATTAAAAAGTTGAGCAAATAATTTAATAAGAACCTTATTCTCTCATATAAAAGGAAAGCAGCTTTGTTTAACCATAATAAGTTAACAAAAAGTTGATTTTCGATGACCCTCCATAATTTGAATGGCTCAATAACTTTGGGTTTAAGATAAATTGGAATAATGAGGTTTTGGAAGAATTCAAAGATGGGTAATAATTATAAATAAAGCAATAGTATTATTATTTGCACTATAGTATAAAGGCTTGAAAATATTTAATTTAAAGGAATATAATAAAAACCAAATACTAATGCAGGTTGCTTAGTAAATATAAGGAAGGCTTTCAGTGTTTTGAAAGAAAAATTAGATATGCCTTTAGAATTAGTTATAGAATAAGAAAAGCTACTGAAAGGAGATAAGGAATACATTATAAAACTACTCACTGTTTTTAAAAATATTTACAAAAATAAATTAAAAAGTAAATGAAATTTTCTTTATTTATATACAATTAACTGAAATATAAATTTCATATAATTTCTTTAAGTAAATGGATATTCACAAAATCTTGGAATTAGAAAATGAGAACGTTTAGTTACGTTCAGAGTTAAGGTCATTGTATGAAGAACTTGATTAGTACTAAATATATTTTATAATTAGAAAATCTACTGATTAGAAATTAATTGAAGAGAATAATAGCCTAAGACAAGAAATCTTACAACTAAATTAGAAATTGTAGTAATCAGAACAGTAGAAATAGAGTACAACACTCAAATTGATAGATCAATAAGAACTTAACATTAAATTAAGTAAAACTATCATCAATTTATAATCAAATATTAATGAAACATAACAAAATGACATTTAAAACATCAACCAATATGCTATTTAAAACAATTCAAACAATAACTACATGTAGTAATTATAAGTTTTAAGATAAAGATACTAAAACAAAAATGAAATGGATAGTTAATATAAAGATTAAGAAATATAAAAATTATATGTCTAATTATCTGAATTATAAAAAATAAATAATAACAATAGATTATCTAGACCTTTAAATAAAGAGAATATGATCAAATCTTAATATAGGCCAAGAGGAATATCTGAGAAAAAGTTTAATAACTTTGAAACCAATTTTACAGAATCAAGACTATTTCATTGAAAAACTTTATTTATTTTATTGCTTATTCTATTTAAATATAGAAGTTATCATTTTAAATGATATTTAACCATTAACTATTTGAAATTATTTAAGTAAGTATTCATCATGGCTAACTGAACTTGCTTTCTTTAATCAAATTTTTTAGCCACCAGATTTATTGATTTCTAGCTTCCAATATTAGTCTAGCATCTTCTTAATCCTAATATTTTCTAAGATTTATTGATACCTTTGGTTCTGCAAATCTTTATATTTATTATTAAGTAAATAAAGGAGTTTTCAATAATAATTCACTTATATATAATTTATCCTTAAGGACTTGTGTTATTTAGTATGATTTTAGTTCTACCTCAAATTTCTAGAATAGTTACAGTGGATTACCGTACTAACAGCTTATGAATCTAAAAGTAATTTGAAGTACATAACTCTATATTTTAATCTAAATCTTTTTTTTTCCTTATATTCTTGCTTCTTATATAATTTAAAGCATTTGTTAGTTCAATAAAGTTATCCTTGTTAAGATTTATTCGATTCTGAATCTAAAGTTGATATCGTCTCCTCGATATTATTAAAGCTTCTATAAGATTAACTATTCACCATCTTCTTTTCTTATTGTTAGACTCTTATTTTCTTTTAAAATAGTGTAATTTAATCAAGAACAGAAGAGATAGTTAATTGATCTTTTTTAAGAACACACTCGTAATTTAAGTAAGTAATTCGGTTAAATCTTCACCTAATCCTTGTGGGTTCCTTTTCATTTTTTCAATTTCCTCTGTCAATTATTCAATAATGAATTAATATTCCGAAATTTTCATATTTTCTTGATTATTACTATTACTTACTGGCTTATTGTTTTAGTATTTTCCTTTTCTTTTTAATAGGTGTTACTTTTAATTATCTAATAATGATTTCAATAATTGAATTTATTATTCCCTCTGTTTGATAATAATTTTAGATTATTTAAATTATCCTTCTAAATCATCTAACCTTGATCTTAATTGAAAAGAGTTCATTAATTTACAATTTTAATTAATAAATTTAAGTGTTCTTATTTAAATCATCAATAGTTAATTTTTTGACTTAAGAAAACAATTGATGATGTTTGTTCTGAATTCATTTCAGTCAACTTTAATTACAATTATTCATAACTCTTTTTTTAAATTAGTTAAATCAGCCCTTAGTTTTACAATAGTGCCTTCTAATGTTATTATTTATTAGCCCTTTTTCTCAATGTTATGCTATAGTTATAAGATATCGGACTCTTTTGATTATAAGGTATTTTAAGAAAGGTAAAGTTCTCTCTCTAAGATTTTAATTTTCTTCTAAACTGAATAAATTTATTCCCGCAATTCTATTCTGTTGGCTGCCGTCAAATTTATCTCTTTATCTTTTCCTTTATAGATATCTAACTCTTGTAAGCCAATTCATATCTACTTTGATAATCATCACTTTAATCTTCCACAAGTCTTAATTATTAATTTGATTCCTTTAGTTAATTTGTTAAATCAATCTTTTCGTTTCATAAGATACAATAGTTGATAATTTTGAATCTAGTAAATCAGTTAAACTTTAAAGTTCCTTTTTTTTATTTTAATGTTAATCAGCAATTTCGTTGTAATCCAACAATTACTTTCTAAAGAGCTTATCTTTAATTTTATTCCATTTATCATTATTATAAAGAGCTGTATTCAATTTATTTATCTAAGAGAGATCACATACTGTTGAATTCAACATCATATCTCTCTTTTAGATCATTGTATTAATTTTACAAATCCTATGATTATCTATTGCTTTAATTATACTTTTCGAGTTAACTTATTTATTGAACTTTATTGTTAGCCTACTTTTCTTTAGCTCTTCTACTTACTCTTCATACACTTTATACTTTAATTCAGTTATAGTAGTTAATTATTCTTCTAACCTAGCAGTGTATGATTTAATTTCTTAATTTTATGCTTCAATTTAATATTTACATTTTAGTTTTAATAATCTGTCCCATCTTAATTATTGTTATTTATTATTCTCTAACTTAGATTCTCTTGACTAATTTTGTTATATTTCGTAATCTTTAATCTACTTATTTAATTATTTCAAGATAAAGAATTATTGATGTAGTTCTTGGTTTAAATTAGAAACTTCATTTTTTAGTCTTTTATTGCTTTATACAACTTTAAAATCTAAGCCTCTGCTTCTATAACTCTATAACCCTTTGTTTCTTTAAATCTCTTTCAGAAATGACCTTTTATATTTCTATCTTATATTCTCTTTCTTTAGAGTTGATTTAATCTTAGAGATGTTTCAGTTATTGGATTAAAAGCTTATTACTGCTTGAGGTTAGAAACCTTTTCATTTAAATTTCTAATTTTATTCATTAAGACTGTTTACTTATTATTCTCTTGAGCGTATTTATTCTTCTTTCATTTTTAATTATTATTTTATAGATTTTCCTATTCAGTACCAAGGATTGATTTTTCATTTTATTATGCTTCTTTTGATTCCTTCACTTAGTGAATCTTTTCTTTATATAATAAAATTATTAATTATTATTCATCAATTTTTTACTTAGGATTTTCATATCCCTTTCCTTTATTACCAACTTAAAACTAAAAATCTCTAAAAACACTCTTTATTCACTTTACTTTTTGAGACTATCAGTCAATTAATCATCTAATTAATCCTTTTAACTATTTAATTCTTTATCTTAGTCTCACATGTGGTTATTAACTTCACTTTTTCTTGTATTATTCTATCATACGTTCTTTTTTAGTGTTCTAATTCAACTCTGAAGTTATCTTGAAGATTTTAATGCATGTTTGATAATTAAGTTAATGAAGATGTTGATTTTCATAACTCTAACAATAATTATTCTATCTATGCACTAAAGTCTTATATTCTCTCATCCTTTTATTAGTTTTATTATTAAATCGTTTAAGATATATTTTATCTGAAATTTGTTTTTCTAATAAATCGATCATAGTTTCACTTGATTTAATTTGATGGAAAATTCTTCCTTTATTAAAATAATTTTTTAGTTAAAGTTGTTTTTAGCTTCCAATTCAAACTACAAATTATTCCCTTAGTCTTTCATATCTACTCTCATTTTCATCTTTTGTTATTATTATTGTGGGATTTTCAGAATTTACCTTAGTTTTCAATTCCTTATTTATTAGCACTTTTTATTTAAGCTTATATTCAATTCATTTAATTTTGATTTCCAAACCTTTTCTTAATTTTAAATGCTACTAATTAGAAATAATAATTCAGCATTCTTCTTTATTTCCTAAATATATTAATCGCTTTCAGATTTCATATTACTTTCATCTAAAAGTCTATGAATTTATCTATAAACTATGTAATTGTGGCTTCCCTCTAGCTTCGTTAAGCATTAATCAAGAATTTTGATTATTCAAGCTAATTTATTTACATTTGAAGTTGCCTAGTTTCATTTTAATCACTTTGTATAGAATTTTACTCTAAAATTTAATTATCTTGACTTCAAAAAATTAGTTATAAATGGCTTGCCTTGCTATGGCATTTTAAATGAAGAATTTAGAACCTACAGCAATCTATCAATATCTTCTCCATTATCATAGGACATAATATTGGCAGGTAATAGATTCTCTGATACCATTTCTGCGAAAAAAATATTGAGTAATGAAAAGGCAGCAAATTCAGATCCAAAACAGAGTAAAAAAATAGTCAACATTCTTAAATCTTGTGAAAACCCAATCTCTTTATAGTTCTAAAAAAATGCCTCAAGAACTCTCCAGTGACTTACTTCATTGTTTCATATTCATTCTCTTTGAGAGCATAATATATAAACTCTCTCAATGAATAATGGAAAACTCCAGGAATCTCAGCAAAGGCAATATTTAGATTATTTTTGAGCTTTCTTATTTCTAATTATCACTTTTGAGAAATTTTGCATTGCGCTTACAAATATTCCTAATTTAAATAGAAAAAGTTATTTAGTGTTTTGGCTTTTTCCTTCGTTACTCCAAACTAATTTAACCATTCAATGGTTTTAATATCTTAGTAAATACTCTTCCTTTATAAATAGAACATTTGTCACAAACAGCTCTTTTACACCTAAAAGGGATATTTTCATAACTTTTAGCATTCAAATTTTGTTCCAAGTTTTTCAAACATATTTAGAAACCTTTATACTTTCCTCTTTCACCAGTAATTAAGACCCTTTTGAAAAGAGATTGATTTTTTTTATAAAATCATATGAATAATAATTTATTTTATATTGTAAATAACTTCAATTTATTGAGGCCATTTCTTCTGATAATGTCTTAAATTGTACAAGCAATGTTTATAGTTTTTTAATTGACTTTTCTTGCTCAACAATTTTCTTATCCTTCTCTACAATAATTAGTTCAAGTTCTTAAATTTTCTATCTTAGCTCTCTAATAATTTTCTCGTAATCAATCAATTCGAGTTTCTACCTTTCAATCACTTCAATAAGTTTTAGTATTTCTGATTCTTTGGTCTATCCTTCCCTAATTAAAATTGTAATCTTTTCATCTTGTTTGATGATTTCATTTTTGTAATCCTAATTATACAAAATGAGTTCTTAAATTTTTTTTTCTAATTCTAAAACATCTAATTCAAGCTTGCTATTTCTATTTTCTAATTTGGTCACTTTCTCTAAATGTTAAGTTATTTAAACAAGCAATAATTGATGTCTATTTTGTTAGTCTTTTTCTGTTTAGCCAATTTTAGCTTCTAATTCTTTAATAATTGCTTATAAATTAACAATTTCTAATTTTTAATTTTCACTTAATGTCTTGTATTCATGAGCCTTCTTTTCCAATCCTATAATTATTAAATCTAGTTCTCCAACCTTCTTGATGTGGTTTTAGGTTTCTTTCTCCAATCTATCCATTAATGCTTGATGCTAATTTTACAGTAATTAATGTTTGTCTTCTAATGCTTTAAGTTTTCTTTAAAGATCTTCATTTTGAGATTTTAGTTCATTCAATTTATCATTTGTATTTCCTTTTACTTTTTCATATTCTATAACAATTATTCTATATTTTTCCTTTAATCCTTAATGTTCACCATCTTGATCCTTAAATTTCTTTTTCCATTCTTCGCATTCTGCGATCAATTTTTCATGCTTACCACTTAAATCCTTATGATCATTATCTAATTTCGTCCATTTCTCCTCTAAACTTACAAATATGATTTTAAGTGCCTTAAATTCCTTCCTGTGCTCCTCAAGTTTAGCATCCTTTTCTGCTATACTATCTTCAAGATCTTTAATTTTTTTATTATTTTGTTCAATAATTTGATTTAATTCTTCAATTTTTTTTCTATCATCATCCTGTTATTTATGATGATTGGCTTCTATTTCAGCAATTTTCTTAACTCCCTTAGCTATACCTGCCTCAAGTAGTTTAATTGTCTCATCTTTTTCTTAGACCAAATTCTACAATTAGTTGTTATTGTCTAGACATTGATTTAATTGATCTGAAGTAGTTTAATATTATTTATTCACTTCTGCCAATCTGTTTTTTAAATCTTCAATGATTAGTAATAATTCATTCTCCTTCCTATCGTACTCCTCTAAGTTTTATCTTTTTTCTATTCTTACTTGATCCAATTCTTCACTTTAGATTTCATGCTATTTAAATAAATGATCATATTTAGCCTTCAAATCATCAAGCTCCTCTTGTTGTTAAATTATCACTAATTCATGATGTTCAATCTTTTTAAAAAGAGCTGCAATTTCAAGTGTGAGTTTTTCATTTTCTTTTCTTGTAGAATCCAATTCAATCAATCTAACTTCTAAATTTCCAATAATCTTGAGTTTATCTTAATTTAATTATTATAAACCCAACAGCTCTTTATTCAATTAATTCATCTATTATTACAATTAAACTGTTTTTTGTTACTCTTCATCCAGTTTCGACTATAATTATTCCTCGTTTTTTTTTTAAACCAAAGCAATATTGATTTAATAGTTTTTTTCCCTTGAAGGTGTTAGAGGAGAAGGAGGTTCAAGTTTAGAACTTTAATTTTTTAAATCTTTAATCTAAAGGTACAAATCCTTATTAGTTCTTAAAGAAGTCTCAAGTTATTATTCTAATTCTTTATTTGATTGCTAAATGGAAGTTACCATCTCTTAAGCATCTTCTTGAAGCTTATTTGAATATTTATTTTACTCTTCTAATTATGAAATTTGAACATCTTATTCCTAAATTCTTCTTCTTAATTATTCATTAGCTTCTATAAGTTACTTATCCACGTCTAAGGTATTATTAATTTATGGAGGTTAATTTTATAATTCTTTGATTCTATTCTACAATTCTGTGACTAATTTATGTTTTAACATTAATGTTTCTTCTATTTTTTCGATATATTATTTGAGATTTGTTTTTTCTTCATCAGCCTCTGGTGTTGCTTTTACTTCAACTGATTTTCTTCTCAATTCCTAAAAGCTTTTATCTTAAACAGCCGCATACTCGGTCATGCTATTATCTGTCTTAATTTAAATTTCAACCTTAACATCCCTATTATGCTCTGGCTATATTTAATTTGATGTTTTTTTTTCATTTGATCTCTGTATGACAACGCTTTAAGTCACTCGTTTGTGAGGTAGAAATATTATTACTTTAGTGAGGAGAAAATCTTTCTCACATTGAGTTGATTTCACATTTCTCAAAATCTAAGCCTCTGCATCATCTTGAGCATTTATCATAATTTTGATATCTTCGAATTATTAATAATAGCTGACAGCTATACATTTGATAAAATTGTCATATCCAGTCTTTGTACCAAATAATATTTGATTAATCATATAGAAAGATGTCTAAAATTAATAAAAGTTAATTCCCAAAGGAAGGACATATCTTGAGATTCTAGTTCTAACAAATGGTTTGATGTTTTATATTTCTGATGATTTAATTTTAAATCCTTACTCCAGTACCTAAAGGACTTAGTCGATTTCATGTTGATAGTCATAGGGTGTTTTTCTTAAATTCAATGGGTACAAATAAGAAGGAATAATGTCCGAGTACAATATTGTTAAGATTGTGTATGCTGATGCTTCAGAACAGAAACACAATAAAAATATTGTTAATATAACTTAGTCTGGGCCATATCCGATTTCTGGATATTATAACAGAATAGCTCCCAAAACTCGACATATTTGTTATTGTAATTAATCTAATTCGAGATCCTTCAATAAATAAAACAAAAATTCCCTCAAAGAATAATTTAGATTAAGCCAAAAGTCAATCATCGCCAATTGTAATTCTTATTTCATTTTCAAGAACTCTCCTTTATCCTTTGCCTTGTCATTCTCTTTTTAAGCAAATTCGTATTCCTAAAATATAAAAATGGTACTACCTTTTTAGCGATGTCTACTGTTAGACCCGATGCCTTAAGCCAATCAATTGAAAAGGTATCTTTTCCTAAACCTATTTTGTATTGTTCGATAAACTTTTTGATTGCATCGCTTTCCTCCTTACAAGTATTACAAATTCTGTGAGTTTATTTGGAAAATCCAGCATCTCCTAGTATAGGACCATGATGATTTGCACAATTCTAGCAAACTGCTCTTCGGCACCTAAAATTGAGATTATTTTTCTAACCTTTTGCATTGGTGTTCTTTATGAAAAATTCCAAATTCTTTCTAACAAATTTGACATTTTTTGAATTTCCCTCTTGCCTCACTTATTATTATGCTTTTTATCATAACTTGAGTAGATTTTTTTGACATTTGGATATGAAAATAAAAAATATTTAGAAAATTTGATTTATATCATCACTTAAATTTTGATTCTTTCTGACTATAAAGAATATCTAAATACAAGGATGTAAAATATGGAATAATATATATATACATAAATTGAATATTAAAATTGATTTGTTGTACGATATTTTATGAAATATTGGCTCTCATTAAATGGGGGATTTAATCATACCATTACTTAGAGTGCACTTAATGTTCAATTAAATCCCTACAATGAATATTGGAATCAATTTTGAATAATTTTAATAAAATATATTTCATAAGAAATCTCATTTCAGAATAAGTAATTCATCAAAAGAAATTATTGTAAGATCAATATTGATAACTGTGATTCCTTTTCATTGTTTTTCATTTAAATTCCTCTTGAATATATTCGAAGTTATGAACCTTATCCTGATTCTAATCCTTCTTTGCTGATTAAAATGATTTTTATATTAATTATAAATATGTGATTACAACCTTTAATTTGAGTAAGAGTTCAAATCATTGAAGCGTATGACGATATGTTTTATTTTTTCTTGAGAAATGAAGATTAAATATATGAATTTTTGATTAACATTCTCAACAATTTATAAACTATTAAAATTCTCCATTAAATCTGGCTTTTGACAATTGCTATTCTAAATTTCTTAAAAATTCTTTAATAAATGCAGTGATTATAAACGATTAGGTGTAGAGTAGTTGATTGACTTTTGTTTTAGGCCTTTAGAATTAAGAATGAATTTTTTGGATAATTCATGAATTAATATCTAATTGACATTTAATATAGAAGTTAACAATTAGTGATGACGTATTTAATTTTTTGAAGCTGAATTTCTATACTATACATGATTTAAATGATGATACTATTTTTTATGGTTTTAGTTAAATTATCTTTAGGCAGACCACAATAATTTTAATAAAAATTAAGATTTTGAATCAACAATTAAGTTTTTCTTATATACAATAATGCAAGGCAAACTAAATATTGAAAAAATAATTATATATAATATTTATGCTAAACATTCTTCTAATTTCAAGAATAAGCTTTAAAACTATTGGCGCTATACTCCAAGAATGTCATGTTTTCATCCCATCTTCCTAAGAGAGATGGAATGTTATAGGCTGGCTTATTCAATGCTTTATTTTTGTCGATCCCCTTTGGAACATTTAAAACTTCATTAAACAATGGACCCATAAATACAGCAAAAGTATTTCTGTTCAATTACCTTCTTACAGTTTCATCACTCTTAACAACCTATTTAATTAAAACTGATTTTACGCAATGAGGTGTGGCTTCAACTATTCCTCCTGACACTATCTATGCTGTTTCTCCAATTTAAAATGCCAAGCAATCTGGGTCCATTCCTACTTTCATTATTTCTGCATATCTATTTTTAGCTAACAAACCTCCTTCTTTATCTGTATAATCTACAATTTTATCATTGTGCATATATATAGGACAAGTTAGAGCTGTCAGGGCACTATGATCATTATGCCATCCACACCATTCGTCAGTATTTGGCCCATCAAAATAATGCAACAATCTTCCAACATGAGAATCACCGGATCTAATATATCTGTATAATTTTCCCATTTCATAAGTATTACACTTTGAATAGATGTATTTATCAATATGATAAGATAACAAAGCTCCTGTATCTACCATCAATCTCCCAAGGTTCTTAAATGCCCCTTCTAATTCTGGGATTCTATTTGGCCATACATTGTCCAACCTTATGAGACTGCCCTTTTTAATTAAATGCTCATATTCCTTCCCTAAATCATGAGGTGTATCATAATTTGGATTATTATAAAAAGACCCTTTTGATTTATCAAATTTGCCTTTAAACTAAATTTATTATTTTTTCCTTTACTTATTCAACACCACAACTCCAACCTTTTGAATGAAATGCTTCTGGCCTTTCAAGACTTTTTAAATATTCTTTTGGTTGAATAGCCAATTTCTATGCCAAAGGTAATAGTTCTAGTCTCATTTTTGAATAGTTAGGGATTCCACTAACAATTGCAAGTCCTAATCCATGTGATCCATAGGCCTCTTCAATTTTTGCATTTAAATTGCTGCTACAGTTTTATATCTCGTCGAAAGTGAATCGCACTGCTTTAACAGTCTAAAAATATGCTCTAATAAATATTTTATTTAACATATTATTAAATCTTATCAAATACTTAGATTGCGAATTTTAAATTAAAAATTAATTGATAAATAATCTTATATTGCTGCAATTGATTGAGATTTCTCTGTGTTTTATTTAACAACATAAGTAACTATATGTTGAAAATTGATAAACAGATTGAAGGGAAAGTGAAAGGGCAAATTATTGAAAAAATGAATATTTTTGTATCAATTATTTCTAAAGAAATCACTTCTTCATAATATTTAAACTTTTAGTATGGATGTTGAATTTGATACGTTTTCAGAGAATCACATATGTTGGAAGAAGATCTATGATGAAGGTAGAATCTGATTTAAAACTATAATAAGTTAATAATTTAGAGCCACAATTGGATAGAACGATTGTTAATTTATGTATCGTTTAAACAGTCAAGATTGATATTAAGATATGTAAATATTGTCTGCTGTATTCTAAAAATTATTTTTTAAAGTAATTATATCATTATGATTTTTTTTGTTTTCCTCCATCTTGTGGTTATAAATTAACTGTCTTTCCTTATATGTAAAACTCACCACCAGATTTATCAAATCTTTATTACCTAGCAGAGGGAGGTGGAATTTTATGGGATAATCCAGTGTTTCTGTGGATTTTATTTTGATTAGATTAAATAGTCTATTTAATACTAGTAAAGGATGGGCTTTATTAATTTTAATTTATAGAATATAGCTATGGCTAAGGTTATACATAATTATTTTTCTATATATTTGATTATGAAATTTTGTTTCCAGGGTAAAAATTATTGGTATTATTGCTCTTGAAATTTGATTAATCTGTCCATTGGAAGATAATTTTAAGTTCATTGTGGACCAAATCACTTGTAATTCTCTTTTCACAATTATACAGTGTCATTTATTTGAGAAGATTTTTCATTTTATTGTTTTATTCAGTTGCAGGAAAAAAATCTAATTTATCTACTGATAAGTGCCCTTGATAAGTATGGTCCTTCATTCCTAATTTTTAGATGATAGTGTTGTTCATTTTTTATCCTGTAAGAATATCACTAATTATGATTCCAAAACTCCAAACATCTGATGTGTTAGATAATGTGTTCCTTAATGTTTTTTCTGGAGGGGAATAAACACAAGATGGTTTACTACTATAGAGCTGATCATCTAATTCTCCTTTTACTTCACTTAAGCCATAATCTGTAACATAAATGTTCAATGAATTATCTACTTCTTAATAAATAACTTACCTAATAAAATATTTGAAGGTTTCAGATTTCCATGAGTAAAGTGTTCATTATATGCTTTGAGAAATAGAGATATGTTCAAAATTACTTATTCTTTCTATTTTTTTTAGTGTATTTATGGAATAGCCAAGGCTCTTTCTAAATCACAGTTCATTTATTGTGTTATAAGATAAAGAGTTCCTAAACAAGATCCATTTTCAGATTCTTACAAATAATATCCTTCGTAGATACATAAACCGTAAATTTTTAATTTTTAAATGTGATTGATGTTGTTGAGTAATTAGAAGATATGAGAAGCTGGTTTGTTTCGATATATCTTAACCACCTTCTCTTAATTTTGATAGGTGCATCTAAATATATTTTATTGCTCATCTATATTGTATTCGCTAGATATAAATTAACTATTACTCATTTATCATCAAATCATTCTCATTTATTTGTTTAATCAATGGAAATCTGTTGAGTATCTCCACCAATTATGCAAATGTCATTTAATTATAAAAATTTTATTCTATTTCATCTGAGCTTTCTAAATGATTACTAGTAGGCTCATCCTATCTCAAAGTAAAGTCTTATTGTGATTAAATTTGTTATTGTCGTTCCTACCATTGCTTTATTTAATTCCTCAGATTTTCTGGTAATTTGATACCACTTTAAACAAATTACATTGTTTAGCAATTATCACTATAAGCCAAGCTATCCTAAAAACGTTAAACCTATTGATGTTAAATTTGTTTATTTGTTTCTCCAAATTATTCTTATGAAAAGAAATTTTCATTAATTGGTTATGAAACTGTAAATTGTTTAGTCCAATTAAAAGTATTATCTTGCTACTAATTGAATTCTTATCCCATCTAAATTTCTACTTTATTTTCTATTGCATTTTTGATTTCTATCATATGGTCATACACTTCTTTGCAATTAGGTCTCTTATTTTTTGAAGATTAGACCATCTAATTAACTAAGTCTGAAATATTTGGATTCATAATGCTTAATTGTTCTAACATGAAGGCAATTTGTTCTTCTGTTTTTCTGTGATTTGAAAATCTATGTTGATTATATAATTCTTACTATTAGCAATTAAATTCCAAGATGATCAATCCAAAAGAATAAACAACTGATTTAAAATAATTTTGAAGAGTTGAAATTTAACCTGATATTGAAGCAGCAAATGTATCAGGATCCATGTAATTAATATCACTTTTAATTTCTCTTTAAACACTGCTGTCCATTCCTATAACACTAATGGCATGATTAACATCAAATAATTTAAATCTCCCATCCTTCATTCTCATTATTTGATCAGGTGTTATGTATGGTAATGCAATTTCTTCCTCTTGCAAATCAGCTAAAATTGTTACAACTTCAAGCAATAGTTAAGAGATGATAATTTCATTTATTTTTTCGATTTATGCTACTTAGAAAAGACTTTATGAGATTTCCTCTAAGAGGTATCCTTATCGGCAAACTTTAATCCCAAATTAATCTTAAAAGTCCAAGTTTTTATGTCCTTTTATTTTCACTATTCCTTCAGTTCTTCCTTAACAATGTATGTGATTTTTCATTAAATTATCTTCGCTAACCCCATCAATTATCAAGAATGTAAATATCTAATAATTTAAAACAACATTTTTACCTTTGATTAATTTTTTTTCTCTCTCAACTTAAAAAACGTTCTATTATTATGCTTAATATAAGGCTCTTAAGATATAAATTCAAACCTTGTTAAATCAAAATCCATAACTTAATTTTACTCTAATATAAAAAATATAAATTTTATAAATGAATTATAATTGTCTATAACGACGTTGAATTAGAGGACATAGATTCCAATTAAATTTAGAATAAAAATAAATATCGTTTTCTTTTTATTTGCAAATTAGATATAGAAATTTTGGTTTATACTTAGTGAAATGGAATAATTAAAAATTAGATTTTAAAACCCAAATACCCATCTACAATTAGATAGTTTACTACTTATATTAGAGAATCAAATATTGGTCAATACTGTTAAATTAATAAAATGAACTCTAATAGGATAAATACTATAAATACAATTTTTTATTTAAATTAATAGATTTTCAATTATTAGTCTTTATTAATATCTGAAAATTTTGTATATCTTTAATTTACATAGTCATTTTTAGAAATATAATAGAATTAGCTGTTGTCAATACACAATTTTTGCAAAACTATAGAAATATAAACTAAAATAAGATTATCTAGCTTAACTACTTATAAATCTTTTATTTTACGTTAGACGAAAATAGACTAAAATAGAAAATCAAATTATGGTACTCACTTTTTTTAGAGTGTAAAGAAATGAGAACAATTTTAACCTGACTACAGCGACCGCATAATTACATGTAAGTTATTTCAAGTATTTTAGATCGAAATTTACGAATCAAATTCAGCCTAAATTGGAACACTTTTGAAAAATTACGTCAAAAAGAAAAGGTTTACTAGAGAACGTTTTTTTCAAGATCAATGTAGGTTTATCTAATACAGAAGATTAATAATATTTTCTTACACAGTGTATGAAAATGAAGAAGGGTTTGATCTGATTGAAAGGTTAATTGGAGAGTCAAAAATATGATAGAGAACCGGATTTTTAAACACTTTACACAATTTTGGATTATGAGTAATAACTATTTAAACTTAGGGAAATTAAAAATGAATGTCAAATTTGACTAAAGCTTAAAAAAAAAAGAACAAAAGTGAAATTTTGAGAGAAGAGCTTTAATACAAAACTCTAAAAACCCATTGGGGATGGATATTTTAGGCTGTTTTAGTGTGCAGATTGTTCTTGAATGTTATCTGTTAATACCCAATAGTGAGAATTTATCTAAGAATAATAATTAAACAGTGTAAAAGTTATGCCCAAGCCATCAATTCTTCTTATTATATAATTGGGGATAATCCTTACCATATAAAGCTATAGTATTCGAGTAGATGAAATATCTGTTATTTTCTAATGATGAATATATTTATATTGCTTTTCATATATATTTCAATCATTGACTATAGCGTTAATTAATATTAGCAAATTAAAATATTCCCTAAAAATACTTTTATATATGAACTCTATATTTTATTCAGAAATTCCTAATTTTGATAAATTTATTGGAATATTTTATATAATTCTGATGATTCTTTCCAACGACACATAAATAATAGATGAAAGCTAATTTGAAAATAATATAATCACTCGGTTAATAAATTCATTATTTATTTTTCATTATAATTTCATTTGTAGTTTTATGGTTCATTGTTCTTTTTGTTTTACATGCCAGCTGAAATTTTATTAATTAAGTTAGAATTACCTTTTTCTGTATAGTATTTAGAACTCTCAATTCTATTAATTAACTCATCAATAAACTTAAGTACTTCCATAATCTTAATCATGGATTTTAATATGTTTGCTATAACTTAAAAAATGGTGATATACCTTTTAGTTCATTATCATCAGCCATATTAGAATTCCGATTTCTAAAATTGACAAATTTTAACGCCTCCTAAAATTGATTGAAGGAATTTAATGTATAAGCTTGGATTATTGGATTGGTTTTCATTTAAATTTTAAATTCTTCTTAAAATTTATTCATCTTCATTAAAATTTGAGCTAAAAATCATACTTTATGAATTAGATCTTAAATCATTGAATCATCAGGATTCTTTTATATTGCATAATGAAAATTTTTCCAAGCCTCCTCAAATCTGTTGATTTAAATTAAAGTAGTAGCTAAATAATCATCCATTATGGGTATTACCTTTGTTAAAGTAATACTTTGAATCATCAGGATTTCTCTAAATGGCTAAATTAAAATATTTCAAAGCTACTTCAAAGTTCTTCATTTCAATTAAAGTATTTGCTGAAAAAAATTATAAATTTTTATAGTTAACCTTTTCTGAAGTAAAACGTTGAATCTTCTGGATTTTTGGCGATGGCTAAATCAAAATTTTTCAAAGCTTCTTAAAATCTCTTCATTTCATATAAAGTCGTAGCTAAAAAGTTAAGCTTTTTGAATGATACCTTTGTCACAGTAATACTTTGAATCATCAGGATTTTTCTAAATTGCAGAATCAAAATATTTCAATGCTTCTTCATATCTTTTCAATATAAATAGAATATGAGCTAAAAATCTTCCATTATTAATTATACCTTTTTTTATGTAATTTTGCTAACTTTCAGGATTTTTCTAAATTGCATAATTAAAATTTTCTAAAGCATCTTCCAATCTGTTCATTTAGATTAGGGTATTTGCTTAAAAATCATCCATTATTAATTTTACCTTTGTTAAAGAAATAATGTTCATCAGGATTTCGTTTAATTGCTAAATCATAATATTTCAAAGCCTCTTCATATCTTTTCAATTAATGTAGAACATCAGCTAGAAAATCTTACATAATTAATTCTACCTTTATTAAAGTAATAATTTGAATCATTAGGACTTTTCTAAATTGCATATTCATAATATTCCAAAGCTTCTTCTAATTTTTTCATTTAACTTAGAATAACAGCTATGAAATCAAGCATTGTTAATTATACCTTTTCCATTATAGCAAATAGAATCTTCTGGATCTTCTTAAATTGCTAATTCCATATTTTACAAAGCTTCTTCCAATTTGTTCATTTTAAGTAGAGTATTAGCTGTAAAATCAGAAACATTGGATTACCTTTGTTGAAATAATATATTAAATCTTTGGTATTTTTTGATCCTGCTAATTCAAAATATTTTAGCGATTCTGTTAATTTGTTCATTTCACTTAGAATAATAGCTATAAAATCAAAAATTGTCAATTGTACCTATATTATTATAAAACTAAGAATCTTCTGGATTTTTCTAAATTGCTAAATTATAATTTTCTAAGGCTTCATCTAATCTTTTCATTTTATGTAGAGTTTGAGCTAGAAAATCATAATAGTATATATCTACCTTTGCCTGCGTAACACTTAGAATCTTCTGGATTTTTCTAAATTGCTACTTCAAAGTTTTCTAATGCTTCTCTTAATCTGTTCATTTTAATTAGGGTAACCGCTAAGTAATCATATGTTATTAATTAAACCTTTGTAATTATAATACTGTGATTCTTCTGGATTTTTTGAAATTGCTAAATCATAATTCTGTAAGGCTTCTTCTAATCTAATCATCTTGCATAGAGTCATTGCTGAAAAATCAAATAAGATGTATTCTACCTTTGTAGAAGTAATATGTAGAATCTTCTGAATTTTTAGAAATGGCCAAATCAAAATTCCTCAAAGCTTCCATAAATCTATTCATCTCACTTAGAACATTAGCTAAAACATTTGATACAATTTGAATTATACCTTTGCCAATATAATATCTGGTTTCTTCAGGATTTATCTAAAGTGCAGAATTAAAATGTTCCAAAGCATCTTCAAATCTATTCATTATATATAACGTCATGGCTAGGAAATCAGAAATACTTAAATATACCTTTTTCTTTATATATTTCAGAATTTTCTGGATTTTTCTCAATCGCTGAATCATAATTTTACAAAGCTTCTTCAAATCTATTCATATGATCTAATGTAATAGCTAAGAAATATAAAATAGTTAATAGTACCTTTATTATAATATAAGTCAGAATTTTGAGGATTTTTCTCAATTGCTGAATCATAATTTTACAAAGCTTCTTCAAATCTATTCATATGATCTAATGTAATAGCTAAGAAATGTAAAATAGTTAATAGTACCTTTGCCTTTATAAAATTCAGAATTTTCTGGATTTTTCTCAATTGCTGAATCATAATTTTACAAAGCTTCTTCAAATCTATTCATATGATCTAATGTAATAGCTAAGAAATGTAAAATAGTTAATAGTACCTTTGCCTTTATAAAATTCAGAATTTTCTGGATTTTTCTCAATTGCTGAATCATAATTTTACAAAGCTTCTTCAAATCTATTCATATGATCTAATGTAATAGCTAAGAAATGTAAAATAGTTAATAGTACCTTTGCCTTTATAAAATTCAGAATTTTCTGGATTTTTCTCAATTGCTGAATCATAATTTTACAAAGCTTCTTCAAATCTGTTCATTATATCTAATGTAATAGCTAAGAAATGTAAAATAGTTAATAGTACCTTTATTATAATATAAGTCAGAATTTTCTGGATTTTTCTCAATTGCTGAATCATAATTTTACAAAGCTTCTTCA